GTATGCATCCATGTCCCATTGCTGCATGTATCTGACTTGTTAACCTCCCAGTAGCCTGTGAACTACCATGTCCCATGTTTTATGTCCTGCTCCTGTTGTGGATGACCTGCTGAAGTGTGTCAAATTTTGTCAGTCTCACAAAAATTTTTGTTTATGTTGATGCAAGATCTGATTACCATTACAATACTTTTTATTGTTTTTATTTAGCATAGTTTACTGGTGTTGTAAACATAAGCCTGTAATACCTGCTGCTTTTGTCACTCTGCTCTTTTGACTCTCTTCCCCATCTCACTTTTTTGGTCCATCCAGCAGCAACATAGCTTACAACCATTCTGTTTGAGGTTTCTGCCTTTGTGAAGGACATTTGTCCTTTTTGTGTTCCCTAGTACAGCGGTTCCCAAAGTGGGAGTTGTGACACCCCTGATGGTCAGTGGGGTTATAAGATGCCTTTCAAAAAACTATTGAAATCCTTCTAAAAAACTGCATGTTTAATCCATTTTGTTCAGTTTATACAAAAACAGTAAATGTTAGATTTAGATTTTAGATGAGATTTACAGCTGAATAGAAAACACAGTGATATGTGCACAAATTTATGCTAATTTTTGGGATGAATCTGAGAATACATGTACTCTGCTCCTTAAAGCTGCTATGAGGAGATTTTGGCATGTCATGAAACAGACTGAAATGATCTGTGACGTATCCTTATGTTAAGAAGCAAATGTCGTCAACAAGATTGACGATTTCTATACAGTGATTTTAATTCCTGTAACATCAGTGAGGGGGTAGGCACGCTGATAAATAAGCCTTTGTTACTTTTCCCTGGGGAGGAAAGGGAAGTCAGTATCATCACAGAATGTGAGATAAAAATTTGGCGCGTTGCTATCAAAGTCAGGTGATTTTTTTTTGTTTGGGATAATCCACTAAGTGTTGAAGTTATTTAAAGCACCTGTGAGGAACCTTTGGTTAATGTCTATTTTGGCACCTCATGTGAACTACAAGTCTTTGCTTAGCTTGTCTGCTACATGCTTGAGTATTGATTTATGACAACAAATCATCATGCTGACTTTTGACAGTCAGACACAGCATTAATGTAAGTAAGTAACTAAGTAAGTAAACTTTATTTATACAGCGCCTTTCACAGACCAAGGTCACAAAACGCTTTATTAAAAAAAAAGAAGAATATTTTACATAGAAACAGGACTGTTTCTTTAGTTTTACCAGCTTGCACTGGTTTCAGTATAATAAAAATAAGGTTATTATAAATTTGAAACTTGTTACTGATGGTCTTGTTTGCTTTTCTTTATCATTTAAGGGCTTCACTATGAATTTCAGTCTATTTCAAAACTCCTCATAGGAGCTCTATGCTTTTATTTCCAATAGTGGAATTTACACCATGAGGACCGACCATGGGCCTCTAAAACCTATTTCTAAAGAAATACAAGATAAAACTCAACTGTCACAGATTAAGTGGTACTTTTTAGGATAACTGAGCTGACCTTCATGCATACAATTGATGTGGAGTGTCCATTAAATGAGCCGTTTCAGGGATAAAAGTCAAGGAATGAATTTCATTTCTATCATCTCAGAAAAGAGAGCTGGCTAAGAATCATCATGGGACAGACACCTGTATACAAAATAAAAACCTACAAATATAAAAGCACACTATACAGTCCATAACAGACCAGGGATAAAAAAAATAATAAAAAAAAAAGAGAGTGCCGGAGAAAAGAGGATTGCAGCCCTGCATTTACAGATAATCTTTGGAACGAGGCAGGGCAAAAAGAAACCCAGGAATTTCTGTTAACAAAATGAAGGGAGAAAAAAAAAAAGAGCATCAGGCACGCTTATCTCTGAAAGGCTCCTGCTACCCAACCGGGTCACATGAATAAAGAGGTTTTAACCTAATTTCTCACATCCACCACCGCTCTGACCAGGCCTGACCACAGCCAGCAAGAGGCAGAGTGTACGAGAGTAATGGAATTAATCCAGTTTTTGACTTAAAAAAAAACACAGCTGGAGCCATATGATAAATGCTTCGGGATGAGGGCACACATCAAAAGATGCTGTCTTCAAACACATTACAGTCAGTGCTCTGTATTTTTCTTCAAATACAAACTACAAAGACAAAAAGGAGGAGACTTTGTTGAAATATTCAATGGTTTGGAGTCTAATAAGGACGTTTTAATCACAGAACACAAACAGGATAACAAGGAGAGCCGTTTTACTGGCAAAAATGAGACAAAAGCAAATGAGTTTTCATGTACGAGAGCAGCAGCAGCCCTTGAACTCATTTACTTCCATCCTGAGTAATGACTCATCACATGGAAAATGATGGTGATGGTAGATTTAAAAAAAAGAAAAAGAAAATCACAGAATAGGCTTTTACTCAAAGATCGCACTGCCACCTGCTGGAGAAAACACCTCAGAACTTACATAAGAGAGGTCAAAGTGGTTCAGTCTGCTGTGTTACCTGCAGAGATGAGTTCATCTTCTCATGCCTTTATTCTACCCAGTCCTCTGTCTCATGATCATAAAGTAACACAGTGTCCTCTGAGTGTGTGCGAGCAGTTAAATTCAGTTACATGGTGCCTCTCCATTTGAGAGGTTTTTGTTACGTTAACATATAGTCTACCTGCGTCCATCCATCTGCAAAATGTGCTTTTTTAATACTGTAAACAAAAATTTTCCAATGTTATTTTTGGCTTATTAGGACAGCTGAAGAGATACAGGAAATGAGTGGAGCAGAGAGTGGAGAAAAGTAAGAGCTGAACCTCAGATCCTCTCTCAATGTGGACTATATCCTCTGCACAAAGGGGACATGCTTTAACTGGAAAGTAAGCCAAGCTGGTGCCCCTGTTGTGCACAGATTTGGCTAAAAATGAAACTTTGTTAATAGTTGTATTACCCTGCAAAATAAACAGTTTGCCAAATAAAATTTATTTGTGAAAAGTCCTTCAGACAATGTCGGTGAATAAAAGCTTTCAGACTGTATATAACCAAAACATTGTCGAATTTTGAATACCGTGACTAAAGGAGTGCAGGATACTATTTTTCAGCTAAAATTACATTTCAATTATTCCTAATAGATTTGTAGTCATTGGTCTGTCAGTCTATTTGTCTTTGTGTGCCTTTCTCAGCCCACACAAATGAGACAGATTGCTGTCCACTACTGAGTATGGTTCTGTTTGAGGTTTTAGCCTCTTATTAAAGAAAGAACCTTTTGTGTTTGCTAATGATGGTTTTAAATGTGACAGAGTACTGTCTAGACTGAACTTTTCTTGGTGCTATTTGCATGAACATGAGTAAGAAAATTATGTACATGCCTTTCATTATTGATGCTATTGTTTTGACAGAACTTAAATGAACCAAGATATAACAAATTTATACTAAAGAGGTTCATTCTGTCTGTCGATGATAAATTCATAAGACCGTTCATCTATAAAGGCCAGAAAGGTAAAAAACAAACAAACAAAAACAATTTTGCACCGTCAGCTTTGCTTACCGACCATAACAAATTTATTTCAAAGCATATTGAGCGCTCTCATCTGCCATCCTCTTGCTTTGTCTTCTCTTCAGTCGACCCTAAAGAGGACTGTATGTTTATATCTAACCACATAATTCCACCATTATCAAATACCTGCAAACAGCACAAGTATAAAACATTGATTAGCACTAGTAAGGATCAAACCTGAGCTGTTGCTGTTACCTCTCTGTAACACTGTGTTGTTATCTCACCGGGGAGATTCTCTCTCGTGGCCAGCAGGGTAACATTATTCTCCTCCAGTGCTCAGGGCTCAGGGTCAGTTACAGTACATCTCTCCTGAGGCCAGCAGGAGGGACTCACCGGTCTGCTCGGGGTACTTCACTGAAGTGGAGACTCACAGCTCCAAGAGGGGCTGAGCTAAAATCCATCCCGGCACTGATTTAATTTATCCCTCCATAGCATTCGTGGGGTCACTTGGGATTAGAATTAAGCTTCGTTCTGCCGTAGGAAAGGCTGTAAAAGTAATTTTCAGTTCATGTGTGTATAGCTATTTTGTTATTGCAGGACTGGCTCACACCGAGCAATCAGGCTCCAGATTAATGAACAGTGCAGCAACTGGAGGGGAGGCTTTGGCATTTTAGAGCCAAAACACGTCGAAGGCTGAAGAAGGAAGCAGGAAAGGCATAAGGAGTCAACGTTTATAACATCATACAGCATTAGATTGTCTTTTCATTTAAGTCTCAAAACTTCAATTATACAGCACTTGCTAAATCTTGGTATTGACCTTAATTAAGGTATTTTAAATATCAAAGTATATTGTGTTAAAAAATATAAAAAAGTATAATAAAAAGGTTATTTTTGGGTGTGATAAAAAAATCATTAAGTATTATATAAAATGTCAAAGTATAGTATCTTCTTTAGATATAACAGTATAGTATGACAATAATCTCATTATTAGAGTATTAAAAAATTGTAGTTAGGTATGATATACATAAGGTATAGTATTATGATGTCAAAGTATAATAAGATGAAAATGTCATAGTTTAGTATGAAAAAATGTAGTATAGCAAAATATAAATGTCACAGTATAGTTTGATAATATTTGATTATTAAATTATGATGATATTTGATTGAAAAAAATGCCAGTGTTATGTAAAATTATTACTATGCGCTGAAAGGTATCCTTTGAATGTTTTACCTTGGGAGAACACAGGAATCTGCATACTAGTCTATCCAGTTGAAAAATGATGAATCTAAAGGCTTTTAAACTTGACCTATCAAATACTTTACTGTGACAGCTTCACTGGTTTTTATTTTTAAGATGAAATAACCTTGTCTTTGATATTGTGAGGCTACATCCTGACAGCAGGCCCTACCTAAAGGTCAGGACTGAGCAGATAGAAAACAAACAGATGCTTCAAAGGTGGGAAAGTCTTCAAAAATAGACTGTGGTCAGCTCATAAAAAATGAATTCTTTAGTTGAACACGTACACTTGAATAAATCACAGCTAAAGAATCCAAACTAAAGAGAGAAGCTTTAATGGAAAGCTTGGAAGACATTCTGTTGATTGGAAGTGTAACAAATATAAACACAGTTGAACAGAGAACATCATGAACAGAAGAAAACTCCTCTTATAGAGGACAAAAATGTCTCATGTTAGAGCTCAAAGCTGCCTGTGGCTAAAGAAATAAACATCCATCCTCTTTTTTAAAGAGATAGCAGTTAGTGAGAGGGAGTGGAGATGTCACATATCAAACAGGACCTGAGAGGGTCACATTAACCCCAAATGTCCCAGGGCTTTGCTCTGTTTTCCTGTTCATCAGGTCGTGTATGGTGGAGATGGTTGATGGTTCATTCCTGTCCCTTCTTGGGGCTTGAAGAAAGTCCACCACAGCACAGCTGGGTTTAGGACGCCTGCGTCTCGAAGCCCGTTTCTCTGCCCGGGTCTTGGGTGGAGGGAGCCCGTCGCAGATCCGGGGGCAAGCTCTGGTTATTCCACAGAAGGAAGGGTCATCTGAGTGCGAGGAGCCCTCTGAGCTGCCCTCTGACGGTGAGTCTCTGAACATGGGCTGGAGTAACCGCTGAGCAAAGGAAGGAGGGTTTGTGGTGACAGGAAGGCCGTTACATAGAACAGCTCCATTGCACAGTTCAGGAGTGACATGAAATGATGGTTTCAGGGTCTCCACTTTCTCCATGGGCTTCAGCCTTCGACGTCTCCTCTGTTGTACAGAAATATTAGCTATTAACAAAAAGAAAAACACACTATTTCTAACACACACATGCTGCAAGTAAGAAATCATCTATACTCACTTTTCTGTTTGCCGGGCAAAGACTCTGCGTCTCCTCTGAGTGCAGGTTTTCAGGGTCTGTGAGCCAAAGAGTGAGGTCAACGACCGAAAAGTCAGAGTTATTTTGATTCTGTATTGATCAGGTACTTTTAAAAGATGGATAAGAAAAGCCTTGAGGCAGTTTAGCATTATCACTCAAGTACCGTACCATCGGCAAGCTGAAATGACTCAGAGTGGATGAGTGGATAGGATGCACTCCTCTTCAGGCTGGCCTCATCGCAGGAGAGCTGCCTGTTAGGAGAGAGTGATGGTTGAAGGAAATGAGTGCATGTGGAACATTTAATGTGACATGAGTCACAGATGTGTCATCACTTAGGATTCCTCAGATGTTCTTCATGAATATCTTGTGCAGGGAGTAGGAGTCATTCAAAGCACCACAACCTCTGCCTATACGCTGTACTAACCCACTCTGAACCCCCTCTGAGTGCTTATTCACATTCACCCTCAAACTAAAGCTTTCTTGTTTGCTTTTTATCCTCTTTTTAAAGACATGCATTTCAGTCACATTTGGCCTTTCTTTCATCAAGATAGCATTTGTACATGGTAGGACTTGTAATGATTTCCATATTTTTAGCAGCAGGTTGCAGTATATGACCGTCTTTTTACCTTTCAGGCTGGCAGTAGGTGTAGCTCTTAGGTATGGGTGGTTCTGGTTCTGTGGCTGGAGGGGCGGCGGGGATGCGACGGGATTTGATGAACAGCATCAGTCCAAAAAACACACACAACCCCAGAGACAGCAGCAAGTAGGACTGCCGGTCTGCAACCTACAATATAGATAGATCATTAATAATGACTGAAGGAGTAAACAGCAGCAATAACCGATGTAATAAAAGGATCAACACACAGTAAAGAAAACAGGCTTCAACGATGACTAAAATGCAAATGAGGATATAAGGCATCCGTTCATCATAATTACTTTGTCACAGATTCAGACTAAATGTACCGAGTTTGACATCAAGGTGAGAAATGCTGATCAAAGATGAAGGCTTTGTGCCTGAGGTGTTGTATCTACCTCACTCTGCAGCTGGCTGACGATGACAGACAGGTTGAGCACCAGCTGAGTCACGTTCTCCAGCTGGCCCTGCAGCATCTGAATGGACTCAGTCTGACGCTGGTCCTGTGCAAAAACAAGGGTAACACAATTAAACTACAACACACTTTTACATCACTATAAAAGTATGTACAAAGCATTATGAAAAGGTGAAACAAGACAGTATCTGGCAACAATGTTAAAACAATATAATTTATCACTTAAAACAAAATCTTTTATCCAAATAGATTTCTGTGTTAACAGTACGCTTGCACCTGATCAATATTTAAAGGGTATTCAGTTTGGTTTTATTATTTTTCTTTTTTTTTGTTGCACATGTTTCTTTATTTTCTTGTCATCTAGTTTGTTTGATGTTGTATGTTTAAGATTCAGATGTTTAAATTTACTTGTATTAATGGGGAGGATTCCTTATAAGCCCTTTAGGCTTCTTTCTTCTACTACACAGTTTTGCTGTACTTCTTTGTATGAAAAATGTCATTATTTTTGTGCAAAAATAAAATAAATAACAAATGTTTGGTTTGATACACAACAAACAAAGATATATATCTAATGCAGTACATCTAAACAAGCTCAAGATATTTTTGTGTCACGGCGCATGATTTTTATTTCTAAAATGTCACAAAAACTATGAATTTCTGCAAGAATCATTGAAGCTTCAGTCCACTGAGACGCCTTCCATAAGCTTTTAGGTGTCAATAATGTCACCATGTGTGAATCTGAGTTAGGAGCGTTAAAGCACTGAATCTTTTTCAGCACAAATTAAAAGAGCATCCAAATTGAGATTTTGTACACAGGCTGACAAAATATTTCATTGGGATTTGAATAAATGTGACAAAGAGATTCATGACTAATTATTTCAGAGCCAGTCAAAACATGTCTGTAAAAACACTCGTGCCATTTCTCTGCTCACCTGCTCCTCTGCTATTCTGGAGGTATTCTGCAGTTTAATGATGGTTATGTTGAAAGCTTTCTGCATCTCCTCCATCTGCTTACGGTACCTTTGATAAAAACAAACAGATAAGGATTTTTAAACCACCCTCTACTCAGTTTAACTGCAGTCCTGCTCATTTTGGTTTTCTTGTCAGTAGGTAGGTGTGTATGTTTCTGCATCTCACCTCTGGCTCAGCTGCTCCAGGTAGCGTCCACTGAGTGACATGTTCATCTCCAGGGCCTTGATGCGATTGTTGAGCCTCATAAAGACTGACTCCTTCTGACTGGATCCGTGCACCTGGTTCCCGTTCTGCTCCGTGCCATTGGGGGGGTCTGCGTAGATGTCTGAGAGGGACGACGAGGAAGGCGATGGGGTAGAAGGGCGAGGCAGTTGACTGTTACTGAGTGATGATGCAGAAATATCTTCTGCAAAGTCCTCTGATTTAGGTTCTGCTGACGGCTCAAGCTCTGCTATGATGTCAGGAGCAGGCTGGGACAATTCTGTGGAAGCAGTGCTGCCTTCAGGTGCAACTGGAGGGTCCGGGAAATGCTCTGAATGAGGGGTGTCGGTAGGATTAAGTAGTTTGGTTTGATCTTTTTTATCGGGGATATGAACAGGGGTTGTAATCTCCACCTGAGGAACATCACTATCAGACTTTTCCTCCCCTGGTGCCTGTGAGGAATCGTCCTCTGATGCACTGACGCTGGGCTGCACATAGATGGAGCTACTAAGAGTAACTGAAGGCTCAATGTGCCTCTCTTCATCCAGCACATCCTGGCTCTTCTCTGGCCTCGGCTCTCTGGATGGCTCCCCTGAAGACAGCTGCGTTGTTTCCACAATAGGGGTGGGTTTGGCAGAGGATGAGTCAGCAGCACTGGGATCGGGGAGGTTGGAGGTTTGACTGGGCTCCAGCAGAGGAGACTCGAACATGGACTCTCTCTGAGACTCAGCTGTGTTCCCTGGAGCAGGAAGAGGTGATGGTGTTTGTGACGCGCTGGCTCCGCTCTCTGGCTCCTGTTCAGAGGCTTGTTCTTTTTCAGGGGGCCAAGGCACCTCGCTGTGGTGCTGCTGGGGCTCAGGGCAGGCGGAGGGGGACAGTGGTAGGAGCCAAATGGGTGTTTGGATGGGAGGAACTATTTGTTTTCTGCTGATTGTTTGGCATTTCCTTTTTTTGGACAGTAGCGCTGAACACTGTTTAAAGAGATACTCCTGGAGGGAGACTGCACAAGAACAAGAGGAAGAAAAAGAGGGAAGTGCAGAACAGGAGTTTTGGATTTCTTCTTCTCGTTGCTCATGCTGATTGAGTTTCTCTTTGTCTTCATCCAAGTCTTCCTCTTTATCCAAAAGGATGATTGTAGAGCTAATTGGTTCCTCCTCATCTTTCCCTGCAGGAATGATAATGTTTTCCTCCACTGGGGGGAGCTCATGTTTGCTTGTGTCAACTGCCGGATTCTCTGGCTCAGGCGTCTCTGAGGAGGGGGGTAGCGTTACAGGGACATCAGGGTCTGCTAAAACCTCTCCCTCTCCAGAGTCAGGACTACAGAGGAAGACAAAAAGAACACATGACATGGTAAATACAATAACTTAGAGTTTGACCATCATTTACAAAGGAGAAAAGCCACGTTTACATGGGTAAAATTTCTTGATCCAATTAAAAATTTGAGGGATCGGATAATCTGGATCCACTGTTTATATGGGTGCAAAATCAAGCTTTAGCACCAAGCTTTATTCAGACTAGAAGTATTTGGACATGCACAGAGTTGTCTGATTTCACTAAAAAAAACGCAGAAGAAGAGTTGTATTTACGCTTGTGCTGCTGTCAACAAACCAACAAACGTGGTAGTGACTCACTCCATCCAGTTCAGGAGTTTTCTCCCTGTTAAATCTTGTCACTAGATGGCGCCCTTGCTTACTTATTTAACTGTTCTTTCAAAGGTTGCACTGTGCGTGCAGATGTGACATCATTAGGCTGTAGGTACGCCTTGTTTTGTTATCAGAGGAGTGTTAATAATGAAACCTCCTGAACTGACCTCAATAAATAAGCCAAAGTCTAAAGAGCGAAGACCAAGTCAAGTTCGAGAGTCACGATCAGAATAAGTATTTACATGGACGTGTTTCGGAATAACTATCGACATAAACCACCCCTCTTGATCAGAAATACAATGTCTTTCCGATTGAGATTAATTGGATCAGAATCTTCCGATCGACATGTTTACATGACGCATTTTTATTCCGATTATTTGTGCCCATGTAAACGCAGCTAATGATAACAACAACTTTCTGAGTGCCAATGCTGACATGATGCCAATCATGTAAAAATAACATCAATCAGCCTAATTAAACAACCAACCAATCAATCAGCCTATCTCTGAGTAATTACATGTACTCACACTAAAGTGAAGTCAGTAGTAGGAGTTTGTGTAGCAATTTCAAGTTCTGTTGATGGCTCAGTCATGTTCAGCTCATGTGATGAAAGGTTGCCTGCAAAACAAGAACAAGAACAATTACATTACAAAAACATTTGAAGTCATTGCTGAAATACCATAAACAGCTGTGAAAGATCTGTGACAGTCAAGCTGTAGATCAGAGCTGCTTTTATTCAAGGTGAGCATTTGTCATACCTTGCATATCTTGGCTTCCACCAAGAACATTGACAGCGATGTTATTCACCATGTTTAAAATAGCATCTGAGGAGAAAGTTGAAACACAGGAGTAACAAGCTGATCAGGAAACCCTGTAAACATTCCTGGATTGGCTGTTTTGGTGAAGAAATCAGTGTTTCATACAAACCCTTAGCAGAGCCAATCAGATTCTTTGATAACTTGGCTTCACCGGGTGTGTATCCAGGAGGATAATCTGCAAAAAGAGGAGGTTTTAGTTTTACTTTATAATTTTTTAACATAACATGCTCCAAACTTTGCCTTATGACTATTTTGTATATTATGGATTGAGAACTCTTACCCAAGTCATCGTCCAGATCATCCGGTCTCTCTGAGGGATCAGCTATCTCCTCATACTCTTCTACCATGCTTGTGCCAAACACTCTGGAAAAAAAAGACATCAAGATGATTTTACAACCAGGCTGATGTAACTGTGAAATCTAATCAAACTCATTAAATGTGATCCTTTCAGAAGTCTCAAATGGCCTGTAGGGGGCAGACTAGCACTATAAAAGCTGTCAAATACACACTAACACTTTATTTTTCCCTCCACATGAGAAAGTTTGAACACTTTAATTCCCAGGTTTTCTTTTGGCCAGACTCCACACCAAAATAAACAAACAAACAAAAAAAAACAGAGAGTATATCACCTCTATTTTAGCCTCCCTCCACTTGCTCTAAATGAACATAGAGTTGAGTTTAAGATCTTAATGATAACTTTTAAAGCACTATCCAGATATACCCCTTAGCACATCACTGATCTCCTCATGCCTTACAAGCCTGGTTGTACCCTCAGGTCTTCAGTCAAAGGTCGCTGACTGTCCCACAGTCCAGGCTGAGGAACAAGAGGGACTAGTTTTTTTTTTTTTCTTTTTTTTTTAAACCAGGGACCTCTATCTCTGGAACAAACTGCCTGAGGAGACAAGACTGGCAAGTTCCTTATCCTCTTCTCTGAAACTTGTTTAAAACCCCATATTTATAGGTGTGCTTTTACTAGATATGACTTCTAACTTTTAATTATTTATTAACCTATTTTATCTTGTTTTTAACTCATTTTATCCTGTTTTTAACTTATTTTTGTTTAATTAACCTGTAGCTACAAACTTTTAACATGGTTCAAGTTTTATCTTTTATTAAGTCATGAATCATTCCTGTTGACTGACTGTTTTGCTGTATGTTCTTCCTCTATGTCTATCCTTTTTTATGTTGTGAAGTGCTTTGTAACTCTGTTCTGGAAAGTGCTACTTCACTTAAGTAATTATTATAATTCCCTGATATCAGGTTTTATTAGTAACCAGCTGGGAGTGATTAATTTGCTGAACAACTGTTTCAGTCACGAGTAGTATAAGCTCATATTAGATATACGGTATGTTCTGGTTATAACACTGTCTGCTGCTTTTTTTGCTCCAGTCTGATCTATCTTTACATCTCGCTGAACAGCTGCTAAGATACACATTGCCTCTCCCTCTTCCTAGCACAGACTTGATAGTGTGTGAGATTGAGCTTACCACGACTAACATTACATAATATCACTGGACACCATCAAGAGCTCTTGCTGGGTGCAATCCCTTTTTCAAAACACTGTGAGTGAATCAGTATTTGTTGATACTGAAGTAAAACCAGCTTCAAACTGTATCATCTCAAACATCCTGAACAATATCAAGGTTTAAACTTCTGTTTAGACAGCTTAGAGGAGGAAAAAAGCTTGGGATGTCAAAAGGCGGTGTTTGTCCTACCTTATGAGACTGAGGGGGCAGAAGTGCTCAGAGCCAAAATGAGACACCAGCTCAACCTGAAAATGCAGGAAATGATTCTGATGTTATCATGTGTCCAACGTTCTTCCTGACACAAATCACCACTGTCAGCAGCCATTATGTTAATAACAAAAAAAGCAAAAGTGTAATTTTGTTCATTGTACAATTAACATGTTAACTGAATGACAGTGAATTGTGAAAACCTCAAAGGAATGTCCTCATACAAAGGGAGTTAGGTTGCTTAACTTACTATACTTGATTATTTGAATGACATCTGGTGGGTATCATTTCAGGGATAGTCAAAAGCTCATTATGTGTGATAGCATTTGAGAAATAATCCATAAAGATATAATGGGTTATCAGCAAGCATAGCAAGTTAGATGTGATCTATGTTGAGTGGATTGAAGCACAGCACATAAATAAAAGAAGGACAAAATCCACTCCCCTGCAGCCAGCCACAGACAGACCTCTACAAGAAAAGCAGCTAACCTTTATGTACTTGGTGAACATCTGAGGCAAGAGAGACAGAAAGAAGAGAAACAAATTAAAGAGAAGTACACATGCATCAAACAGGATGAGAAACTGTTGAGTTTGATACGTTAGGTGGCCCGAAGGCCGTCAAACTCCAAACTGCTGAGCTCTGTCCAAAGCATGACCACATCCAATATTCAAACAGAAGTCATATCCCTCTATACAACATACACCAGACAACTGTGAGGGACAAAGATGAATACATGTCATGGAGCAAAACTGTCCGATCAAAGAGATTCAAAAGAAAGTGTACAGAAACAGTTCAGTTCAGTGGTAAAATGTTAAATTCTCACATGCATACAAAGGAATTACCAAAGACACTTTTGTACCACCTGAGCAGAGACCACTGACAGATCCAGAAAGTCGTGTTTAAATCAAGGATAAATGGAGAGATTTGTGCTCACCTTCACATATTTTGCATACAGATGCTCATCTAAAGGGAAACTCTGGACTGTGCGTTCATCACGGGCGTGAAATGTTCCCAGTTTTAGCCATTTGTTTGTTGGATATCTACAGGAGAAGATTTGCACAATACAGACAGGATTCAAGATTTGAGTCATTTAAGCAACATGATTTTACTCAAGGATTAAGGTTTTATTTTGAAAATATAATTTCATAATGTGGGTTCAATCAATGTGGGTCACATTTTCATATTTCTACCACACGATTTTGGAAATACATACAGCTTTGTGATAGTTCATGTTTTGATAAACAGTATGACTGACATATCGTAACTTTTGTGACAGCTGGAGTTCTCACCTGTCACTGATGGAGACAAGAAAGTCTTTGGGAGTCGAGGAGAAGAGTTCAAAGTTGGCAATGTCGAGCTGTTTCACCTGGATGGGCTCACAGAGCTCAATGATGAACCTGAGCGAGAATGAGAAAAAAAGCGACTGAAAACTTGGCTTCACGTGGACGTAAAACACACTCGGTATTTGTTTGGTTGTATGAAACAGTGAGGAGGTGTCTGTGTACGACATACCAAATCTTATTACTACAGGGGTTGAGCATGTACAGGTCCATGTTCTCCATCAGGATGGCCGAGGTGCTCTGTGAGTAAATTATACACAAATCAATATGCAGTTGTTGTTCTTGTTATGTTTATAAACTACAAAGCAAGAGGTTACTCAGCAGGATGAAGAATAAAACGTGTGAGATTGTGATCAGGCAGTGTAAAGCCAGCTGCAAGACTTTTTGGAATCGTACTTGATTGATCACCGAACATTAACACTCGAAAAATTTGTGAAGTCATGCCTCCTCCAAACACAAACACCAAATTCAGAGTAGAACTAACAGTGTTTAATCCAGACCCTCAAAAAGTCGTCTGTGCTGATCCAGACTTGATTACTGTTGCTTAGACACGTTTTCCTCAGACTAAACTCAGAATTCAGCAGCTCAACGTCCTTGACTGATAACACATCATCACCTTTAAAGCCCTTGTAGGTCTGGCTAAAATCTACAATTGTCAGCTCAGTATGATCCTCAGGTTGGGTCTCTGGGGTCGTTCTACAGTTGAGGCTTAAACCTAAAGATGACCGAGCTTTTGCCATCATGTCCCTGCAAATTCAGAACGACCTGTTTTAGGTACATCTTTTACCTTATTTCTATTTCTCTTCCTAAAATTTCTCTTCATTTATTCCTGCTCAAAATTTTTTTTACACTTCATTTTTATAGAAACACTCAACTGAACATGTTGAAGCAAACAGTCGGTCACCTATTCATTAATTGCCTTATTGCACTAATGGAAATACATGTCGGATATCATACAATAATGGCTCAGAAATCAGCTCATAAGTTCACAAACATAATCCATTTTTCCCAGCATTCACTCCTCTTTTTTTATTGTTTCATTTATTACTTTCTTTTAATTCAGTATCTTCTCCCCTTTGTTTCTGTATCTTTTAACCTCTTGGTCTATCTTTCTGCCAACTCTGCCCTTGTTTTGTTTCTATTTTGTTTCTGCTTTGTGAACTCTTAAAGAAAAAACAATATCACTGGTGCTATTATTGAAATTATCCATGCCAGTACTGACACAGCAAAATAAGAATTAAATTAACTGCAGTCTTTGTAATTAATTAAACTGTATTGTATGGATAATTTTGGGTGAAAATCACCACATCACTGGTGAACTCTCAAAGTCTGCTTTAACCTACTTCTGGATGGTTATCTATAGCTGTTTATTTTCACTTTCATTTTTTCACAGAGATCAGGTTTAACCGTCTGCTTTCAAGACGTTCCCTTGGATGAATGTAATAACAAAAGCCAAGCTATCTTGTGCTTTTATACTGTGTGGTACCTTTGCCTCCGGGTTAGAGCCGAGGATCTTAGCTCCACACTCCACTGAGGCGTAGTTGTTGAAGTTTTTCTGAACCTTTTTCACCACAGTAGCCGCCCCGTTGTTAGAAGTGTGAGTAGACTGAGCTGTAAAGAGGAAGAACATTGACAAGAGTTATTGGAGAGTTTGATAAAGCCAGTCTTTGGTCTTACATAGTACAGACTTATACACATTTTATAGATAACCATATCTTTGTTGGAGGACAAACTTGAACTCACTCTTTTCTTTCTCCACCTCCATCACCTTCCGCTTCCACTCATCAAAAGTGGGGATGTCCTCGGGGTCTTTGCTGCTCACGCTGGAATCTGTGTCTGTGGCAGCAGGGGAGCTCAGGTCCTGTCACAGATAATGAGGAAATGAGAGCTGGGACCTCCACCTCCTTTAGCGGAGAGGAAAATAGTTCACATGGTGTCAGAGCTCCTTACCTGCTCCCTCAGCCTGTGTGAGGTGTTAGTATCAGGGTGCTGTGAGCTCTGACCAGTCGGGGGGGTCAGAGGGGGGGCAGTTTGGGTATTAGTACCTGCAGTGTGTGCATTGGAGGTGTTCTCCAGAACGACTGGAGGACTGCTGAGGGGACATAAAAACAAACAGGGTTAATTACTGATCCTCGACTTCATCAAACTCATATCAGCTCATCGTTACTGAAGCCATGTACGAAGATCTTCCTTCTGAGGTTTCCTGAGTTATCACCTACTAGAGAAGGGGACAAATGGCTGGAATGACAGATATAAAACTAGACAACCCCTGTCAATCGTGCAGCTTTCTTGAAACACACTCTACATAAATTCTGGCATGGCCAAGCCCCTCATAACATTGACAGAGAAATGATGCCCTGATATTTTTAGCTCACTAAGTAGGTCACACAGATGCACCGTACCCACCTGTCATTGTCGTATGGGTTGTTTTCTTCACAGTCAGCTGGAGGCAAGTCAGGATCAGTGACCTCAGGTGCAGTATCATCAGATGAAACATCCGAAACACTGACATAGGACAAAAAATCATGTTACTGTTTTGCAGGTATTTCATTTGTTGTTAATAATTTAGATAAATATAAACCCTGTGTTCTTCTAAGCCAGGAAAATCTGATATAACAGACTGTTTTGAGCTTTTTTCTCTCCTTGACGGTTTATAAAAACAACTTAGCCTGAAGGCAGGAACATCTTACCTGTTGAGGGTGTTGTCTTTAGGGTTAGGGGTGCTAAGGTCCTCTTTAAGCTCAGCAGGAATATCAGCGACAGGATCAGATGATGGCAGGATCGGGGAGGCAGGTTCCTGCTCTTCAGCGATGGAGGATTCAGGAGGCTGGTTTTCTGAGTGTTGCTCGGGTTTTGGCTCATGCTGTGAAATTCCTTTGTCTTCCTCCAACTCTTCCTTTATTGTGTTCACCTCCACTTCGAAGGCCTGATGGAAACACAGAGAGATATTTGAGCTGCTAAGGGAAATGTAAGATCGTCTGTACCATTAGCCAGGGTTGAACTGATCAGCAGCACTGAGAGCTTCAAATGTTCCAGGAACAATCGATAAGATTAAGGAGATGGTAAAACTCTTCAGATTTATAATCCAGGTCTAAAAAGGCTGTGCAGCTTTGCAAGAAACAAAATGATTCTACCTTAAAAAAATTTACTCATCTGTGTTTGTGTAGTGAACAAATTCTAATTTACATGAATCCAAAAACTTTACCGAACCTCTAAATGATTTTTTTTCTCCACTTCTTGAGTTGTCTGCTTCTCTTTTAGTTGATTTTCATCAACCAACTGTGCATTTTCAGACATGGACTGGACAGGAGGGCTTTCCTCAACCTGGAGACAAAAGTACAACATGATTTCAAACACACAGACTGATGATATTTTCCCCCTAATGGGTTCACAGATCGGTCGCAGAAACAAAACAAATAATCTATACAAGAACATCTCAGCAGGTTAGAGTAATGGAAAGTTACTTTCATAGTTTCATTAAAAAAAAAACCTCATTCATTCTGTACTTCATCATTTTTTTCTGTTGTGATTTTGACGAGTTTGGCTCACAGCTCATAAAAATCTTGAATTATCAGTCTACTTCCTAAGATCAATTAGAAAAAGATCTAAAATACAAAAAAGTTCTAGCTTGAGAAAAATTTGCTCATGAATTCTCTCAATAGTTGTTTGGGGCTCGACATAGAGAGGTAGTGACCTTCAGCTTTCTCATCTTTCCCCTGATTATACTTAGAGATCCTCTGTGGAGTTCATGCCAGACAAACTGGCTGGTCAATCATATACTGTAACATAATGGTCAGCAAATCCTTTGGTAGTAGTTTGCATGCTGTGTGCAGATGCCAAGTCCAGTTCAAAAAGGAAACCCCCACATCTCTACAAAGTGTGATGGCAGACAGAGGCATGAAATGTCATAAAATCTTCAGGCTGCATTGACTCTGGACTTCATAAAATGCCAGAGAAGAACACCTGCAGGTGACAAGGCCGAAGTTATCAAAGACCGTGGAAACTTCACAATGACTTCAAACCCCTTGAAACTTTGTGCCACTCTTTCTCTCCGCTGTAGGTTCTTGAATTTCAAATGGGATGAGAAATCTACTTTCACCCCAGAAGATGTCTTTGGATCCCTGAGCAACAGTCCAGTTCACATTCATCTTTGCTCGGTTAAGGTGCCTCTGACTTTGTCAAGAGTGGCTTGATATTGGGAATGTAGCAATTTTGGCCCTTTACCTGAAGATGTCTCAACATGGAGGGTCATGATGCAACAACACCAGCATCAGTCAACTCCTTTCCAGAGTTCTTGAATCGACTTTTCTTGACAAGAAAGCAATCAACTTTCTATCAAAATGTTTTAGTACATCACTCTGTGAACATTCAGTCTTCTACCAATGACCTTTGTGATTTATCCTCCTTATGGCGGGTGTCATTGACTGTCCTCCAAACAACTGTGAAGTCAGCGTTCCCTGCCATGATATTGGCTGAAAACTAGACTAAGCAATACACAATATTTTCACAGTTTGAAATTTTGATTCACTAAAACTTTAAATAAAGTGTTCCAGTACTTTGAGAAATAAGTTTTAGAACTGTGGCCCATAACTAACAGATTTTGAATTATTATGATGATGATGATGATGATGATGATTATTATTATTAATATTATAATCATCATCATCATTATTATTATTATTATTATTATTATTATTATTATTATTATTATTATTATTATTATTATTATTATTCAACTTTATTTCAGATCCACCCACAGGATGGTCAATATCAAAAAAAAAAAAAAAAAAAAAAAAAAACCCGGCAAAATACACACAAGAAAATTTTTAAAAAAAAGAAAGAAAAGAAAAAAGACATGAAATTAGATAAAAATGTATGAGGTATTTAAGTTTGTATGAACTGAGATTGAAAAATACAGAATTTTTACTTTCTCAAATTACTGATGGACAGTATTAAACCCCTTTACAATAACTAAATGTGTTGTGCTGCATCAGGAAATTGCTTTGCTATTTCTATTATCAGATGCTGCTGAGTAACTGTCCTAAAAAGACGGCAGATTTCCTTGGTAACACAAATTATCACCGCAGATCTGTGATGATGCAGTGTTGAGCTCAGTGTAAAAAAAACGAAAATAAAGCCCCTAAATGCATGCATCCTGTTTATAGCACACACTGCAGTATCAGCAGCAGCTAGTGCAAAAACACACTCACACATCCACCATGTGTATGTGTTAGGTGGCAAACAACAAAACTTGTTTTCGTAGATTACATCAAAACTTGCTCTTTGGTCAGTAATATTTGTTGGTGTTTGACATTTTAATGCACCAGTTTTTTTATATTACAGACTGTTTTCATGACCCTAATCCTAAAAAGGGGGGATTTCAAACGGTTAAACTCATGATCTGTTGCACTCCTACTTGAAAGTTGATCTAAAGAATGATCAACTATACAGTGTGGTGTGATCTAATTAAAGATTTCAAGAGGCAATCTGAGTAACTTTATAGTATGGTAGTAAGCAGCTGATGCTACCTTTTGGTGTTGGCTCCTTTCCCCTGAGTCTTCCTTCGCACCCACGTCCTGTGAGGACACCGGCCTCTGGGGCTCTTGCTGAGACTCTGTGCAACCCACATAGAAACTAGGGTACCTAGGAGACAAAGTGAAAGACAATCTGTAATGTTTTCTCCAAAAGTAGGTCACTTTGATATTCTTTGAGAAAAAAAAGGTCCTTGTATCTTTGAAGAAAGCCTTCGCTTCAGGGTACTGCCAACTTTTAAATCAAGCACACTAAAGATTTCACTGGACTGCAGTGAGTCATACACAGAGGAGGAAGTGTCCAAATGTCCCAGTGTGACGCAGTCAGGAACCTCTGGTGGCCTGTATCCTAACATAGACAATTTATCTTATCTGTGAGCAGAGCTACAGTGTGTTTTCAAAGTCACACACTGCTTAGCCACACCATCTGGCCTTAAGATTTATATACAAAATAGAAGCAAAAGAAGCAATATTTCTCAAATGCTTTTATAATTTAATACACTCTCATGTCTTGTGTCTGACAAATAAAACACCTGACAAAAAGACGAGTGAGTAACACAGTCATTGCATCTCACTGCTCATCTTCAGGAGCAGGTAACAACAAGTAAAGATTTTAAATCTCCACTTCTGTAAGGTTTTTTTTTTTCATGTACAGATCTAATCAACCTGCTGGTTTGAAGCTTTGTTGGTTGACACAGAAACATTCAGGGTCACAGTGACTGTTCCCACTCAGGGCAGGACAACGGTAATGATTAGTGTTAACAAGGCTGTAAATAAGTGCAATATTAGGGGGCCCCTGTTCCTGTTGTGGTAAAACTCTCATGCAGTCTCAAAGGCCAAACTCAACAACAGCACCTGTGACACGTCAAACAATCCCAGCCCCATTATCTGGCTTTCATACAGGTTTCCAGGTCAGGCTCTTTACTCGGCCACTGGTCTGGTGTGACAGCTTTGTTTATGCGGCTTGAGAGGCTAAGGTCGCCACAAACACTTCAGTAAACAACAACAAAGCATTTGTTTTCTGATGAAAAGCCAGCTGTCATCCCACAGGAGCAGTAGTGGTATTATGGCATGACCTGCTTAATAATTCACTAACTGTTTGGAGACGAAGTCAAAATAAAAGACTCGAAAGACAATGGCAGGAAATGAAGGTGCTTTCTAAGGTGTATCGCCATCGATGAAATGGATATCCCCTTCAGGGTGAGTCTGGAGGGGTTTTTCAGCACTCAAGGGTTACTGGAAAAACAAGCAGGATCATAGCTGAAGGGAAATAGATAAAATGCAGTAAAACCAAAGATTTAACAAGCAGGTTTTACTAGATGACAGACTGTGCAGTTCAATACAAGATGATTTGGATAACTAAACAGAACTTTTGTAAGTGCAAAGGCCGTGTGAACACGTGTACTTCCATTAAGATTGCCCTTGAGCCACACCTCTGACTCACTACAGACCTGTGCCTGTCACATGGCATGTTTTATTACTGATAACTACAAATGTGATCTTAAATCTGATCATAATCTGATATGATTTGTCCAAAATTATGATGATGTATGCTGTGTTGGTGTTAGTTAAGACAAAAATATCAGAACTGTTCAGTAATCTTAATAATCTACCACTGCTTCACTGCAAACTGCACTGTGCTGCCAGCATGACTGCATAGTAGCTGTGACCTGTCCTGTAATGATTGTGTCAGAGATTAACTGATTTCAGGAAATGCACCATGTGATGTTAGTATAACACAACAGTGCAGTGTCAGCAGAGAGAAGAGAGGTAGTGAACTGAATTCTGCTGTTCCCCGTTAGACTTGAGTGGATCTCTGATGATTTAACAGTCAAAGCACATCCAGAGAGGACGTAGGCCCTGCTGCTGAAGTTAGCTTAGCTTGTTTTAGGTGCTCTGCTCGTCTCATGGTCAGTGTTCATCAATCATAAAAGACTGAGCAACAAAATCAGTAAAACACTTCAAAAGGATGCTGGTAGGAACACTGGATGTTACGGGAGCAATGTAAAATATGTTAAGAAGGACTTGTTGTCTCCATTATGTGTTTTTGCAGTTTACCAGTAATGACTGACTGTCCATCAAAGTAACAGATTAAGATTTTTCCATTAGTTATCTACATGCTAATAATTTATCCTGAGCTACTATATCGCACCTTAAAGCTTCTGTGAGGAACTTTCAGTTTGTATCAACTTTAGCGCCCCCTATGGACAAAACAGTCTTTGCTTATTTTGTCCTGTAGATGCTGAAGTGGTGTCCTTTGACATAAAACCTAACCCTACTGACTTTTGACAGTTAGTTATTTCATTTATTGTAATATTTGAGTAAAAACCATAAAAACAGTGTTGTTTAAGTTGTTTGGCTGACACTTTTCCACTCACAGTGATTACAGGAATTAAAAGTTACTAGATAAAAGTCATTAATCTTGTTGATGATGGTTCTGTTTGTTTTTAACGTTACGAAAAAGACATCAATGTGAATTTCAGTCTATTTCATGAATGTAAAGAATTCAGATTTACAGAATATTAGAAGCAACATTTGTGTTTACATACAACTAAATATTTAAGATAGTGGATAAAGTCTCAAAGTATACACCCACTAACAATATTTCACAGCAAAAACAGGATCTCTAGTCTTTCACATTCTTCAGTTTTCTGCCTTCCCCCTTGCAGCAGTTACAAGGATTAAAAATTTTACTCAGAAAATGTTTAACTTATCTTTGATTGCCCTTATTTGCTCTTTTACATCATATAAATCATACAAATCATATTATTGCGTGCTTCATAACCCATCAAAAACTTCTCACAGTTACCTTAAGAAACCTAACACAGACCTTTCTACAGCAAATCTGTCAAAACAAGAAGAGCGTAGGTGATGCAGTATGACATGCAGCAGAGCTGACAGATGTAAATGTAGCTGTTTATTATGTTAATCACACATGTGCTTTTACTGACAAGACGTGTCTACATGCCAAAAGTCAATTCACATCCAAATGTGACTCATTTTCACAGCCTGAAACTACATGACAGGTACAGTATTTTCATTTCACTGAAACACACTGTATCAAGACAATAGACATTAGAGGGTTAAAAAATACTCTAAAGATAAAGCAATGCCTGGGAAAGTAGGCCAGGTCAACATCATCAGTATAGTCTTAATACCACATTACATCATATCCCTCCACTCCCTCTCTGTCTAACAGAGCAGTGGTTGGTGCTTGGTATGTTTTGACACTCTCCTCGAACATCATGGTCAAAGCCCCATAATCATCCTGCATAATCTGCCCCCTCTGTTGGCTTTACTATCCTCTGTCACACTTACATTGACCCAACAACCAGCTTCCAAGAAGACTGACCCTCCTGACACGGAAGGTCTGTAATCCTTTCAACAGCTGATGGATCAGATCTCTTTAACATTAGCTAACGTTAGCGCTGTCAAACCCTGACACTGGATGATAGGAAAAGAAAACCATCATATACCCAATATTACACTTTGCTCATTTGTTAAGACATGAGTCTTGAGCTTCCAATAGAAGTTATCCTTTACCATAATTCCTCTGTTCACATTACAGCCAGATTGCACTTTATGAATATGATAAAAGTGTTGATACAGCAAGATATCTTGTGACTTGTGCCAAACAATTATCTGGCTCCAACAACCATTTTTAAGTTTTAAGCTCTTTTAATAGATTTCCAATCTGACACTCCACCTCCTTGCAGTGGCATCACTAATATTGACAGTACTCTGTACCTTAAGGGGGGAATTTGCATTTTTCACTTAAATGGTTATTGAGCTTGTTCTCCAATTCATCAGTTACCACAGAACCTTTGTATAATAATACTGTCATTACCATGTACAGTGTTTAGTACCTTACATTGAGCAACCCAGCAATTCCCACCATGATTACCTATAGCATTCCGTTTGGTGTTATCATTTTCACAACTGCTTCTTTACTGTTCTAAAACAACTTTGTGGAGATATTATGGATCTTATAATGACCCTATTTTTCAACACAACTTTTAAAGTACCTCCAATGATAATAATACCTGTTAATTAATGCAAATCATGATCTTATATATATTGTTATCTTTGCCAGCAATATTTTTTAAAAGGAATTTCAACTGACTTATAAATAGATAAATACATTGGGTTATGTTTGCATAGACTTATTTCTGAATCTGACTGATTTCCATGACAGGAGCAAGTACATTACTGTATGTATATCACTGACGACTATATAATAAAAAGCAGCTAGTAGCTGTTTTAGAACTGAAACCCTGTCTCAGAGGGGGTACAACACATGTCATCATTTGGGGGACCACATTGCTTAGTGGCTGCTTGCAGTGTCTGCAGACATTGTTTGTTTGTAAAACATCTTTGCACAATCCTTTACTGAATGGCTGATGAGTCAAAACACTATTAAGGCCCAAACCAATCCCTTTTTTTGTTCAAACTGAGAAAAATGTCAAATAAAAGTAAGCCAGTGAACATAAGACAATACTGTATCACACTCAGGGTAGCATTTGTCAAACCATAAAACCATATGTTTAGTCTGGCCTTGAACTGTTTATTTTGTACTTATCTTTAAATTTACATTTTTTCCCTTTAACTCCAAAGTTGCTGTGATGTCTAAATAAACTCTGAAGGGTATCTTATTAATCTGTTGACAAGTTTAGACAATTACATGAAATATTTTCAGCTGGTGCTCAAACTCCAGTCAGTTGTTTAAATTCAGGACAATTCTTGTTATAAAGTATGAATGTGGTGGCTGCTTTATGGTGTCGCTTGTATCTGATCATTATTATACAGCTGGTTTATCTGTTAGACATGTTAAACCTGGTTGATGAGGACTTTGAGGATCAGTGTGTGAAGCTTAGTCCAAACAAGTCAGAAGTCAGCCAGGTGCCACATCACAGCAGTGTGCTGCAGCTAGGTTGCTAGCTAATGTACAACACCTTAACTTTATTTAACCTTGGATAAAGTCTGTCTCAATCTTCACAGTTTATGTTCGTCTTTGATATACACGTTATATTTGTACTTGCGTTGCACTGTTTAGATTATATTCACTTACCTACAGACTACCGCCACACATAGCCACACTGACATAACTCGCCATAACAGTGGTGTCATCTTCATCCCTCTCCAGCCGGGTCAGACATCCTCACCGCGGGAAGAAAAAGTGTTTTATCCTTTTATGAAGCGCTTACTTGAGCTGTGAAGAACATAAACTCTCCTATTGTTTCTTGTCAACTTAGCTGACTGTCGTTGTTCCAGACGTGAATGTGATGCTAGCCACTGTCACCCACACACAACCTGCTACCGACTGTCAGCGCGAGTCACTGTTCAACCGTCCAATGAAAAGACAGCGAGGCTGCTACGCAGTTCAAACTGAGCGTGTATTGGGAGCGCTTGTTTCATAAAAACTCAACCCCCGAGTGGGTGGAGCTTCTCTTAGTCATGTATTTCAGCTGGGTGAGGGAGATGAAATCTTTCTTAATGTATTTTATAACATGCAAAGATTAAACAAAAAGATGATTAAAAAATACACACGATATTCTGAATTGAATACAGAAGACATACCGGAAAGCAGTGCTTTGTGGGTGTGTAAGATCACCGCCCTGCACGGAAATCGTTTCACAGCGGATGTACATGAAATGTAAATTGTATGTAAACATTGAAACAATGAAAACACGAAGCATTTATGTTTTTTCTCTGCATTTTGGGGGTTAAATTTCGTTCAAAATACTAAAAGCTGAGACAGTCACTATCCTACATTTATACTCAATAAAACGAGGCTGAAAAACAATATGATTATTGTAAAATTGGCTGTGAGTCTGTCTGCGTTGTGCAATGGTTCCGCCCTACAATACAAAGGGTGCAACAGTTTAAAGCGTCTTAAAGCTGCTTATTCGGAAGGTGATACTTTCCCCAAAATTAATGTAATAGAACATCAAGTACTATCTTCAACTACACACAACCTGTGTTTTTAACCCGAGAAACATTCAGTGCTCTGATATTTGTGAACATTAGCTCAGCAAAACAGATGCAGTCACCCCGAATTCGCTTACAGCTCACTGTGCCAGAAATCTGGACTGACAAACACAGACAACAAGCAGCAGGTGACCTAGGAACATCATTATTTTGTAAATATTTTTTTGTTTAATTTGAAAATTTTGTACGTTGTTCATGTGACCGAGAAGGCAAATAATATTAAGTCTTGAATACGTGCACTAGATAGTACAGCACCGCTTGAAGCAAAGTCCTAATAACTATGAAATTCAATTGAATTAAGTCACGTTTATCTTGTGGCCACTAGAGGGAGCCCTTCCCTACATGCAAATACAGTACAAAGCGTTGAAGAGATGATATGAAGCCAACCTGGAAACAATGCGGGGCAGCTGTACAGGCAGGATTAAATGAAGCATCCCCTACACGACTGTGCGTCATAATTGTAGAGCATTTTCTCTGATGTATCCACGGGGTTTGTGATCACCGTTGTGCGGCATTTGTTAAGCCCTTTTTGTATGAAATACAAAATAACGAGGACACAATATGAAAAACAGATTTGTGGGGGAAGCAGAAACTTGTGAAGAAAACCACACACATAACATGTAAACAAAGGGAAACTGAAACGCTGAAACGGCCTGGATATCATTCATATCCGGTTAAAAATGTGCAAAAGTTTGACGAAACTGAAAAAAAGGAAAGAGGCATGTGACAAACCAAATGTTCAAAATAATCATTACAGATCAACTATATTTTTTAAAAATACATTATCATTATGAAAGTCTGATTGAAACTTTCACAACAAATGTATTATTTGCAAAAGTAGCTTTGACATCAAATTGGCAGTATACCAAAAATATTAGTAATGCAAATGACTAACTCTGCTGCCATCTTGTGGCTGACTTTGAGAAGACACGTTGATTCCCATGTTACAAAATTGTGAAATACTCAAGAAAGGGATCAATAACCCTCATCCTACATGTTATTTTACATATAACATGCATTAAACATAATATTAATACATATGGTAAGAAAATAATGAATTTCCTTTGTGTGGCTGAGAAGGGTTTGGTCCCCTGTTATTTGTGCTGTTAAAATGTTGAAGTACTCAAGTTGGACTTGGGATCAAGTCCAGCTTGAGCTCTGATTTCAGGACTTGTGACTCAACCATGACTCATACTCAAGCATTGACTGCATTTGATTCCAAAAGACTATGCTGACTGAGAGTCTCTTACTGATAAGACACTTTGGATGGTTTTGTTGCCCTAATTATTCATTAAACTTTATGCAAGGACTGCACATTAATGAGTTTTCATATTCAGCACCAATTCATAGCAGAATGCCTAATGTGGTACCACAACTCGTGATTTTTTCTTTCAGCAATTTTAATGCAGTTTGAAACAAAAGCAGTGCGGCATGCTTAAAAAGGAGAAACACTATTAAGGAGAGGATGGGGAAATTATGATTTTTTTAAGGTGCAATGGAGAATTTTGCTTGTGGGTAAAATAGGCCATTTCAAACCCCACTATGACAAGAATGTTTAACATATTTTTGAGACAGGTGAAAAAGCAAACATAAATTATTTAGAAAACAAATAAAACCAGTGTTTCTGTTTATGTGATCATCTGTCAGCTTAGTTTTTTTACTGCATGCTGTCTGTCTGGTCATGTCAGGCTGCTTCAGAATGAAGAAAATGAGCCACCAGTGTTATTTATTATATATTAGGTTAAAAAAGATTTATAATACTGAATAAAAATATAATATAGAGTACAAAGGCTTGCTAATATGTCTGGATTCAAGTTCGAATTGTTCAAAAAGTAAACAGCTGTAGAACATGGGAGTGAAACCACATATGGCTGCAGTGTTGAACAGTTTTGCTGCAGTTTTTAAAATAGTCCTGCACAGAATTTTGAGATAAATTGAGCCTTGGGTTTGGGGACTTTTGCCCTCCAGTGATTAAAATTTTGTGAATATCGGTGATCAAGCAGGCAAGTTGTAAAATTATTCATGTAAATGAGAGATTTAATACTATTAAAAATCCAGAGACACAAACAGTGAAGACTGTTGACAAAGAGAGACATTAAGAGGAAGAATTTTATTGAGGAGCGATACAGAGACACAGAAAATAACGACTGATGCAATCCCCAGCTTAACATTATGCCCTCTGCTTAACATCACCATCTCACTACAACTGGAACACTTTAGTCGTTGGTCTTCAGCAGATTTTTCTGTTTTTGTAACTTTGCGATTCTCTTTCTATATTTAGCTTTGGCAAGACGGAGTTGTAATTCATGCCAGTAAGGCAGTCTAAATCAGATAGAAGAGAGCATTTAGAGCCACAGAGAACGATTAAAGCGCTAGGATCCTTGATGAGGTCTTTATAGTCCACAGGTATAGTATCTCCTTATCATTACCTATATACATCAGAACACATTATAGGCCCACATACACAATAACAAACAGACAGAGAAGCACTTTAACATTAACAACAGCACCTCAAGCTCCGGTGCAGACGCTGACAGTTCGAACTGTATTAACCTGTGAGAAAAGAGCGACTGAAAGAAATGGAGAGGTTGTGGAAAGAGTAAGGGTGCCAGGTTGGATGTGCATGGAGTGTCAAATATGACAAAAAGACTACAAACATGGATGCATTTTCACTGTTTATTAAAGGAAATTTATCATGGAGTATTTCTTCAATCTCAGCAGTCAGCGTCTGAATCAGAGCAGAAGGCTTGGACGGTCACAACTTGACCATTGGTACAGCACAGGTGGACACCTATGACAAGGTTAAATGTGTTATTGATGCTGTTTCCATAGAGATAATACTGGAGGTGCTCCTCAGCCTTGCTATGTGTGTGTACGGCTGCTACAACAACACAACAACGCACAAAAGTCCAACATTAAATGTACCCCCGAGGGCTTTAGGATTCATCTTTAACAGCTTTGACCATAAAAACAAACACAACTGAAACGCCAACAAACGTGCAGACAGACAACACATGCACACGTGTCCTCACACACTCTTACAGACACACGCACACACACATACATACACATACACACACATACTAATTATTCCCACACACATAACACACATACTAAGAGACAACTTCTGTTCCTAAGAGAACATCAAGCTGATAATTAACACTGATGAGGGGCTGGTGTACAATAAATAAATACAATACTAAATAAACTCAGCCTACATATAGGCAAATTAGTCCTGCCCCCATTTACACGCGCACTAAACACACGTACACACACTCTACATATGCACACTCCCATGCAATAAAAGCAGCTCATGTGCCATGCTGCGTTTTGGAATGAGTAGGGCAGTACGACTGCAGAGCTTTTTTTATGTAGAAGCAGCAAGAGAGGATGGTGGATGACTTTGTGGAGGGTGTGTTTGTGTGTGTCTGAGTCTGTGTCTATGTGTGTGTGTGTGTGTCTGTAGGTGTGTGAGATGGAGGTTTATGGGTTCCAGGGAAGGATACTGGGATAGTGGATCTGCGAAGCAAACCTGGACCACAGGCGAGCAACAAGCGCACGTACACATACACCACAAGACAAGTACCATACTGTACATAGATATATGGACATCGTCACCTGGCAGGAAATCAAGGGTCAAAGGTCAAAGACTTCAGCGTCTGCATTAAAGGAGAGACCAGGACAGCAGAGCCATGGCTAAGAGAGGAGGGGAGGAGCGGGTGAGGAAGAGAGAGGGAGATAAGAGTGTGGAGGAACCCCCTCAGATGTTTATGGTGGAGCTTGTCTTGTGGGAGATGGAGGGGGTCGCCGGCTTGGGTAGAGACAATAGATTTAAAAAAGAGAAAAGGAGGGGAAAAAGGGGGGGGTAATGGTGTAAAAAAAAGACAAGAAATAATGAGAAAGAAAAGGATTAGTCTTTAGTTTCACTGAGATCATTCAGTTATTTATGTTTCAAATAATGCTCATACACATTAAAATAAACAAGCATAAATTAGCTTATACTAGCTAAAAGTACAACTTGATATCAGAAGTATTTCAAGGAATAATTCATTATGAGAGAATACAACTTGTTTGCGCTCTTGCTGAGAGTTAAAGAAGTGATAAAACCAACACATCTGTATGCTAAATATTAAGTTGTCGTGAGCAGCTAGTTGGCTTTGGTTTGCATAATGATGAGAGAAGGAAACAGCTCTCAAGTGTATCACAAAACAACCTAAAGTGACATTTTTCACTTGGTCTTTGGTACTGACAAAAAGCACTATGTTTTAAGTGTGAATTTTTTTAGCTTAGGTTCTGCTGTTGTTGCCTTCAGACAGCTCCTCTATCCTGCTAAGCAGACTGTCTGGTCACTGTGGCTTTTTATATTTACTGTACAAATATGAGTCTGATCCATCAAAATCATTTTTTTTCCCTCAAAAATATCAAGTCAAAGTCAGACAGTGTAAACTGTCCCCATTTGTCACTTGTGATGGATAACCATGTTTTCTAATGAGAAGATAACGGCACTCACAAACTACTCAAATTGATGTCATTCTTATAAAAATACACCCCTCTTGTGTCATTTTTACGATTAATATGGCCAACACTGAAACACACCACATATTGATATTGTGTTATATTATGTTCTCCTGCCTTGCTGTTGAAATTTGGCTCATTTAGTGTTAGTTATCCCTTGATTTAATGGTGTTTGTAAGAGCTAATAAAAGTACCTGAGGTTTGATTACAGCAGGCTTTGTTTCAAAACTGACAAATACTATTAACTTAATGTAATAAATTATTCACAGTGCATATCTGTTTTTAATGAATACTGATGTGTTATTAAATAATACTACATAAGGTATAAGTAAGATATGACTAATAATGAACCTAACAGTTTCAATTTGTGAGGGTTGTATTTACCTGGGGATGCTGGGAGGAGCCCTGTTAGGACGGCTGGGGGCCTGAGGACTCTCAGCACTGTTATTAAAGGGCCCCAGGGGTCCTGGTCGATTTGGAGGTGGTGGAGCTCCTCGGGGGGCAGGGCGTTGTCCTGATGACATCCTCCTGGGGGCAGTGGGGCTGGGTGGAGGAGACCTTGAGACAGGAAACATACAGCCTAGATTGTGAGATAATTGTTAATGGCGACAGTTTATGTATACATGTTCAGTTTGATTCCCAAAACTGTACCTGCGACTACCACTGGATCCTCCCACCCAGGAGCTGTCAACAGGTGGGGGCATAGGGGTGGTGTAGGTGGAGGTGGAGATGTCCCCGATGATGCTCAGAGCCTCCTTCAGGGCCTGGTGGGTCCTTAGCACCTCGTCCCTCCTCTGGGCCTGCTCTTGGGATTCATCCATCAGGGTGTTCTGGTCACCTGTAGAGTACAGCTGAGCCAGCAACTCTGCGTTGATAAAGTCCTTCACCTAGAGGCCGGAAAAGGAAGTGCAGGAAGGAGATAGACAATTATAAACATGTTTTAAAAAAGTGTTTTTGTTTTCATTGCCATAAGTGGGAAAAAGCTTATTATCCCACAGCTGATGTCATGGCCATGTCATGAATATGTAAGTGTTTTTCTTACATTGATGATCATGAGGTGCATGATGGTCTTAGGCATGAGGTCCCTGATGCACTTGTTCACAATAGCCATGTAGGAGTCCACCAGGTTACGGATAGTTTCCACTTTACGCTCCAACTGAGGGTCCATGGAGAAGTTATCTGAGGCGGTTGTGGTTTCACTCTCAACCTAAAGGGGGAAACCAGAAACAAACTTTTTAAAGAACTATAATAAACTTTTCTACTTTTCTAAAAATCAAAAATATCAGAGAGTTGTCTGAATCAAGTTTAAAATAGAAGGGGCTTTCCTGTAACAACAGCACTTCTACATTTAGAAATGTTAAAAACAAAAACAAAATATTTCCAGTTTCCATTATTTCCTGGAAAAAAAAATTGAATAAAATAAGAGTACAGCATGTAGAAACAGGAATATGAAGCCATATCTAGCGGTCATATTCAAGATTGAACTGCTCCCCTCCTGCCTGATGTAGCTTTTGAGAGCATGAAGATCCTGTGACATATGATAAGTACAATCCCCACTTTGTTGTCATTATCAAAAACACCTATCAACACAAATTGTTAAACAACACTTTCTTCCTCTTGTTCACCTCACACGCCCACTCGTAACACAAAAACAAGTATGGTATAGAGTTTGTCTAGTGTGTGCTACGGTAGAAACATGGCGGTGCAAGATGGCAGCTTCCATGGAAAAGAGCCTGCTGCTTTGTAGAGTTGAGAAAAAAAGACTACCTCCCTGATTTAAGTGTATTTAAAAAAGTTTTACTCCATTTCTACTAAGTCTGCTCTGCTCAATGTTGGTAAATCCTTCACACTGCACCTTTTATTTTACAAACTTAACTGCAAGAAAAAGACATGATTTCTTTGACTATGTGATGAAATAATTAAAGTATTTACAACAAATGGGAAACAGGAGTAATCAAAGCTTTGTTAGTGCCATTGAAGAGAGAATTAAGGGCCGACTGAATGCAGAATAAATAGGTTTGCTGACCGTAGCGGTCTTCTCAGGATAGACCCCCGCACGCAGGAGAGACGATTTCCAGCTGTCCACATCGTCCTGAGAGTCACAGGCCAACTCCAGGGTGCGATTATCCTTGTACACATTCCTACACACCAAGACACAAGAGGATCAGCATTCATGCAGGCTGCCACAGGGTAGATATTCTACACCACCATGTATTAGAGCAAGCTAAATACTAGAGGGAAGCAGGGGTAATAGCTTAGATTTGAGCTCAGTAATGTATAAATGATCAAACACTGGACAAAAATGGGGCAATGCTCCTTTAAGGTTGCAAAAACTTCCAACAAAGATATCAGCTGTGACATCTGGCAGTGTTATTAGGTTATGTGCTGCCTTCCACATGAAATATTTTCTCTTTTTATCCATTTTCCAGGTTTCAGCCAAGACTTCTGAAGCAAATGATCACACTATTAAAATTCAGCTAAAAAACAGCTTCACATTTTAAAAAGAACGACAGCTTTGTACAGAGGCCACAGTCCTGTAGGAAGATACAGGACTGCCAGGATAATGCCATAACCATCCAGGAATTAAAAAAATAACCTCTACTTATCTTCTAATCTTAATGGGAATTGTGAAGTATTTTAAATGTTGCATGCTGGTACAACCTCTTTCTGTCTTAACTCCATATCAAATAATTGGCTAACTTTTGAAACAGAGCTGAAGATCTATTGGAAATAGTTCCACTGTGCCATCATGCAGGCATTCATACATACACGCATACATACTGTACTAAACACATAATCCAAAACATACTTCAGCCACTGCAGCAGAACACATGGGGCCTTGAACTCTCTAACTAAATCTCCTGCATGTGGTGGCTTTATAACCACTTTTTTTTTTTTTTTTGGAGTTGTCAGAAAAAGAAGTAGAAATATAAATTTCAGTATGTCCCCACTGACCTTGACTCAGTGTTGAAAATACAGAATATGTGCTTGCTGGACATGAAACTCTTCTCCACATCACGGACCTTCAGGTTGTCCAGAGGGAGCATGTACTTCTTCTCCTTCTCCTGTGAACGAGGAAAACAGAAGGATCAAGAGCTCAGTCGTGACTAATGCAATTTGCTCCTTTTGTTATATTAATTTGGGACAAACGTTTGCTCAAGATTACGTCCGCGGCAGAAAGGTGAAATCAGGATTTTTTGAAGAAGAAACAGAGAGGGGGGGTGAGTTAAGAGAAAGGGGGTGACAGGAGGGAGATGGAATGGGGGAGAAATGAGAGTGGGAGGTAGAGTGGGGGGTGGAGAAGGGGGAGTCAGAGTCAGAGTCAGAGAAAGAAAAGGAGAGAAGGAGAACACATGTGGAAGTCATTATAGTGTGGGTCAAGACACAGTCGTTCTTCACGGTGCGTTTTTGCCGTAGAGAGCTGGTAGCTAAAGGCTGAGGAAACTGCGGCTATGGTCAAAAAGACGTCAATCTGTGGACCCGTAAGAGAGCGCTAACAAAAACACAAAGTTTATCTCCAGGGGTGGACACTCATTAAAGCTGTGCACACAAAGATCTGTTATTGATATTTAGGCGGAGGAATCTCTGCTCCTCATTTTAACTCTCCATCCTCGCCTCCATCTTTCTTAACTTTCTGTCTTTTTTCTTTTATCCCTCCCCCTCGATATTTTTTCAATATTTTTTCTTTCCATTCCAGAGGGGCCCACTTCCTGCCTGATTTTTTTGAAGAAGGAGGGAGAGAGAGTGAGAGGGAGAGAGATTAAATGACAGCCTGGCGTTAAAACTCAACATCTGGTAGTGCTTAGCAGCACACAGAGAAGCAGGAGAAGGAGGGAGAAGTTAAAGAGAGGCGGCGGGTGAAGGGAGGAGGAGGAGGAGGAGGAGAGACCGAGAAGAAGCAGCGCAAAAGTGGATTTGCAAAAGATTTGCCGAATAAAGCCCACATCTGGGGAGAAGGTGCGGAAAGTGTTGGTAGATGGTCGCAGGTAAGAATTAAAGAGGATGAGGAGGGAGGGAGGAAAGAGAGGACAAGAAAACTCTGCAGACTTTCTGCGGTGTATTCCCCAAGGGGTCAATGCGGCCCATATATGGTCACACGGGTCCCCTCCCTCTTCCTCTCTCTTCCTCTCCCTTTCTCACTCCCTCTCTCCCCCCTCCGTCTCCCTCTTTCCCTCTTTTTTGTGATATCCCCTCCCTGAACGTGCAGCCAGTCTGTCCCAGTCGTCTGAGCGAATATGCCACGTCAAGGCTGGATACTCTTCATGGCCGGCGTGACCGAAACGGACCGCGAGGGGACCCAGAGCTCAGACGTCTTCACCAAAACAAATAAACAGGCCGCGAGATGTGCACAACGAAAGCTGGGGAAGGCGGCGAAGACCGAAGGAAGCCAAAGACGCAGTTTCGAAAGGGGTTTTTTCGTTAGACGGGATCCTTGCTGCCAAAATGGAGAGGGGCGAAGGGAGGGCACAGACGACAGAGCCGCGAGCATCTGGAGGGGCAGAAAACAGCACACAAGGCCTGGCTCTTAACTCCGGCTCCGTCCACCCAGTGTTCAGACTACCTGTTCATTGTCATACTGGTGTACAGTAGTCTGCACATTGGTTAGACTGGGCATGGACCCTCTTCTGTCAGTCTGTCTTTCTGTGTCGCTCTCTCTGTCTCTCTGTTGCAATTTCAAGTCTCCAAGATGTGTTTTTTTTGTTGCATCTCCCTCCTCACCCTTTGCTTTATTTTTAATCTAATTACCATCTGAATGTGATCTATAATCATCTGTATTTTGTCCTAAGTGCATCCTAACACTCACCACTTCCTTTTCATTTCTTTTTTGGAATAAACATACATCACCAATTTTCAACACTAACTGCACACTGACAACTTTGCTGTGAAAAACAGAGGCGTGAAGACATCCAAACTTCAGTCAGAATGATAGGAGTTTAAAAGCCAAACGTCAAAGGAGAGCGAGCTCACATAATTTATAGCATGAATGAGTAAGTGTGCAGGCTGCTCGCCTGGTGCTCTGATGAGGATGTGGTCCACTGGAAGGGGGGAGGAGCGAGTGTGGCTGCAAAGCATCTAGCACAGGCCGGAGGAACGAGGGCCAATCAATCAAGTGTAGTTTGAAAATACAGACAGACACCTCCAGTGAAGTTATTTCAGTGGGTGGCCAAAATGGACTTGGAAGACTTCAGAGCAAAAGACACTAGTGTATATTAGATCGCTGTGGTGTCAAATAACGGCAAAATGTGTTTTTTTATAGCTGGTGCATAAAGAATGAAACCATACAAAGCTTTTGTGTTACAAGTTTGTGCTAAAAATATGAAAAGTGTGAAGAGAGGAAATGCAACTTTACAGAGTAGCCTGCAGAATAGTATGTATTGTAGGAGGTTTGTGGGTACGGATACTTTCCTGAGGGGTTTCTCTCTCTGCTGAAACATTAGAGGCTGATGTTTGGATTAAAAACTTGTGTTTTTCCTGCCAAGTATGTGAGCAGTTCCAAAGTTACTTGCCAACCACACCAACTGAGGGAGGAGGGTGTGTGCATGTGCGTACGCGTGTGCACGAGCGTGTGCACATCTGTGACTATAGAAAGTTCAGGGAGTGTAAAAACAGAAATACACAAGGCGATCCAGCGGAGTCTATAATTTCCCATATTACCACACTGACATATCAAATGACAGCCCGTAGACTGGGCGCTGTGCAGCCTATATGCTGTCTGGGGCCTGAGTGTGCTGCTTTGGTGTATTTTGGATGTCTGTGAGTAAAAATTTGGAGGGAATTGGGAAAGTTCCAAGTTTTGTGAAAAAGACGAGTGAAATGCTTTGATTTCCGGGTAAAAGAGGTGGGGAGTGAAGCAGGGTTAGTCAGAGATAAAAATGAGAGATGAATGTCAAACTCATCAAATATTAAAAGACCCTGCGTGGAGGTTAACTCATTTTTTTATAAACTAAAAAAAGTAGAGGAACCATGTATAAAAATACATTTTACAGTCAAGGTCAGAGAGAAGTCAGTGTCAGCGTTTCTCTTGAAACTGAACCCTGACAAGGAGACTAAACAATGTGCAATAAACAAACAACAAAGCAGTGACAGCACTGACTGGCTGTAGGAGTTGCAGTGTGTCTGCCTATCTACACTTGCTGTGCAGAATATCCTCCAACCTGTACAGCAGGCACAGACAGGCAGATAGACATCAGCCCACCAAACCTGCCAGCACCATGGACCAGAAACCGCACTTCACTCAAACAAAGCCGAGCTGAGGAATGGAGAGCTGTCCTCTAACATTTGCTGTTCTTATTGCATATTATTGATGTCAAAGAATAATAAAGTTCTCCTTTAAGAACCTCCAAGAGATCTGAGTCATTTATCTACCACTGGTATGTATAAAGTCAAAACCTGCTTTCTTTCTGCACATTCGATGGCCATCCATCAGTCTGAGATTACTCGCATATTTCTGATTTGGCATACAGATAAAAAAATAAGTTAAATGTATAAAGAGAAGATAAAGAGGGATGTTTTCTTTCCACCTGGAAGACATCTGAGCTGTGTGTGTTTCTAACTGGCCTTACTGAATCTTAAAATCAGGGTTTTTCATATGAACTTAAAAGGTGGGAAAAATACAAACTATTAGGGCTGGGATGATATGCTTTTCTTCCGATTTGATTCTTCTACGATTTTTTGGATGCCAATTCGATTTAAATGCGATTGTACAATATTGTCAATTTTCTCGATTTTTTAGTCTGTATTTTTAACACCAGTGAGACAGTTGAATGATTATGATTGTCTACTGACTATTCCAGGTACCATAATCCCCCCAAAAATACACATCACATGTAAGTCCGTTTTTAGGATTTCTTCATAAATTTGAAAAAAAAAATTTTTGAACATAAAATTGATATAAAAATTGTAAAACAAAAAATCACGATACTTATGTGAGTTGATTTTTTCTCCCACCCCTAAAAACTACCTCACACTTTAAGGAAAATCTGCATCTTTGATCTGTAATGATATCTGCTAATATCAAGAATCTCACTGTCTGTAGTTTGGTGCCAAACAGGTGCCATTTTTGATTCTCATCCAAAATCAGTGCTGTTAAAAATGTTAGGCTGAGAGAAAGTTCTGAAACAAAACAAAAAAATTGAAGGCACTTAGATACAGTGTAAAAATGACATGACATGTGCTTCATACTCACCTCGTCATCCTTAAACCAGGAGAGGCTCTCAGCAGTCAGCACAAACCAGTACTCTTTGGCTCCTCCCTTCATGATGCTGATGTTGTTGATGGTCAGCCAGCCTTTACGAATGACCTGACAAAAAGGGTGGGGGATAAAAAGTCAGCAACAGCTTCTATATTTACAAAAGAAAAACACCCAAGATAAGAAATAAATCAAGAAGCTAGGAGGAGGTCTGTAACCATCATCATCAACTGATAAAACAACACGTCATGGCTGATGCTTGAACTGTGATGACACGTTTGTGCGAGGGTCAGGTTAGGTGTGTCACCGTGACTCACTCAGAGCTGAGCGTGTGACTGAGTGTCAGTGCAGTCTCATGCAGGAAGCTGTGATCACACAACGCAGACGCTCTGGTTAGAAGTTCAGTTACCACTGTGTTAAAGTGCTTCAAGCACACAATAGAGCATGTGTGTGTCTGCTGTGTTAAGTGTATTAACCCCAAAGGCCCTACATAAACAAGCCCGTGGGCAAAGTGCCGAGTGATCATTAGTTTAGATTACTGTCAGTCTTGCATGGCCTAAGACTCACTAAGGAGGTTACCCACACCATTACAAAGCTTTTCTGTCAGAGGCTCAAACACTATAAGAAAAATCTTATTTCTGCAAGTTTTAGAGTTCAAGATGTTTTTATTTGTCTGGTTGGCAACCCCTTGTAGTCTGCAGACTCTTGTAGGTGGAGGAGGTGTTAGAGAACAAATGGTTAGACAGTAATATCTTACAATCAAGCCTGATGCGGGAGGAGAGGAGGCCTGCAACAGGAAGGAATGTGGGGGATTTAGAAACTCTGTGGCACTAAAAAAAAAAAAAAAAAAAAGGCAGCTTTTTCCAGTGCAGCTTGTCTTAAAGAAAAGCCTCTGCCCAACATTAGCTCACACAACCAATTTGCCATTCATGACCTGTCAGAGTGGAAAATGAGACACTGATAGGTTGTTAAGCTGCGGTGCAGGAGAGCACCACACAATGGGCAGAAGTGTTACTGCAGGCACAAATGATAGAGCACACCATAACCCACAATGAGCGATACTCACCCTTACACACCCATAAGAGGGCAGCTGAGATTCTCACTAAGGGATGGGGATGAAATGCAAAGTGGCACCTTGATGACACGGGAAGGGTTCAAACAAAGGGAAACGTCTCAACAACAAAACCAGTGATGAAGGTGGCAACAAGTAACAGAACCCAATCAGGTTCTCTTGTAACACTTTATTTGATGCCAATCTCTGTAACGCACTAGAAATATATTTGTTATAATCATGTTATAGCACTGTATAACTATAGTTCTAAACACTAATAAATGATCATATTCCTTTAAAGCAATAATTATAACACATTAAAAAAGCATTTTATTATGGTATTATAATGTGTTATAACTGTTAACAACTCACTCACAATGGCCACATATATAATGCTATGCAACTGTTGTTAACTGTTATAACACATTATAATACCTGACCTTGTAAGTCATGATAAAAGGCTTTATAATGTGTCATGATTATTGCTTTAAAGCATTATGATCATTTATGAGTGTTTATAACTATAGTTATACAGTGCTATAACATGATTATAACACATTATACATATATTTATAATGAGCTATAAAGATAGGCGTCACATAAAGTGTTACCGATTCTCTTAACAAGGTAAAACCAAAGAAGCAAATGAACCACAGAAGACAGCTCATGCCCAACTAAATATAATACAGCATGCATAACTTAAATGTACAATAATAAAAGTTAAATGTATCAAAATCATAAGGGATAAAATAAAGCAAGGTTTACTCAAATAACGTATCTCATCTCTCTCTGTATTCCCCCTGCAGCAACCATCCCGCCACTGTGTATTCGTACCATCAACCTGCCTCCTTGTGCTCTCCGTGTTTGTGTATGACCAATGAGATGTGACAAATGCTCACCTGATTACCTGCTGAACTCTGGCTCTTGTTAGTCTGACTGCTTCTCTGCTGAGCACTGCAGAGGACAAACAACAAAACAGACATGATGAGGAAAGACAGGAGGATTAAGAGGAATAAAAGGTGGACAAGGGTAAAGAGACTTTGTCAAAATATTTGTTTGCAGTCTGATAAATAAATAATTCATCATGTAGGAGCCAAGCTAACAAATGGAGTCCATACTTAGCAAAGCCGATGAAATCTTCATGGTTGGTGTTGATGTAAGAGAGCTGGATATCTATCAACAGCAGAACCTGAGATGATAAAAAAACATGTCACATGAGACATGACAAATTTAGCTTCAATGGAAACAGAACTCTGACAATTTTGGTAAAGACTTTTATGATATCCAATTTTTTTCAGTGATTGTTTGATTAAAGATCAAAACTAAACCTTGGACTTGTGTGATAAAAAGTTTCACCAGTTTGTTTGCTTTTCTGCCTAAACATAAAACCACAAAATGGCTTTTTTTCTCTTGCTTACATTTTATTAACCAGATTGCATGTATAATGTGCATATTTGAGATTAAGAGGTGGGAATAAGTGGGTTTTTTGTTAGTTCAGAAAAAGCTAGGCTAACCGATGCTCCCTGCTTAAAGTCTCTGTGCTGAGCTAACCATTGTTATACTTTGTGTATAGAGATGATTTTTGTGGTTGTCTTCCTAAAATATTACTCACAAAGACAAAGCATTCTTTAAATGTAACAGATGAAATATAGTCCATATACTGGTATCATAAACTACTTGAATGAATGTTTTAATTGCATTACAACAAAATGACAGATACGGAAGGAATCAAGTCAAAAATCTGTGTGTTCATTACTGCAAACTACTAAGACTTACCTGGTCTTTGGCTCGGTTCTCTCTGTCTCTGATATGAGAAGTCACAATCCTCTCAGTTTCCTCTCGCAGCATGGGGTAACACTCCAGCTGAAAGGACATCACACAACGTTTGACTTTTTTTTCACATAAACATGTAAGTGGAATAATACAACAAAACTCACATTGACACAAGGACTGTACAGCACGTTTTTGATACAAACACTTTTCCTGTATCTGAGCTTAAAAAACTTTTACACATTGTTAAAAGTGCAGCATAAACAGTTCAGGTTGTCATGCCTGCTTAGATGTCTTTTAAGAATATTTTAAATACTAAAATATATGAAAAAATATAAAAAGTAGAATGAAATAAATAATGCAAAGCCTGAAATTGACCCCCACCAAACACCAAAGAGGGAAGATTTTCCATTTGCGTTTTCCCATTTACAGGTAAATATTTGTATCAAACTTTTGTTGAATCAAAATAACTATGCTTATGTTTTAGTTTTAGCTGCAGCTTCTTCCTCCTGCTCCTCTGCTGCCTGAATGTACCTCAGCTTTGATTGTCAGACTGGCACACTGTGATTTCAGTATCAAGACTCTCTGACAGAGTTACCTACTTATCTTATTTGGTTTTGATTTCTATGAACCAGTCAGAGGTTTGATGTGTATCATTCCCAGAGTGTTCTACATCTCTTGCTCTCCTCCTCACTCTGCACACATATGATCGCAGGTAACCACAAAAATGATCACAAAGACCCAGTTTGTTTTGAGGTGGAATACCTTTAGTACAGTGTGTTTTTGGATTGGTACCCATCTGCACTGAATTAAAAGCACCATACCAAAATAGATGCAGAATGTGAAGCGTCTTTAAACATGACTATTTAATTTTGCCCGTCTTTGGTTGATGGTCCGTTAATCATCCTTCTTTAAAAGTAATGTCCTATCAAATGACCAGATCCCCCTAAACCACAAAAGTTACCTTGTCAGAACACTGGCGTACGACGTTAATCAGCTCCTGGATGACCATGTCCACGCACTTCACACAGGGCCCCTTCAGCTTTATGATCTGTTTCTTCACAATGGCCTCAAACGCCATGTCTGGGGTGAAGAGCCCAGTCCTGAAATACAACAAAAGGAAGAGACCATGAGGGGAAAAAATGGTGATGAGTGGTTTCTCTTTGCAGTGAAATCTTTTGTCTGTATTTGAGTTCTACCAGCAACAAGAATAGACGTTTCTCTGCATGCAGTTTGTGGTTGCAAAAATTACACAGGCTGCGCCAAAACTTTAATTTTAAAGATAAAAGAGCTCATAATGATAAATCAGAATAGATATTCTTCTGGTAAGAAATTAGAGCTAAGATAGATAAACCCCTACCTGATACCGTGGATGTTCTTGATGGCATAACTGATCTCACGACGCATCTCCTTCTCATCACACTCCATCTGAGAGGAAAAAAGGAGGAGTTAGACGACAGAGATGGAGAATAGAGAATAAAGAATCAAAAAGATGAGCGACAGCCTGATCAGAGATAGCATGACGGAGATATAAAAAGGATGACGACAAGAAGAGAAGAGAGAAAAAGTACTGGAAACTTGATATGTACCATGAATTTGAAAACGCGTTGGTAATGCTTTAGACAGCATTTAGAGAGCATTTTAAAAGTCCATTAAAAGGATCTGTTCGTCTGCAAAAAGTCTTATTGATTTTACTTTTGGACCTGAAGATTTTATGTCCTGAATTTGGGAAAAATGTCTGCTAGGGAAGTTATTTCTCCAAAAGATCCCAAAGAAGTTTCCCCTGTTTCTTTGTTCTTTTTCAACTATTCGTAAATCGACAGACTATGGCAAAGACTGTGTGGGATTTGGGCAATTTGAAATCTGGTAAAATGGCACATATTGTGTTTGGCTTGTGATCAAATTTAAAAAAAGATAATTAACCTAAATATAAGAAGAAAATACAAACTTGTGCAGGCGAGGGTCAAATAACTGCCCTCTCTCAGCTTTTTTGCAGAGATTCTTCTTTTACCTTGACCAGCTCAAAGGGAAAACGCTCGTGGAAGATGCGGTTAATTTTTGCTCCACCAGACAACTCCACTGTGTCCACCTGATCTCCTGAGCCCTCAATCCTTTTTTCAAAGTCCACTGAGAACTGCTGCACCATCCTGTAAAACAAAATTAAGATAAACAGAAAAGACAAGAATGACCTCTGATAGAATAAAACCAAGTTAACAAGCTTTTGGGTCATGCTTTTTATTATCTAAATCCAATGTAAAAGCCCTTGTTGTGAGAAAAATGGGCCACTGACTGCAGCAGCTGCTTGGTTTTGCGCGACGGGTCATCAGGTCGGTATCCCCGGTATTCTTCAGCCTCCTTGTCCAGAGCCAACAGCTGGGACTGCAGCTTACTGCGGAAAGCTGGCAGGGTGTCCCGGATGTGGTTGGTCAGTTGCTGCAGAGACACAAGGCCGGCAAAATGAAGCAATACAATCACACAGGAGCTTCAATCAGGAGATTATGTTATTATGAGTGATTTATCAGCACAGAGGTCAAACATTTCTGATTTTACATCCCAAAGAAAACTCAACAGCCACCCCAACAAAAAGTGCAGAGAGCCTGCCTGGGTGAAATCATGAATTATTAGGTGCTGAACTAGAAAGAGTGAGCGCTTTTTCCACCTACTGACAATCTTCTATCACCCACACTAATGTACTGTACGATAGAGTTGAAAAAAAATACAAGGCCGCCCTCTTATTAATCATGTAAAGTGCTCGGTGAGAAAGCACCGGGACAAAATCACTGATCACCTCATTGAGCACTTTCTGCAGGCGCGGAGTGCCCATTTTGTCGGCCATGTGCCTGTACGCAGGATGAGAGAAGAAGAACTTCCTTTCAGCCTCCAGAGCAGCCTTAATATCTTTCTTTCCATCAATGTCCTTCTGACTGCGATTCACCACCCCAATATAACCTGAGAATGAATAAACAAGGACACGAATTGAGAGAATAATGAATGACAGTCCCAGGAGACAAAGGCAGCAGCAGTGAGGACCAGATAAACACAAAGTGGAATTGAAAGAAGACAGAAGGGCAGAGTTATTACAAACTGAGATTGGGAACAAAGGAGAGATTTAATAATGAGTTAGACTAGCATGGTACTGTATAACACACATTCACACACCTCTTCGCAGTGGTAGCAGCTTGTTCTCCAGAACATCTCGTGCATCTGTGCCCTCATCCATCAAATCTAGTTTGGTGATCACGCCGATAGTTCTTAGACCTAGAGAAGGAATAAAAAAGAGTCAAGAGAAATTTAACAGAGGGCACTTTTGAGACAATCAAGCAACTCTTTGGGTAACTTTTCCTGCACACTGTCTTGTTATGCTTTTCATCTTCTCCTGTTTAAGTTTTTGGACATTTTCAGAGTGCGTTTGATGGAGCATGAGATAGACTCTGTGAACTGAAACTTGATCTAATTGCAGACAAAGTAAAACATATATACTTTGCACAAGCAATTAGACAAGCATAAAATGATAGAGTAGTGAAAGACTAAGGGGAAATAATACAAATTCTAATAACAGATGGTGATTTTTTTTGCTTTTAATAAAAGTTATGTTTTACCAATAGGTCTTTCAAGTTTCTTGTCTTTACTTCTTTTTGGTCAATAATAAACTCTTTAAATCTGTCTTTCCATGTGCTGTAGAGTGTGGTGTTGTACAGCAATGCTTCTGCACATTTGTAACATAGTGCACTGCTTTCAAATGCAAACTCTAGTTCTCTTACTCAACATCTAAGCTTCACAGTACACACAAATCTGCCTGTTTTTTACACCAAGATGTCTACTTTATTCCCCTTTCTATCTTATTTGTCTCTCCCTATTAATAAGGTATTTTTAAATTTTACTTTGATTCAGAGCACACAGATGTACCCTGACTTCCTGAGTCAATTCTCTCATAGATATCCTCTCCCAATTTATCTTTAAAATTAGAAAGAAAAATCTTTGTCTTCAGAAATTTTGAAAGCCGCTGTTTAGAAAGCCAGAACTAAATTGGGAAGGAAATCATCCAGGTTTCATCCTTTTTTTGATTAAAGAACACACAGATTAATCTTGTATGTGAAAATGTAGTCATTGTAAATCTGTTTACATCATATGCATAAATGTTTAAATCTGTCATTTTAAAGCTCCACTGAGAATTTATTTCTGGTTTTGAAACAGACTGAAATTCATACTTTGAAATTAATCGTTTTACCTCTAAGCATAAAGACTCATCATGTCTTTGTGGTTATTCACAAGAATATCTCTACGAGGAAAGTGATTAACACCCTCCTGATCAGATGGCCTTTTATTTAAGATATTTTGTTGAAAAGAAAAACACATGTATGGGACAAAATGAGCAAGACCACCAAAGGGGGTTAATAGTCAGCAAAATCACAAGTTCCTGGCAGGAGCCTTACTGTTACATTTACTAACTATATGTGTTGGCTTATTAAATCCTAAAACTGCAGCATGTGCTGTAGCCTCTCTTAGTTAAGCCTCCCTTATAATAGAGTTTTTAAAGGGTCAAACCTGGTTGAAAGAATGATCAACTATTTTCCATTCCCACTGAAATTCGATGTCTGCATCTTTATCATCTCACTGCATCTTCAGCTAAAAGCATCCTTTCTCTATTTGCTCCCTTTTGAAAACAACCACCAAGCTCTCTTTCTCTGGTATCATTTATCTCTCCCACAAGGTCACTTTATACAAGTACTCTGCTTCTTGGATATTTCATCCTCTTCTCATCTCATCTCTCTCTCTCTAACCTGTCTGAAGGTCAAACTATATGGGTCGGGCATTTTGTTAATTTGATTCCTTTCTCCTTCCTTCATCTCTCTCAGTATCCCAATTTAGGTGTTGCTTTTTTCTTATCTTCAACTTATCCATGTTTCTTTAATCACCCCCTTCTAATAGTCATTATCAGTTTCTTTCAGCCCTGTGTTTTTAATAATCGAGAAGATAACTGCTCGATCTAAGTAAGAAAATTATTTTTCCACATTCAGAGAAGTCAAGGTCAAACTCAGAGCCCAATCCCTGCAGCTGGTTCAGGTTACACTCACTGACTACGTGGCCAACCTTCCTAAGCTCCAGTGACTCTTAATTCCTCCCTCTACGTCTGTCTTAAAGCCCACTTTTCTCCAAATTTGTTTTCCCATCATCTTTCTTACCCTGTGGATCCACGTCTTTGGCCAGTTTCAGGGCATCAGAGTTGGCAAGGTCAGTGTTGGCAGGAGTGACAGCCAGGATCAAGCAGCTCTCTCTGGTGATGAACTGCATGATCATCTCTCTGATCTGCTGCTCAATGTCTACAGGCTGGTCTCCTACCGGCACTTTTGTGATTCCCGGCAGGTCGATGAGAGTCAAGTTCAGCACTGCAAAGTTGAGGACATAAAGTAGAAGATGAAGTGGGCACACCTGGGTGACATTTCTGAAGCCTGTAACTCATTATTTTTCACTCTGCACTTTAAGTAATATGATTCCAAGGGCTTTAAATCCTTCTTTAAAATGGCAAAAATGTAAATACTTGGGAGCTTTAAGAGCGATCAGTTTGCTAATGAAGAATGACAACTCGACCCAAAATACTGTTATTCTTATCAAGCTTACTGTTTATTTGATAAACTAATCCTAGGTACTTAAAAGTCCTCTCTTAGTTTACTTATCTATTATGTTTAACTTTTTTTAAAGAAACCATTACTTTAAAACAACATTGATAATAGTTTGTGCAGACTGACCTTTCTGATCTAAATGGTAATGAGGTCTACATCAAAGAAAACCCAATCAACAGTCTATTGTATACAAAGATATCAAGATGCTGAACTTCATGTCAACTCCAGATTTACTACTGCTGCAGTTTTTGTAATACTGAGAGTGAGAAATGCCTAAACAGATGTTTTAGCTAACAGGATTTAGCCATTTTGGCTAGCACTTGATTCATGTTGTATTGAAAATTTTAAAGTTACATTATTGTACAGATTTTCATTTTAACATTAGGTCAGATACTTAGAAAGAACACTATCCCCTCATTTTCCACACTTAATCTTTAAAAGGCAATATGTTAGCACGCCAATTTGGTCAGTGGTTAAGCTAGGCTAAACCTGCTTAATCTGTTGGTTTAGAAATTCGATTAAAAGTAACCTCTATTTCAAATGAACAATGTGTGTCTTAATAAAAAGATTTTTGGTGAACCTACTTTTAGCTGTCATCGAGCAATATTGGCCTACAGACAGTTTCAGAGCCAGCACAATCAGAGAGGGGAAAATTTCTTTGCCCGATAGCTTGTTGCTATCAGTTAGCTTTATCTGCAGATATTGGAATATTTTCTTTCATATCTTTACATCTGATGCCCCTTTATGTTGTCTGTGTACATTTTTTTTAAAGGAAAAATAAACGCAAATAGCTAATTGGTGAAAAATTATGCCAAACATTTTTTTTCCAGATGTTAGACTGTAAATGGCAGAAGATCGCAGATGGTAGAAGGCGCAATTAATTAATCTGTCATTTCAAGCTAATTTCATTTCAAGGCTGTGGTGAAAAAGGACAATATTCACAGCGATAATAAGGACATCTATTGAGGTTTTCAGCATCCCATGGAAGGAAACGAGGAAGCATCAAAGTAGCTGCCTCTTTCAAACTCCTCAGAAGTCATTCCTATGCTGAAGTTCAACCATATTCTGTTTTCTTTGGTTTGACTGACCCAGTTTTTTTAAAACTTCCTGACAACAAAAAGATACAAAGATAGAGAGAATGATGACTCGCAGTCTACTTTAATTTTAAAGCACCATTGTATGCGGTTAGTTGATAGAAAAAAACAGTGAATTATGAATTCTCACCATGTGGGGAGTAAACCCGCAGGTTGATGGGGACAGGGGATATGCCTTTGTTAGCCCCTGTGACACGATCTGTCTCAGCCTCGATCTCCTGGCGAACCTCATCAAAGTCTGTGAACTTCTTTCCTTTGCAATGCAGGAATTCAGCCCATTCTGACAAAATAAAAGCGAAGACCATACAACCTAGATTAGTGGCTGTGCTGCATGTGTATGAAAGGAAAATGATGCTACAGTGAGAGGGAAAAGAGCCAAGAGGAAAGAGCTGTACCATTTATAAAGAGGAAAAGAGGAGGCTGCATGTGTGTGTGTGTGTGTGTGTGTGTGTGTGTGTGTGTGTGTGTGTGTGTGTGTGTGTGTGTGTGTGTGTGTACGCATCTCTGTTTGCATGTGCAAATGCTTGCATATGTGGGTGTGTAAATGTGTGCCTGCCCACCTGCAGTGGCACTGATAAGCTGCAGAACCAGGGGCCTACGGGTGACAATGCCAGATCCACGGGGCAAAAAGTCCCTGAGGAAACAAAAGTCATTTTATCAAGGCAGAACTGATGCAAACATTTATCATGGAGAGAGGCACGCTGCATTATGGCTCCTTCATATTTTTCTCTTTGAATCCTGTCATACAGTTTGGGTGGAATAGAGGCCATTTTTAAGCAAAGCAAACCCAGTAGCTTTCATTTGCTGCTGCAGCTGCATTGTACTGGTAATTGCTCCAACAGTATAGGACAATCTGCCTCCATATTTTTACCTGATAAACAACAGGTGACATTAAAGAGCAGCATTGCTGACATAAGCTTTCTTATGTCAAACCAGTGACTTAACCATTTCCTTAAGGAATCCACATTGACTCATTTTGCATGTGTGCAAAAATGTGTCGAAAAGTGGATACCACAAATAACCTATGGTCTTTCCCAATAAACCTTATTAACATATATCGACCTCAGAACTCCCTCAAGAGAGACACGTTGGAAAAACAGACAGGCTTGTCCATTCAGCACTATGCAGACACATTTTAGGACAGATGGATCATTACTCAGCAACAAGACTCTTAATGAGGGTTCATACAGGGAAAAATCAATGCATCCATCATGACCTGCACACATGCTTGATCAAAATGCACAAAAAAGAAGCTACTTTGTGACACAAAAACACTTGTGTTAATTGTAGTGGCTTTGGATTGTGTTGAGTGATTGCTCAAAAAGCAGTCCAGTGATAAATCCACCCACACAGGATAGAGTATTGATGACTACATTAATCTGATATGATACTGTCAACTTATTTTTACTAGAAATGTATTATTTACCTTTGTAAGCCAAAATACAAAATCGTTTCAAACAAAACCCACATTAAAAAAGACCAAAGATAGTAAGTGATTAGCAAGTGAGAAATGGACATTTTTGGGCAGATTGCTTTTAGAAAACTCTTAATCTTTGCCATCATTTACTACAAGGCCGTGTACTGTTTTGTCATACAAGCTGGTGTCAAAGCAGGGCTATGATGAATCAGTCATTGTGAAAGTCTGTGCATTAGTAATGTAATCAGCAAAGCTAAAGTGGTATCTGACCAAGTCTAAATTTAGTGCTGCAATTTCACACAGTTTGAGGACTTGAGAAGACAGACTGCAATAAGTGGTGCCAAATTAAAACAACAGAAGACTGTCTTATCTGAGTCCCAATTTGTCAAGCACCAAAAAAACAGTGACCACTCTATGTCTCATGGTGCAACACAGAAGCATCTTTTTCTACACCTTTAAATATTTAATATGTCTCATGAATAAAAACTCCAGGTTATGATGTTTGTTGTTTTTCTGAGTACAGAAAACGTTACCTTTCACAAGCTGACTACTGCCCCACATGCCTGATAAACTGACCTTCTTTAAAAAGAAACTTTCATTTGTGAAATATTCAGTTACAGAGCAGACACCACATTTGCAGCAAAGTAAATCCTGCAACAGATAAATCAGGCTGTTAAACTGGATAAAGTGACAAGCACTTTTCTTTATTATAACCCTCGACTCAAAAGCCTCCAATCCATTTGAAATACAAACCCATTAAACACAAATGCACCACATTATTGATTGGAAAATAGAGCCTTTGTATCGTGCTGAAGCACATCATTTAGTAGCTATTAGAGACTCTTTCTCATCCACATCCAACATTTCTGGTTAGGGCAGTGTTTGATTCTTATCTTGACAGTGAAAACAAATTCATATGCAGCTGCTTGTAATTCATTTGTCTTGAGTGACCAAAACCCAGGGCACATTGATGAATATTAATGTGTGTTTTCAGATACCGCTGCATGTACAGAAGGACTGTGATTTAAAATGGCTTCATGCAGCAGTGGTTTTCTGCCATCTCTGTTTTTATGCAATACAACATGACAGTGTGGTTTTTACAGGGTCAGTAGCAATTCAAAGTCTTTGAAAGGATGCTTGGAAACTATATTAAGGGAATGGCTATTTCTAGGACTGTGTGTGCCTGCAGTTGGTGCTGATTGGGCTGAAATCCCCAGGTGCTGCTGTAACCCAAATACTGCTACCCTCCTCTGTAGGTACTCATAAGGCAGTGGAGTGTTTGACAAATATTTAGGTGAGGGTATGGAGGGAAATTGAAGGTGTGAGCTTCCAGTATGTGCAGCTGCATTGACTTTAAGCTTGAGGGAGAGATGGTTTGAACCCTGCACAGAGAGATTGGCCCTGTAGGCCTCTTATGTCATCCTCAAGGTTAGCTGGAGAAGGGATTATACTATTCCTGGAGGTCAATTTTACCTGCCCACAAAGTTCTCCAGCACGGAACTCTTCCCTGCGCTTTGCCCGCCGACCACCGCGATCTGCGGCAGGTCCAGGTTGCAGGACTGCCCGATTGAGCTGAAGGCATCCTGCAGCCTGTTGACCAGCGGGATCAGGTCCTCCATGCCACGGTTTCCCATGGTGCCTTAAGACCGAGGGACTCGGGATCAGCGAATGGAGAGAGAGAAGAAGAGGAGGAGGAAGGAGGAGGAGGAGAAAGAGGAGGAGGAGGAGGAAGAGGGGGTGGAGGGAGGATGTGTGGCGCTGCTATATTAGTCCAGGATACCGCGATGCTTGTTGATGTAGTGAAGTCATGTAGCCGCGCTTTGCCCCGAGCCAAGCGAGGGTCGGAGCGACTGTGAAAGCAGAAAAAGGGGAGGGGAGGAGGGGGCAGAGAGGAGAGATATGAAAGGACAGGGACAGACAATTGCGCAGTTGCTTTCAAAAACCAGCATAACCTCTGCTGCACACACACAAACACAGCTCACACACAGCGAAGTCTGTAGCTTCAAGGGCATTTGCCGACTGGAGCTCCATTAAGCCATAACGGAGAAAAAAAAATGGTGCGTTCAAGGCTCCATAATTCCAACACAAATCGAGCGCAAAAACGACCAAAGCAGGCATCTTTTACAACCTGCAGATGAACAATAATGATGTCTAGTGGATATAATTGATAGTTGTGATCATATATGAGCACATTCTGCTGTTTTGGACCTACCCCGCCTCAGGATTCCCTCGGTGTTTTCAGTGTCCGATAGTCGCTGTCCGGTGCTGAACCGACGCGCAGATCAGGCAGCAAAGACGACTGACCAGACCCTGCACGATTACACAAGCACCACCTGCTGGATCTGAAATTCCTCCGCATTAATCTCGCTTGCCTGTGGGCTCGGTTCAAGTCAGCTGGATGTCAGAGCGGTATCATCCTGAAAACAAATTCCGCTTTGACAGATTAATCATTTTTCGTCCTCTCCTGCGCTCCGCGGTGAGATTGCGAAGCTGCGTCTCGCTCCTGCACCCTTACTGACGCGGCGGAGGACCAATGAAAGGAGCCGGATCGAAGACGAGGCAGGGGGATGTGGATTTCCCATTGGCTGAGTAGATACAGGTTAGTCGTACCTGAGCCCGCCCCCTGTTTACATCCGTGCCATTTCTGTGCCGTTGTGACTCATGCGGCACGGCTGCGCATCGCTGCAACAGAAGAGGTGGACACGTTGCCTCAGATCTCTGCAGTAGGAGCAAGAACGAGCAGCTGTCGTAAATTTCATCCATGATGGTTCAGGCCGTGACAGTCATTTTATGTCGCCACGTTGTGTGTATATTGACATACTGCTTTGATGCACTGCCCGTGACATGCTTGAGGAGATAGAGCCTGCAGGGCTTCCATCAACTGGACACAGACATGTCGCGCTCACTCGCATATTGTCAATGCACGGTCATTCCTTCTGCCAGACTGTCAAAAGGAAGCTGCCATCATGCTTTAACCTCTCTCAGGACAACCACTGTGCCACACACACCACAAGTGTCTGTCCTCTGCTGGCCGCCCATAGCAAGAAGATCTTATTTGCTGGATCTTTAAATCCACTCTCAAATAATTGGATGAAAATGTAATGCATCGAGGATATAAGAGACAGAGCTCCGTTAACCCCACTCGGTTAAAGGTTTAAATCTTATCGATTTGGTCAGGATTGAAACGTTTTATTATAGTCAGGCCTCTTGAGATGGACACATCGTGTTGTAGTTAGCTGGAATGTCACTAGAGGGCAGTAAATACCTAAGCCGTCGTTGTTTGAGCCTTGTTGACAATGCTTTCATTTGAAAAACAGACATTTGGCTAAAATAAAATGCACCAAAAGTACATCTGACAGGATGATTTTCTTTGATAGCATTGATATGTTTATTTCAAAGAGTAATAGTCATGAAAAAATACAAAAAAAAAAGGTTGACCCTTAAGTATATTTTTATTTTGCTGCTTCTTGAAACCTAGAGTGTGGTTTTCTGAAGCCCCAAGGATGTTACAAAGAGTCACACTGATGTAGAATTTGTCAAACTAGACGGGCTGTCCAGTCTGTGTTAACATGGGGATCCAGTGACATCAACACCTCTCTCTCTTTCTGGGGCCTCCCTTTCACGTCCTGCTACAGATCCTATTTCCTTAGGTATCTGGGGTAACAGGGTTTTGCTTCAAGCTCAGTATTTACAGCTTAAAATATAGACAGCCCTGTTTTTAGACCAAGACTGCGTTGACCGTGACCTGCTCCCCATTGGCATACACACCATTAAAAAAGAGGTTGACAGATGATTCAGGGAACTCAAAGTCTTCACAGGATCCACACAGTCCAAGAATGACACTTATGCTGCCGAACTAATGAGGTGGATGTTCAGAACATGAATAATACCCTTAATATACCTGAACTGAAAGTGAATAAAGGGTCTAATATTTGGGCGAAAATGGTGGAAGACTACATGTGTGTTATATGTCCTGAATATGTATAGATGCTGTGACGCACAACAAAAAAGTGAAACACAAAGAAGCTTTTGCCAAATGTGGGAGCCTTGACTCAATGGTAATTGAAAGTGTTATCAGTATCAGTTTTAATGTTTAGAGTACATAGTTATTGAAATGTTTTCTGTGGTATTATTTTTGTTTATGAAACCACTGTGGTCACATTGAGCAAGTTAAAGCTCCAGTAAGTAATCATCAGTTTCAGACAATTTGCCGCCCCCCTGTGGACAAAGCAGACTTTGCTTTTTAGTCATCTGTAGGCTTCTGTAGTGGCATCTCACACAAAAAAATCTTATCCTGCTGACAGAAGACAGTCACATGTATCCTTTGTTTCAGTCATTAAAAATTAAAAAATTGTCAGTTTTATAACTGATGGTCTTCTTTGCTGTTAAATGACCTGAAATATGTCAATATGAATTTATGTCTATTTCGTTAACAAAACATAAACTCGCAGGAGCTTGAAAAGTATGTCACCTGGATAGAGGCACAGAATCTGATTGATTTAAGCCACCGGTTACCTTTTGTGTTGAGTTGGAGTGATGGGTGAGATGCAGTAACTTTAGTCAACCACTTTTTTTTCTTTCATCACTGTAATCACTTTGAATATAAGTTGATCATGAGTGATTTACCTTTTTGTCAATAAGAGATTAAACATATTTCTCTGACACATGATTATTTTTGTTTTCCTTAACATAATATTGTTTTACAGTCTCTTTTCATTAAGTCTAACTCCCCTGAAACCTGTCATCTTAAACAGCCTTGGGTAAAAGTTTTAATTAAAATATTTAACAACAGGCAGGATAATAGCCAGGCAACTGGTATTTAATTGATAAAAGAGCCGGGCTGAAGTTGTTGCAAGGGATGGATAAGACCAACATGCTGCCTAATTAAATGATTTTGGCATAAACAAAAATATAGTTGGCACACATTGGATTATTACATTACTAAATACTGTATGTGCAGAATACAAACACATGTATGACAGTAACATCAATAAAGTGGCACAAAGTAGCAGGAGAATGTGAGACACTGGTCTTTTATTTATCAAAAAAAAAGACTGATGTACTCCCCGCATAATTGGGTTACTTCTTTCAATGTTATATGGGTGATTTAATCTGAATCAGTGTTACAAAGCCCGTGACTAAGTATTTATAATGTGTTGACATTAAATAAAAACTAAAATGAAGATGCCATGTCTGAATGTTTCTGAACCTAATAGTGCTTTTAGTTTCAAATAAAAAAGAAGAGCAGTCCTGTCCCTGAGTGGCTTCTGTATTGTATGTACGTATGTTGTGTCGAATAAGAGACAGATGGTGGTGTGCTGGTGGAAAACAAATTATTGGCTCCAGGTCAAAGGGAGTCCAGGGAGAGTAGTTAGCAACATGTTGGTCTCAGTGCACCACTCCATCATCAGCCTGAATCATCCATTACCCATGCTTCATTGCAGCACTTTGTTTGGACAGGATGGCTCTGTCTGCCCTCCGTATCCCAGACCGATGTATAACCTCACTGTGTCTCATTTGAGAAGAAGAAAACAAGCTACAGAAAGACTCCTGTTTTCTGTTCTATAGAGCCCAACAGAAAGTCACAAACTGTTCTGCAGATTCTGGATTAGATACAAGCTCACTTATAAATCTTTTTACTGGACAGGAAATCAGTTCACTTGCCCTTTCTTTCTTTCTTTCTTTCTTAAATTACATTACCAGAGGAACTGACAAAGAGAGACGTGTGCTTCTGTAATGTTAGGATAAAAAACAGCCTGTTGTTTGAGCTGCTCAGGGTTGCAAACTATTTATGGAAAGGAAAATTAAGGAGAAGTCACTGTTATTAATTTCTCACTTACTTAGTTTGGCAAAGAGCTGCCAAATCTTGGTCTGACTTGCACTAGAGTGGAATGGCTGTGTTGTTAAACTGTCAACAGTGGGGGAAAACAGCGGCCCCATTACGTAATGCACACTTTTAAAAAGCTCAGTCACACAGACAGAATGACAGTTTGTGTTTTAGGTATGAAAAGAGGAATTTACTGAAACTGTTGGATGTGCACAGGAGAACTGATGGGATCGCGTCAACCCATACTTATAAAAAACAACATGCCAAAAGGGTGACGCTAGAAGAGATATTACTGGAACTATAATGACCAGGATTTCCCATACTTTTACACTGTATTTAGATGATGCAATGCCAAAAACGACAGACGCAGAAATTATTAAGGGCCTGTCTCCACTGATGGCATCTGTATAAAACCAATGCAGATGGAATCCTAACTGCAGGAACACCTAAGTGTGGCCTGTTTCTTGTTCCTGCACTCACAGTGCTCTCAGATTAAAGTTAATCAACTTTGTGAAACTGCCCACTTGTCAGTGTCACTTTTACGACTTCTCATATCAAATTTGACAACCATAATGACTGAAGTCCATATGGAGGAGGGACTAATCACACTCAGTTTTTCAGGATACATTTTCCAGGTCTAGAGTTGCTGAAAATGACACACACCTCCCCTCTCAATTAAGTATAACACTTAAATGTTATAGTATTATTGATAACAGCCTTAAGACACACAAGCATTTCTGCATATATGCTTTCATCAGCGTTTCACTAACAATGTGGGTTTGAGGGCCACCTGGTGATAAACCTTGTACTGTTTCTTGTTAACTTGTTGATCATCAGTGGTGACCTAATTTGAAGACACTTTTGTCAGTAATTTGATTGATTACTTTTCACAGGGTTTTTCTGAAGTCTGTCACCTGATGGCATTTCTTTGAAAACTGGGCACACCCATGTTGTTGGTGTGAAATGCTGATGGAAGCCCTGGGCGAACACATGTCCATTCTTAAAGCTGTTGTTGATCTCTGTTATGAAAAGTACCACAATTAACTGTGTAATACTTATTTTGCTTCCAGTACGAAAACGTGAAAACATCAAAAAGGAATTACGCTCGAAAGAGACTGGTTTACATCTTTGCTAGCGTTTTTAAGTGAATGATGTTTCAGCAGGAAATATGGCTTCTTGTCTCTAAGGATGTTCTGATCTGATATTGATATCAGATATTGGTCTGATATCAGAAAAAAATAAAAAAAATAACAATATCGGATTATATCAGTCTGCATTTAAAATCTCTGATATCAGCACTCCGATACAAGTAGTCCATTCCAGACATGATCACAACAACAGTGTGTACTAAGGTAATAACAAAGAAGCAAGGAGTAGGAGTGATGTTGGCTGTGTGGCAGTATTTTTGCTTTGAGTCAGAAAAAGATGTTGCAGCTGAGTGTAAAGTTCTTGCCAATATCAGATCAATATCAGTATCGGACAATACTGAAGGCTACAATATCAGTATCATATATAGAGTAAAAAAAGTTGTAGCGGGACACCCCTATTTATCTCTTCAGATTTTCACTGTTGTCTGTCTTCAGTTGCTGATATCTCAAAATGGGATTACTCATACTAATACAATTCGCAAATATGTGACCCAGTAGAATAATAACAGCACTTCAGATTGTGAAACCTGTTAGTGATGTCCAGGGAAAGTAACTACCATCGTGACTTTCTTTTAGTATCCTGTCCATCTGCACAGCCAACCACTAATGCAACCCACAGCCAAAGATTTGCTGCTTCAAACCCCAATCTGTAAATACACATGATAAGAAGATAACATCATGCTATTCCCCAAGACTTTAAATCATCATATAACTTAATGTGCAACAGTAGACTCCTAAAACAGTAGACACCAATTTTGAAAATAGCTTTACCAGATTCAGTACTGAGTTTGAAGGGTTCGGTCTGATGAGTTGCGTGTTTGACTGTCTGTGTTTTCACTAAGGGTACTGGTGCCATGTCTATGTCAGTAATGAGAGCCCCGGGTGCAACACCTGCACTGAGTTGTCAGAGACCAAACAACACCTACTGTACTGCTGTGAGGCCGAAGTTTTCGTGAGTGTAGGTGCGTGATTGCCTGTGATTATACCCTCTGTGTCACAGCAGACAGCAGCAGGTCATTTTAATGCCTCACCTCAAACACCTCCCACTGAACCTTTGTGTGTCAATTCAATACAATAAAACTAAACTCTAATTATCATTTAACACCATCAATTACCCCCTATGCATCAAATGAGACATTCAGAAGAACTTAAATGTCATTCATAAATTAAGGTGAGAGGTTGTGTTGGTGTTGAATCCTCTACTCTTTTCTTGTGAAGGAATTATTGTCTGCATCAACACAGCAGACTGGCACCTACAGTATGTAAACACACGTTATGCAACACTTCACACCTGTACATGCAATTCTGGAGTGCCGGTAATGGCGAGGGCAACTGGAAAAATTATGTTGACAGTGCCTCAATGACCCAAAGCCCACTTTCCTGCTCTATAAATTTCAGAAATTGCCTCTCTTGCTGAAATCCACCATTTAGAGTGCAGAGGCTGGGAGTAAACAACTCTGTCAGTGAGCACTTCATTTGCAAATACTGTCCTGCTTCAGCATTCACACTGTTTCTCTCATCTGATTTGTTTTTCTTCTGCTCTGCCAATGTCCCCAACAGCCCTCCCTCTGTTTCCTGTTGCGTAATATTATGCAATTCATATTCAAACTAATGTAGCAGTAAAATGTCCCCTCTGAATGAATCTAGGGAAATCCAAATACTGCAAAGAATTCTGGGTTTGAACTTTGAAATTGCAGCCAAAATAACCTCATACTTCTGCTATTTTTCATCTTTTCTCCATCTGGTAACATAACTCATTTGTAAATCATCATCGCTGTTGAACCCCAGCTGAAACTGTTTTTTCTTTTAGTTTTTTTTATTGTTGTTGTTTCTTTTGGCCTTGTCTGCAGGGTTAGTCATGAGAGGTGGATTGGGCTTCCTTTCAAATCTGATTCAGCCACATCAGGTACTATCCCAGAAATCCTCATCAATGATGGCATACTTGCTTTGACAGAGGCAGGACTTGTGTTAAAATCAACTACAAGAGCGATCTCTAGGAGACTCAAATTTGCTTACTTTGTTCCTTATTATAGTTTAAAGAATGCAAGGGGATGTGTGACACTTTTTCTGTTATTTGTCACATTAGATACAAAAAATAGAGATGGATAATCCTTTTCATACAGCAAGCTAAGAGAGCTTGTGGAGCAAAGTGTACCTGGTACAGTTTCCTTATTTCTTTTGGCAAATGCTGTGAATTGTCACTCTCGCTGGTCAGTTCTAACTCATTTGATATGGTGTGGCTAGAGACTCTGTGATTCAGTGTGGAGCCATGTTGAATAAAATGTACAAATTCAACTGTTTCCCCAGTGTTTTCTCACCTTTAGGCTAATCAGCAAGTTTAGTTTCTGTTTTTATCACAAGGAGGTTGGTTGCTTTGAAACATCCCTGGCATCGAAAGTGTTTCTGTTTATACCATAAAAAGCAATGTCCAGCTTCGCTATGGAGGATAGGTTGAAGTAAAACGCTGTAGGACAAGTCCTAAAGCTATCAGCAGTCATCAGACAATGATTAAGCTTTAACTAGTGTCTTTTAACAGACAGCTGTGTGGAAATGCAGTCATGTCCAGATGCCATTTATCCCTAAACATTCTGGCTACAGTCAGTGCCCCAAAAAGTTGCCTAGTTCCCTTATGAGGCTGCATCATCATCATTAAATAACGTATGGGTTCTGAGATTACAGCTCACTCAATGTGAACATTTATAAAGTAAGAAAGCCAGTACACTTTTTTCATTTTACTATTACACAATTTAAGATAAATTAAATCGATGAGAGGACTGTATACTTTAAGAGCAGGACTTTAACTAGAGCTTGTAAATAAATCCAGCACAAAAACATTCATGCCATAATAACTGCTGTGTATGAAGTCAGCCCTAGCATGAGAGAGAGCAAATCTTTGAGTGTTCCCATGAGTTCCCAAAAAACTAAACATGCTGTACGAACCATCACCACCTGGCAAACAGCAAAGTTCGGGCTCCCCGTGGAGCTGCTTCGGCATTCAGACAGAATGTCAGGGTCAGACACTCAGTGCACATGGATCCTCTGTTCACATTTTACAGGTTGTCTCAGCTGTCATGTTACATAAGAAAACACACCTCAGAGGTACAACAATCTGAAAAAGCAGTGACTTTCCACAGGTTGTAAAACGGACAGGTTAACTAGGCGGCAGATTGATCTAGTGGGACCAAACACAGATGTGCACAGTGAGCTGGTTGTCAGAGTAAAATGGTTCATTGTTGTTGGTATTTATATAGGAAAACTTTCGTAATGGCAGAGGCATGTGAATTAAGAAAAAAGGGATGAATGAAAAGGAGACTGAAGAAAAACTAAGGGAAAGTGATACCAGTTAATAAATGTAACAAATACCCCCCTTAAAGACCAGGATGTTATTTTGGAAACTTACAATTGGCAAACTTGTGTTGGTGATTTACTTGCTTCTTCACATTCTGTTCAGCAGAGAGCCAGTCAAAGTCTCAGGCATATCACAGCTGGATAGATAGAGATAGCATGGATACAGCTGGAACACAGGTGATCCACAAGCTGTCCACTTTTAGAGAAAAAGACACGAGTTAGATTTCAATAAAGAAAGGTTTGATTTTCATCTTAATATCCCCAATTCAGTATATTCTGTACATACTTATGCTTATTCTGTGTGTATAGTCATACATATAAATATCTCAATTTTTCAACTGTAATATATCAGCATATACAAGACAGCTCTAAAAAAGACTCATGTATGTATCTTTTTTTTTTTTTTTTTTTACATCTTTTTAAGTCCTAATTTTCTTCATTCTTTAATTTCTCTTTTGTATTTATTGCTGCTATAAATTTAGGAATTTCCCCTTGTGAGACGAATAAAGGAATATCTTATCTTCAATAATGTTATAGGACAGGACTTCATGTTTTATGCATGCACGTGTCTTAGAATAAATTATGCTTTCATATCATGACTGGCTACCAAGGACAAGTTTGCTTACTTGTGTCACCTGCCTAGTTTACTAATGGGTCATTGGGGAGGGGGAGACAGACCCCTTGTGCAAAAGCAACAGTTCTCACTTCAGCCCCGGGGTGCAACTCCAACCTTGAGACCTTTTGCCGGATGTCCTCCCTACTCCTCTGTCTCTCCTCTGTCCTACGGAGTAAGGTTTCTCAAAAGGCTAAAAAAAGAACAGTCCTTAGGACTGGTCATAACACAACTGTGAAATATCATCTGTCTGAAATCCCACTTAAATTTCCAATATGCCCAAAAACTCAGTTGTTTACTTTATACTTTACATTGACTTATTTAATTTTTTATTTCTGCATCATCACTTACTGATAAGTCACGTATTAAGTTGCTGCATCTGAAAAATATTGCACACCTGACTGACAGAAAGTAGTGTATACAACTTCTAATCAAGCTATTGTGGAATTTTTAATGAGGGTGCTGTATCCCACAACAGTGTAAAACCAAAGAATTTGGCTCTTTTGGCATCATGTGGTTTTTATGTGGTTTTGGTAGGAAGAACAAAAGACAGCCTCACCACATCTCCATTCCTAGCCAGATTTCCAGCTGATCCTCCTGTGCCAGACATCCTTCCCAGCGGTGGGGTGGTTTCAGGTCCTCTAAAAGTGCAGGTTACATAATGTTGAGCCTTAACACCCAGATACCAACACTCTCCCTCCAGCTAAAACATCAGCCCATGCCCGGGCCATAAACTGAGTTTAATGTTAATCACATGGTTGTTTAATAGTAAAACTATCGGTCACGAAGGAAGTAAACAGCCCCGCTGGTGACAGTCAGTAGACACATAAAAAGGTGCCGTCCAGTCAAAACAGCCTGTCGAGACATACCAACTGCTGAGACACAATGGAAGAATCCTCTACAGGAAAAAACAAGCATCAAATCGTGTATTTTTCCACTGATCTGTGTGATTTTTCATTGTATCTTTAGGACCACTCATACCAATAACACCATAAGGAAAACACACGTGGACAAACACTCCACACCCCCCTGGCTATATTTCCCTCCCTGACACACTCCTTGTCCCCTCCCTCTCTTTGACAGTTAACTGTATAAATATCCCACTCTCAGCATTGCTGGAATTCAGAGACTGACCTGCACTGACCAGGGAAACTCAGAGAGAGACCAGCTAAAGACAGACAGAGAGAATTTAATAGAGTGGGGACCATCTCTGCAAAACAGGAAAAGATAGAAAAAAGTTTCATCCCAGCTACTCATTTCCAACATGTGGCTTCAGGTGTTTTTCTTGTGTTTCTCCTGCTTAACTCTATCCACTGTAAGCCAAACTCAAGACCAAGCCTCCTTCCACCGCTCCAGAGATCATGCTGGGCGCTGCCAATACACCTTCAGTGTTGCAAGTCCCGAAGAGTCCAGCTGCCCTGGAGGCAACATGAAACCAGAGATTGATGGTGTGATGTCTCGTCTCACTCTGCTGGAGGCTTTGGTCAGCCGCCTGATAGCAGGACAAGATGGTGGTATGGACACAGGGGTCGGAGCTGATGGTGGAGAAGCTTTCTCCCAGGTCACAAGAGAGAGAAACCAGCTGCAGCAAGACAAGGAACGTCTTAACAGGCAGGTTCAGGAGCAGCAGAGGAGGCTGGAAGCACTGAGCCAGGAAGCAGAGAGCCTCAGGCAAAAACCTTGCCGGCAGATGCACACCTCAGGGCATGAAAACAGACCTGCAAGCGGTATGTACATAGGCATGTGAAGGAAAAACATAAAAACCAAAACTAAGCTTTCATTACTCCAGCATCCAAAAAAAAAAAGCTTTCTTTTCAGGGATGCTGTCGAAGAAAATAAAGCTTTTTTCATGACTAAGCTTGCTGTTGCTGAACTTCTGCTTTGATTGTATATTAATGTTTTCATGGTTGAGGGGCGACTGGTCACGTTGCAGTTCACCAGCCAAAGTGAAGTAAAAGGTTAGGAATTTACGACTCAGACCCCTGTTTTACAGCTGTCACTCCTGCATGCTGGTTAACTTTCATGGGATCAATACCAACCTAAAGCTCACAGGGCAAAAACATGAGACACTGACTTTAATACTGTCTGTTTGTTGGGACTGAGGTATAAAATATTATTTCTTGTTATGTATTATGACTTGAAATTCTCTTGTAGTTTTGAACTTTTTATTAATTTGTGTTGTATCTCTTTACTGTGTCTTTTAGACCCTGCATATGACACTGGGAATGGTGCATACCAAGAGATGAAGGCTGAGGTCACAGAAGTCCCAGCATCCCATCTTATTCCTGACGGAAGCAGCACTTTCACAGGTACATGTTGCGTTGAAATGGCACTAATGTCGCTGCTCAAATCGACCCATTGGTTGCAGTTACTAAGTACCTCAAGAGTATCTGACTATCGAGTTCTGATTAAGTGACTAAGTTATGTGACGATTACATCCAACTGATAAATACAAAGTGGTATCATAACATTGTGATTACTAAAATATTTTGTAGCATGGTCAAAGTTTGACAGCTTTCCCTTTTTTTGTAGTTTTGATTTCACTGACTACACTTGTAAATGTGTTTTTGTCTACCCTCCTTCTGATATTCTGATATCTCACAAATACCGTGGATTTGTCCTGTCAGGTTGTGGAGAGCTGCGTTCAGTTGGAGAGCCTGTGATGCACAGGAAGGCTGACAGCATCACAGGTAAGTATGGAGTGTGGCTGCAGGATCCCGAGCCACAGGGTGATGTCTACACCAACAAGACCGTGTGGCGAATCGATGCTGTGGGCAAAGACGTCCGTCAGCTCTTTGCATATGAAGACATGGATCAGTTCTCTAAAGGGTTCCCCATGAAAGTGCTGGTCTTGCCTGAGCCCGTAGAGAGCACAGGGGCCACCATGTACCGTGGCTCCCTATACTACCAGCGCAGACGTAGCCGTACTCTGATCCGTTATGACTTGGCCTCTGAGAAGCTGGCATCACGTCTAGACCTGCCCCACGCCGGCTTTCATGGTCAGTACCCATACTCCTGGGGTGGCTACACTGACATCGACCTGGCAGCAGATGAGAAGGGTTTGTGGGCAATTTACAGCACCAGCAAGGCAAAGGGTGCCATTGTGATTTCACAACTGGACCCTGAGAGTCTAGAGGTGAAGAAGAGCTGGGAGACCAACATCAGAAAGAACACCGTGGCCAACTCTTTCATGGTATGTGGACGTCTGTACACAGTAGCCAGCTACACAGCGCCAAACACAACCATCAACTACGTGTTCAATACAGCCACCAACGAGGGGCGGGCTGTAGCTGTGCCTTTCAAGAACAAGTACCGCTACAACAGTATGGTGGACTACAACCACGCCCAGAGGAAGCTGCATGCCTGGGACAACTTCCACATGGTCACCTATGACATCAGACTGATGCGGTCCAATCAGGATAGCAGCTAAAGAGAACACTGATACAGCACTTTACAGGACTGTCAACAAGATAAAACATATAGTCACTTCTGGTGTATAAAGGCTTTGGCAGAGCTTGATTTCCTCTGTGTAAGATTCTATTTTTTATATCACACTTGTAAATAAAATCTCTTATAGCAGCAGAAATGTATTCATAAGGCAGACTTATGTAGCTTCAACGTAGCCCTTACAGATTTATCAGATATCATATTTTATTATTAAAATATTGTTGATGTGTGTTAAGAAATGTTCATTTTAACTTTTTAATAAAAATGATACAAAACTCCTGCTTGTTAATTTTGTTTGTCATTTTTAAAAGCCATCTCATCCTGCTATTAAGAAAAGCACATTCATGTTCTCTCTTTTTGTAAGGCTGATAATGAGTGGATATCAAGGCCAGTGTACACAACAGATAAGTAATGCAGTAGTTTATTATTACATTTATGTTTTTGGTTAAAAGATAGATGCACACCACTGATAACAAGATGACTCGTGGATGCAGCTAGCCTATTTAGTGTGCATTAATTTCTATCAATATGCACTGTTAGCTTAGCTGAATTCTTGTTTAGATTATGAAATAGGCTACACCAGTATAACCACAGCAAAAAAGAGGATAGCTGAACAGAAGCCCAGTTGACTCACCGAATAAAGTAGGCACATTTTTGGATAGTTATCCCAAAAGTTTTTATCAAACTTTTAATACGTTTGTGACTAAATTCATGAACATACTAGCTTACCTGCCTTTATTCCAGGTCTTTCACACACTACCACATTTATCAACACACCTCCTCTGGAAAAGCCATAAGCTTTAACAAATTTCCTTAAAAGGTTTTGACGCTCTCCCTTAAAAAAAATCCAAAACCAGTCAAGTTAATCACCATAGCAACAACATCTGAGTGGGGGGGGAAATGTCCTGTGTCAAGTAACATAGATAACGAAACATCAGGAGGATTTTAATGGAGCTTACTACAATATTTAAGGCAATTGGTAAAGTATGTTTAAAATGTTCCTTATATTGCCTGTTGGTGGTACTGGTTAGCCTACTGTCTTATCTATGCAGTGCTATCCAACACCAACAGTTTGCTCAGGCTGTAGTCTTCTTAAGCCATAACCAGAAATAAAAAATATCTCAATACCACTGAGATAGTTGTTGACAGAAAACATCACTCAAAAAGCACAACAGCATTGCTACATAGAATGATAAATGTAAGACTGTGTGTGCTGTTTGTTGTATCATTAACAATATAGTCTGTACTCACACATGCAGCCTTAAAAAGTAGGCCCCATCTCCAGACAGTTCTAGAACAGCCTGGACCCTGAACCAGCTTCATCCATGGGTGCAACAGGCCCCACATTAGCCCCCTGTTGCATCTGGCAACAACATCCTTGTAATGCACTGCCCTCTGTAGACAACTGTTAGCACCTGCATTGAGTATCCATCCACATCTTTGACCTCATTTTATCAAAATTAGGCACATGGACAATAAGTTTTCTACTCTTCGTCCTCAAAATTGAAATATCACCAAACACTTTGCGCTTTTCTTACATAGTCTAGCTTAGTTATTTTAGAGATGGCGGCAGATAGTTGACAGTGAAAGAGGAGGCGTGCTGTATTAAAATGACAGTCAAGTGACTCAGCAGCACCTGATGGAAACTTTGGTTAGTGTGTAATGACCTCTGCCCACTAGAATTCACAGCATTACACTGAACCTACTGTGGATTATTTCACATTAACAAGAAACCACACACATGTTGTGACAACATTGTGCCACCACATATACACTACCGTTCAAAAGTTTGGGGTCACATTGAAATGTCCTTATTTTTGAAGGAAAAGCACTGTACCTTTCAATGAAGATAACTTTAAACTAGTCTTAACTTTAAAGAAATACACTCTATACATTGCTAATGTGGTAAATGACTATTTTAGCTGCAAATGTCTGGTTTTTGGTGCAATATCTACATAGGTGTATAGAGGCCCATTTCAAGCAACTATCACTCCAGTGTTCTAATGGTACAATGTGTTTGCTCATTGGCTAAGAACGCTAATTGATGATTAGAAAACCCTTGTGCAATCATGTTCACACATCTGAAAACAGTTTAGCTCGTTACAGAAGCTACTAAACTGACCGTCCTTTGAGCAGATTGAGTTTCTGGAGCATCACATTTGTGGGGTCAATAAAATGCTCAAAATGGCCAGAAAAAGAGAACTTTCATCTGAAACTCGACAGTCTATTCTTGTTCTTAGAAATGAAGGCTATTCCATGCGAGAAATTGTTAAGAAATTGAAGATTTCCTACAACGGTGTGTACTACTCCCTTCAGAGGACAGCACAAACAGGCTCTAACCAGAGTAGAAAAAGAAGTGGGAGGCCGCGTTGCACAACTGAGCAAAAAGATAAGTACATTAGAGTCTCTAGTTTGAGAAACAGACGCCTCACAGGTCCCCAACTGGCATCTTCATTAAATAGTACCCGCAAAACACCAGTGTCAACATCTACAGTGAAGAGGCGGCTGCGGGATTCTGGGCTTCAGGGCAGAGGGGCAAAGAAAAAGCCATATCTGAGACTGGCCAATAAAAGAAAAAGATTAAGATGGGCAAAAGAACACAGACATTGGACAGATGAAGACTGGAAAAAAGTGTTGTGGACGGATGAATCCAAGTTTGAGGTGTTTGGATCACAAAGAACGTTTGTGAGACGCAGAACAAATGAAAAGATGCTGGAAGAATGCCTGACGCCATCTGTTAAGCATGGTGGAGGTAATGTGATGGTCTGGGGTTGCTTTGGTGCTGGTAAGGTGGGAGATTTGTACAGGGTAAAAGGGATTCTGAATAAGGAAGGCTATCACTCCATTTTGCAACACCATTCCATACCCAGTGGACAGCGCTTGATTGGAGCCAATTTCATCCTACAACAGGACAATGACCCTAAACACACCTCCAAATTGTGCAAGAACTATTTAGAGCAGAAGCAGGCAGCTGGTATTCTATCGGTAATGGAGTGGCCAGCGCAGTCACCAGATCTGAACCCCATTGAGCTGTTGTGGGAGCAGCTTGACCGTATGGTACGCAAGAAGTGCCCATCCAACCAATCCAACTTGTGGGAGCTGCTTCTGGAAGCGTGGGGTGCAATTTCTCCAGATTGCCTCAACAAATTAACAGCTAGAATGCCAAAGGTCTGCAATGCTGTAATTGCTGCAAATGGAGGATTCTTTGACAAAAGCAAAGTTTGATGTAAAAGAAAACTTATTTCAAATCCAAATCATTATTTCTAACCTTGTCAATGTCTTGACTCTATTTTCTATTCATTTCACAACATATGGTGGTGAATAAGTGTGACTTTTAATGGAAAACACAAAATTGTTTGGGTGACCCCAAACTTTTGAACGGTAGTGTAAGCCTACTGAAATTCCCACTTCATGTGTCGTAATTTTAAAGCTTCAAATACCATTTTTAATAGTTTAAAATGCAATACCAGGCTAAAAAACTGACTCACAGTCTTGATCAGATGAAAATTTGTAAAAGATAAAGTTTAATTTTATTTGATAACAACAACTGTTCTTACTTGGTTTGTTTTTATCAAAAAGGCCTCAATTGAAATCCGCTCTGGAGATGTTTGTGCATCATTGTGAGATACAAACTTCTGCTTTCACATAACATTAATTTCATAAACCCACCTACACTTCTTTTAGAAAAGCGTAAAAAGAACCCACACAAGTACACAAAACTAACACATCTTAACGTAGTAATAGCACACTTATGTAGCTCTAATACATGATTACTAAATGTCACTTTTTATAACACAAGGGAATTTCTTCATTACACGCTCATGCTACACATTTTCCCCACGCACTTTCACACATACTCCCATTAAGCCCAGTGTTTCCAATCTGCCATTCCCAGTCCAGTGTAAGCTCTGTTGAGTCTCTCTCTCAGTCCCATGAGCAACAGGTCTTGCAGACAGTCCCAGGTCACCCACAACCTTTCCACCAAACTGTAGTGGCAGTATCCCATAGCTAGGCCGAAGCCCACATCTGTAACATACTGTCTGGCAAGAAGCAATCGAGACAGGCTCACCAGGGAAGCCCAACCCAGCACGAGGACTCGCATGGAGGCTGTGTCCACCAGCTGAACAAGGAGGAAGCGGGCACACATGGCAGCCCGTGTGGCATGGCCCGAGGGAAAGGAGTAGCGCTCTACAAAGAAGGTGGAAAGGATTTCAGAGCGGTTCTGAGCCGGCCTGCGACGTCTGACCAGAGTCTTCAGAAATCTGACCAACAGCAGGTCCAACAACAGAGCTATGAGGGGAAAACAAAATGAGGACAATGTCAGTTTCAGTTAGCAATATCAGCCTGAAAACTCACTTGTTCAAAACCATATTTTAACCTAAAGTTATCACTTTAATATTAGACTGACTCATTGTTGGCTACCCATCTTAAATAGTCTCTTCTTAATCTTAATAAAACTTCTCTCTTATAGTACACAATTATTTTCCTTGTCTCTCAGCTTTTTACCCTCAATACCTTTTCTTTCCAACAATAAACTGATGTCAAATTTACCCGTTTCTGTGGGTGATATGCTAACAGCTCTCCCAAGTCTGTAATTGGAGCCCTGTCCTTAGCAATATTTTGTGTTTCATAGCAACAGCCTGCAATTAGACAAACAGACCACTACTGTGCTCACTTGGTAAATCAGAATCAAGTGCTTAATGCAGCCTTGTTATTAATAACGGTAATCAGATACAATACATGATTATAAGTAGTGAATATTTAACATTTAGGTCACATAAAGGGTTTTGATTAATTTGGGGTCAGTCCAAAAGAGAAGGATAATGCCACAGTAAAACTCCAAAAGAAACCCTAAAGTTCTTTTTATGAATGGCTTAGAGCATCTTTAAAGCATGATTTAAAGTTTTGTCATAAAAGTGCTTACAAATTTTTACAATGAGTCTTGTCAAAAGGAATTACAGAACAAAAAGATTTAGAAACAGGGTATTCATCTCTATGTATGACTGAGTGAAATAAAGACAACTGGCGCGACAATACTTTTGATGAATCTGCCAATTGTTTTTAAATAAAGACATTCAGTATTTAGTTTTCTATATTAAAAACTGGGAAAGGCTCATCACAGTTTCCCTGAGCCAGCTGTGACATCTTTGAAATGCATCTATCTCACCAACTATCTTTGCATTTCTTACTATTTCATAACCAAATAACAAATAATTGGGTTGTTGCTAATAGAAGCTGGAAAGAAGCTGGCATCAGCCAATGGTTGATTTTTCCCCCCAGAACTGCAAGAAACCTTCATGTCAATTTCAATGTCTGAACTGAAACGCCAAATTGACCTTGTTAACATTACCTGTCATCGGCCTATAGCTAAAAGAAGAGTTATACTATAGCCTACCCAGTTTTTCCACATCACTGTGGCTTCCTATAGGCGATTGTATACCAGGAATAGTTCGCGGAAGAACTTGATATTGAAACTGTCGGTCAGCTACTGTAGTACACGGTTTGCAAATTAAACATCAGCCCTGTCGCGTGCATGTCTCTTAGTGGCCACAGCTGTTGTCAGCTCCGGCTCAAAGTAGAAAACTTTCCATGACTGCTCTGTTTCTCACTCACGTGGACTCACAAACTGACAGCATCTCTATGGAGCACTACTTGATATCTAATGGGGCAGATGCGGCTTGGGCTTTTAATGGTGTACTTTTATAGACTTTATGGATAATACGCAGATCCAATAATCACTCACTGACTGTCATGGACTTCACTTTGGAGTCGGCAAAACTGTGCGTAATTACGCATTGGTACTATGCACATCTATTGATAAAAGTCATCATTGGAGTCTGTTAGATAACGAACACCAACACAAATGCACGCTGATAAAAACAGCCTAAAATGTATCTGCATTCACAACAGACGTGCATTCAGAGGAGTTCGTTTTTGGAAACGTGTTTGTGGAAAAATTCCTGTTTGGTTCCAAATTGGTTCAGAAGTAACGCAGGAATAGTTTTAGGGTCAGCTTGCTTATGAAATACGTGAAACAGTATCAATAGTAATAGATATGGTAAGTAGTGGTTGTAAAAGATATTAACTAAAAATACATTAAGTTAATTCAAAGGTATCCAAAACATATCCTCCATTCTGAAGTCATTGTTTTCAACCCAAAGTAAAGTAAAATAAAATAAACACATGAACTCACCCAGGGCTAAATTCAGCATGATCTCTTGCTCCTCCACACTCTCTCCCTGTAGTAAAGTGTACACAGTGCCGATAAACCAGGGGATGACATGCCCGGAGAACTCAACCAGACGCACCAGGGGCCGTATGCCACCCAAGGGAGACTCCTCACACGCGCACACACCGAGCCGCTTGGATAGCCACAGATCTATGGCCAGCAGAAACCGGAGTGCGATAGTGAAAATCGGTTGGTTAAGACTGACAGAGAAGTCCTCGGGGGAGAAGTAAGAGCAGCTGGAGCTCCGGCGGCGAGCATGGCACTCAGATGATCCCCGGTACCCACACACAGATCCACGGGAACTATTCCGTCTGGACATGGGTGAGGACATTTCCCTTTAATAAAAAACCCAAGGAGTTGGCCTAAACTTGACGCACGTCTTTGTTGACCAACTGTGCTGTGCAAACTCTTTAATCCTGCAGCACTCTGATGCAAAACATCCTGCAAACTGGTGAGTCCAAATACAAGGGGTTAAAATGTCACCAATTTAGATCTGGACTTGGCCGCTTTAGTCACGTGGCTACAACATCCTTCCTAATGACAGGCAATTAAAGCAAATAGTGAGATCTAAATTTAGCTCTATTCTTTCTTGAGTGCAGATCCCAAAATGGATGCACTGTATGTAAAAATGATGTCACCCATAATAACATTATGAAAATTCTTATGTGACAATCAGGGGTGGAAAAAACTAATCCCATTTACTCATGTCTGTATTTGTGCAATCGTGTAATTAGTATATTACTGTACCAGTAATTCTGTTGGAGTTTTTGAAATCTCTGCTTTTACTTCTTTTATTTTTTTTAAATGTATTTAGTTATTTTTTTTTGATAGTTAGCTACATCTACACTGCAGCCAACCTGTTACTGAATTTAAGTACTAAAAAACTAGCCTTCACATTTTACCAAGTGAATTAATCACATTTCTTCTTTATAACTCTCATTACATGCAATACATATCACATAAATGATACAGGCTGCGTATAAATCCTACTTTAAAATATTCATCAAGCCAAAATTTGCTATATGTTTCTTAAACAGGTATGGCCATTGTTCATGTGTCTCTCCAAGTTCCTGTGAGGAAGACTACTTCGGCTCCCTTTTATTCTATAAAATAAAATTTTATAAAATCCAATTCTTCTGACTTTGATGTGAAATGTTTTGTGTATTTTTAACATTAAACACAGAGAAAGTAAATATTGTAAATAAATGTCTCTTTCCTCAAGTGCCCCTCCCCTTTTGCAGAGGTCTATTTCATGGATATAAAAAACTCCCTATATGAGCTTTAAAGAAAACGATCCAGAATCACTTTCTTGCCTCATTTTTCAGCCATTTTTACTTATTTCAGTTAATTTCTTATTTCTGACTTGTAACAACCAGCTTCTGCACAGCTAGTCACCTAAAATTTCTATTTAGGTAAAATGCTTTTGAAAAAACTGTAGCCTACTTTTACTTAAGATGTTTAACTTACACAACCCAATGACAATCCTGTGAGTAGAAACTAAAATGTTATTTATCTTAAGTGGGAAGCAGTCGAGACGAGCCTAAGTAGGTTATTAGAAACACTGAACGTGCGTAAATCAAGTGAAACTCACCACATCATCAGTCAAAATCTGCTATTGAATAGAGGGAGCAGTGTAGAGGGGAGGTCCCGCCCCCTTTTACCTCGAACTGTCAGTCATCACTGCTGCCGCTGCTGCACACGCGTCGCGACCACCTCCACGCGCACTGCAAACATGCCGGGGATGCTTCTTGGAGATGTGTTTCCTGATTTTGAGGCGGAGGCCACCACCGGGAAAATTAAGTTCTACGAGTTTCTCGGAGATTCGTAAGTGAAAACAAACTTTGAGTTAGTAGTTTTTTTAACGTAATGAAAAAAAAAAAATCGAAGAGTTTGCCAGTTTGGTTTCAGTTCCTGTTACAGCATTGCAACTTCTGTTTTGGACCTTTGCCGGTGCTATTTATGACAGGTATGTGATTAAAGGATAACGTGGGTATCAAAGATTGTGTCAATGATCTTTAGGTTCAGCTGTGGCCTCTAAAGTGCATGAAATGGTTCTTTCACAGATTGGACACTCAATTGTGATCGAGCACTTACTTGATTGAAATGAAAGGTCATATTTTATTTTAACATATCTCTCTTTTAATCACAGTAAAACAATCTTAAAGGCGTTAGATACAGGTCAGAGGTCAGCCCTAAAATCTCCATGCATATGCCTTGATGCACAACAAAACTGCTGACCTCCTGCAAAGAAACCCCCTCAGTTTTGGAGGTCACATCCTGTCTGTTTGATGTCAGATGCATACTCAGCATCATTCGATTGTGCAACCAAATCAACAGACATCAAAAGGGACCTGATAGATTCTAGATACTAAAATCTAACTCTAAATGTAGATATTTGACTCAGATTGAAGCATCATGTTCCTGACTTCTCTCTGTTTCATTCAAGGTGGGGCATTCTATTCTCTCACCCTAAAGACTACACCCCCGTGTGCACCACAGAGCTGGGCCGAGCTGCCAGACTGAGCAGTGAGTTCAGTAAACGCAATGTCAAAATGATTGCCCTGTCCATTGACGGCCTGGAGGATCACCACGGCTGGACTCAGGTGAGACAGCCCCAGCAGGGTTAATTGACACCACAATTAAAGGAACACAGTTGAGATTTGCAAAACCATTGGCTTTGAGAATATAAAAAGACCAAGGGGCTTTCTAGAGTGGGTCAGCTGAAAAGTTCTGAAATTGTTGTCAGTGTTTAATACACTCGATATCAAGTTTTGACTTCCCAGGTGGTTGAAGTGAAAACCCCAACGCAAACATTTTGCAGGTCAAAGGAAGTTTAGACTGTTCTGTTGTCAGCGATGATAGCTCCTGTTTAGGAGGTCAGTCACATTATGTCTGTGCAAATTTCCCCTTAGAATGAAGTCATAGCAAGTGCTGATACTTGGTAAATGTAGTTTTAAAAGGAAGTGATTTTTTCTACACTGGACTGAATCAATTAGAGACATCAAAACAGATTTCATGAGACAAGCGCAAATAAATGTGCCATTGGCAGCATATTTCACTTATTATAGGTGCATGCTACAGCCAAAACTTAGTTTCTTGCTTTGTCAAAATGTAAATGTGCCGTATGGGTGTTTCCTCTTTTAAATCATCAAAGTATCACCAAAGTTGCAAGTGCTTTTATAACTTTTTTTTTCATATATATGATGGAGTTAAGTCAGTGTGGAAGTAAGTGTTTAAACACCTCATGGTCTGTGTCTCTATACCAACAAGGACATCCTGGCTTACAACTGTGAGGAGTCAGCGTGCAGCTCTCTGCCCTTTCCCATCATCGCAGACTGTAAACAGGAGCTGGCAGTCGCCCTCGGCATGCTGGACCCTGATGAGAAAGACAAAAATGGCACGCCACTCACTGCTCGATGTGTGAGAATCTACACAGTCACAGTCTACGCCCTAGTCTCAAGTCTTATACATACATACGAACATTTTAAGAAAGGGTAGTGTTAACCTTTTCAGTCCTGATCTTACATCTGTTTGTATGAAGGTGTTCATCATCGGTCCTGACAAAAGGCTCAAACTGTCACTCCTCTACCCAGCAACCACCGGACGCAACTTTGATGAGATCCTGCGGGTGGTGGACTCACTCCAGCTCACAGCGGGGAAACAAGTGGCTACACCTGCTGATTGGAAGGTGTGTTAAGGCGATCTCTGTAGGCACCGGTCATTCATGGAATCAGAAAGTGAGCTGCTGATGTTTAGAAAAACCTTTTTTGTCTTTCTGTGTGGGTGTCCCTCCAGCCTGGAGACTGCGTGATGGTCTCTCCCAGCATGTCTGAGGAAGAGGCGGCCTCTATGTTCCCAGGGGGTGTCTACACCAAAGATCTGCCTTCTGGAAAGAAGTACCTGCGCTACACACCACGGCCTTAAAAGCCGTGCTGAGATGAATGCCCCAATGACTGACCCTAAATTCAGGGTCTTTTAATTCTGGACATTTTCTGTCCTTTAAGACGGATTAAGAAATCTGAGAATCCTTGTGATGAATAAGTCTTCCAAACAATTCTCCAGTTAAATTATGATATTCAGTAAAGACATTTAACTATGCACTAAAGTGAACCTTGCACTGATTGGCCTAGTTTCAATAGAGGGCAGCTGTTTTTTAATGTATATTCTTGATATTTAAAAGGTAAACAAATACATACATTATGGCTTAAGTACTCTCCATTGGAACTATGATACTGTTGTGTGACATATTTCTTATTGACTGTCTTCTCTCTCATTTTAGACCACTGCAGGAGGAAGTGGTTTTAGACGTGAGGATTAGTCATTCAACACAGCTAGTGAGTTACCTGGTTGTGAAGGTTCAGTATTTGTGGCCTTTCATATAACTTGTTACTGTTATATTGAATACATTTAGTCGGGTTTAAACCTGTTTTCCAATAAAGAGTATTTTAGAGTAACGACACTCAAATGTTTAAGAGTTTGGTGTAAGAATATCTCCACTGCGGGTCATTTTGAAAACAAAGAGATGACTTTTAAAGCCAGGTCGGTCAGGTCTGTTTTTAAGGCGACAGTTAACTCAGCTGTGCAGGATTTGGAGTTCCCCCTCAGCAGGTCGGCAGCATCAGTAAAGAGCTTATCAACTTTGATCCAGACAGCAGGCTCCTCTCTGAGACAAACGGACAGGCGAGAATAGGGGCAGAGAAGGCCGTATGAACAGGAAGCGAAAGACTCTCATAAAACCCAGTGCCAAAAGAACAAAGGAGAGGGTGTTTAAAAATAAATGAGTGTCACTGTTGAGTTGAAACATGGGTTTTGAATTATAAATCAAAACCTGAAAGGGTGGAGTGAAAGGCATGAGCATAGATTCATCAATCTAATCATTTATTGGGAAAGGTTTGAAGGTTAAGGTACTTGATGATTGCCGATGTTTAGGATCTCATGTCACCTCTGACATCCTCCTCTTCATTAGGGGTTAAAAGAGCAGCTACCGCCCTGGAACGTTTTAACAGCCTTCCTCCAGGTCTCCTCCAGTAATATCTGCCAGGTGGTGTGAAACCTGCCAGCTGTCGTACTGAAAACAAACCAAATCCCTGTGCAGATTTTCAGCCACAGGGAGCTGCTATTTTTCTCTTATTTCCTCCATGTTGTTATGAAAATGTTTTTAAAAATATCACATGAAAATGTAGATAATAGCAGTTAAGTTGAGATTCAGCTGCTTGTCTCCAGTGTATGGATTTGTCTTCACCATTACGTCAGAGGTAGCCAGCTCCAGCTTGGTGTCCTCCCACCAGCAGTGTCATCTCTGGTTCATGAGGGTCTGATACTCCCTCTGGTGGGCAAACAGTTGCAGGAACACCTTGTACTTTTTCTTATAGAAGCTTTAAAAACAATAAAATGCGGACAACAATCACTCAAACTGGATGTACAGAGCTGTAATTCAATTTTCAGATGCTTTTCCATTTGACAGTGACTGAGTTTTCTGCAAGTATATGAACACAGTAAAAAAACAGAAAGATAACTTTTTCCTCACAGAGAAAACGCTGCCATTTTGCGTCATTTTTGAATAATTGAATGACTCTCTTATATATGTTTAAAAACGACTTTGTCTCACCTCTGGAGTTCATGGTCAGGCTGAACAACTTTCCCCACTTTGGCCATTTTTTCCATCGCCTCCTAAAGCAGAAATTTCAAAGAAAAACAGCACTCAATAAATTATGCTAGGCACACTCCGTTTGATGCCAGCCCTGACCCAGTTATTGTATTAGCACAAGCCAACTGTAGCAGTTTTGGTGTGGCTCGGTTTATGACTAATGCAGAGCAGGGCCTCTCTGCTGTCTAAATCTACAAATCCAGCCCGTGGACTGTATGCGGCTCAGAGGATCAGACACAACAACTGCCTGTCGTACTTGTGGCTGAAAATGGATTGACAGGTGCGGTCGAATCCAAACAATAACCTCTTATTTTTAGAACATCTGGCTTAAAGGCTTGTCCCTCTCTTGTCTTATGAGCTCTGACACTGAGACACCAAAGGATGATGGCTCGACCTCTCAAAAAAATTCATCATCACAACACGTCTTAAACATATTGTGGGTAAATCTGCTCAGTGACTGAGGCATGCAAGGCCGAGCACACTTGGTCTGTGCATACCTTATATTATTGTTCCACCCAGCAGATGGAGGCAGTGAGTCAGCGGTTATAGAATCCATGCACACCACAATGAGGTCATTTGTACTAGACACAAGACTGCTTAAAAAACGGCTTTAAAATACTGCTAAATTAAAAATAATACAAAAAATGTTTCCATATAAAGTTCAGTTTGTAAAGTTCAGTAAAGTTTTCCTCATAAATACTATTCTTTTTAGTAGCTGAATTACATTTAATAAAAATGAAAATGACAATGTGTGCCACAGTCACAGTCCAATAAATTATGCAAAACTAAACTACATTTAACTGAAAATAGTACAAAGACAGTATGTCAAATAACGAACCAGAAAAATTATATTGTTTTCTGTAAATTACACGGTCATCATTTCAGATTTTTGACACTAATTGTAAGTTTAAAAAATGATGGGACAGCGGCATGTTTACGACTGTGTTTGCATCACCTTTCTCTTTACAGCACGGTCAATGTTTCGGAATCAATGGTGACCTGGTTTTAGTGTTTGGAAATTATAATTTACTATTGCCGAGCCAATGAAACATTCGGTTTCAGCTGCTCAGCAGTTCAGGACCTCCTTTTCACTTTCACCTTTCATATGCATCCACATACTGCCACAGGTGCTGGCTTTTGGATTGAGTGCTCATAACAAGAGGGTGGTCCCACCTCTCAACTGAGTTGAAAACCCAGCATTCATGAGCATCCATGATTTCCAAAGCAAATGTCAAATTTGTATTCAAAAGTCCTCAGGATTTTTTCCACTTCAGTTCATCTTCAGCAGGCTTGGGCCCAGAGAAGTCACTTGCATGGATCATGTTTATATGTGGTTTCTTCTTCACATAGTGTAGCTATAGACAGATAGATGTATAGAGATGTAGCTGTAGATTTTCAGCCTGTGCTGTGATTTCCACTGCAGAGTCTTTGAACGCAGTGCTGCTAGAGGGCCAGAAGATTGCAGAATTAAGTTTCATGTTGCTTGGATGAAATTGAAAATGAGTATTAAACAATTTTTAAAAATCTGTTTAAACATTAGATCATTTCCACTTAAGCATTTTTCAGTTAAATGAAATATCTAAATGATTTGTAAAACTTCCAAATGTGTGTTTTATGAACATTTTACAAAATGCCCTAATCTAAAAGTGTTACATTGAAAAAAACAGATAATATCTAACATGCACAGATAAAAATTAAATATAGAAAGTTCACATCCCTGATGTCTGTGTGTGTGTGTGTGTGTGTGTGTGTGTGTGTGTGTGTGTGTGTGTGTGTGTGACATTTCACCTGTATAGTGCTGTAGTCCTGTGACGCACATGCACCCAGAATTCCTGCTCCTATCAACACAGCCTCCATCTGATCAGGCAGTACTACTGGCAAACCTGAAGAAAAGAACATTAAAGAAGTGGTATAAGATACATGTGAAATGCTGACTTACAAAATTGTATTTTTTTGGTAAAGATGTTCCAAGGAAGTTCTAATGGTACCATGAAATTTGAAGGGAAATTTCTTTCTAGCTCAAATCAGCTTCTGTATCCCACCCAAAGTATTATACCTGTAGTGTTGGCGTGAATCTGCACAAACAGGGGATTTTTGCTCAACCCGCCGCACAGAAAAAGGGTTTGGATGTCATGTCCTGCTTCTTTCATAGCCTCTAAAATATGAAGAGTACCAAGCTGCAACCAGATAGAACACATTAGGAATTAGCTTACACATAAAATTAATAAAATAAGTTATTACTTTTAGCTACTAGTTACTTGTTTGTTTCATCAGGGATCTTATCAAACAGGGCACTTACAGCGAGGGCTTGTATAGTCGCCAGATATAGTAAGGCCAAGTCATCCAGGGTTTGGGAGAGTGACAGTCCAATCACCTGCAAAACAGTGAAGAATCATTCATGCTAAAGAGTTTCAATAATGAGAACCAGAGTAGGGATTCATTTACTGAAAATGTGGTTTTAAAAGCAGCCGTTACTGAGGCTGTCATATCTCAAACATCAGCAGGGAATTGGTCAAAACAAGATCCAGCAACTCTCTGCTCACTGGCTTCCTGCTTTCTAGTGCTACAGATAAGTCCTGGAGACAATAACCACTTTACTGAATGCAGAAACCATGCAGGGGCTCAGTGTTATATCTGCACTGACAAGGACATAGAATTTCTGAGAACTAAACATAATTTGTTTAAAAAAATTACAATAAGGAAAAGGAGGATCCATAAAACAAGAAAAATGCTCCACCTTTGATATTTTTGTGGGCTAAGAATTGACACAGGATGTGATAGCAGTGTTTTTTCAAATAAGCAGCTTTCTGAATTGCTGTCTGGATTTATCATAAATTCACTTTTTAAACAAAAGTTTTAAATCCTTTGGTTTATTTCAAACATTTTGAATACAACATCTGTTAGTGCACAGAACTGGGGCCAAGAAGTGATGAGAGACAGCAGGTGAAAACAGCTGGACTGGGTCTGTTCAGACTTTTTACTTAAGCTTACTAATAGTAATTTTGATAGACCATTAAAATGGTGTCTCATTGGTTTAATGTGTATGTGAGGGAAATATGAAAAGGTTCACTTTAGCTGGTCTAAGTGGGCAAGGTAATTCTTCTCCCAACTCTAGCCTCACACACGAGGCAATAAAGGAGGCAATCAAAACAAAAAATACACCAAAAGCCTAAAAAAAAGTTAATTAAATCAGCCTCAATTAAAAATATGTCATCCTCTAGATTACTTGAAGCTTTGATCCATGTTTCCTCACCATGCCCTTTAAGGTTTGGTCAGCCAGAGGTGACCTGTTTCCGTGAAAGTCCGGCCAAACATGAAGGCTGGAGCCCAGCAGGTCAACAGCAGAGCCGGAGTTCACCATCAAACTCAGGTGGCTGTTTAGGTAACTGTAGATGTTCTTGCCAGCAAAGGGAACTCTGGGTAAAACAGTAGTAAACAAATGGAGAACTTAATATGATACACGACATCCTAGATGTCTTACAAAAGCTTAAGGACTTTTTTAGAGCAGGCATTTTGTTGTTGGAGGGTCTTAATAATCTCTTTCTAACTGAGGCTCAGAAAATTATGATTTAATTTGCAGCATCCACAGAATAGTTGTTTTATCAAGAGCACACAACAATACTGATCCTCTAATCTTCTCAGAGCCTTCAGGACATAGTCAAACATCAGAGTTAGAAGCTATTATGGAACAATTATAGGAAGTTCAGCATTAAACTCATCAGCTGACCTCTGACGCGCCTGTTCCTGGAGATGGGTGTAGGCGGCGTGACCCTTGACAATGTGCTCGATCTGGTGGAGGAGATGATTGCACATAGGAGATAACAAAAAAACAATGATGACATTAATGATGACATTGGAAACTTGAGAAGCTCCAACTTTTCTTGTGAAAGGTAAGTGAACTTGTCATTAAACATACTGCTGAGAAAAACAAAAGTCATGAAATTTACAGCAATGCGTACAAAGACAAAAGCTTTAAATCACACCCAAAAGGCAACCATCTTTCTGCTGAGTGATTAAAATATTCTGATCATGAAACTATGCATGAAAATACAGAATTAAAGCAAAATGTTGTAGTGTTGCAGACTGGTCCAGTTCTTTTATCTTTTTTCTTTAGATCTGAGAAAACACTACTGCCTAGTTCAGAGCTACAAAAAAGCATATTCAAGATTAAAAAGTAACGATTATCCAACAGCCTCATCAAAATTAGAACTGATTCTTGAATTTTTTTTTCTAATTTTATGCTTTTCTGAGCTTTGCTGATCATACTGAAAATTCCTTATTTAGAATTCAATTAAACACTGTGTGTCTTGTGTGCCTCAGCTAATTTAAATTCAAATCAGTTCATACGTTATAATGTACCTAGAAATCAAATTTTTGACCACCAATCTCACAATATTCTCTAAAAAGTACATAAATACCTTTGCCTTCACAAAGGTGTTTGAGGGGTGAGATTTGCTGTTTCATCAGAGTGCATTTACGCAAGAATTATGAACATCTCATTTTTTCATTACATAAAGTGTGTGTGTGACCTCATGAACATTGTCAGAACATGGACTGACCAGCCTTCCTGTTGCACTCTGTCCTCCCTCATTGAGCCACATGTCAGGCACCATGGCAGACAGGTAGGGTCCCCACACTCCAGGCACAAACAGAGGCCTCTCACTGATCTGTATCAAATTTATAATGTTCATAAGAAAAACAAATGGTTTTACAAATATAAGAGAACATTTGAAGAGTGGTAACACATGAAAAGTATTAAGAGGAACCACAAGAGTTGGATGACAGATTAAGAGCCATACAAATTTTTTAATGTGATCATGATAGGACCTGCTTTCTTGTTATGTGTACTAGTATCAGCTGTTGAAAAACTGATGTCAGTCAACAACAAGCTATACAAATGGAACATGAATGACAGAACAGACTGAACATCACTTCTACTAATGTATACGAAATGACACATTTGTAGAGTTTCAAACAGAGTTCAGGTGGAAACCTCCAAAGATGACTACAAACCACTCACTGCCATGTGACAGGTCGATGTACCACAGATCATGGCCATACGGGATGTGATTGGCTGGTCCTCACAAGGTAAGTGAAAGCCTTTCACATCTGCACCAATCACCCCTGGACAGAGAAGAAACACAGATGGTAATCTTAAGATGATCACAATCATTTAGATTTCTTTTTACAGGGACAAAATAACCATGTGAATTTCTTTTGGTGTTTCTTCATACAAAGTCTGAAGACCTCTTGATGGAGTCCAGTCAGTTAAGGATGTACTTTTATGAACTGCAGATCAAAAGTTTGAAATCCTTTTGAAGTGCTTCTCTAACCTTCACATGCAATTCAGCAGTGACACTAACTGCTGGAATAATGTTTGTCAAGCTGGTTTGAGTTTAAGGTGGAGGGTTCAGGGACAGGGGGAGTACACCACAGTGACACACACAACAACTAAAAGCGCACAGTGTTTTAACCTCTGACTGATACAACAATGTGTGATCGGCAGAGGTCGCAGCCAGGGGTCACAGGGCAGAGTTCGTCAGCAGTTTATCTCGCAGAACAAAACCAGATGGTTTGGATTTCTGAACCAGATGGATGGTCTACAGCTGGACTGAAGCCAGAAGATACAGTTTGTCCACAGACATCTGTGTGTGACATGGTTTCTAAATACAACAGCCCCTTTCACACATGGACTCCTGACATTTTCCTGAGATTTTGGGGGGCATTTGGGCTCTGATAATTTAGGGACTTGACTTTCACACCTCACATCTGGAGGTTATCTGTGTCTCAAAAATTAAAATATGCTTTTTTAGTTAAGGTGAAAAGGGGCAGCATGTGCAGGGGCAGGAGGAGCCCGTTACAGTGACTACTTCTATTCCTACAGCATGCAAGTACTGATTTCAGTAAGACAAACACATTAGTAGAAGACAATAAACCTCTAGTAGATGCGGCAAGTTGTAAAAAATATCATATTGAATAAAAGATTTAAAAAAAAAACTTTAAAAAAATTCTGACCTTGTATTTAAGACACTTAAAGCCGCTGAACTTCCTGTTTAAAATCATCATATTCTGCTGAGATTAAAATCCATTGTCTGATGAGATCTTGACCTTCCACTACATAGATGCTTCATGATATCATAATGAGTAAAATACCACATAAAAAACTGCGCACATTCGGCAGAATAATACTGCTTCAATGAACATATTTAAGGTTCTATACCAAGGCCTCCTGCATGAGCATCAATGAGGGAAGCACCAACGGCAGTTCCTGGTTTCAAACCCAAATCTGTTGCTGCCTCCTGGGTGAGACCTTCTCCCAGTGAGCTCCCTGGAGGACACGTCACACTGCCTGGATATGAAGAAACAGCACTTATACAATTTCATTCCATTTCAACAATGTGGTCAATAGTTTGGAGCATTTCAACAGACTCTAACTTCATCAACTCAACAATGAATGGAGAACAATATTTTAAACATAAGAGCTAAAATATAAGGTAAAATCTAATATGAAGTCTGTGTAGTTTGTAGTTAAGTAGTCTACCAAATACAGAAAACAACTAAGGACCGTAGAAGGATCAGTCTATAAAAAAATCAAAATCAAACCAAAGAGGCATTTAGGCTCCACTCTTCTTGGTGAGATTTTGATGCTTTTTTATCAACACTAATTCATTTGAATCCTTTGAGTGGATTATGCGCTTCACAAATCACACCATGCAGTATTTTTCAATGCAATTTTAAAAATTTTTATAAAGCTGCTAGAGAATAAACAGCTGCTTGTTTTTACAGCGTTTCATACCTATTCTTGAGAAGTTGTTTTCAGGCAAATCCTCTAGTCCAATACTGGTCCAAAAACTTGCATCCCATCCTTCTGGAGGACAATATGTCCATTTACACACAAGAGTACATAAAGACCTGTTCAACATTGCAAAATAGTGTTGTCACATTTCAGGATATGTCTGTGGTGGAGACCACACTAGCAAAAACAAATAAAAAGAGATATTTTAATCTAATCTTTGAGTGTTACATCTTGGTGAGAGATAAAACAGGTAGAAGATTTACCGTGTTAAAGATCCAGTTGCCTTCCATGACAGAAAATCAGGAAGATCGAAAAAATGAGCAGCTTTGTTCCAGCAACTTTCTCTTAGATTCTGAGGGAACAATGAGAGAAATTAGATATTATGTAGCACTGGGAACACATACAAGCACTGAGCTGACACACTTAACAAAGGTTTTAGAGAACATGCTTCTAACTTTACATCTATTGGAAGAAAAGGTGTGTAATGCTGGTTAACATTTCAAACAAAAGCAGACTCATGCTGTGCAACTAATACAAAGAGTGAAATTAAACATACAGAGATCAGCGATCCTGTGGCGACCCCGCTCACCTCTCACCTCTTTGAGCCAGAGCAGTTTAGGGGGCTGCATCTCTGGTGACATGACCCCTCCAACCCTGCTCAAGACCCTGTGGCTGCTGTTTGTGATCCGTGCAGCTTGCTCTTCTGCACGATGGTCCATCCACATCACCACATTCCTTTGTATGTCACCTGGGGTAAACAGGGGGACACCGAATAAAAGAAGGACTCGATCATGTTTTATAATATTGGCAACAAACATACATCAAATGTTTGATGATTGATATGCTCATATTTATTCACTGGAAAACACATGAATCTCTTCCATCTGCAAAAGTTCTGCTCTGTGGCTGACCCTGACCTCTGACCTCAGAGTGGAGGAGGGGGCTTTACCTTAGGAGATCAATAAAGTATCCTTTTACAGAGCACTAACACAGATCACCCAAGCAAAACATGCCAATGCAATCTTTAAAAAGGCATTTTTATGACATTTCACATACTAGTAAAATGTACCTGAAATTTCAAAACCTTCAGTTCTGCTATTAAAAATGTCCACAATGTACTAAAGTGTCAATCAAAGTTTTCTGAGATGACTAAGCAGAAATAATAGAAAAATTGAAAATAATGTGTAAGAAACAAAGTTAAGGAGCAAAGAAATTTGTCACCTACCATCCTGATTGACTGGAACAGGCTGGAAGCTTTGGTCCAAAACCACAAGAGAGCAAGTGGCATCAAAGCCGATCCCTCGAATCTGACTCTTCTCCACATTGTGTGTTACTCTCTGGAAGGTACATTTCAAATACAGTTGGAAAAATCACACAACAACAATGTGTTCAAACCATAGACTGTAAATATCGATATACAGTCTATGGTTCAAACATGTTTAGTGTCTTCAGAGTTGTTACAACAGAGCGTAAAAACAAAGTGAAGGGCTCTCTAACATAATACCTTTGTTTAACAGTCAAAACCACTGTTAGCTATTTTAAGCGGAACCTGAAAGGAGTAAACAAAGTGGTTCAATAGTTAACTTCAACAATAGATAATGGATTAAAAGTTTAGCATAGGTGGTATTTCTAAGGTTAGAGTTTAAAAAAGCAACAGGGTTAGTGATGATTTGCACTGTGAGTAATGGATAATCCCATCATGCAGGTAAGTATTGTTAAAAGAACTAGACAAAGTTGTCTAATTGTTAGCTGGAAGCAAAAACGAACATTTGAAATCCTTCTCATCTACAGTACTGTGTAAAAAGTTTGAATGTTTTGGTAAATGTGAAAGACTAACAGTTTAATGTAAAGTAATGGGTTAACAGATGATATGGTCAGCTGTATGATCACTGACTGCTGTTTCATAGGCTTAAGGTATGAGATAAACAGTCAATGTAGTTCACTAATCTTTTTATTATAAAATAAAAAATGATAGTGGATACACATTAGCTTTAAATAGACAACCAACTCTTAGCTTACTTTTAGGTAATCAGTGTCAGTGGATAAACAGTTTAAGTAGTGGGCTTAAAGTGAAGGATGAAAATGGGAAATGTTTGGAGAGCTGAAAACAGTGGCAAAAAGTTGTGGATTGTAATAGCTACAGTAGATTTGTCATCTAAAAGTAATAGGCAAGTAGTTGCACTGTTTGCAAAGGTTTTGATGGATAACTGGATGGAAACTGGATGAAAAACAGCTTCTACAACTCCTAGGTGGAAAAAGTCAAAGTTTTCTTTTTCTGGATCAACGTGGGGTTTATGATGGGGTCCCTGAATTTACCTGGGACTGGTCTGAGATGAGCCTACCCTGACAACTGTGCAGCATTTGTCCCAGATCTCTGTGGAGGACTGGACATAGTGGTCAGCCTGGGGCTCCCAGATGCTTATGGGCTCCTCTGCAGTGCTCTTCAGCAGGCCTGTCCTGGTCACCAGAGCTGCTCTCACGCTGGCTGTGCCCACGTCCACTCCGACATAATAGACCTCCGCCATGAGGGGACGAGCTTCAGTAGCTGACAAAAAAGGAGGTGGGGGCAAAAGGTCCAGGGGTTGATTGTTTACCAGGTTACACCGAATGTCTACTTTAGTGCTTGATATGAAATGGATGAAATTTAACCTTCAAATCGTGCAAGTACTTTTCATCGATATTTTGTCCCTGTTTGGTCCTAAACTGATCACCGTGATATCGCTACAGTAAATCACCGCTATACAGAGGAGAGATTTCCCCAGCAATAACTCGCATCGAATAACATTTAATAACTAATAACACATCCTCAACAGAAAATAATGTGTGTGCATCTGCTGGAACATAATCTCGGAACTTACCGGTGTATAAAAATCTTTTTTCAGTGCATAAACATCACTCCTGAGTTTGTTATCAGCGTACTTTGTGCTGCAGACGATGAATGTGACGGAACGCGAAAGTGGACAAAAAGGACAAAGTTGATTTCGACAGTCCAGTGCATGAACGACGGGTTGTTTACCTATAATTGGCTAATTTTAAATAATTTTATAAAGCTATGACGCATTAGAAAACTTCTGCACCCAATAAATCACAAACATCTTCTTACACTTGCACAAGTGGTTACTAAATGTGAGAATTTAATATCCCTATCTACAACTATATAGACCGTCTAGAACCTAGACCGTATCAAGTCATAGGACTATAAAAAAATATGCATGGCCACATCAAAGAATCCTAGTGTTAAAACAAGAGTCATGGAGATGAAACGAGGACATAGACCTACTATGTCTCACCATTTGATATTGTTCGTGAGAAAATTCCACACAAAAGCATAATGTCAGCTGAGACATCTTCTGCATTGTTTATTTAATCTTATAGTAGTCTGCCTTTTAGTCTAGCTTTATCATACTAAATTGATATTCTGGCATGGTGCACACTCCCAAATTAAGCTGTTAACTACATTACAACAGACAGACAGAAAAAGAGGGGCACTGCTATTCCAGAAAGTAAGACCTCAGTTTAACCCCGTTTTTTTTTTTTTTTTTTAAGACCCATACATTAGATTCAAAGAGTTTCCCTTGGCAGGACATCCTTATTTAATCAAAGACTTATAAATGTTCTAAGATTTGTCTTCTGATCTCCCCATGTCCTCCATGGATAAAATACAAACAAATAAATTTAAGGTTATGTATCATCTGGTAGAGTAGAAATATAAACAATTAAGGGCTCAACTTTTAATTTCAGTCATTATCCATGATGTAACTCATTTAACTACTGCAAACATTGTGTACACCCCCCTGAGGCTGCGAAGCCCTTATAAGTCCTGAAACCACCTAGAGTATAGAGAATGGGCTTTTGTTCTGTTTAAAATGTGACTGGCATTGCAACTTGGAGAAGGACATCTAGGACATTTGCTCATAATTTTCATAATTTGATCAAAAGAATACTTTTGCAGCAAACATTTTGGCTTATCATTGCAGCACAAATGAAATGAAAACCAAGTCACTGTCCCATTTGAGGGCTACTATAATTCATGCTGTTCAGCCAATATGCACAATAAAAAGGCACCAGGGCAGCCTTAACTAAATGAAACGCAGCCATGGCTAATGTCATTATGTACATCTCTGCTTTTTGGCTGAGGCATACCTAAAAGAGCGCTACAGAAAATTTGTACTTGTTACTACATGTCCAGAAATTCAACATCAATTACTGACATAACTTACTGCAATACATTTGAATGAGTTTCAGCGATGACTCAAAGTATTTGGGAGGTCAAACTCTCTGCTCCATTGTGTTCTTGTCTAGGAGGAGATCAGCAGCTGTCTAAAGGAAGTCTGCTGGCTGTGATCAGTGTGTTTGGACCAAGAACGATCAGCAGAGATGGTGGACAGAGAAAAACCAAGCAGCAGGACAGGAAGAAGCAGATGGTCTTCAACAAACACTGAATGGACAGTGTTTGAAATCTCATCTGTCTTTCTCCCTGCTCGATGTATCCGTGTCAGTGTTTGTGGGTGTGTGTATATGCATTTCCCTTGGGTCCACCCCTAAAGCTAATCATAACTTTACTCTGTTGATATATCCACACATGCTCATATAGTCATTTTCATGTTTTGCTCTTAAGAAATGTAAGAATGTCCCAGGCAGGCATGTTGGGAGGCAGGCAGGACGAGCTCCTGATTAGAAAACTTCTCACAGTGGAAACAGCTGGCCCATGCAGGGAGGAAGAAAGCTCTGTTATCTGAAAGCAACCCCATCAGGCCAGCAGAGGGGAAAAGCTGACAGAGAAACAGGAAGTACAGCCGAGGCACAGCAGCAGTTTGATAGGAAAATAATCCTCAGTGGAGCTTTACACAGGTGCGCAGGGAGTTCAGAAAGTTATTATTTCATCAAGAGCAGCTCTGTTATGTCAAGAGAGGGAAAAACTATTCGAAAATAAGAACTGAGGCCTTGTTTGACTTCATTGCTGCTTTGGAATTAGACACGAGCGTTTCTGAGGCATTCACAGTGATGGATTCCCACTTCAGGGTGTCAAATACTTCCAAACGGGTGTTGCACGACGTGTTGGGAGGACAACATTTCATCTCAAGAGTGTTGACCTCAGGCAGCTCTGGTTCTCCCAGGCTGTCTGGGGCTGTTAACTTATTTATAGTCGGCTTGAGGAGAACATGTTGAATAATACAATGGAGGAGGCCAGACAGGCTGGACTGCAGCTGTAAAGAGCCTTCAATCATTCGTGGGGCCTTTTATTTACCTACCAGCCCTTTAGAAGTGACCCAAAGAATATAATATATCTAATCTACTTTTATCTAACACGGGACTAGGTCATTACCACATACTGTATCATGTGGCCAAATAAGGAGCCTGACCGGCCCATGAGTCTTAACCTAAAGTCTATACTAGAAGTATGTATTTATAGTATGCATGTTGATTTCACAAGACATTCACCTCCATACATTGGCTGATTTCTTGTGTTTAACCTATAAATGGTGAGACATGCTGATTAAAACAACAATTAATATTTCACAAATACACACAAGTTTTATGAACTCTGTTTTATATTGCTGTAGTGTTTCAATCTTACATTATTGTATCATATTAATGATGTGGTGCTACTAAAGATATGCTGCTGTTTTATAGTATCACCTCGTGCATTCAGTTTTTTAGTATTGATCTATATCATGTTACATTATAAATGTCATAGTTGGAACGAGTGATTATGCTTATTTGTTGGAGTTGTCAGTGTCATCTAGTGATGTTATATGGTGGTTCTGTACTATTTTGTAGCTTTTACAACATGCTGTTCGTTCTCAGCAGAGGCACTGTCTCTACTAATGTTAAGTAGCTCATGGCTAACTGTGGCTCAGCTGAATGACTATACACTGTTTCAGTCAAGAAATTAAATCAGATTTAGAAGATATCTACAATAATGAAAAGATTAAATAAGATACAGTAAAATACAATAGAATTAAATCAAATACAGTAAAGTAAAGTAAAATTCAACAAAGTAAAATACATTAGAAGAAAATTTTATTGAATACTGCAAAACAAAGCACAGTCAAATAAAATAGTAAGATAAAATTAAATAAATTATTATTTAAGTAATGGACATTATTCTAAAATAAATTCAACACCTTTCCTCTAAACATTCCTAAAGAAGTAAGACAGAGACTCTAAAAAGCTGCTTAGTTTTAAGAAGAGCTCATTATGAGCTATTGTTTCCTGTCTTTTACAACAAAAGAGGTCTTAGCACAGGTATGACCTCATTCATTTTTTTTCTCTGTTGCTTGAACCCTTTACCTTGCTGTCCAGCAAAAGGCACTTTCCCATTGTGTTTTCATAGGTTTATATAAACACTGACAAAGCTTGTATAGCCTACATACAATTGTATTTTGATATTGATGTAGCTTCTCCATGAAAAGTCTTTGTCAGTCTTAACATAACGTTTTGATTTGTCATTTAAATTAATGTAACACATTTTACTTAACGATTTTAACGAGCTTTAATGTGCAAATCAGTTTTAACCTCAATATTGTAATGTGGGTCAGTGCCGTCTTTTAGGGATGGGTAACTAATAATTGAGCGGGTAACTAAATATTCAAAAACACTACGTAATCCCAGAGTACATTGCTCCACTGTCTGCATTACCTAATCCCATAAGCCATCGCGGGGGGGCGGGGATATGGCTAGTTGTCAGAGCAACCTGCATGTCATTAGTCAACCCCCGCCCAATGAACCATCTCCAGCCAATCAGAGGCCGTAGAAATGACATCATTGTTATTTTCAGTGGAGCAGCAGCTTAGAGGTGGATAAAGTTCGTCTCCACGTTGGAAGTGATAGAAAGTATTATCCCGTGTCAGGCTAGGTTTGTACTTTTTTAAGGAGGAGAGGAAATCAAAAAAGGATACTTCAGGTGTGGAAACAGTGGGGTTTGGCGGCGGAAGGAGCTGCGGTATTTGTTTACAATCGGCTGTTGAAAAGAAGAGAAAAGTTCTCTCAGGACACGAAGTTGTCAAGTGAGTTGAACTTCAACAATAGGCGGACTCGATCACAAGACACTTCAGAGATAAAGAGTCACAGGACGGATGTAAACAGGCGATTCTGGACACTTTTATTTCATGAGATAAGGTAAATACAAACTTTATGTCCAAGAAAATGGAAGCGACTTTCTACGACGAAGCCGTGAACGCCTCAAACTCTCAGCATGACGGGACGGCAGCGGTGTACGGCTTCAACCCCAAAACCCTGAAACAGACCATGACTCTAAACCTGAACGACCCCAAGAACTTCAAGCCCCAGCTGAGCGCTAAAGCCCTGGACATCCTCACGTCCCCTGATGTGGGTTTGCTGAAGCTGGCCTCTCCGGAGCTGGAAAGACTCATCATCCAGTCCTGCAGCGGACTCACGACCCCCACCCCGACCCAGTTCCTCTGTCCCAAGAACATCACGGACGAGCAGGAGGGATTCGCGGAAGGGTTTGCAAAGGCTCTGGCTGAACTCCACTACCAGCAGCCGGCCCCCGCCGTGCACCCTGACGCACAGATGAGCGCCAGTAGCAACATGGCATCCGGCGCTGCTGTGTCCGAAGGCGGTGGGATCCCTTACAGCTGCACAGTGCGCACAGACCCACCCGAGTACACCAACTTGGGCACTTTCAGCAGGTCTGTGGGCTCTGCGTGTGCACCTGCCGGCGAGAGGCACCCACCTATCAGCTACCCCTCCGCCCCGCAGCAATCCCACAGCCACATGGACCACCAGCTCGCGACTGCGCAGCACTCGCGGCTCCACGCGCTGAAGGAAGAGCCGCAGACTGTTCCCGAGATGTCCGGAGAAACCCCCCCACTATCCCCCATCGACATGGAGAACCAGGAGCGCATTAAAGCAGAGAGAAAGCGCATGAGGAACAGGGTGGCCGCGTCCAAATGCCGGAAAAGGAAGCTGGAGAGGATCTCCCGGCTAGAGGACAGGGTCAAAAACCTCAAGAGCCAAAACACGGAGTTGGTTTCCTCCGCCAACGTGCTCCGGGACGAGCTGGCTCTGCTCAAACAAAAGGTCATGGACCACGTTAACAGCGGCTGCCAGCTCATTTTGACGCAGCAGCTTCAAGCTTTCTAGACTATGAGGGAGGGGGTAAGAAACAAGGGGTGTTTCTCGGGGACCAAATGCAACTTCAAGTGGAACTATTCAGCCATATCTTTTCTAAATTTCCACCAAAATAACACTTACAGATGTGCCCACTCCGTTTCTGCAAGGAAAATGCAACGATGGAGAGTGACTGAGACGTACAATTGGTCAGTATGACGGACGAGTACCACCAAACTTGGAGCAGGGACACACTTAGCTCACAATGAACATTTGCTCCCTCTAGTGTGACAATTGTGGTATTTCTGGCATTTTTGACACTATTCACCCAGTGTGTGCTGAATCGAGAAGAACCAGTATCATTTCAATATCCTACAATTTGAACTTATTTGAAACTGAGTAGATCTCATGCAGTCCTGTGAGACAGTCACTTTATGGGATCATCTTGCACCAGACAGAAACAGGGTGCACTTGGCCCTCGAATTCAAGCTGCATATAGACTTAGGTGGAGCACTGAGTTCCCACCGGCTTCTTTACAGTTTGTACAGAGTAACACTAACAATAAAGACACGTTTCACACCTTTTCTCAAGGACTCCTGTAGGTGTGTGTATAGCGTTTACTGACAAAACCCTGCCTTACTTTCTTAACCCTTTTGTTGATACGAGTTTGTGATAAAGGTGTAACTAATGTTAGACCCGAAATAACACTTTGTAATAATATTTGTACGCTGTATTTTGAGCACTTAAGAACTGTAAATATGACGAAATAAAAGGTTTGACACGCTTTAATGTGTGTGTGTGCTTTTGTAAATACTTTATAGTCTCTCTGTGCTGTACATTATGTGTTTGTTATTGAAGTAACTGGGGCGGACGGGATATTGAGTCACCAGTGCGGTGTGGGACGCCTGTAATGGCTGGTGACTCTACGCGGCCGCTGATTGGTCGGCGTGGCGTCGGAAGTGAGCCGAAGACTGCCATATATGGAAGGTTGTCCTGAGTGCGCACTGGGACGGTGTGAGGGTGAATCACCGTCCTTCCAATAAAGCTGGTGACTCCTAGAAGAAATGTGAGGCATAAAGCAGGTCTGTTTACACTCCTAGGGGAGTTTGTGAAGAAAATTGTAATCAGTTATAATGTGTTAAAGCCAAGGTAGGCATTTTTATACACCTCTACCAATATAAACACTATTTTTGATAAACTAGGTGTTTTTTTTAAATAAATTAATTTTATTTGACCAGGAAAGCCTCGTAGAGATTGAAAGTCTCTTTTATGAGAGTGTCCTGGCCAAGAAAGCAGCAGCACATTCTAATAAAGTTAGAGACATACAAACACTTGTTATGGGACATAAAACAGAAATCATCAAACAAATCATCTACAGCCTGACTCATCCTCCTTCAAAGCCTTCAATCTGCTTTTAAAAACATTCAGAGAGAGACCAGCTCCCTCAAATCCAAAGTCTCCTGCGGGACCAGCAAACCTTAAACTCTTGCTACCCATTTTAAGATGCACTCTGGGGACAGACAGTAAAAGCAAGTCCTGTGTCTGGATAACAGTGTGAAGACTATAGCTACCAATATTTTCAAATCAATAACCTTACATAAATAAGAGGGGAGCAAGTTAAAAATTGCCTTGTAAATGAGGACATACCAGTGATTTGGTCTACAAGTAGATAATGCAGGCCAGCCAACTTGATCACACAGAGAGCTGTAATGAGTTAGAGAATTCTGGTTTGTAATGAACCTCAGAGCTCCATGGTAAACTGTGACCTGCTTCAAAAACTGCTTGATGTCTCGAGGATTATAACAAACTACTACAACTGCATATTTTGGTCATTAAATTCAACTGTTAAGTATAAATTATACCTGTTCCTTTAATATTTGTAAGTGTGGTATTTTGACTGAAAGAATATTCTTAAATTGCAAACAAACATGTAGAAAAAAAGCTTTATTTTCAGAGCTATTTTACATTACAAACAAGCTTTTTGTATAAAAATACAAAACAAATGTACACATTTCGACCTGAACCACATTCTTTGGACCAACAAACAGAAACTTGAGAGGAAACATTTGAAAAATTAGGTTTATCTGTACAAATATTTTGGACACTAATGCACACTCACTGGCTTTAAACCAGATGCCAGCAAGTGTTCCAGGTTTATCTTTGAAATGCTTGAAAGGTATGTTCATGAGGGGCATGTTGACACAGAAGGCAGCTGTCCAGCAGATTTTAAAACCACTACACCCTGACAGTAAACCCACAGGTGTTCCCACTCACTGCTTGGTTAGAAAAAAATCAGTGTTGCACATGCAAAGACAGGAGAATTTCTGTCTTTACCCATCTTATTCATGTAATGGGTGAACTGTCTGCGCATCAACTGTCATTATCAGTAGTGCAGCCCGCAGATTAAAAGCTGAAAGTAGGTCAGCAAATATCTTTGCTTTCATAACATCAAATCCATCACAAAGAGATTTGGTGTATCCCAAGTCAAATTTAGTAAGCGGGAAATCTCAGGAAATGCCACTACATGAAATTTCAATTTTGATATACAAGCTTACACGCTTTTTGGGGGCTATTCTGACCCACAATCCTCTGCGCAGTAAGGGATTGTTGGTCAGACTGAGACTGAGGATGTACTAACTAAGATGGCAAACCTTAGACAGTAGACAACTGAAACTTACCATAACCACATAACCAGTAACAACTAGATGACTTCAATGAAAAGAAATATGCATAAATGCAGTCCTATTGGAATTATAACACTGTGCTGGAATTTATAACTGATACGAAAAGTAACAAAATCAGGAATTTCCAAATTCATTTCTAACAGTCAGTCTTGGGCTTGCTTGGCGAATGGAGTTCATATCATCTTTCTATCTAAAAATGTGAACAGTTCTGCAGAGTACAAAAAATGTTTGAGCAAGAACTCAAAGTCAATATGTCTGACGGGGTTAAGTTCTCTCTTCATAGGAAAGGCAGCTGCAGGCATGTTTTTAAGGCAAAAAAGACAACAGGATTTGAATTTAGGGGAAAGATCTAAACTTCCAGGTTAAATAAACATACTTGTCTGTTTCTTTTTGTTTTGTTTTTCCTCATGAAACAGGTGATGTGGCTCATGTTCACAACAGATCAATGCTGGATATCAATGTTTCTGTGGTGCAAATCTGACAACACACTTCATACTATCTAATGTGTATGGGCCACACACACAACACAAATTCACACATAGTATGATTGGTGCTCATAACTGCTGACATATCCAAACTTCAAACATTGTTGATATTTAAACTGAAGCTCCAAATAGAATATTTATGTCAAAAACCTGTTTTATGAAAAGACAAAACTAAAGCAGCTTAAACAATATTTTGCCAGCTCAGCTAGAGTCTGGAGGAAACTGGCCACTGTGTGTCCCCTGCCCATTTGTGTTGTCTCATCTCACTCATTTCCTGCTTTCATCTTTATTTAGGAAGAGATTTTCCCTTTATAATAAAAGGTACTCAGTTCTCCTGACCCATCATTTCCCACACGAGTGTTTCATGGCATGTGTTTGCTGATAATACCAATACCTCGCATACAGTCCTGTGTCAGTGTTACTCAGCCCTCTTTGGCAGCGAGGCGCTGGCGATGTACATGGTCCTGCTCCAGTTCTTCATGGCTTGGGTGCCAAAGCCGTGCGAGGATGCGCTCCATGTTCAGGGCGTACATAGTGTGGGAGGGCATCACACTGTGGTGAACCTATATTAGACACATGTTTCAGAAAGACTTTCAAACTCTGGTAACAAGACAGAAAAACTCGTCACACTTGTGTGGTGCATCACTTTTTCTTTTAGCTGCAATAACTTTTAACTAAATTTGTAAATCTTAACTGAAGAGTTACAAAAAAGTTTTAAAAGTGAGATGTTATCTAATTTTTACCTGTTGTCTCAACAACCTCTGTCACATTTTAGGTCTCAATTCTTTCAGTGGTCAATTATTTGTAACAGCAGATTTGTGATCCCACTGCTCTGTAGATCAGAAGTTGTGCCAGTAACATCAAATTTTGATTCGTCAAACCAAAGTAGAGAATTCAACAGTTTGTCTGGATCTTGTTGATAGATGGTTTCTTTTTAGCATGACACAGTTTTAGCCAACCTTCGATAATTCAGATGAAAACTTTTTTCAGACAATTGATTTAGAGCTCATGACATAATGAGCTCTTAATCACTCAACGTAAAGGTTTGAAAAGATGATCAATTCATTTAAATTAAAGGCTCAGAACTGCAGTTAATTCTCAGATATAAACCATCTCTGATAATAAAAAAAGAGAAATCCTACATTACCAACCTAATTTAACAATCAAACTCAGGATACAAGTGGATGAAAGTAAAATGTTACTATATAGCAAATGATTCAGAGAAAATTTAAATCCTTAATGCCAAACTCTAAAATAAAAAGTGGCAGTAAGTAAATGACCACAATCTGAATCATTATTCTGCTGCATCATACTGCAGCAGAATAATGAAGCCATTGGATATGACAAAGCTTGTAAATTTGATTTAACCCCTCTAATAATTATATACTTTCTATTAGTTGATGTACATTGGGCTAAGATTGCAAAAGACATACGGGTGAGCTTATTTTTCTTACCTGTAAAGCCTCCAGGAGATCAAACATGCTGATTGGAGGAAGGGGCGCAGGAAGCATGTCGGCAGAGCAAGCCAACAGATGAACAGCTTGTTGCTCGGCCTCATCAGGTGAGATCTGAGGTGGTGGGCCTGCAGGGAGGGAAGCACTGGGAGGGGGACTAAAAAACAAAAGCAGAAAGTTTACTCACAAACTGATGAGTGACGTTATAAGGCAGGATGAATGACTTTTATACAATCTTACCTTTATAGTCAGTAAAGCTTAACATTAATTCTTCAAATCTTTAAAAATGTGACAAAGTGTAACAAAGTCTTCCTCACCATTCAGTTACACTGTGATACGCAGCCAGACTGTTCTTCAGATAAGGCTGCGGCGTGACATCACTGCCAAAGGCATATGGGAAATGACCATCTCGTAAGCGATAAGCCTTCCGTCGTGTGATTACAGCCGTCAGGACATCTTTCAGATGATGCTGAAATGAATCAGTCAAATTATAAGTCTATTTCCTTGATAAGCTGAGAAACCACAGCTATCAGTTACATATATGTGAGTGCATATGTGTGTTTGGGGGTAGTGGCAGTTAGCTTAGATATCTCAACTTGTGTTCGACTGTTTATGAACTGTTGTAAACAGGCAGGTAAGACTCTGCCTATCCTAGTTTAATGAAGAGTTTCAAATAAATCCCTCTGTTAGTTGAAGCCTCTGCATGGATGTTAGGATAAGATAAGACCTCCAGTGCCCTCAGTGGAAGAAGATCAGCTTCATGTGGATATAACAGTCTCCTTCAAAGTCAACAAAAACAAAATGATATCTATGTTCAATGTAAAGTAACATAAACATACCTAAGAATATTATATACCACATCTAACATGTCTGTTCTGTTAAAAGCCAATAATTGCTACACACAGTGCATTTAAACTGAGTTACAAAAGTGAAGTATACATACATCATGAATGTGACGAGGTTCCTGCCAGTTTAATCTATTTTGTTGGATTCAATTTTTTTTGTTCTGGTATAAATATATATTCCAAGCTCTTAATTTAAATACTCCTGTTCCCACCATCTACAGAATTATTAATGCTTCTCTGTTACTATATGTGATGATGGTCAATTGTTTGATTGTTTACAATTTTGTTTTTGACAAAAAAAAAAACAAAAACAAATAAAATGAGAACCCTTATTGTGTTTTCTTCTGGATACAAATAGTGTATTCTCATTGTCAATCACACAACACTTAAACGCATCTATGCTAGGTCTGTGTATCTTTATATTAGGACACATAACACACAACTCTAGTTACCCGTTTGTTGTTCATTTTGTAAAGTCGTCACTGGAAACTCACTGATTTCATTCCTTCTGGCCTATATGCACAGAATCAGCTTGGATTACCCTCCCTGATGTTGGACAGTGGGTACAAACCTCTACAGCATGGATCATGGTGTTGACAGAATCGTCTGTGATGTTATCCAGACCCAGTTCAAAGGCTGTAACCATCATACGAGCCTCCAGCTGACCCCGTGTGGGCAGCAGCAGAGTGTGGGCACTGAGACGCAGCTCCTCCTCCTCACCTCCTGCCCCTGCGCCAATTTCTCGAGAGCTGAAAGGCTGGGCACCACTCAGAGGGTTTTGAGGCTGGAAACGATGCTGAGGGACAAACAGGGTGTAAAAAAAGAGCTGCTCTGGCATTTGTTGATTTATCAAATTTATCCAATCTTAAAACTGATTTACGCAATAAAACTAATTGGAAAAATGGCTAATTCAAAAACTTCATGTGAGCTGCCCTTTATCTAGACAGAGCAGATGTTATCAGGATATGTACTTACATCAAATTTCTGTCTGTAACATTTCCTCTTCCCTTTTGGTTTACTGGGCTTTGAAGCGGAGCTCCCTTGCCACTGTAATGGCCCTGCTCCCTCTAGAGGACAGCAAAAGAACACATTGGAGGAAAAATGGAAAGCCATCTTTAACACAAGTCTGACTGCAGTTAATTGAGTTTTTCAGGACTTATATCAAATATCAAACATATCAAATTAATCTGTAGAAAGGAGTCTAGCAGATCATTGGAATTGATGATTTTACTTCTTTCTGTTAACAATGTGGCGAAATCATCTTTTCTCCATAGCCTTGGTGGACAACATGGACGATATTTATATATAAGCCTACTGCTACTGTCAATTCATTTGTATCTATTGAGAATGCAGTCAGAAAAATGCTGATGTTTCACCTCAAGTGTGAATAAATTAAGTTTAAAATCAATTCAACACCCTTTTGGCCTGATAAGACCACTGTTGCCATGGAAACACTAACAACCATTGAATTTGAGGAACCATTTTTAGGTGCATAATGTGTATTATCTGACAAATAGTAAAAGTTAAAATGTTAATTATAACAAAGTTTATCCATAAAAATAATGTCAAGAGATGGGCTTCACAATAAACAAATGAAAAGAGAAAAATAATAACACAGAAACGGACATACTGGTTAAAACACATGCAGGTCGAGCAAATGGGTCTTCAACTGCTTTTAAATTGATTATTAGTGTCCGTTTGTTTGTACCTCTAAGTCACACACAATTACTAAACATCATCCCTTACATTATACATTTTTATCAAATTTAAGGAATTGCCAGTCTCTGATGTAGTTCATTTTCCAAAAAAACTCCTTTATTTCTACACCTGAAACAGCTAACTTCATTAAAAACTCTCTTCACTTCTTTCCTTAGTTACTAGTCATAACATCAATCTATCAATGAGTCACCTCAGACTTGTGTTTTGCTCAGGAGGATTAGACAGCTCTAACAAATACAATGAAACATGTACCTGGTGTGGAGACAATTATCTGGCAGCGTGTAAGGATGGCCAGGAGAAAGTCATTGTGGACATGGACTGCAAAAGAGGAAGAAGGACATCAAAATGGACCACAAGACCTTCAGATTAAGTATGGATATTTTTTTCCATACTAACCATTTTCCTGTGAAAGCAGACGACGTGCCTCGATGTCAAACTCCTCCTTGCTGATCTTTTGTTTAAACCAGAGCTTTAAGTTGGCCCAGTAACTGTATAGAGGGAGATCACACAGAGAAAACACGATGATGCTCAATACAAAAGTCAAACAGTGTTTTCATTTTGTCCACATTGAAGCTACTCAGCCCAATATTTTCCAGATGGAGTGAACCTTAACACATGTCAAATTACGGCAACAATACTGCTACATTCAAAATTGTTTTCGTTTACCCCTGCTCCTATGAGATACTATAATTTATACATATAAAGGCAAAAAAAAATGGCCATGATGGTGAAGTACTGCCCCCGAGGAGTGCAAGCTGCTAACCTGCACATAGCAACAAACTGGAAGGATTGCTTAGGAATTCAGCGACAGGAGGTGAGAAACAGGCTGTACAAACCATCACTACAAACCGCACACTTGCAAAATAACCATTCACACTTACTGTTTGACATTATCTCCGATAGCATCAGTTAAATTCTTCTTTGCAACCTCAAGCTCGCTAGCATGAGCAGCCATGGCGTTCATGAAGCGCCACGGTGTCGTCATCAGGCAGCGACACCAAATACGGTTGTTTTCCCCTTTATTGAGCAGGTTTAAAATAACAGCTTGTTCGAATAAAAGTTTTATAACAATACATGAAGAACAATTACAACAATTACATACTCAATGTCCCATTTTTTAATATGAACTTTGTTGAAGCAAAGTTTTATTAAAGCAAACAGGCTACATATATAATCTGCCATTTTAATGAAATGTATGTTATCTTAGCCTATGTAACTTTGCTCAACTAGCCTAGCTTTTCCATTATTCACATTTTGGTCTGTTTTATTGATTTTACCACTGTCCTGTTTTCTTTGCTACTTTTGAAGTCCCTTACAGAGAGGCATCCCTCATTTTTCCAGTTCTAACATTTCCCATTGTCTTGTAGTAAAAGGGCTCTACCACTAGATGGGAGGCTATTGCAGTATATTAAGACTCGGTACAGCCCAGTCTGCTTGTATTTAGTGCACAGTAGCAGAGCAAAAATAAGACTAAAACCACTGGAAATTTGTATTACTTTATTTAAAAGTCAGCACACATCTCAGTAGCAAGGTTACGAGTCATTTTGTACCAGAAATGTAACACATTAACAAGTTCCTTTACAAGTCAGCACATGTTGTCACTGTAAAGTCACTGGATTTCTTTCTTATTGCTTTTCATATTAGTCTTATTTAATACCCAAAACATAATTTAAACTTAAATGGTGCCATATTCCTACTACAGGCTAGACTAATAACATCTGGCTGCACAGTCGATGTGTGATTCTGGTCAGTGCCAAGAATGTAAACAGAGAAAAAAAAGACATGGTTGCTACAAAATGTTGATTTTTAATGATCTCCAAACGCTTTACTGCTTAGCACATCTAAAGTAAAGGGGGATTTTTTTCCACTTGCTTGAGGAATCCCACTTTTAATGACCTCAACTTCCTTCCAACACATAACCAGCAGCCAGAATCTGAGTTGTTTTGATAAAGTTGGAAAAAGCTGTGATTAAGAACAAAGTTGAGCTCCATCCCACTTTAACCACTAAAATTCCTTCTTCATTCAAAAGTCACTCACATCTGTGGCTACTTATGAGTGCTGCAGCTAAAATGTAGGCTACAGCTAAATGAAGAGTTCAGACAGCATATTTCCTGTTCTATTATCTAGAGGTACAAGTTCCACTTGGAAAAAAAGTCTACCAATCATATTTGAAAGACATCGAGGGCTGGATTGAGCAGGGTTTTAATCTGATTTGTCAGTCCCATGTGTCAGCTGGTTTTAACAAGAGACATGAAGTCCTAAATGTTGAACCGAAAATCTTATACTTATGTAAAGATTTTTAGAATTCATAACACGTTTTTTGCTATTATATCTGCTGATCACCTCCAGTTTTTTTTTTGTTTTTTTTACTTACTCAAATAGACAGAGCAGTTGTTGCAAACCATTGTAACTTCATAGACTATTTGTTAACACTATTTTTACAATATGGGAAATTTTGGGCCTGATGGCTCAAAGCCTTCCTGGAATGCAAGAACCACTATGATTATCTTACCTTTGTTCCATCCATTGGTTTTGGCACAACTTTCCCAGTTACTCAATTGCAACCCCCAATGTAAGCATTTAGCCCCACCACTAGATCCAGCCAACATGCCTGGAAAAGGTATCATGTCAAGACCTACAAAAAAAAAAAACCCTCTTGCATAAACATCCTTAACCCTTTGACTTTGAATCCTTGTTTTATTGTAAACATATTGACCCACAGGTTTGAAGTTATCAGATCATCTTTATGTCAAAGGGTGTGACCTATAGGCTTAAACTTAGATGTCCTACAATGTAGTAGGGAGTTATTGTTGCTCGTAAACTCTGATCTAATTTCTCAGCTTCAAGGTCTAACCCTGAACACATCTCTGTGCTCATTTTTCTACTATAGTCATAGCACCACCCACTTACAGTATCAAATGCTTCCAAATTTCACAGGTTGGCTGTGGTCTGAATTCATTTACATATGCATTTTTTATCACTTTAACAGTGCAATGTATTGAACAGGCGGTGTTACCTCCCATACGCAGTTTTAAACAGACTTACAATCATCAAGGTTTCCCTAATTAACTGCCATAAACATTCCTGCTGATGATTGTTTGGTTAAAGTCATGGCCTTACCTGGTTAAAGGGGCTCTGTGCTTAAAATTACTTATGTATGCTCACTGCAGTGACTTAGGCCTATCTATATAGACATGTAGGCATGATAATTGAACCACATACAGTACATCCATCAGATGTGCTGTATTCAGTGCCACTTGCAACTTAAATTTATGTAGCTTTTCATCAAAATCTGAGATGAAAGGATCCAATCTTAACCCTTTAGGCTAAAATGTCGAGTGGCGGCTGAGCTTTTGTTAGCATCAAGACAAGCGATTCGTGAACAGTTTGTCTGCTCTGCCTGTTGCCCGACACAATTACCAACAATCTCAACCCATAAATTCACCCTAGAAAGTTTAACTGATGTGAAAGTAAAAAGCAAAAGCAAGCATGTCTTGCGCTTACTGGACATTTTATAAGATTAAAATAGGTAAAGAACTAACTTTGCTTCAACAAGAATTTTAAAACCCAGCACATTCACACACATTCACAGCCAAAATACTTCACTTGGGCCAGCAGGCCTGTAGTCGACATAGAATTATGGCTAAAACCGGTTGATTGCTTTGTCTAAAGTTTTGCATTTTGGTTAGACAAGGAATTAAAAAAGGGAGACTGAATATGCTGACAAGAGGACCTGCATAGGCGTTGATGAAGGTTGACGACCTTTGGATTAAAAAAGGGTTTCTTGGTCATCCTCTAATCTTTTTGCTAATTCAATCTGCCCATCTAGCTGTACTGTTTTGGCTGTCATTAAAATATTCTCATTTCTTATGGGAATTTTGTTTTTTAAAGACAGGAAATTATGAAGGAAGTTATTTTTTCGGTTATAAACTCTGGACTGAATGTAAAATGCACTGCCTTTCAACAGTACTGTTAATTCACCTAGAAATTAGATTATTCCTGATAAATAAATTATCAGAAAAAAAAAAAGTTTTATTTATTTAAATTTTCTGTCTTAAAATTGATTCTGTTTAAGGATCACACCAAACTCAGCTTTAAAGTATATATGTGTAGATAAAGAAGACCGTTCTTGGTGACAGTTACAGCGTATTTTTTGTGGTTCTTGTCCGGCTGCGGCTCCTTGGCTCCTGACTCTCTTGAGCAGGTTTAGACTGGGAGGCCCCTTTGTTTTTCACTGTTTTAACTACAGTGTAAAAACAGTTGAGTAGCCAGGGCGATCACTCCTTTGGCTCTGTCTCCCCAGGCGGTCATGAAGCCTTAAACAGACCGCCATGACTCGCACTATTCCTCACAATAAATGAAACCGTATATCCAGAGTGCATACAGTCAACCATCATATTGTACACTATTAGTGAGACCTCCAGTTTAGTGACTCATGCTGACGCTGCAGTGTTTAAGGTCATACGTCTCATCTGAGTAGATCTATTTGATAAGGAGGTTTCAAGGTTTGACTCTTGAACAAACAAGCTTTTCATGGACGATGAAAACCATCTGAAATTCTGGTCACTAGTAGATGTCTTTAGGGGACCATTTATCTGGAAAAAAAACAAAAAAAAAAACAAGGTGCACACTTTGACCAGCTCAAATGTTCCTTTGTTTAATATTTTTGAATTACAATCAGTGCTGACGTTGACCTCTTTATGTCAGGAAAAAGAAACCATAAAAGGAAATCTGATTTTCACAATCCTTGCACTCTCTTGAGTGCTTCACAGCTAAATGAAATATCTCTCCACTGTACGTTTCAGATTAATAGGAAAGAGTGGAAACTGCAGCTGTCTGCAGCTCAGTGAGCCTCCCCAGATCCCTCCAACCAATCGTCCATCTTAAACAAGTGTCTGCAAAGCTTTACATCAAAAGAGCACTCAGGAATGGACTTAGTAATGGGGTTGTTTAACTGTCCCGGTTAAGCGAAAATTAGTCATGGTGCTTATTTTCAAAGAAAACAACTCCACATCCTGTCTGTTGATTCGCTGGTTGACACTAACCGAGCTTTGGAGGGCTAATGAGTCATTCTCACGGACTCTACACCAACTGCAGATGTCTTTCAGCAAACAGTCGCATAGCCAACTTCTTCCAGAAATCTTCCGAGCTCCTGTGCCATTTTGGTGGTGTAACTCAGAGACAGAGAAGCTTAACACAGTGACAAAAAGGGCTTTCACCTCTTCAACTTGCAGGACCACACTGCAGCAGCAATCAACCATTACCAGTCTGTTAGTAGACAGGTATTCGAGGTTGTACAGACATGAGTGTGGTCCCCTTAACCGAGCCAAAGATGTCACCTTCTCTGTTCCAACATCTGACTGTGCACAAGTTTGGTTTTGTGGGTTTAAGATGCATTTCCATCGCCCCATGGGGTTGTTTTAAATGTAAGGGTTCAGTGTGTGGTTGGCAGAGTTGTTGGAAGACTTCAGTTACAGCCTCTGTGGTAACGGAGCATCCCACACTGGCACTCTGTGGCGAGTTCAGGCTCCAGGCTTGTGACAGGACGGTGGCCCTATGTTGTTAAAGAACTTGTATGCTTGGTAGGGTGTCATTTCAATAAAACAACTTTTTCAGTTTGTCAACACAGTTTCATTTCCTCAAATAAGGAGCCTTAAACATAGCACATCTTGTATTCGTAATGCAAATGTCATGTAAGGACTTTTACTTGGTTTAATGATCACCAAAGATTACAAAAGATGATTTTAATGTTCAGAAAACCTTCTAAGAGCACTATCAACATTGATGCAATGCAAAGCAGGATACATTTTAAATATGTTATCATTTTGCAAATTTATGTTGGAACTGTTTAAGATGAACAAATGAAGTCCCAGACAAACCTAGATGACTAATCACCATTGCTGATCAGTTTGGTATACCCATTGCCTGTATACAATATGGAAAAACAATTAGCCAAAATACTGCCGCAATAAACACTGGTGATGTATTTTTGAGTTTGGGTATGCAATTTGTGCAGAGACACTCTGGCTGATAGAACCCAAGTGCTCATCTCCAGTCTTGAGAAAAGAGGCCAATGCAGAAATGTTAACAACTGCAGTTCCTCAAGAGGCCACTTGAGGTTTGCGTTGAAGGCACCAGAAGCCACTTACACACCCATTCAAAACATTTTTTAGCTTTAAAAACATACATGTTTACAGCCTGGTGAAAAAAAAGGTTTTGGTCAAAAGAGCTCATTTTTCTGTCTGTATAAGGGGCATGGATGACTTAACTAATGGGGTGCATCAATTTAGCCATTAGCAAGGACTCAAGGAGGCTAAAGACCGACCTCAACGTATCCTCTTTGCTTGGTAGAGTGGGAAGGTTGAGTCAGCATTTCCAATATGGCAACCAACAGGTGACAAATGTTTTACTGAGACTACATCTGTATTTGATAAAACCTATAGCAAAACTATAGGTTTGGCATCCTTAGGCTAACTAAATCACACATTTGGTGCACAAATAGACTGTTAGTCTCTCAGATCTCTCAGGTTCATCTAATCACAACAGAATACACTTTTGGGTTGTTTAGCCACAGACTGATGAAATCATAAAAAGTTTGATCGTTCTTGTGTAAGTTTTCTCTTGCTGTCCCCCTCTTACTCTGCTAAAGCAGTGAAGAACCCTGCAGGAGCCCATAATGTTGTCAACAAAACTGTCAATCAGCACATTTACATGCACACTTATGTCTAGCCACGGTCATAGCTTGATAAAGTGATTTCACCGACTTCTGTCCTTGTTCCAGTTTACAAGCACCAGGCAGGAACTGAATGCTTGACAGGGGCACATCAACCTTTGCTTCAGTAGGTGGCGATATAACCCCTTTCAGCTGGTTATTATCGGGGAAGTGGGCCTATTATGTAAAAAAAACAATCAAAAAAATGAGTTAGCAAGAGGCTAACAGGATGTACATCAAATGATGAAAAGATTGTCACTTTTACAGCTCTAAACTGTTTGTTTGTGGCGTAGCAAAGTTTTGTCTTATTTTATCCCTTCTTCATAAAGGGGCGACAAATTCATGCTGTTCCACTTCCAGCTCAATGCACAGTTTCCCCAATCGATCGATCGATCCCCAATCATATTATCTGTATGTTATTGGAAGTTTAATTTTGTAAAAGTTCAGTCAGACTAACATGTTTACATGTTTTTCGAAACTCCGGCGTCAGTCACACTCAGGCAATACATTTATTAAACAGCATGCAAATGTTCTGAATTACAACTAAACATCCTTTCCTTTAAATATTTGATAGGAAAAGGAAAATGTGCGTCTTCTCTTCTCATTCATGAAAACCAGACCACCACCACTTTCATGTCCTTGTGAGTAATGTAATGTGAAGCTTGTGCTTACTAGCAGCTCCTCTACATCGGCAAACAGGCTTAAACTGGTAACTACCTCCCTTTGCCTCATGTTTTACCTTTCAGTACAGAAACTGAACTGATACCACACATTTTGTTGGAGGGGCTTAGCAAACAGGGTTAATTCGGGTCAAATTCAAGATGAAAATATTTTGATCTAGCTTTGTATGAAGTGAAACAAAATGAACAGTAAAATGAAGTCGTTTCAGTTGTGATGAGACTTGAGTTGATGACTAACTCTCACTGAGTCAGCCACAGAGATGTGTCAGCACAAGAAACAGGTTGTATCTGTAATATATTCATTCCAGGGACTTTTCACACCAACAGAAAACATTACCAGGCTCCAACATTTAGGTGAAAACTGCTTCCCATAATTGCAGAAGGAATAGTATGAAGCATCTCCTTTCAAAAATGACTTACAGTATCTGTTTCCTCCATGACGCACAACCACAAGTTAAATTTGGACTGTGCTGTAATCAAAGGCTAAAAACCAACAAGTCATGCACTAATTATGATTTGGTAAACAGTAAGGGACTCCTATGAATCTGGGAGACACTGTTCAGAACGTCCCCTTGAGTAACCCTAAATGTTCTCAGTTGATAGAGTGCCAGTCGTGTAACATTGTTCTGCCAAGTATTGTGACTCAGTGGTTTCAGCTTCCACTGCAAGTATTTCTTTATAACATTTGAATGTAGGTTTTATTAGATACTTCTTTTTTACATGATCATAAACATGTTTTCATGTCCAGCTGGGCCTGACCATTATCCTGGGTTTGTGTTCGGTTGCTTTGTAAAAGTTTGTTAAAAATGGGTGTGAGGGCTGATGCGGTCAGGGGAGAAAAACAGCCAGAAAGTCTATTTTTGTCATAGAGACTGAAGCCTGATGGATGAGGCATTGTTGTTCAAAGCAGACCCACCACACCAAACCCATACCCCAACCACCCCCATCCCCCTTTTCCTCTGGGATGGCTTCCCCACAAAGATGCAGCTTTCTTCCCCTGCTGGTGATTAAAGAGCGCAGGCACCCGTGACTTTTTCAGTGAACGTTTTTTTTTAATACAAAAAATACAGTCAAAGCACTTTTGTGTGGAAAGAATGTAAATGTCTGTGTTTAAAAGGAAGCAGAGGGGAAATAAGTTGGAAATTTGGACTGGATCCATCCCAGTTCATCCCTTGCCCTCCCTCTTCTCCAGTTCTTTCTCCATCCTGTCTGACTTCCAGCAATGTGTTTCTCGTTCGCAGCCTCACCGACTGTAACTCTCTACACGCTTGGTCGGTATATTTGTCGTGCTCGAAAACCACTCAAAATATCTTTTTTTTTCCAACTCAACAATGCTTGTTTTTCCCGGAATCGTACTGAAATGTAATCAACAGCTATATGAGAAAAACATATAACAGCAATTTCCATCCATGGAGGCACACTTTGAGAATGATTGTCACATATACAGTGGAGGAAATTAGCTCTATTTTCTGTAGGATCATTTACTGTTCCCTCAGGACACCTGGCCCTTTTCAATGTTATGATAAGTTAATTATACACATAAATTATCATTTCAGACCATCTGTACTTGCACAAAGTACTTTAACATACACTACATAGGTCGTTTAAAGTGTAAGAAGATAAAGAAAGATCTGTACTGTTTGTGCTATAATAATAGAATAAGCATTTAAACCAAAATCTCCTAAAGTGTTGGTGTTTTCTGATTTGGAGGTGAATACAGAGTCTAAATAAATCTATATAAAATGTATTTTCCAGCTTTCAGCCACAATAAAATAAGTTAAAGGCCATATATGAGTGTCCCTCTTCCCACATGTTTATTTTGGTGAGGTAAAAACAGCTGCTAACAGATCCCATGACACCAAAGCTATAGATGAAATTAATACCCACAAAGTTCCGTGAGGAGTGGCGCCTCCTTTCCCCAGGTGACCTTGTTATGAGTAAGAGGAAAACTCTGTGGTTTCTTAATAAAGCAGATGTTTTTTGAAAACAAGACTTTGGCAATCATCTTTAAGTCCTTTCAACATCATAATTGATGGTTCAGAGATGTAAGGCAAACATAAATAGACATGTACCCTAAATTCCTCTATGTGTGCTTAAATTGTGTTGTAAAGAGGACAATCTTTACACTGAGTCCACTTCTTATAGAATAGGCAGTTCAAGTCATCACTGAGGTTGATGAGGTTTATGTGTGCCCCTCCCTCCATAGCTGCTCCTGGACCAGCCTGGTGTACAGGATCTCCTCAGTCTATGGGTCTGATCATCATTCGAACAGACTTCATGGAGTAGAAACCTCCGCCATAGTCGGCCCAGAAAATCCCGTCTTGGAATTTGCTGCGGTAGACGCCTCCGGTGTACCAGACACCATTCAGATTGGCTTGGCCGCAAGCATTGTACCACCAACCTCCTTTATGGAAATGAGCACAGTTACCTGTAGAGGAGAAACAGGGAGAATGGTTATTAGTTGTGTGTAAAAACAGATTTTCAACTGAGTGAGGCAACAGCTTTTAAAAGTATGTCAAATGGACTCCACAGGGAGCGTATCTAGGTTTCTCTAGGTTATTCGAAACCTAGGTTGACTGATGCAGGGAAATCACATGATCATGATTCTGATTTTAATCTGATATAAAAACACTTTTAATCCCTTAATACAGGGAGTCTTGACATTTCAGCAGAATATGACACAGTCTGAACAAGACTTGTGCACACATTGAAACAAAAGGACTCCTGTTCATGTACCCGTGAAGCCATCCTTGTCTCGATCCAGAGTAGTGAATTGTTTTCCATTGTGGCTGCTGAGGGAGTCCCCAGCGTTGCCCATGTAGGCGCCGAGACGCAGACGGAAACCCTCGCTCTCGGGCTCCAGATGGAAACTGCTATACTGAGCATAGACCTTCTTGTCCATCCAGTCCTCCAGCTCCACCTGGAGCTTGTAGTCGCCCTGTCTCCCAAGTTTGTAAATGCCCTCTAGACCGAGCCAGTATTCCCCGTCAATATTGCCAAAGCCGCTCTGAGTCAAAGGAAAAATGAAAAGAGTTACGTAAAGATATCAGAAAACATACCAACTGTTTAGCCTGAGGAGTTTAGCCACATGAGAATTGTTTAGGAACATGAAACCATCTGGGGGATGAGTCTGTGGGATTGTGACAGAACAAATGAGAGCTTTCTTTTGATGACATTCCAGTTACAGAGAAGATAAACTACAAAACTTCAAAAGGAAATAAGCACTGCCGCACAAGAATGCCTCACTGTCTTTGAGATGACTAACAGTGACATATTGCTGAGTTTACGCAGGAAAATAAGCATCCGTCTCCAGATCCTGGTTTCTCACTCAAACCTCACAGATCTCTTGGATCACGGCTAATGGCGAAACTGGCCTGCTCCCTTCGTGTTGAATAACCGCGAGCAATCTACGTCTGGCATGTACATCCAGAACACTTCGCTCCGTAGAGAAAGTTGAGGTTTGTGATTGTGGATTAGTAGTGTGGGCCAGCAGATGATGAATGATGTAGGGTTTTAGTAGTGGCCCCGTCTCCGCTGCTGCTGTGTGTTTGTACGTGTGGTGGCTTTGTGGGAGAGCACAGAGACAAATCAATGTTGAAGAGAGCAATTTAGGTTCCAGTTACACATGCACAAGCCTGGCGTGGCTGAATGGAAACCTGGATCGTAGTGGCTGCCAGCAGTGATATATACTCCGTCTCATTCTCACAGAGCTTTGATGAGGGGGTCTATATTGTGTGGTGTAGCGAGCCAACCAGCCATCTATCCAGGAAGGCAGCATAGTAGTAGCGGTTTTGGAAAGAAACGCCTGCAGATTGAGCTGTGGAACATACCTTCCTAGTGGGGCGTCTAATGTTTCATAATGGGAATCTCAAACTAAATGACCTTCGCGAAAGGCGCTGCTGACAGGGCGTTATATTTTATTGTAAATGAAAACACAAGGATCCCAGACAGGGGAATAGTCCCAAAGACCCCAGATGGTTTCCCCTAGCTGGGTCATATAACAACACCCCTGTTGACCCTGGATGACTAAAATACTCTGGCTGTCTCAAGAGAGGATGGAGAAAGATTAGACAGACAGGCTGGGGGAAAGTGTCTGTGTCATCACCTTGTAGTTGTCCCAGTTCCTGAAGAAGTTAACAGATCCGTCTCTCCTGCTCTGAATAACAGTCCAGCCTCCATTGTCGATATCCTGTTCACACCAGACCTGGACTGGCCTTTCTGCCTCATCTGGTTTGATCAAATACATACCGCTGGTAATGTGGCCAGCTTCCTGTGCATCGAGACAGTCTCTGTATGGTCCTGAAAGAAAGACAGATGGGAGGAGGCAGTTGGTAAAAAAAAAAAAAAAAAGACAAGGACTCGCTGTGGAAAATGTTGAACAAGAGAGTCTATGTTTTAACTTTTGAACAGGGCAAGTTTGCTAGTTTAGCTTTTGAACAGGACTAATTTTTTTTTCCTTTATAGCATTTATTTTAGTGATTGCCTCGTTCTCAGGAAACAGTTACAAAAGCTAAGCTACAAAAGCTACTTCAGCTAAAGTAAGCTACAACTATTTCCAGACTACAATGCTAGGGCTGTTTATATTTTCTTTTTATTCCCGTTTTCTCAAAATATTTAAATTTGGTTAAGAAAAAGTCTAATCTGGACTTAACTACCATTGTATGCAGACTGTGGCGTAGTCATGTAAATGAGACAGTTTACATGGAAGACATTGCAGTTACTGTCTGAGAGCGAACTAAGGAGAACCAGTGAGTAGTAAACAAGGACAAACATCACACAAGCAGACAGAGTAATAGAAAACACATTTAAGAAGTTTACTATGTCCTTTCAGAGCAGCAGCAGAAAAGGGAAATTACTTCACTGCAGTGAAAAAAAATACTTTCTTTCATTTTAAGTAAAATAATAAAATGGCAAACTAACATCATACCTCACTAAAACAGCTGCCTTTTCTTAAGATAATATGATATCACAATCACACAGGGTTTATTTTTAAATGAATACTATGAAACTTTATCTCAAAAGCAGACAACTCCTAACCACAGCATCTTAGTTCAAGTATCTAGCCGTCAGAGTATGTGTTATTCTTACATATCCTACATATCACTCAATACAGTGCTCCCCTTTGTGTAAAAAACCTCCTCAACATTTAATATATTTGAACAATATAACAGACATCCCAGATAAGTGAATAAATTAACACTCGCCAAGGCAAGCTATGCGAGCCTAGCCAGCTAATGCTCCCTGCTGCTAACTCCTTTTTAAAACTTTTAAGGCATAAAAAATGTACGCACTTCACCTTTGGTCAAAGAGTCTGAATTTGGTTAAAACTAAAGCTTGAGTAAGCATGTAGTCACTGTGTTTTTGCTTTATAAGGCAGTTTTAGACCCTTTTAATAAGCAGAGAGACGACGACGTGACTGCTATGAGTTTACATAAAAGACATTGTAGTCACTGTCTGAGGGCTAAATGAGTAAGAAAAACCAGTAAACAAGAATGAAAATCACACAAGCAGGAAGAGTAATAGAAAACACATTTTAAACATTTTATGTTGTCCAACAGCAGCAGCAGAGAAAGGAACAAATTACGTCACTCGGATACAAAATTAGCCTACTTACTTTCATTTGAGGTAAAAAAAAAAACAGAACTGTTAACCCACCCTATAGGTGAACAACATCTGCTTCTTCTCAAGACATTTCCACACATTCATTACAAGATTTTTAATTAAAACCACATGTAGCCATGAGTTTACTTTAGGGGTGGAGCACCCCCTCCAGGTTAATAATAATAATAACAATGTAAAGGAACGCCTTTCATTTCATGAAATATAGCAGAAGTGCCTTTACTTTGTGGTTAGTGGAGGAAGGCTATCACGGCAGCCTGATTTTGTCTGCGTCTCACATGTAATGGAACAGGATCATTTTCATACACAGCCACACTGAAATCCTACACACTTTATTATTCTTGGGCAGGGGCGATCTAAATGTGTCAGGACTTTCTGTTGATGAGCAAAATCACACTGGTAAGGTCTTTCTTTGCTTTGCTTTAAGTCCCTTTCCTCAGCTGAGACATTACAACATTTTTATTTCCATCCTGGTTTGTGTTCTTTATGTTGAGCAGTGAGCTGAACTCCAGCCGACTTTGTAGATCCTTAACCTTTGAAATGGAGGCCACTGGCCCACCTGCAGCTGCTCCCCAACTCTGATTATTATTTTGTTATGGTTGGCACAAAATCCACGACTGCTGTTTATTTTACAGTGACTGCATTAATTAATAGTTGATGGATAAAAGTAAATAAGCAACTGAATGTAAGGACAGATGGTGGATTGATAAATAGATGGTTGGATGAGTGATCCCTGAGTTTAAAACCATGGTCAAAGTAAACATCTCAAACAAAGAACAGATAGTCTTTGTCATAATATATTGTATACAGATTCATGGACCCATACGATGTTTGCTAATGGCTCTAAGAATCCTGACTTTATTTCTGTTTTGTTGCACAATTTAAGACTCATCTCAAAAAAAAAAAAAAAATAAAATTAACAGTTATTTGTCTTATTTTCACACACTGCACATATTTTACATTTAAACACCCTCTTCCCAAAACACTTTCTCTGTCTAAACCTCCTGCCCCCTAACTCATTCCCTCCTAAACCTACATGACACTACAGTCTTAATCCTCAAAGCAGGTTATGGAAATAGTAAGCTAAACACAGAACATAAGTCCACACAGTGAGTAATTTGCTCCAGAGAACAGAGCCTCCTCTTGTCTTTCAGGCGTCTTTTCTTGATCTTGGGAAGTGCTTCCTCAAGTTTCTTGCATGTGAAGTCTATTTGAGTGATATTAAGTGTGGCATAGGTTAATACATCAAGCTGTTTTTCTGTTGCTGCCTTTGATTAGTTGCTGTAGCATTCCTAACAGGAGGCATATTGGGTGAATCTCCAGATTGCGTTATAAAACCACCTACGACTTGGAAACTGTTTCACCCAAAAATCCCAAATATGTGCATATGTCCATATCTTATATACAAAGCCTCCAGCTTCTATATTACATTTGCTACACAGTGCTGACTTCTTTGGGGCCAATCTGTTATAAAGTTAAGGTTAAATCTGAAGGGGATGCAACAATCTTGACTGCAACTTTTTTTCTTTATAAATAGTTGTGTGTTATTCATAATTCCATATATGTATCCCTGTTGCCTCGTCAGTTTCTACCTCAAGATCCTTAGCCAACATTTGCAAGCTAACATCTATTTTGATGTGCTTGTAAAGTGCTTAGTAAAAAAAGTAATTTTTATTGTAATGCCTAGATAACCAACGGATGGCCTGAAATCCCCTTCAGAAAACCCTTTGCCTCTTGTCTACAACTACCATTCAATACAAATGTAAATGTCTATTTTTATTGTTACTTTAGTTTAAAATCTAATGCTTGTACAACTAATAAAACTCAGTTTCAGCTGTATATAACTTAATTATTAGTAGTTAATAAAATGTAAATACGCCAATCATAGCTACTTAAAGTTGCCAGTGTCAAGATGTTAGCATGCTGATGTTAGCATTTAGCTCAGTATTGTGCCAGAATATAGCTTCACACAGCCACAAGTAATGAAACAATCAAATAATCAAATAGCTAGTACTCAAAAAAGTCAGTAGTTGATTGTTTGGTTGACTATTTCAGAAATGAATACATGTTTGTGGCAGATGGTTATTCACTGTTGAGTCTAGTTCTCCTTGAGGTTTCTGCCTCCTGAAAGGAAGTTCGGTCTCGTTTGCGTTTTCACGTGCTTGCTCAAGATGGCTCGCTGTGATGGTGGGTCTCGCTATACTATTATAGAACAAATAGTTATTCTAAGCCTGCACTCCGTGTAAGGTGTCCAGAGAGGGCTATTTTTTATGATAAGACACTGTAAAGATAAAAGATCCTTTACTGAGTGATGCTAACATTAACCTCATAATATTTTTGCAAAGTAAAACTATACAGAGATCAAACAAAACTCAAAAATAGTTGTTTTTATATATTATGAACTCATTTAGCCAAAGAAATATACATTTTGGGGTAGGGTTAGGATAAATGAAGGCAAAACTGTAGAATAGTCGGGAAGTAGAGTAAAACAGTCATGTTAAAAAAGTGATTGTTATTTTCCCTTAACCTTTTTTCCTTTAATTCTGTGACTCCCCCAGTGAGTGCAAATGAACTTTAAGATGAATAGATGTCTTAATGGATTACTTATCAACTCACTCACCCTCAGAGCTGAAGTTTCTTTGTGGTGGTTTTTGGACCTCGAGCGTTCCGCTTGTTGGTGATGGCCCAGATCGAGAGCCTCTTTCCCGGGCAAACCCTCTGGTGTTATCCCTCTGGATCTCATTGGTGAAACGTGGCACATTAACAGGAATGTTTTCCGGCACCACCTGCACAAGTGGAGGTCCCATGGGTGGCTGCTCATGCCTGCGGCTGTATACCTGCATACAACGCTCCTCCAATGCACCAATCAGCACTGACTGGTTGTTCACTATTGCAGACAGAGCAGAGTATTTGGCCTCCAGTTCCCTGTACCTGGAGGCCAGGCGCAGTGACTCAGTGGTTGCATTCAGGATGCGTGTCTCCAGCTGTGCCAGCTCCAGAGAGTTGTCTCTCTTCCTAATGATCTCATGCAGCAGCTGCATGTAGAGCTGGGTCACCCTGGAGTTCATGTTCCTGCTCTCTTTTCTCAACAGCTTCATCTCATTCACCAGGTTACCATCCACATCTACCACCAGCTTCAAGGTCTCCATCTCCCTACGCTGCTTTGACAGGAGGTCGCGCACACCAGCCACATCCAAACGTGTCACTCTGTCCTTGTCGGTTGAATAACCTCGAGCAGCACAGATGGGTCCTGTGATCTTCTGCTCAGGGACCAGGAATGTGTAGGAGCACTTCTTGTTTTCTCCACTGGCCTCTGGAGCTCTTCGTATCCGAGAGAGGATTGGGTGCTTGGTAAGGGCTTGGGTGGTGCTCCAGAGAGACAGACCCAACACAAGTAGTATGCTCCATTTTCCAGGCCCCATGATTCCTCTTCTGAATAAAGAACAAGATCTGTTACAAGGAAAAAACAAGTGAAGACTGTTTTACTCAAGGAGGAGGTGGAGTTATTTGTATTTATCGACAAAGAACCATAAAAAGGCCCGAAAGAAAACAAAATGTTGGTCAACTCTTTCAGTCTTCTCTAACTTGTTTTTGACTTTTAAGTTCAATATTGCTGCTCAAGATATTAGTCCATCACTACTATGACTCAGATTACAGCTATGCTAGCAAACTAGCTTGAGGAGAGGTGATGCTGCCCTGTCTGTTATTGTATTGTGAATTTAAGTAGTATGTCTTCGATTGCCATGGATTTTTATTGTGAAATTCACAGCTTCCAGGGAATGTGACTTTGAGGATAACTTATTTTGTCTTGGGGAACATAAGGCTTGGATTTGTGGTTTTGAGTAGAAAGGCCTCATCAAACACTTTACTGATTTCCAAGAACCCTAATACAAACACTTGTGTCTAGACAGAATAAATGCTGATGATTTATTGATTGGACCCCTGAGATTACGGCTGGATCTCTCATCACACAAACTTCTTATTTGTGTAACAGTTGCAGCGCTTGTGAGGAACTTTTGGATTATAAGGTTTTGGCACCTCCTGGGGTAAGCTTTTGTCCCGTTGGTAATCTTGATTTATAAATGTCGGTTGAATAATCTCCCTGTGCTTCTTCTTTCTCTCTAACTAACACATCACTCCATTAATCTTTAGGGAGAGAAGCTGTGAAACAGTTGAGCAGCATGCATGCTACTTGATTGCAGCATTTATGACAGACTTAATAAGAAGAGGAATGGCACAACTACTTCCCAGAAGTGAAACCTAAACATTTCAAGCCTCCTTTGCTGATTGGCTGTAGCAAAAACCCCTCCTCCATTGTAACAGATAAGGGATGGGTCAAACAAACAGGTTCAATTGACTTTTCTCAAATATGTTTTCTGTTAGTATACTAAGGTCTTGTCTTGCCAATTTATTTGCAGTTAAGTTACGAATCCACATGATTTACATGGGCATTAGAAAACATTTGCATTAAAATCATCAGTCTTGCGATTCATCTTTTTCAGTCTATTTCATCTTGTCAAGAAACTTCCAACAGGAGCTTTAAGGTCTTATGGATGTGATGTTACTCAGCCTTTGCTGCACTTTTATTCACTTTTTAACATTGTAAACATGTACGCCAACATTTAATTGTTAAAATAAAGAGCAAGGCATGTTGCTACACATGTTAGCATGTAGCTTAAAACTCTGGTCTCAGAGACATGATATCATGGCTGTGGTGATAAATAAAGTACTGTAATTTTCTGAAGCAACCAGGCATTTTGTTTTGGCAAGCATTACTCAAAAAGGGGTAAATTTTATGTTTGTTGATGACTAAATTCAGTAAAAGAAGTATATTTGTTCTGTGGGCAGAAACTGCTGACAACACAAGGACAGAATTGACTAAAAATAAAGTACAATGCCTTTTTTGTCATAACATCAGAGCATGTAGTTCAAAGCTGTGGCACATTGTTAGTTTTTAGTAGCTCTTGGATGAACTGTACTGTGCTGAGCTGAGGATCATGAATAATCAAGTTTTGGCTATGTACGCAGTACTTGTTAGAAGGATGATTTCATTCTTGGCTCTGACACCCCCATTGGCTTTTGCTGACCATGAAAATATACTAAAAAAATAACCAGTTTTTTTTTCTTCAATTTGGGCCTATCAGTTACAGAGAAGTGCTGCTTTTTGTTTCCATTTATTTTGTGCTTTTTGTTCAATTTCCTAACAGATGTTTCCTTTCCCCCTCTAACCCTATGCAATCCAACATAAACACTGTGCCTGCAAATCCTAAATTTTCAAGGTGTATCTCTTGGCACAACACAGAAGAGAGCTTCAGTTCAACACAAGAATCTGGCTTGATTCTAGAGTAATAGAGAATGAAAATCTAAGGTGAAAACTAGCAGACGGTCCCACAGATGCAGCTGAAATCACATTAAAGTCTGCAGACAGTCCTGCCATTGGCAACGTGCACCTTATGGTAAGTTTGTGGTGGAGTGAGAGTAGTGCCACTGGCCCACCACAAATCTGCTACCGTAATTCCAAATTTCAGTCCATTCCCTCATTGCCTCTTTTTCATTATGGCCCACATCTGTATCAGGTGTCTGGGTGTGTGTGCAAGTGCTGGGATTTGTTTTTCATATTTCTGTAGATCTCCTGGCTCAGACCCTGTCCAAACCTCTCCTATAGCATTTCAGTAGACCTGCCCCGGCACGTGTGGAGAATTGCAGTCAGATTACACTGAGGCTGACAGAGAATTTGATATAAAGTAAGAAATATCTGTTGCGAATCGAGCTAATGCAGCTGAGGAAGTTTTTACAATATAAATTCTATTGTGATAAGACTAATCTGCCAGTCTCTCCTGTGTGTTTGCAGCAGATTGGTGTCCATCAATGTGTTCGGTTCTGCTGGTGTTTTCTGCCTGTGAAGGTTTTGTTCCCACTTTTACAAAGTTTTTGCTTATTTTGATAAATGTTCGACTTCTGAGAAAGAAAACAGTAGAGTGCAGATGTACTATTTTTGGTAGAGCGTCAACTTTTGATGCAGTTTGGCCCTGCACAAAAAAAATTGATGCTGGGTATATGATTTATGGATGATTTATGAGGTGTAAAACTGTATGTTTCAATCATGAGCAAAATAATAGAAGTCAGCCAGAGGTAATTCTGGGTGCTCATGACTCATTTTAGCTTGTGACATTTCTGCCTGGCTGGTACAGGCAGAGAGATTAGATTTCATGAAGGTGCAAAAGAGATGAAGTGTTTGGGGCTCAGCAGGGGGAACCAGGAATCCCTGATTTATGAGTAATGTTTTCTGTAGTCTATTTTTGGAAGGGACGCTTGCCATTTGATCATATTAGTTTTGACAGCACAAGGAGTGGAACAGGAGGGGGGTGACGTTCAAAAATGCATGCCAAATGAAGGTCCCTCCATGCGCATTCAGTAGCCAGGCTTGGATCCCAAAATGGAGCTAATCGGGGGCCAGCTCGAGGAGGTTTTTGGCAGTAGGGCCAAATCCAACCAGAAGGCAGTCTGGTGAATGTGGCCAGAGAAGCTGAGCAACCTTCATCTAACACGTTTGACAGGCACCCAATATGATCCACTGCGCATCGAAGCTCATCAAAACAAATCTGCAGAGGATTTTAACAGACGCCATAGCAGCAAAGATAAATGAGTCCAAGAGAGAGACAGCAGAGGCTTTGAGTCATTCCTGTGGTCTCTTCTTGATGTTTGGTTGCACTGTAGAGCCCTGACCACACTTAATGGGACAGATCCCAGAGCATTACCTAAACTCAATCTGCTGCTGAAGCAGAATAGGATCCTTTTATCATTGTCAAAGTCAAAAGAAGCTTGTGTAAAGGGATCAAAAGTTTTTTTCCATGTATTTCCAAAGAAAAATGACACAAAGAAAGTGTCAGAGCCAACTTGAGTGTTTAATAACTGGCTTGAGTGTTCAGCAGCACACAAAAATCCCTTGAAGCCTGTATTTTTAGCTTCAGCAGTTTGTTTTGTTACAGATTATATACCCTCTGAGGGCAGTGGGAAAGGCACTTGAAGGAAAATGGACCATGTGTCAGAACTCAGAAACACCTTGGCACTGTCAGTCTGTTATTATTACCAAGAAAGGACTTTTCCCTGTCTTTCCTTAATCACAGGTCATCCCCCTTCAATACCTCCTTCTCAGTGATTTGGCTCCTCTGCACGTCTCCAACCACACAATATGAATCTCTCAGGCCCCGGTCTGACAGGAGTGACAGTGTTTACACAGAGGCTCCTCAGCCAGGGCTGTGAATCTCATCGGCAGTTCTTACCGCCAGGTTCCTCTCTGTCGTTCACACCCGGCTGGACTTCATCAAGTCAACCACAGCAGCCGTGTTTTTTTTCTTGACACACAAAAAAGAGTATTTTCCTCTTCTCCTCTCTCACAGCCAAACCTGACCAGATCCAGCCACTCCATCTAGATTAATTTAGTCTTCACTACCAGACAGGTCAAACTTTGTGGCGGCAGGTTTTCCCAATCGTATGGAACAGGATGACACTGCCAGTCATCCCACTGACTCTAAGTGGTCCCATTGAGGACTCACTGTCTGTTAGTATATCCCCAATTAGAAGCTTTTCTTTGACTTCAAAATCCCCCAAAAGCCCATCACAGGGAATACTCTTTTTTTCTTTCATTTCCCCTCCAACTCTTTTTAAACAAACTACTACAATATAAGTGAAATCAGAGACTTCATTGTCTAACTTTGTTGTGGCTTTTGCTTGGGGCCAGTAGATTTCAGGAGGACGCCAATTAGCCCACAAGTTATTCTGATGGTGCCACTGATTAGTTCTGTCTGCTGAGGAGACAACATGAATCATGACCTACTTTTTACGGGGTATGAACATAGGTTTTACACCAGATGTATCTGTGAAATGTGGATGATTTAGTTTCAGCCTTTTACTGTGTTTCCATAGTTCTTTTAAGGACAAGTGGAAGTCAAAAGTACCCGACTTCTTCACAACTGGCCTCTTTGTACTCTTCTTTCTTTACTCAATTAATTAATTCCCATTTTCCACTCAGTGATGATTCAAAACATTTTAACAGTTTTATCCTTTTCATGACACTAAAAATGTACAAATGTAAGTTTTTTTTACCTGAGTTAGTGAGTTCAGTCTACAGTCCAGGAGATGCAGGTAAGACCCAGCTTGATGTCTCAGTTGTGTTTCCTCCACAGGTTCATGCTCTCCATTCTCCTCCTTTCAGTCTCAGTCTCCCTCTGCCTCAGCTCTCATTGAAAATGAAGGCCTGCCTGCAGCTATGGCACAAGCAAAACCCCGTTCACCACGAGAACAGTAGAGGGTGGTCCAAACTCAGGGAGAGGAAGGCTGACGGTGTGAGTTTAGCAGCAGAGGGAAGGCCTGGCCCTGCCTTCCTCCTCTGATGTCGTGTAAAGTTTGGGAACAAAACAAGAGGCTCCTCCTAATGTGAGTTTTTGGAAAAGTGAGCAGAGGGTCAGATTGGCCGGGAGTCAGCAAGAGCTTTAAGGACACACAAAATCAGTCAAGCTGTGATCACATAACTCTCCACAGGTCTTGTTTACAACATTATGCTGTCTCCCACGGGCTATTCATCTGTCAGGTTTGTCAAACATGACATGCACATAAACTCTCCTTTTTCTCCTCCTCTCACAAACATCTGTCAGCTTCATTTATTACAAAAATTCCTCATAGTCTAGTTACTCGTCCTCATAAAGCTGTTTCCCATCAGCTCAAATCTAATGACTGAGTGGTTCTGGCGATCCAGTAGCTTAAGCATAATAACGAGAGATTTGTTTTGGATGTGTGTGTTTCTCCTGTTTTGCTCCAAATATGGGATGTGTGTCTCTCACAGCCCTCCAAAAGCTATTGGCAGCTGTGTTTATTTGGTTATGAGGACAATAAGCAGAGGGGCTTTGCAGACAAAAAAAAAAAGAAAGGAAAAAAAAGACGGCCCTCAGCTAAATGTTTTGAATGGAGGAGGAAGCACAGGCTTTGATGCATGGGGATTCTCTGCGTGGGGAGAAATACTTCAGCATGTGGGAGGATGGATTCGCCTATAAGCAAACAAGGCAACACAACACACTAATAATGTAGGAGTGTGTACTGTATGTGTATGCATGCGGCATGGCCATATGTTGTGTGTGTGTGTGTTGAGAGTACGTGCCTCTGAGGTGGTCGATGGTACATAATAGAGGTCTTGGAATTTAAATAAATCATACATGCGAGAACATGTGTGTGGAGTGTGGAGGAAGCTGTGACCGAGAGAAGCTAAAAAACACATTATGTACTAACTCAAACCATGTCTGGATATCTTTATCTTTATCTGCAACACATTAAACAAGCACTACTATTAAGTAGTTTGGGTTTCGCAACATGGGGGTTGAGTCCAACAAAGGGAACTCAAGATAAGTCTGGTCCAAGGGCAAAGAAAGGGCAGGAAGACAAAATCATGGTTTCCAACACGTGTTATAAACCAGTGGTTCTCAAGTCCAGTCCTCGAGGCCCACTGCCCTGCATGTCTTGGATATTTCCCTGCTGCAACACACCTGATTCAAATGATCAGCTCGTTATCAAACTCTGTAATGGCTTAATAACGAGCTAATCATTTGAATCAGGTGTGTTAGAGCAGGGAAACATCCAAAACATGCAGGACAGTGGGCCTTGAGGACTGGACTTGAGAACCACTGTTATTAACTACTTCAGTGGCTGCATCCTTCAAAGGCCCACAAGGGGACCAGCTGCATCACACAAACAGCCAACTAATAGACTGTTAATTACAGGTATTTTGTTTCAACTTATTATCTGCCTATATAAACATTAAATAAGACTACTTACTTAATACTTGACATTATCTTTACAATGCGGGTGATGATAGTAGCTAAAGTTCTGTTCCGCTATAGCTATGTTAGTAAGTTAGCTGACCAGCTAGCCACTGCTATAAAAATGTTATTTAGCTTCGATAAAAAAAAATGTTTATGAAGTGCATTGAACAGAGCAAAGGCAGGAACTCAGGAGGATCACGTAACATGTGTTTAACAGACAAGCAAAGCAGAGAGATATCTAGATATTTCTAGCAATGGATAAAAAAATCCAATACCATGAGTTAACAAGAATAAATGCAAACAAACAGAATAAAAGGGATAAAACATGGATTGCTAAGCAACAGGGGCAGCATTTTGTAATACCAGTATAAGATGAAAGAGGATGTCCTGATTTTGGTGGGTTTGGAGAACTGATTATGTCTTTTCCAAATCTTAATTTGAACATGGCTTTGAGTGCTTCAGTGGAAACTCATGCAAAGAAGCCATAATATCCCATTGTATCAATGCATCACTAAAGCTTTTCAGTTTATAGACAGGAAGTGCCCTCTTTCCATTGTTGCCCCTTGCCACCCTGGGAAAGTCTGTTAACGCCCCTGCTGGTGGTATTGTTTTTTCTTGCCTGGTGTTTTTATAGTGAAGCTTCAGGCCTGAGTTTTTTTATTTTTAGAACTAAAACTTTACTTTTCAACTGAACAGACAGGCTGTTGTTATATTGAATAGCTTAATTGTTTCAGCTCTCTGAGCCCCTCCTTGTGGCTAAAGGAGTTAATTACCACCTCCAACTTCACACTCTGGTTGGTCCATTTTCAATGCCACACAAAAAAATGGAAGTTCTATAAACTGTAGAGGGATTGAAAGAAATAAAAACTTCATCGACATTGAAAAACTAGCTTACAGAAATCTCTTTTTAAATAATTATTGGAACAAAAAAGAGATATTTCTTTTAACAAACAAACTATATTCAGCGCTCTTGAACTTATACAAAATGCATATTTTGGCAGAGCATTTTCACAAGACAAAATTGCAGAGCTTTATCTGGTGCAGCCTTCAAACAATAACTCTGAAAATGAGTGTAAACTAAAGAAAAAGAATGAAAGAAAAAGAAAAAATTAACAGGGATAAAGTAGACCCAAACAGTGATATTGGAGGCTACAGGTAGGCCTATTTGTGTGCCGTTTATTGGCTTAACTGTTGAAATAAACTTCAAATGTGGACAGATTTGTTGTTGTTGATGCTGATAAATTTTGACTTGAACCCAGGGATTGATTTAAAAAACTGTGCAGTGGGTGACATTTTCTGAATTTGAGTAAATGTTTTTTTTAACTTACCAAGCGGCAGAGAGATCACAGTTTACAGACCCCTTGACCTTTTACTGTCGGTGACGTCACATAAACTGACCAATAGGAGGCGATTGCCTTGTGACAGTTGATACTCGACAGTTGGCGGCAGTAAACGACGTCCAAACAGAAGATTTGATTACTTATTTTAAACTCTAAGCCGAAGAGATGGGTTAAAATAATAAACCATTTTAATGTAAAGATTTGCTGAACGACGTGTTGCCATTCCGCTCTTCACTTTCGTTTCCTGTCGTCTGTTTACTTTGCACGCATGGTGAGTGTGACTCCAACCCTCTCTGTAGGTAGTTACATGTTGCTGGTGTCTAACCTCTGTGTGTAACCGAGGGGAACTTTGTGTGTCATTGACAAACCTTATAGTCCACAAACTGATGTTTAGGACCAACTGCTCCCGTCCACTTTGCCCTACAGAGAGCGGGTGGATTAGGTGATTTAAACAGGCTTTACTTCTGTGTAGTCACTCATCTGTTGAGGATAAAATTAGACTCCTACAGAGATCTGGTGTCACCGTGGATCTTCTGAGCCCCTGTAGAAGAAGCCTTGAAGACAACTGTCAGGGCTTTAGTGTGCTTTTCAAAACCATTTACCGTGAATGTTTGCGAGAGTAAGAGAAATCACACCGACCAACCATAACATTATGAACAACTTCTAGGCAAACTGAAGCAAACCATCACAACAGCTTGCACTGTATTTTTAAGAAGCTGCTACACTGTCAGTTGTTGTTTATCAACTGAAGTTTTATTTAACAAATGAAGCCTCACTGGTATTTAAAAATCTCTTTCGCAAGAGTGTCCTGGCCAAGATTAGCAGCAACACATTTCAACACAGTCATAGACATCCAAAACACATGTCAGTATTTCCCTCGGTCAAATTTGGTTTCAATTGTTTTTTTCTTACATGGTGTGGCACATGGTGATTCTTCTGTAAGTAAAAGCTCCTGTCAGGAGTTTTTTTGACTTAGATGATAGATGGAAATTCACATCAATGCTTTTTTATTCCATACTAAAGCAAAATTGATATTGAGGGACTAGATTGACTATTTTTATGTTGTTCTTGGTGTCTGAAATGGATGAAAGAGGCCAGGTGTCAGACAGGCAGCTGAGGAACAGCTCAATTTTTGCAATTTTTTATCATATAGAATTTTCATAATAAATGATACAGTTAAAGGGATATTCCGGCGTAAAATTAATTTAGGGTCAAACACATCGTAACAGCAAGTTAGACGCCCCCTCGAGAGATGAATGTTGCTGACTGCTTGCTTCTCTACCCAACTGTAGTAATGACGGCATGATAGCAATGCACAGCAATCTGAGGAGCCATAAACCAACATCAACCAAAAAGCCACTCTACAAATAATGCTCAGAACAGCACCTAACTCCATCAACAGTACATATAGGGTCCTAGCCATAGCACTAGCCACCAAACATCTTTTTAACTTCTAATTTCTTTAGCAAAGAGAATAAACACAACTCACCTACTCTCTTCCAACAGCTGCTTGTTTGTAGCGAGACCTCGGGCCAGTCCGTTATGGATGCTGTGGGGTGACGCAGCTCAAGGAAGAACATTTATGATCATTTCTTTGTCATTTCCTTGAAATGATTTTCACCATATTAATCATTTTGCACTGCAGACGTGGTTGATCTTCTGCCTTAGCTTCTCAGTCCATATACTGTATATACTATGGACAACTTGGTTCCGCCTCACGCCTGTATACGGATTGAAGCCAAAAAGCTCTCTGTATTTCCAGGATTTTTCTTTATTTCCTGAAACCCGCGCTGTGCAGTAGCGTTGTGTGCGTTCGATGGGAGAGTCGCTGTGATGATGCTCAGCTCACACAGCGCATCACCCGGGTGAGCTACAATCCCTGAACGCCAATAGGCTGTATCAGGTGTCAATCATAGAAAACATGAACCCTCTAATAACTTTTAAAAATGGAGCTGTACAGAAAAAAAGAGGACTTGAGCACAAACCAGTCTTACAATAACTTCATGTCAACACCGCAAGCAGGGGGGAGAAAAATGTATGTTCTGTGTAATAAATTTCTAAAGTTTGCCCACAGCTCCATAGGCTGGGCTGGACAAGATAATTAGAGACTGATTTGTCCACAGGGGGCACTAAAACTAGGACCTATCTCACAGGAGCTTTAACTGTGGAAGTTGTATTGGGTGTTGGTGGTGTACATTAAAATGACAGGTGTTGTTGGTATTTTCTCCTCTGATTTTTGTCAAGGAAGTAGACAAAATATAAAGAACTCCTTCAATTTAACACACTCCAGTACAGACTGTGTCTTTAATAATGGATAAAGAATATTGCAATTACCTGTCTGATCAGGCCAACAAAAACAGAAAATTCAGTAGCTTCCTTGACGTAGAATTTGAGGTGAAGCGGTTGTACTGGATTGCATTAGTTTTCCCAGCTGTTTATAATAATATTATCAGCATCTAACTCAATTTTATAGATTTAAATTAAATAAGAACTTGAAACCACACCATTGATCTAATAACTACTGTAATTTCAAGGTTTGCGTCACCCAAGTTGATTTTGGACATTTTTTTCCTAAAACAATCAGGAGCCTACCCTTTTCATATGAACTACTACGCTGTAGTGGGAATGCTCCCCTGATTACCTGTAAATGTCTTGCAGGATACTACGGAGGGTCCCCGGGCCCTGTGTGACCTCTGTTTAGCTCAAGTGTGCAGCAGTCTGGACACTCTGTGCAGCAGGCGAGCAGATGGCTCCATGTTTCTCAGCTGGGCTCCACTTTTCCCACAGGAGATGGCTGACCAGTTACTGCAAAAGTTGGCTACTCTAGGTAGGTAAGGGGAAAGAGAAGACTCCAGGGGGCCAACAACTAAGGACAACTAACTGCAGCTTCTAACTGACAAATTACAAATGTGACCTTTGGTGGTTTTACTATTCTGCTCACCCAGGATACTCAAGCCACTCTGACCATATGATAACTTACACAACTCCAATTAAAATTTGAGAAATGTTGATAAAAACAGACTAGTTTCTGTAATTTTAATAGGGAAGTGTCCCATTCTTGTCTAATTTAAGATTCCAACTGCTTCCAACAGTTCAAGGTCTCCTTCGTCATATTTCGTGTGTTGATGTGACTAAGATTTTCAATGTGTGACAAGTCCAGACTGCAGGCTAGCTTGCTTAGCGCTATTACGTAGCCGTGCTGTTGTAATACGGACAGAGTATGTAAGATTATCTGGATGGCAGTGTTTGTCACACCAAAGCATGTCCAATAAGCTGTGCTGACAATAAGCTGTGTTTTCCCTCTCTTCTTAGATTGGAGGACACAGTGTCTATACTTTCCTGAAAGACTGTCAAATTCTGATTTGTCAAATCACACATTAGTTTCACTTTCATCTTAAATGGGCGTAAGCTCAGAGAAGTCACCAGCATTTCTGAATCATGTTTTCAAAGGGTTTCTTCAGCCTGTTATTGTAAATGGACTGATGAACTATATTACAGATGGAAGTTATTTAGAGCCCTTACAGTTATTTCCACTGTAGAGTTATGTCTTTTTAATGCACTGCCTGCACTGCCTGAAGATCATGGCTCCCCAGCTCCTCCAGCTCCTTAGCATATGGAAATGTGTTGCTGTTGTCAAATTTAAGAAAATAATAGTAATAATGATAACTTTATTTGATTAGTACTTTTAAAAACAGAAGTTTACAAAGTGCTTTGACATATAGTCATAAAGCACATAGAAAAAGACAGATAAAAACAGAAAGCTCAGTTAAAATGGAATTGAAGGCCATTTTCATGTCATAAAGAACCCAGACAATACAAGAACCATGTAACATAAAATGAGACCAAAATGAGGACCAAAATCAAAACTTAAATAGTTAAGAAAAAAGAAAATGCAATTAAAAGGGGGGTCGAAAGCGGGAACAGGATAGGAAATATAAAAGGCAATATCAACAATGATAATAAAATAATAAGAGGTAATACTGATAATAATAATAGCAATGATAAAATAGAGCAACAGAAATGAGCAAGAGATAAAACAATAAAAGGCCTAAAAGGTTAATTAAGAAAAGAGTGCAAGTATAACAAAAGCTAAAAAGACAGTAAAGCTGAAATAAGATACAGGTAAAAGAGATAAGATGAGGATATATTATTCAAAAAAGAATATCATTTTTTAATTTTATCTCTTGATATGTTGTCTTTGCACTATTTTCAATTAAATGCAGGATCTGAGTAAACAACAAACCATCAAAATGTATAATGATCAACATTTACACAGTGTCCTGACCTTTTTGGAGCAGGTGTTACATAAAAATAAATCAGTTTGCACAGCCTATTTGATTCAGTCTCTAAATTTGCCATCCTTACTTTCAGTGCCATTTTTTATTAAGAAGACTAATAAAATCTGACTGTTCAATTCCTACCCAGCACTTTGAATTTGTTGTGTAAGATGACATAGCATTTCATGCAACCAGGGAGAGACAATGGAGTATTTCAAGTATGGAGCATTTAGAAGATGCTTAGAGTTTTCCATGGTCTGTCCTGTAGTTCTTTTTTTTTATGGAAAGAAATGCTTAAAAATAACATTTTCCCCCTGACTATTATTGCATTAGTCCTGATTATTGGACTTCCATTTAACCAAAACTCTGGATTCTACCCTTGAATAACCCTTTCATCATATGACATAATAGTCCACTGTGTTTTTTGCCAGGAGGAGATGGTGGGAAAAGTCTTTACCACAAGCATAAAAATTGGCAAAAGTGATGCTTCTTTTTCCTAAAACATCCCTCTGTTTGCTTTTTTTTCTACAAGGGATACTGAATGACACAACTGTTGGCATTTTCCGAAACTGCAAAGAGCTCCGCCTGCGCAGAGCCACCATCCGTTCCTGCCCAGTGAGTGCAAAAGCTTTCCGCCTGGCCCTCTGCCCTCACCGGCTCCAGGAACTAGATGCCTCCTGGGTCTCTGGAGGCCTCACTGGAGCTAGCATCATCTCAAGCCTGGCCTCAAACCCAGAGTGTAGATCCAGCCTGCAGAGACTGTCCCTTAATGGGCTACCTCTGGACTTGGAGTCTCTGGAGGAGGATCATGGAGGTTTCAGTTGCCTGCATGGTTTAAGGACGCTAAATGTTGCAAACACAGACCTGACAGATGCCATCTTTGAGGACATCTGTTCTCTCCCTCAGCTTGAGAAACTGGACATCTCCTGTTGTGCTGTAACAAAACTCACCGCTCTCCTAAGTTGTAAGAACACCCTGAAATCTTTGATTGTACACCAGCTGCGGCAGCTGGACATGTCGCCTGCCAGGTTACTGTCTGTCCTCAGCCAGCTTCACGCTCTCAGGCATCTGGACTTTTCAGATGATCATTTTACCGTGGATGACAGTGATGGGAAGGACGGGGATGAAACAGTGCGGCAGCTTCTGGAGGGGAGTCCCCAAGTTCTTCCTTCTCTTGTCTCTCTGGATATCTCAGGACGAAAGAGAGTCATGGAAACAGCAGTCAGAGCATTTGTGGAGGCCAGGGGTGGGTTGGTCTTCCTGGGCCTGTTAGCCACTGGGGCGAGCTCCTGTGATGTCCTATCTACTCAGAAAAACTTGAAAGTAAGTTTTCTCTGCAAGCATTGGTTTGAAGTTTATGTCATGTCACAGCATCTGATAATGTTCTATGTGGACACAGCTTGACTCTGGCATACGTTTCCCATTTGCCTTTCACTTGAGGCTCTGTTTGTGTATGCACTAAACATGCACACTGCATTTCCTGTCTCTCTGAGTGCTGATACTCTGTGTGTGTTCAGGTAACCGGAAAAGCTAATGAGAACCAGGTGTGCGAGGCCCTCAGACGTTACAGAGACCGCGAGTGTTTCATACGAGAGGGCCTCATCCGTCTTTACAATCTAATCACTGACATCGACAAACCACGACCAGATATGCTGAAGGTAATATGTTCAGTGATGTATTTAAACATCCCATTTAATTTCCTATAGAACTCTTTATTTTTGTGATCCTCATCGCTCACTTCTGTTGTTATTTGAAAATGATGGTTCATAATTTAATAATTAAATGTTTTTTGTTGTTTTCTGTCCACAATTATGTTTCTTTCCTCTCAGGACATTTTTAGCGTTGTTGCTAATTGATTTTCAAGCTCATCCTATTTAAAGGCATGGTCCCTTTTAGTAACAAGGTGCATGGTTTTAAGAGAGATAAGGTATTCCTTTAATAGTCCCATGGGAGGGGGTTCAAAATTACAGGAGCATAAGTACAGATACAAAAAGTGAAATTAAAGGATAAAGAAATTTAAAGGATAAACAAACCAAATAGAAAAAAGAGGAAGAAACTCCTTCGAGTTCACAGAGCTGCTTTAATGGGCTGCTGCTTGTCCAACACCAGAAGTCCTATTTACTACAAATAAAGGCAGATTTCAATTAAAAACCTGTATATACTATTAATCTATTAGGTTGTTCCTGTTATATAGTGGATAATGTTGTAACTGTTGTACTTTCAGCATTACATGTTGCATTTATGGCACAGAGAAAATACTGTATGGAGGCCTGACAGCTGCCACACTGTCTAAGTTTGCTCAAAGAAAGCAGCAGGAAAACACTCATCCAACCATTTTAAAGAGAATGAGAGGAAACATAAATGAACTTAAAGATATATCTGAGAAAGATGACTAAAAGGCAGAGTAGGAGGAATATTCAGCTGGAGTGTATATGCGCATGTGAATCCGTAGAGTTGATGTCATCAATTTACAGATACAGCTGAAGTTGCAGTGATGTTACAGTCTCCCACAAGTTGATCAGGAAGAAGGCTGAAAAAAGGTTTGCCTTGTTGAGTTACTGCTTGTGCTGGCTTTGAAGATAGAAATCAAGACTAAAACAACAACAACATCCGACCCACTCCCCCGCTGGGATGAAGTTTTATTCAAAAAATAATTAAAAGCCTTTTCTCTGTTGATGTTTGTCCTAATCAAAGGCAGAGTGAGTTTAAAGACTGAGATCACTTTTGTTGGCATTACCTCCACCAGGACTGTTTTGTTTTTTTTCCGCTCAGTTCAAGTTAAATTTCCTGACAAAATTATTGCAGTGTTCAGTGATGATAGGGAAAAGAACAAAAAGAGTCAGTTTCTTTTTAACCTCATCTGTAGGTGAATAGTAAAGTGCTAATTAAAAGCTGAGTATAGGTGGGAGGGTAACACAGTCACAACACCTGCTAGACAGTTCCATTACTGTCGGATGATTGCTGCAGAGAGAGAGAAGAGCAGACATTATCCCTCCTCTGCATACTGCCTTTTTGTAGGCTATTAACAATTTGACAACCTATAATCAACAATCACAAACATGGAGCGTTTATTGTACATATTTTATAACTGAAACATGTGGTTTTGTGTAGTTAGTGCTGAGTGGGATGCAGAGCCACCCAACCTCCCTGCACGTCCACCTGGTGGCGACAGCGTGCGTGTTCAACCTGACCACTCAGGACCTGGCTGAGGCCATGCCGGTCAGTCTGCTCAGCTGCACTATCACCCAGCTGCTGTATGCCATGAAGACCTTCCCCAATAACCACCAGGTGCACTCAGTAGACCTGATAGCATATAGATTCACATCTGTAAATTAGGGCTCTGAACAGTTCCTTAGCTGCTGTTTTTCTCTGTTCCAACATTAACTGCATTTATTCAGAACCCATTCCTTCATACTTACACAATATTTTCTGTTACTTAAAACACCTCATAATGGTCTATTATATTTCCTTATGCTCATGGTTCTTTAAATCAAACTGTTTCCATTTCTTTAGGTGCAAAAGAACTGTCTGCTGGCGCTCTGCAGCGAATATATCCTTCAGGATGTCCCTTTTGACAAGTAAGTTACCGTTCTTCAGGTATAATACGATGCGTCAGCCAACAGTGGAACAGGAGCCAAGATAATCAGAGCACTTATGGAGTGGCATTGTAATGTTTTTCCAACAATTTGGGATCCAGTAGGAATATATTTTCCTTGAATTGTACGTGCCAAAAGAAATAGTTCCTCCTGTTATAAAATTGCCTTACTGAATTTTGATTTTTTTCAAGGCTAGTCAAGTTTATTTTTGTAATACCGTGCTCCTCACATCTGTGCTGTGATCATGGTTCAGGTATTTAGCAGCCACACTGGTGATTATCTGGCTGAGCAGCCACGAGGACCCGACCCTCCAGAGGATGGCTGTGGCTGTCATCTCCATTCTGGTGTCCAAGGTCAAGACTCCACTCACTTACTGTGCATTAGTGTGCTGCAGGGAAAATAGCATGGCACCTGTTTGCCCAACCTGCTAAGAGCTTTCCTGCCTCTGTCCCCTCCTTTGCTTCTACAACACTAGTCTTAGCAGCCAGTCATGCAGTCCAGTTAAGAGGGGCGATAAAATTTAGTTTGACATTTAGGGAAATAGAACTCAAAGAAACACTGTTTTTGTTTGTGTTGCAGTTGTCCACAAAGGAGACCGCTCAGCTTGCTAAGGACGTCTTTTTTATGAAGGTATTTTTTTTCACATTTTGAGTGAGTTTAATTCCAAACCTACACAACATCCCTGGATTAGCACTAGATATGCATGGGTGTATTTCTAGTTCTCTCTTTGTCTTCCTCCCCTGCTCTATTTTCCACTGCCTCCCCACTCGGTATTCTCGTGTACTCTGTCATTGTCACCTCATTTCTCTCACACTCGTCCTTCTCGGTTTACTCAATCACGTTGCTATTGCACTCTCTTTGTGAGTGTAATCAGGCCTCTCTGTCCGCCTCAGCTCTTTCCATTCATCGTATGTCTGGTTTCACTTATTAATATGTAAACATTTTCATCCAACAGTTAAATTCCCCACCGCCAAGGGATGTTTCCAATGTTTCCTTTTGGTTCTTTATTTGCATTTTCTTCTCTCCATCATTCCCCACTCTCTGATTCGTGTCTCACAGCAGCTGCTGGCGATTGTACAGCAGAAAGCAATGGTGGGAGTGGTGGACTCCACTCTGAAGTTCGCCCTGAGTGCTCTCTGGAACCTGACGGATGAGATGCCCACTGCTGCTCGCAATTTCATCGAGTGCCAGGGCCTGGAGCTGTACGAGGAGGTTCTGGAGGTAGAGGACCAAGAAAGCACACACTGATAGATACATTAAAGAGAAATGAACCCACATGCAGGGTCAGAAATATTTCTCTTCTCTGTCTTCTTTTTTGTTGCAGTCCTACTACACAGAACCCTCAATTCAGCAGAAAGTGCTCGGCCTCCTGGTGGGTTCAGTTTATGTGTTTTATAGTGGTTCAGCCTGCTCTTCTTTTTAGAGATTGTTTACTCGAACCTAAGCTCATTTTGTTTTTGCAGTCCAACCTCCATTCAGGCTGTGACATCAGCTCCTAAATCTATCCAGAGTTTTTGTCAAATATTTTCATATTCCTCTCATGCTTTTCACATTTTTTAACCAATAGGAATAGAATTAAAATCCGTCTGCAGGCAATCTGATGTAAGACAGTCCCAGTTTTCCCACTGACAGGATCATCTTTCTGCCAAGTTACATTATTTCTGTCATCACTGCTGTCATCTGTCTGGCTGTGCTGCAGAATAACATCGCAGAGGTGGAGGCGTTACAGTCTGACCTGATGGAGGAAGATTTGTTGGAGCACATCCTCAGCCTCCTGCAGGACTCCCAGGTTGAGGTGGGGGTCAGGTACTTTGCAGGGGGGATCCTAGCGCACCTCGCTTCCAGACCCGAGGCTTGGACCCTGGACGAAGAGCTTCGCAGCTCCATACTGGAGCAGCTGGTGTGTGAGAGAGAGAGTGTGTGTGTCTGTGTGTGTGAAGAAAACTGCCTCAGATTCACTTCAGCTGCATTTCACAGACAGTTGAAGTCAAATTTGGGTCTTTTCAAAGTGTCCTTGTTTCTTTGCAGCATGCATCCATAATGACATGGACTCATCTGGAGAGAGAGATGGTTTCTTACAGGTGAGAGGGGATGGAAACATAGCAAAAAAAAGGTGTTAGATGGATAGCTGTTATATAATGCATTTGTTCACCCTGTCTGTTCAGTTTGAAATCAAACTTTAAATTGTTTCCAGTAATACACATCCTACATTCTGTCTACACACTCTTACATAACCCGATTGCTGCTGATTTAAATAATATTAAAACACCAAATCCTAATGTAAAGCTGTGTGCACATTTATCACAAAAGCCCCCCAACATTTCCCCGAGTGACGTTTAAGTTACGCTGTCAGGATAGCGTCGTTGTGACATGAGATCAAGTGTCTGGAAGCTGAAGTACACACACTCCAGTTTTTTAATCTAAGTGTGCTGTTCCCTTGTGCTGTATTTTTCAGATCATTTCGTCCATTTCTTGCATTGCTGCAGACTTGTCAGCCTCCAGGAGTGCAGCTGTGGGCAGTCTGGGCCATACATCTGGTCTGCAGTCAAAACAGTGAGACTCACAAACACAGCACAGCAGAGATACTGGGGGTTGATTTGACTGTGGTGAACACATAAGGGTCGGCATATTCAGATCAGTTTGACAAACAGAGCCGTGCGTGTATTCCAGTATCAGTGTATCTGCAATGATGAGTCATCTAATAAATATGTAGCTGAGAGACAGAAAAAACAGAACTATTACATTTGTAGATCATTTTGAATCATATTATTATATTTTCCATTTCAAATATGAAGACTTTCTGCTATTTTTCTAAAAACTGGCATTTTAAGTTTATATTATTAGTAAAATTAAGAATTATTTGTCATCCTTTTTCATATTAATTTTTATGCTAAACGTATCTGACTGTTATTATACCTTGAGTCATTTTGCTGTCCATCAAAGTGTACACCCCTCGCAGTGGCTTTCGCTGGGGTATTAATATGCAGGTGGATCATGGTAAGCCTCACCTCCTTATCACTTCTTTTCTCTATCCCCTAGCCTCACATTACAGCAGCATGCTGGAGCAAGAGGGCGTGACTGAACTTCTGAGGGCTTTAACTGCTCACCCTGACACACATGGCGACATTAAAGGACTTTCAAACAGCATCCTACAAACGGTGGAGCATAACGAGAGTCACCCGGGGTCCTCAAACAAGCGGACAGGGCCTAGAAACTCTTGATAAAAGTGACTGATTTGTTGTCTCTGAGTTATGCCTAAAACATGCAGAACTTAAGACTGCAGAAGCAGAATTACAGACATAGAATGGCAATCCTCTTTAAATCTAAATTTTGTATTTTTTATATAGATAGTATAACCCCATAAAAATATTTTTTGACACAGTTAGCTTTAAATGCTATGCTAAGTGGAAAAACTTTTGTTGTGGCTGCGTTTACATTTTTTTGAGGTTGAGTTTCTGTTTAATTTAAACCTTTTTAATCCTTATAGCGTTCCCTGTGAGTTGTGTTGTAAATCATAAATACAATGAAAACCTGACACTAGAGGGTGCTTTGGTACTGCACCTCCAGGGCTCTTTAACCCCAGTGAATGTGATGTGTACAGTATTCACTCATTTTGTGTGTAGATTAAAGATCATACATGATAAGCAGCAAGATACAAAAGCAGTCTGTATCTGCTGTTTATCCGTCTGTACCGGGGACTTCATTATAAATCAGTCATGCTCTAAAATAAGTCATCTCTCTCTCTCTCTCTCTCTCTCTCTCTCTCTCTCTCTCTCTCCCTCTGGTACTCTAGATGCAGAATTCATTATATTTTATGTAACACAGCTGGAAGACTGAAATGCTCGTAGGCATCTACAGTCTATTCAAAGTTGGTCTATTAATAATTCCTTTTGAAAAGTGGATTAACAACCTCACATGAATATTTGAGTTGTACAGACACGTTCAACTTTTCAGTGTGAAATCCCCACGATTCACATATTTATGCCCCCAAAGGAATTCAAAGGGATTCAGCAGGAGATGGCTTTAAATGCTCATGCCAGGTTAGTCATCCTCTAACACATATCACAGCACACCTTAGGAAAAAAAAATCAGCGTAAACTGATCCCGGGTCAGCATTTTACAGCTGTTCCAACCCTTAAACACAGCTCACAGTGGCAGCCCTGTGGGATCAAAGGTCAAGTGCTCAGCAGTGAGCGCAGGGTGATGCTACCGTGAGAAGTTCAAGTCATGAGAAGTGTGGGAAAATGCTACCGCTTTCCAGGGGCTGTAGGTCATCCAAAAGCCTGCACGGCAACTTTGCACTGGTGTGGAAGACATATCATAGCATGTGAGACGGAAAAAAAGAACAAAGGCGCAAAAGAGTAATGGTGGTGTGCATTTCCATATTCAGGTGTTAAATTTCTGCTCGTGGAGCAGAGAGTACATTAATATTCAAGTGACACGTGAAACAGGCAGACACAAAGAATTCAAATAGAGGAAGAAAGAGGAAAGAAAGAGGTAGTTTTATATTTTGAGAGCCTAGCATATTTGCTTCCTGTCAAATTTAAGATTAAGCTCCAATACCTGGTCTTCATGCTGCTATTGGTAAAGCTGCAGCAGTTAGCTTTGTTTGCACAAAGACTGGAAATGACTGAGCACACGCTAGCGTTATCTTTAGTTTTTAAAAAAATGAACCAGCAGTACCTCTAAAGCCCAAGATTATGCTAGTTCTTACAGAGACAAAGTCAGGAACCCAATTTCAGTAATGTGGTTAATAACAGTGTCTTTGCCTGAATAATTGATATCCTTGTGAATGGGCTTGTTGCTAGGAGCAGGCCTCTCGCCGAGAAATAGTTTATAATGTTGGCAGGAGTTGAGCCGAGCCTAACATTAAATTAAAGAATGAAACTAGCTTCCTCCTGTTAAAAGGTGACAAAATCAGTTTTCAGGTGTGCTTAGGTTTAAACCGCTATGTATTAGAAGGAAGAAGAGGAAGAAAGAATAGCCTGTGCATGTTAATGTCTAGGTCAGGAGCTGTGGTTTGGTGGGCTTGAAAGCAACTTTTCTTGATCAAAATAAGTCTAGAAAATTCACCAGATTAAGACAATTTTACACTTGGGCACACAAGCCCATTGCAAGGGTGGATCCAAATATTTTATTTTCTCTATTTTCCCTTGATAATTAATCAATATCTGTTGGTTTCTTGCAATGTCTTCACATCACATGTGAAAAAAACAGTGGCATTGTCCAACTAATACAAAGCAATAAACATGCATTTATACCTGTTCATACCTAGTAAATGTAGATAGATTTTCTCCAACAGGCCTGGGTGTTTTGTACATGGTCAGCAGACAAGGAAGTCCCAACTGATTTAAAACCTGTTGCTAGCATTAAATTTAATGTAAACATATTTTTCATGAAGCTTTTTTTTTCCAGTCTCAACATTTGTTATGTAGCATTTGCATGATTTTCATATCCGCTTTACGAGATTTGCAAACCATCTAATTCTGTTTTTATCAACATTATGTAGTCTTCAAGGAGCTGGAAAAGGAGTTGTCCTTTAAGAGTCTTTATCTTTGGCTGCTTGTTATAATAGCAAAGTAAAAAATGTGAAATTGTATGCCACTACTGGAAATAGCTGAAGGCACATCCCCGGTCGGATAAATGCTTGAGTTTTTGTAAAATGGACAAAATGTTGCAGGTACTTCAGGTTAACCTAGCCTCACTTAAAGTCAGTGAACAACAGAGAAAGAGCCAGTCTGTCTCTATTTGTGTAATCCACCAGGCAGCCTCTTTAAATGTCACTTTAGACATGTCTGAATGCAGCTGGTGACTGTGTTTGCCTGTTGGCTTTGTTTTCCCAGGTAGACTGCATGACTGATTTGCCCTTTGGGGAAAAATAAAGTTGTCTGAAGTGAACTGATTTAAATAACAGCTGAGCATATAAGGGAAAAAGTATTACGAGGTCAAATCAAACTCTTTACCTAAGGCCCCACTATACCATTCAAGAAATAGCTGGTATATAACCCCTCATGAGTGACATATTGAAGGCTTTATTTGTGTTTTATGTTATTGTATGGATAAAAAGAAGAAAAAATACTTGTATAACTTTGATTCAGAGGAGCTGGTGAATACATTTAGCTGCCCTTGAGCAGAGCAAATCCTATACAGACTGCAGCTTCACACATACTTCTTAGATATAGGAGAAGTAGTCTCCTTATTTGATTTAAAGAAAGATAGCATAACTCCATTTCTGTGAGTATAAAACTGCTCGTTAATGAAAACAGAAGGAGCTCTGACAAGGAGAAAGAATATAACTGTTCACAGGAAAACTGACAGATCAAAAATAGGATTTACAGGCAAAAATATTTCAGACGAGATAAATTTAGCTTGGGCGAGATGAAGAGAGACATGCTGGAGATAAGAGCATACAGTTGGTCAAAGGAAATTGCTTCAATATACCCCAGACCAATTTGCAGATCCCCTGTCTCATTTTGAAATATCATTGTGCTGCTTTTGAGTTGGAGCTTAGTCCGAGTAAGCATGTTGTTATCTCACTTCTGCAGCCATCTCCACTGGATTATCATAATTGTAACCAGTCTTGGCCTTGAGAATACACTAGCATACAGTGCAGCACATTTCTAGGACTGTGTATGCATGTGCATGTGTTTTTGCAGTGCACGTAGTGTTGACTATAAAGCTGACACACATTTGAACTTGGGCGCTAATTAGACACCATTTTAACCTCAAAATACTCAAAAAGCAAAAGGAGGGAAGAAGTAGATTCAAAGAGCATTAAGAGGTCAGACAAGACAAAGCAAAAAAAAAAAAAACACTTCTCCAGGCAGGACTGTGACGCATAAAACGACACACCAGCTCCTCTCAAATGACCTTTTATTGCTGGGGAAGGATACAGAGTTGTCAGGCCCCTGAGCCTGTGTGCAGACATGTAACAGCAGTTGAACCGACCTCTTCACTGCCAAGTGAAGGCAGGGGCTTCCTCTTCACCGTCAATCAATAGTCACATTCACAGAGGAGGGCTGAGTGTTATTATCGAGTCCGATAAAAAACATACAGTATGTAGTATAGGATTAAACATATTGATTTCATTAAGTTCAAATAAATCCAAGCAGACAAACAAATCCTGGAAATGAAAAAGGAATAAAGTCAATCTGAAACCAGACATTTTTGATTATCTCTGTCCCTCTTTTTGTGCTCGTGTGGTCAAAAATGGAAGAAATGACTATATTTCAAGCAAGAGAAAGTACAAAACTCATTGAACACCTTGTATTTTTACAACTGTAAACTTAGATAAATATTTGACTTAATATAAGTTGCAGCAGTTTCTGTATTTACTAGCTTAGCAGTACTTCAGCAGTATGGGCGGTTGGATTTGGCGGAGAACTTTTTTTGCTGTCACCCTATGTGGCAGTGACTAATGACGTAATTTGGTGGAAATAACTGGAAATGGTCTCAAAGCTCCTGAGCAGCAGCACTCTTGAATATATCCTCATTTCTAACTTTGGTGTAAGCCATCCCACTGCGCCATGACTAAAGGATTTTCTTCCTGTTTTCTCTGTGTTTGTGTATGAGTGAGGGTATTTGTAAGTAGATGTGTCAGGGGGCTATTACGGTCGGTTAGAGCCGCTCTTACTTGATGTCACATAGACCATCTGCAGGCGTTTTGCAGTGGCCAGTTAGCCTTCAGCTCAGTGGATGCACACAATGGTGCAAAGAACACGGGTTATAACACCAGAGGCCGAGAACAAGCCCTGCAGGAGCATCTGCGTACATCTCTGAGTGAGATGCATTTCCTTGTCTATTCACTGAACTGACTTTGAGTCACAGCTGTGCTATTGATGTGACCACAAACAGCTGAGTGCATTTCTGTCCTGAGGTGCATCCTGTCAACTACACCTCAGCCAGACTGATGAATGTTTGAATAAATGGGGGAAAAATCCATCACAAACACAATGATATCATACTAATTAGTACTAATTAGTTTATTCAGCTAAAATGAATCAGGGGACTTGACCTTATCTGCTTTTTGTCAAACGTTACATAAGGACATTATTACTACTCTGTTGTCTCTAAGCCAAACACTACAGCTGCAGCCTGTTAGCCTAGCATCAGACTTGGAGTGGTGTTAGCACATTTAAACATCTTTCTTTTAAAATTCAGAGCACAAATAAACTTTTTTGTCCTGCAATTAAATTATGGTGTTCAAAAAAAATTAAAATTTCAAAATTCAGGGAAATGCAAATATAAGTCTGTTAGCTTAGCTTAGCAGAATTTACAACAGGTCAGCTACGATTTTGTTGTTGTTGTTGTTGTTGTTGTTGTTATTATAATCCCTTTTGTCTTTGACAAGACTACTGGAGCGATAGAGGGAAAAGTATGCACTATATCATGTTGGGAGCAGGAATTAACCCCATGAGCCATAATTGCACTGGACATGGGGCACCTACTATAGCAACAAAGCTAAAACCTGACTTTGTCCAGGTTTGTCCTTTAACAATAAAAGACCATGTTTTCCTTTTACAGTTCATGGAAAAAAAAGTGAGAGACAAATTGTATTATACATGCAATCGGGCCTTTTTTTTCCCTTTTATTGAAACTAATCACTGCTTTATTTTTCATTTGGGATAATCTTACTGGGAAAGATAAATATGAGTAAGCCTCACGTCTGGCTTTTGTTTACTTTTTTTGCACTAGCAGCACCCAACTCCACAATTGTAAGGTGCCTCTCACTGGCACTCACTGTTGCTAGGTTACACATGTAGTCCCAGGACAGGTCAGTTTCCCATAGTAGTGACTGTGGAGGATGATTGAATGTGCTCTGTATGCTTCATTTCGCCTTTATTTAGGGGCATTTTTACAAAGAAAATATACAAATAAGTGATAAGAAGTGATGCTGTAACATTGGGAGCAGCTCTAGATCTAAAAATTGTACCTACAAAAACAAGTGTGCTGAGTTTCCCTTACAGACCTACACCGTTATAGCTGATACAGGTGGAGTCAGAGATCCTGGCCGACATAAGTTTGATTGGTTTATGATGGAAAAGTCCCATTTTTGAGTGCAGAGAAGCTTCAATTGTTGAACTATCTCAACTACATTAATGTTCAATTAGAAGCAATAGTTAGGCATTTGTGAAAATATGCTTAGTTGCTTTCTTAAGTAGAGTTGGATTGAGAAAATGTATACTCTTCGAAAGTTAATGCCCCCAGGAAAGGGTCAGCAATGAGACAACTGGTAGAGAGATGCTGGTAGGTATGGTTTTTTTTTTCACCCCGGAGAAAAGAAAGGCTAAGTGCTTCCCTGTTTCCAGTTGTTTTGCTAAGCAAAGCTAACTGCTGTCCACCATAATCAAAAGACAGGCATGTAAAACATCAATCTTATCAGGTATTTTCTTTGTCAAGAAAACTTAGGGGGACACTTATCCAAATATAACTCTCTTAGATATGAGATCCTGTTGATTCAATGATGTGGGAAGATGCTGCTCTGGGTTGAGTCAGTAGCACAGCATCAGCAAGAGAAGAGCTCTCCTTTTAAGCTTTTATACAGCACATTATTCTCAGAGGTTATCTGTGTTGGAGTCGATGATGGAGAGAGAACTGATGCTTTTTTTCCGTGTGTCAGAGCACATGCATACATGTGCCTCTAAATATGGTCTGAGTTTGCAGTGTGGGGGTGTAAAAAAGTGCATAATATTGAATTTCAGCTCATCCACTTAGTATGTTATTGAAGCTCTGAGTATTCAGCTTCTATAAAGTACCTCCAAGTGCCCACATGGAGCGAAAAACTGTCAATACTGAGGGTTTTCAGAGCCTGGTGTTTGCTTTGTGAGCTGTGCACAGGAATAGCAAGTATGTACATGATTATTAAAAAAAGAACAACATGTGGGTATTTCTTAGCATTTCATCTGTGTCACTGTGCTGGCTTGAATTAGAACAACAAGCTGGCCTATTTCCAAGCTGCACTCTCACCCTTGCCTGTAGCATCACATGGGCTAATCTGTGCACCTAGATTGCACAGTGTAAACCACTGTATGCTAGAATTAATGTAAATGAGTTTGTGTTTCACAGACCCTTATAGACATGCAGATTATGCAATACATACTGAAAGACCTCATGCAAATATTATAACCAAAGCAATGAGAGCAAACAAGGGTTCAAATGTTCAGGGGTTTCTCTGCATAATGCTTTAGTAGGCAAATTACAGGTACAGTACTCAGGTCATAGTTTGGGCATCAACAATGTATGCCATGCCAGTTAGTATGTTTAGGTTATTAGATCACCTCCTTATATGATGAAGGAGTGCAAACAATACACAGACGGACCAGTCCTCCTCAGGAACTTATGTTAGTGGTGCAACAACATAAATGTCACAGTTCTTTTCTTTGGCATTTTCTCTAACCACTTCAACTCATAATAGAGATTTTGCAAAGCAAACATATTGAATCTACAGGACCCTGCCCTCGAAACCTGAACACTAAAATTAGAGCTAGAATTGTTCGGTTTTCAGCTAAAAGAATAACTTTGTGGTTGTTGTTCATTTTGGACGGGTACCAACAATATGCACACACAAGTGCCAGAAAATGTGTGAAGAAAGGTTTCAGTAGTGCTGTGGAGCACATTAAAGAGAGAAACAACACATTGTTAAGAGTCAGAGTGCAGATTAATCACTCAACTGTTCCAACAGGCTAGAAAACTAAGCAATCACGACAACATTTGGTGGAAACACAACTTTTCTCACTTCTAGGAACCTTAGAGTTTCTCAGCAATTGAACAGCCAAAGAATCAGTGATCAAAACTTGCAATATCCCAAATTTTCACGTTTTCATCATGTGAATTTAAATTTTTGATTGTAGAAAAAGCTGATTTATCAACTCTGCTCTCCTAACTCTGCTAAATGAATTCAGCCATCATTGATCCAATAATCTTTGCCTGTGCTTTCCTCACTGTGATGTCAAAATATCTTCCGGGAAAATGCTCTATTTTGTCTCACTGATACACTTTCAAGATATCGTTACACAGTTTTCTGTAACCTTCAAAATAAAACCTGCGCAAACTAAAATTCTCATTACTTAGATGGGGAAAAAACAATGTCCCTTGAATTTGGTTCAGACTCAACATTTATACTGTATACACATAAAGGATAGCATGTTGGAGAAGCTTTCTAATAATGTACCTTACCCAACTAGAATGCTTTTTAATCCCCAGATCTGTCAAAGCACATAACAGTCAAAGCCAACAAAGAGGAACAGCCAGACACTTATATCTATACTGGGACATATAAAAACCTTTAAAAAAGTAATGGATGATATTTTACACAAGAGCTCTCTTATTGCTTTGAAAGATTATAGCAAAAAGAACAAATTCACTGAATCCAAAAGGGAAAATTAAAGCCCACTAGGTAAAACTGTAGATGCATGGGAATTTTCAATAATTAGTCTCAAATGGTTTTGTAGGATCTTGTGTAGACTCATCTTTTAATTCGTTGATCAACACTTGTCCAGACTACATAAGGCTTTTTGGTGCATCAACAGTGCATGCAGAAAAAGAGAGGACACTGCACTCAAACCAAACAACGACAGGATGAAGTAGAAATCAATTACCACACTCTCCTGTTTACTTGTCATCCTGCAGGGCCTGCTGCCAAAACAGTCCTCAGCAACCGGCTCTCAACTTCACAAATAGATCCTCAACACAAAAAACTGGACTGCAGTTTTTACTGGGATAACAGATGGAGAGCTGAACATACAGGTGCATATACACTCCCAAGTGAACACACATGTGCACACATTAATTCACCTACACTGACATGAGTGCACTGTATAAATGTGTCTTTTTCTTTCCTTCAGAAGACTGACTGCAACACTTTATCTAACCCTGCCATTATGGAGGTCCACAGTTCAATGATTTGCGCGCAAATAATGCTATTTAAGAAAAGAATAGAAATAAATTCATGTTTGAAAAGGCAATATCTATAGCAATCCATCTTCTTAAAAGGTAAGATACAGACAAAAATGCTTTTCTGTCAATGACCCAAATTGGTTCAGTGCAAACATAGCCTTGGGTTTCTGTCTTTGACTCTCCTCTAATTTTTCCTCTCATCTCTAATTTTAGTGGAACACCTGATTGGTCACAACCTAATGGACAATCGTGTCTACTGGCAACACTTTTTCACTTCCATCTCATTAAGAATGACAGCTTGGTCTGTGCCTCGAAGCTTTAAAATATGAAGATCTGGGTACCACTCTGCTGCTGTTTTGGCATTTGCAGCTCTGTGTTCAAGAATGTGTGAAATATGTACCTCTAAGTCAGGAAAGAAAGCATGTCAAGTCTGGGAAAATGTAACAAATGCAATATAAACACATTTGGTTAAATTCTTAAAATGATGTTTGCTATGAAACAGCAGAATCCATCATTTACTCATAGTGAAGGTAATAGCTTGATTAGGCAATTTAACTAGAATACTGTCCTTGTCCCAGCTTACAAACACCAGAACAGAATCGAATTATTGACAGAAGCGTGTCAGCAAACAGTACAGTGAATGAGGACACGCCCCTTTTCTGCTCATCACCACTGGGCCATTTACTAGCTGAACTACATGCATTGGCAAGAGGCTAACAGGGTGTACGTCAAATGATTAAAATATCACTTTTACAGCTCTTAATCTTTCAACGTACATCACCAAAGCTTCGTCTTTTTATTTCCTTTCCTGTCAAGTTTTCTTCACTATTCAGCTTCCAAGAAACACAGTTTTGCTGTTCAGCTTCTGGGTCAAAGCCCAGTGTGAAAACTCTGGAGCATTTATAGAATGCTAAGACCAGCTTTATATACTACAGGGCACACTCCCAGTGGAAAATTGATCCATGACCGCTTTATCTAGGTTTGTTAGTCAGATATGAGAAGTTTGATTTATTACTAATTCAGTTGGTTTCTGACATTTTTTTTAAAAAGAGAGAAATTCTCATGTTGCCTAGTTTCATTTGTGTGCCATAGGGACAACACTAACAAATCCAGTCTTTCTTACAACCGGTCAAAAACTTTTTATTGTGGTTTCAACTGAATGTTAAGTTCCTAAAAGACATGTTTTTTGTTCTTTGTTTTGTTTTCTTTGCGCCAAAAAGTGATTTTCTTAAAGAAAGCAATATTGGAAAAAACAAACTGGAGGGGTACCAACGATGTCATATTTGGGGGCACTGGGCAACTGACCAAGCATGTGTATTTCTTGGAAGTAGAAAAGGGCTGCAATTGAGCCTTGTAATGAATGCTTAAGTTGTAGTTGTGAAAAAAAATTTACTAAAAAATTTCATCAAAAACAACCTTTTTTTTTTTTCATTTCCTGGCAAGTCCTAAGGAAAACAATCAGTTCTATCATGCTTGAATGGGCTGATGCTCCTTTGTTGGTCAAGACTGGACTTCATCTTCCTAGCTCCAGACAAAAGGATAGATTCTACTGCCATAAGCTCAGGCTTTCAGCACATTAGCCCAGCATAGCATGAAGACTGGCAACAAGAGGTTACAGCCTTGCCTTACTAAAAGGAACTAAATTTGCATTCAAGTACCCTTAAACTCACTGGCATATCTCTCTTTTATATGATGTGTGCAGGAACCGAAGGGCTGAAAGTACAGTTTGCTAGTCCATTGGGAGGTTATCTGTCATACTGTACCTCAGCTATGAGCAGTCACTTATTGATGGAGAGAGAATCTGATAAGTTGCTGCTTGAGGCAGATGACCAATAACATTGAGTAACGACCTTGAAAGGTGCTGGTAGATGGATTTCATCAACTTTTAACGGCCATTTAATGGTTTCCAGTTTTCATGCTAATCTAAGCTAACAGACAGACATTAAAGGGGTATAAATCTTCTTCTTTTATTCTAGCAACAGGGCCAGCAGGTAGAGAACATGGGACAATATTTTTATTATAACTGGTGGAAACCATTGGTGATGGTACACAAAGTAAAACAAGCATATGCTCATCTTCTGGTGCTAACCATTAAACTATTATTTTATATTTAGACTCACACTTTTGCCATCTTAGTTTACAGGCTTCTTTGACAACCTTTATGAGCTCATCTGTGTCAGATTTTACAAAAATAAAGACCATAAATCAAAGTCATACATTTGCATACATGATCAGAAAGGGCTGAGGACCTCGACAATGGCAGCCCAAGCATGTGTTAGCTCACCTTAAAGCACATTTTAAATCAGAGGAATGACATGCCTCATCTCTGTTGAATCCTTCCCCCCTCAGTGTTGAGCCCGTTAAACAGACTCAGTGTGACAGGAGTGTGATTGGACTTCACAGACAGTCCTGGAAGTTGACAGGAGGCACTGTAGGAATCCATGGCGTGCAGAGGATGAATAAATCTTTCAAACAGTATGTGACGTTTTCAAATTTCCATTGCCGTGGTCACTCCTGGCACGTGAGCTGCGACCCGTCTCAACAGCTTCCTCTTCGTCATCTGCATCCAGCTGTTCATCCTTCTTCTTGATGTAGCGCTCATAGAGCACCATAATGACGCCCATCACCCAGGCCGAAACTGTGCCAGCAGCGAAGATGACAAAGCCGATGACAACAAAGAAAAGGTAGTCCCAGGAGCCCAGAGTCTGGTGACATAACGTCCGTAGCTGGATGCCAACCTCGCCCAGACGCCGGCCTTGCATGTCAGCAGGTGAGCCACACACAGTCTGGCCCTCATCTGTCATACAGAAACACAGAGAAGTAATCAAAGGATACAGGAGAAAATAAAACAACGCATCATCATGTGCAGAGCTGTAATGTAAAGTGCAGCACTGCAAAATGTGTCATCTAATCTGGATGATGGTGTGGCCTGTTAGGTGTAAATGCAAAACAGTATCGGACTGTTAAGGCTCAGACCAAAATTTCAATGAGAGCAATAAAACCTGTGACACAGGCAGGCTGCTAGGCTAGTCATTCATGCCAATGTCAAACTATTGCTAAGGTTTGCATCATGTAGCCAGATAATTAAAAACGTAGGCTACTAATCCCAGCACTGACTCTGAAACATTTCACCTCTTTTACCCTTGAAATAAAGCCAATGAATAAATACAAAACACTGTAGTTCCTTTGACTGTCCACTTGGGGCCGCTTCCTTTAATGAGTCAACCCCCATTGGAGTCCATATTAAAATTCCCAGTTTTACAGCAGAAATAAAAATTATCACAGCCCATATGAAAAAAGTTATTTTGGTTTTAACCTCATCTCTGTCAGCTGTGTCAACCGTACAGAGGGTTATTTCTTCCTGACTGATTTATTTTAATCAAGGCTAAGAGTTATGCATAATTACGCTGCTTTGATTGAGATATTTCTGACAGGTGGATGAGTTGAGCAGTCAGCATTTCCATTACGGCAACTACCATATGAGTGATGCTATCAAGACCATGTCCATGTTTTACACCATCTAAACTACTGATTCCACAGTGGCTTTAGAAAGTTTTACATCAGCAGCAACAAACTATTTTTGTATACAAGAATGCCCCATTGATTCCTACAACCCCCATATTAGACAAAAAGCTGTAACTGGCTCAACCTGAATCAAGCCTGATGGAGCCTGTCTCAGCAGTCGTGTGGCCAACTATAGACGTATAATAAAGAAGAGGAGATTAAGACAGAGCCTGTTAAAGCTACTCAGTGGAGTGATGCCAAAAAGAGTTCATCTAATTACCCTGATATGACGCATAGCTTCTGCATCGTTGAGCTCAGATAGCGAGCACTCTAATTCCTTGGAAATAACCCTGGATTCAGCAAACTGCTACATTTGCATCTGTAATTTGCAATTCTTGATGACACCAACCCGAAGACATGAATACTGTCTGTGTCTTAGACCTTAGCAAAACTGCATGAGGTCTCTTCTTATAAAATATCGGATTAAATTTAACCAGCAGGAGAGCAATGCATTATTAATCATCTGTATTAATTTTCTATATCATTAAATATTTAAGTCCAAATAAGCAAAAAATAGGTGTTAGGGGAAAAGTTAGAGAAAATAATTTCACCTTTAATGACTGTTTATTTGGAGTTAAATTCCCAGAGAGAGCCGATCTGCTTCACTGGGTCTTTAATTGATACTGCTGGCTAAATAAACTCCTTTAAACACAATATTTCATCTGGAGGCTCTCTTTCTACTTCATACACTCTGCTAGATGTACACTTCTTATTAATGTTTTTTTTTTAGCACTTCTGAGTTTAGCTAAACTACTAAAAAAAACATAAATTTACTATGTTTTATGTAGTCGTGATAATGCAGTGATAATCTACAATGTAAATAGTAAATAGTCATATAATATATATATATATATATATATATATATATATATATATATATATATATATATATATATATATATATATATATATATATATAGTGTAGGTTTTTGGTAGATAGAATGGACACCGTCTGCCTCCTTGCTGGGTAATGCCACCGCGAGAACAGCGCCTTCTGGTGAGGAGCTGCAGTATAGGTCATAAATCCCGCAATCCCTATGGCATTGTTGACCAACTTTAGAAATTAATTACACAGACTATACATTTTTCTCCCCCATGGTTGCAATATTGACATGTAGTTACTGTAAGATTGGTTTGTGCTCAAGTCCTCTTTTTTTCTGTGCAGCCCCATTTTAATTTTTTTTAAGGGGTTCATGTTTTCTATGATTGACACTTGATACAGCCTATGGATGTACGGAGATTGTGTAGCTCACACAAGGATACACTGTTTGAGCCGAGTGTCATCACAGCGACTCTCCTGCCGAATGCATACAATGCTACTGCACAAATGGTAGCTGAGAGCAATTCAGCTTTAAATACATATAATGACAGAGGGCGGAGCCACGTTGTCCATAGTGTATACAGTCTATGGTCCTGCTACTTTATATCTAACATTTAAAAAGTCCAAATTCTATCTCACAAATTAAACCTACTCAGATTGAGGGGTGTTCTGTATTTTGGCATCACAGCTATAAAATTACATAATATTAGTACACCATAATACTACTATTTTACCCAAATACTATCATTGCTTGACTTAATCATGTAGTCTGGGTGCCTGAACTAAACTTAACTAACATCTGTAGTTGGTTAGGATGAAATTTGGCTCAGACTATCTTGAATTAATAGTAAGGTTTAGAAAACAGCTATGGTTTCAGCTTAAATAATGCTTCAGTATTGTGTCTGGCTCTCACAGGGTCATGCAGAGGTCTCTTAAGGCAGTAAAGCTTTATTGAGACAGATGTGGCGCTTGCTGAGTCCCAGCCCATCTCACAAAAAACCTTTGGTTTTTAAGGGGTCCTGGTGACTGTAGCTCACCATCTCAATCAAATAGAAAAACCTCAATTCATCCACTGAAACACATAACATCAGCTTGTCTCAACTGAGCCCCACCCAGCTCCAATGAGTGAAAATAAAACCCTTTCCAGATCACAAACACTGAAATACTGCAAGTGAAATGACAAAAACCATTGAACTTTGTAGGAGCATAATGTATTAATGTTGGGAACAGTCACTCAGAATAAGAAGGCGGCTTAGTAAAAAACACTGTCAGTGCATTTAGCCCCTGATCTGCTTCAAGTTACTTTATTTACAAACAGCAAACGGATAGGAAGCCTTGGCATATAATCATCAAATGATTTAAAGGATCCTTTGATGTCTGAGAGGCATAAAAAGTGGCTTAGCTTCAGGAAAATATTTTACATAAGCTATTAAAGAGAGCAGCCTGTTTAATATTTCAAGCACATTACTTTTGTACATTTTTAAATTGCTGCAAACTGAGCTGAAGATATCGTAATGTATTCAGGTTCACAGGCTTACAGACAGAGAACTGCTCTTGCATAACCATGTTCCCTGTTTGTGAGGCTGCAATCTGCCGTGCTTCAGGAGCTTCCTGTGTACTACAGTTTTAAGTTGATGTAGCATCAAATAACAGACAAAAAAAGGGAATTCATGGATGAATTATTCAAAATCTTTCACCCCCACAGGATTAGAGAGTGACTCGGGCCTTTGTGTCTGTCTGAAACCAGATAATAAGGTTCTCACCATCAGGCGAGGGATATCACTACAACTAAGACCTGACTGAAATCCTCAAATCCGAATAAAAAGGTAGAGTCCCCTCTCTTTCTGAAAAGCACACTGGATGGATACATTTTTAAAAGGCCTATCAGTCAAAATTAAATACGCCACATGACGGCTGTTGAGCTTGGCGGCAGCTGACAAGAGAGGCATTTTTCTCAAAAATGATCCTGAAGCCTGGTTGAGTCTGTCAGAGCTACGAGCAGAAACACAACAACTGTGTTTCCGTCTCCATACTGCCAATGTTTTAATTGGCTTCTGTGTTTTCAGAGGTTTCATGCTGAGGGGGCCTTCTCACTGGGGGAGATCAAAAGGCTTCAAGTTTTTTGCTCAGAGAACAGTTTTCTGTAACCCTGCGACAGCTTCAAAATACACTTTTTCATTTTTGGTGGCATATCTGTGAGTGAAAACACTGTGTGAGTTAGTCTTAATGAACTTGGGGAAAAACATGGACTTTGTGCACAGAGACAGTCTGCAAGAAACCTTGGGGGAGGATCACACAGTACTTGTATAGTATTGTTTCTACTATCATAGAAGTCTCTCATGAATAATTCATTGTTACTGCTATGGTGTTACACGTGGGATATTGTGTTTTTGCTCATCTTTAAAACGTTTGGTGCTTGTAATCCAGAAGTGAATAAAGTCTATTTCATGTATACGACAGCAGAGGCATCTAAATAGCACAATATCTCCTTTAATCTGTTTTTCATTTATACTGTTTAAGCTTTCACTTGAGACAATATATAATCTTTTAGACATTAGCTTCATCTTTCAGCTGTTTATGTTTTTCTTTAGCTTGTGTCATAAATTGATCTATGTTAATTTAAGCTAACTTCTACAGTAATTCTCTCTGATTATTGAAGTTAATTATCTCCTAATTTGACCCAATTAACTTTATCACTGACTGCTTCCTATCAGACAACAAAATATAAAATCTGATGCTAGTTATAAGTGAAAGTATTGCACATAATGTGATATAGATATTAATCTTGTATAGAAATTACAAGCAAAGATCTAGGGACTTAATTGTTTGTATTAAGTAAAGACATTATGTGCTATAACATTACACAGTGGGCATGGAAAGCTCTGTACCTTTGCGAGAGCTGACACATAAAGCCTGATGTGCACCTTCTTATAAGGGTAGCAAGATGTCAAAACAGCACAGACTGCAACCCTGTGATTTGTCTGCTGCTGGATAGGATCAGATCTCCTGCATTCACGCCATTTCCTCTGACCTTCCCTCTCTTCTTTGCTAGAGAGGCTGCTCAACATTTATCAACTCCAACTATCACAACATCCTCAGATAATAAGCTAAGAGTGGCCATGGTTTCTTGTTCACAAACAAGCAGAGTATTGCAGGACCAAAAAAATTGGGATACGGCAAACATCAATCACAATGCCAAGAGACGTTTGGGCAAAGCATCACAGCAGAGCAGACATGCCAGTGTTAAAGTATGTAGTGCTCACAACAGCACAGGCTATAATGGCGTAGCTATGGCATGGAGTCAAAGCTAAATAGAGGATGCCAATGCAGCAAACAAATGTTCTTGAAAACGATATGTTAAACATTTTTCAAAACACTTGTCAAAACAGCTTAAATTCTTAACTAAGTGCAATCAGTTATGTCATTTTTTCCCCCCTTTTTAATTTTTTTTTAAAATTTCATTGTGCTTGTCACAATGACAATAATATTCTATATATCATGTGTTGATATAAGGTTCAAAATTGTCAGGTCAACATGGCTCAGATCAAGTGTTTGAGGCAAAATCTTCGCAAATTTAGTTTTTTTTGTTTTGTTTTGTTTAGGGTTAAATGAATCTATCTTTTAGTATTTTAACCATATGTCCATCATTTGTAACTCGATTAACCTCTCTACTTTGCCCATTCTGAATAATTACCTCAAGTTTTTTCAAATTAAAACCATTGATCTGTTATTTTTGGCAAAAAATTACACTTTGAAAGGCATTTATTTCGGGTACATTTCAACCACTCATACATTTCCTTTGGATAATCACCCTGATTATAACCCTCTCCAAGCTCATCATTCAAACCTCCATATTTTGCTCACCATTTCAACTTCTGTGCTAGCTTGCTAACTACTTTCCATGCTGTCTTGGTAGCAACAAATAAAGGTGTTATGACTGACTCAGGCTGGTGGGAGGTGTGATTTGATAGAGGTTTAGAGGGATCATACTGCAGCTTTCAATCAAAAAAAAACTTGACAAATTAATTTCGTAGCATGACAGAAGAAGAGTGAGTTTCCCTGATATTTTGTTCACTCAGTGAACAAATCCCTCCTTCCTTATCCTCAGAGTAGCTCTTCTGCGGCTGACAGATCTGAAAACGAGCGTGCAGCTGAAAAACACGAGGACGCTCAGCTCCATCCAGCACAGAGAATTCAAAGCGTACTCTGATCCTCTCAAAGGCTGCTGCTGTGCACTCTTCACACAATATGCTGTTACACTCCAGCTATAACAAACAAAACTATCCATGCATGCACACACATGTACACACATGCACACTCGCTCTTAACATGCACAACACCCTCCACAAGACTTAACTTTCCCATCCTCTATCTCTGCCCTTGCAGCGCTTGCTTATGTGTATGCACGTGTACGTGAGGGTTTATGCGTGTGCCTAACAGCCAGGGAGGAAACCCTTCTGGCATCACCCCCATCCCCCCTCCTCCTCCCCCCAAGGGGACTCGCATCAAAGACGAGGGCTTTCCCTCCCTCCTTCCCCCATCCACACTGCTCTATTTCTAGACGTTCTCCTTATATAACAGCTGAGGGAGAGTGCTAATCTAGCCAGGAAGGCGAGACAGAGGAGAATCTGTTGGTTCCTTCCTGGAGCTTTTTCTCTCTCTTTTTTTCTTCCTTGCCCACTCGCTCGCTATTGATGCATTTCCTAAACCAAGGAGACAAGCGTAGCCATGTTGCATGAACCAGGTGAGACCCAGACGTGAGATAACAAGGTTTCCGAGACAGTGCTCGCAGCCCAAAACACAGTCAACTGTAAAATGTTGTCATCTGCTCCTTCATCTCAAGCACTAACTGTGTGTTTAAACAAGTTAATTGCATGAGTCAGTTAATGTGAATTAGTTAAGACTGCCATAGATGTTGAGTTCACGACTTGACATTATAAAGGTTTGAAAAACTAATTATGAGAAACATGTAGGGAAACAACTGTGACAGACTGTCTTTGTTTGTTTGGATGCAGCTCAGGTCTTTATGCATGCTGTGATCTTTTCCTGTGTCTATTGGTATCAGATGTTAGGGGGGCCCGCCTAGGACACAAACCTTAAAAAATTCAGGGTTATAACTCTAACCAGCATCATCACCGTGGGGAACTTTGGGAGCATCACATTCAGAGCTTTAAGAATTTGACATTGTTCTTGATTTTTCTTGTGTGCGAGGTTTGAAATTACATCACGTTGTTATCTTTTACTTGGAGAACTCTATAAAATATCCTCATGAATATCCCCATTAAAAGATTGCTCTTTATCCTTTTGTCACACAGCTTCTGAGGCGAGAGCTTTCTGTGCGACATTAAGAGCTTCATTTCCATCTGCCGCTTTAAAGTCAAATCATCTGCAAAAACTACCCAACACCTCAAACAGCAGTTTATAAGCTTGTTTTTTAATAGACCACCACATTCTGGTGAGTTATATTATACGAGTGCATGTGTTCCTGATACAGTGCTCTCTGTCACCCTGTATTATTTGTCATGTGTTGCAGTTTATGTTTTAATTGTGACCATCTAAACCACTGCAGCTGACTGAAATAAAGTCATAGAATTTATGATTAATGTTGAGGATGAGCTCTTTGCAATTCAAGTAAATGAACTGAGCGGTAAAAATGTGAGCGTGCAAATTCACAATATTCACACAGCAGCCACTTTCCTTTGCTGTCAACCCCCGGGGTAGTTAACTCAAATCCTGTTTAAAGGTGTCGCCTGACTTAGTCAAACAACATTTAATCATTTTACAGGCTACCAAACACTTATGCTAGCTGGTAGTAAGTGAATGCTACCGTTAACTCTAGCTGTTTTTTGCTTTTAGCCACAGGGTGTCAGATGTGTTCTTTCACCTCTAAATAAGGCACCATGCCCCCCCCCCCCTCTTTTTAACTATCCATGAAATGCTGACATCTATGTGATTTCCAACCTGGTGCACAGCAGAACGACACTAAAACATTTTATGAGCTTCCAAACCAGAGCCTGACATCGGAGAAAACTTGTGGCTGTGATTACTTGGTGACTTTTATCGTGCTTTGAACTACAGCAGAAGTTTAGAGTGAGGTATTTCCTGTGCTGTCTGCTAGGAGAAGATGGACAGACTGTGTGTACACATAACAGAGGTAGAGTGTGAGTGTATCTATGTGTCCGCCTTCTCCCTTGCTGGCAGCTGTCACTGAAGGAGGCTCCTCTCCAAATTAAACTAGACAAAGCAACAGGAAAATAGGACAGCTCTAGCAGGACTTGTTCTGGATTTGGCCTAAGCTGCACAGGGACAATGGTTTACTATCGCATGTATGCATATGTGAGTGTATGTGTGGGAGAGAGGAGCAAAGGATGCCTTTTTCAGGAAGTGTGGCGGGTGTATTATAACTATGGTGTTGGAGTTATGACTGGCTTCTTGCTCAGTAAGACACACTATAAATAGCAGCTGCCCTTTTGCATAGTGACACATCCACTCTGGAGCATGTGCACATTAACTCAAAGTAAGAAAGATTGTTGAATATGAGACACATTCATCAGCCTGGCAGTGATAGAACAAAGGGAGGGATCGATATTTGATGGAGCAGCTGTGATCCATTTATCACATCTGCAGCACAATATCCCTGAGGCTGGATTAAACAGGGATTGATTAATCGATCATTTTCAGGATGAAAGATTTTGTTGTTTCGCTCCAAAACTGCAAAAAGAGCTGAAATGATGAACATGTTTGAGGAAAGACATATGAAACTGCGCCAGATCTGCCTCCGATCCTCTTCCACCCTCTTTGTTATTTGATAGTCTGAGCGCTGTCAAGCTGCACCGCTGTCACCTGCATCTCATCACGCTGAAAGCTGAGAGAGGACCTGAACTTTGCAGACTTCACAGAGCTGCATGATGGGAAACATGCAGGAATGTATTCTGCACCACGCAATATTTATAAGCTAACATCACGGAGCAGTGCGAGACGATTGCGTGAATTTATTAGCAGTGTTGACATGACAGGGCATTTTTAAGTAGCACATTGAGCAGAAACTCTGGCAGCACAGCATGAGCTGGAAAAGATGTTAACACGGAGTCATTCCCTCCTTAAAGGCAAAGAGTCCTAAAGGCTCAAGTAGCTCTGTGTTAACTAGTTCATGCTAATTTAATTGAAAAAAAATGTAAGGGAGTATACATCACTATTAATAATAAGTGGCATGGTGGGGCCCTTGGGGTGGTTAATGATGTAATCTCCTTGGGCCCTGTGTAAAAATGTGAAAGATCTTTATTGTTTTTAAAGTTTTGGTCTCATTTTTTTCATCAAAGTACAGACTGATAGTAATGAGGGGAAGCAGACGCCCAGTGGCTAATTTTGTCCCATATCAGGCTGGACAGACCCAAGAGAAATCGTTTCATAACCTTTTTAGCAACCCTAAAGTGTTTGTTTTTTCACTTCAGTTAGACTAGATTGGATTAGGTTAAAACATTTTGTCACTGACCAAACAGTTTAACATCCATCCAGAGGAGCAAATATCCATGAACTGCATAGTATGGCTTTTGGGACCTTATTTTTCTATTTATATACCATTTAGAACAATAGAATTTAAACTTTGTACATTTTCAAGAGTCATATAGTCTTAAGATCTTCCCAATACATTTTATAAACACATAAATCAAGAAATCCAATTTCTTTCATTTCAACCCCCCATAATTCATTCATTTTCAGAAATTATCACAATGACATCCAAATCCTTTTGTTTCAGTTTTAGAATATGCACATAATTGACATTTTTGGATATGTTCATTTGTGCGGCACCCTGGTATCATCAACTGTTAAAGCACTCAATGATTCAGATCTTACAATAGTTGAAGTGGTGTCATACATACAAATGATAGCACTGAACAAATTAAACTGTTTATTTTCTGGCTGTTTTCTAATCACTCTCCTGTTTTCATACTTGAAACTGAGTAATAAAAACTCCACAGCATCAGATTAACTCTGAACAGCTAGGGTGATGTCAAGGAAAACCAAATTACATGTTGTATCATATCAATTTATGAAAAGTATATGACTTATTCTTATCTGTCTGTTGACAACATGGCAAAGAAGTTCATTTCTGATAGTTTGGGTAAAACAGTAAATTTCTTAAATATTACTCGCAATTTGTTTACTTGATTCAATATTTGTTATGTTATTTTATGCTGATATGGACCTTTGGGTCTACATTCAAGTGTAAAGTTTAAAGAAGTAGTAAATTTGTTTAAAGGTGAGGGGTGGGAAAACCAAGCAGATATTTGTGAGGGATGTTAAAACACAAGAAGAGCTGAGTGGAGGTGACATCAACCAAATTGAAGAAAACAGGCTAAAAGAACCTCAAACCTTATACAGGAACTGCTGTCATATTTTGCTAAGAATACTAACAGAAAAAAGCACTAAAGTTTTGACCAAATTGTAAGTAACAATATCTGATTTAAAGTTAATATGACTGTAAATTGGCTGATAAGAATGAACCAAATAATTGAGGCAGTATCACAGATCTTTGCAGTTCAGAAAGCTCTTGTTTCAAATAATTTCAGACTGAATGATGTTTTTTCTCAGAATTGATAAAATCATTAATGACGTGTTGCCTGCTGGTAAAACTGCAGTCAAATAAAGGTATACTTGAACCATTTAACCACTACCCATGGGAAATTCCTAGTGTACACACTGTTAAAGGGGGAACATAAGTGGCCTTTAAAAGCTGCTGCCCTCCATTTACTGTACACTTTGCATAAAGCACGACTCTTGATATGATTCTATTAGTAATGCTGTGTAGGTCCAGCCAAATGTACTTCTTTGATAAAATATAGGATGCAGGTAATCAAGTGAATTTTGTGATTGCAAATGGCCAACTATAATAAGAACTTTGCTATAATTAGGGAGGGTCCAGATGTGCTGAGGGCAAAAAAGGCCTGACTCATTGTATCCCTTTGTTTGTTTGTTTATATAATGCGTCTTCACACAGTGTTTCTGCCTCTAGAGTGCTTTTAATACTGATTATTACTGATTTATTACTTTATTATTAGACCTAACCAGTCCAATACCACCTAAACCAACAATTTTCTTGTTTAAATGTTCTGCGATGACAACTACAAAGAGAGTAGCTAATGTTAATCAGATCTATGAAAATGTCAGAAATCAGTGGTTTTGAACAATTTCTTTCACTTTTTATTATAAGCGGATATCTTAAAGGTATTTAAAGTCAGTTGACGGTCAAGTTTAATTTTGTAACAAGAAAGAATAATGGGATCCGAATATCTTTACATGCCTAATTGAGAATATTACACAAAAAAATAGTAAAAAGTTGGTCTCATAAGAAAAAAACGTAAACATCTCCTTTTCTGGGGGCTATAGCCTTTTACATTGCAGGGGTAGCAGCAAGGAAAATGTCAAAAGTTTACATAAGCCTGCATTATCTAATTATTAATCACTGGAACACAGCAGTTCTTGTATTTGATTGGCTCCCTGCAGCTCGCTTAAATCTAATGAGAAAGCATCAGTAAAGGTCATGCTGTGCTGGCATTAGATTAAAAGATATTAAACCTTGGAACTTGAAGCCCTCCAGGTGGACCCACAGGCACAGATCCTCGTTGTCGCACTCGCAGCTCCATGGGTTCCCACTGAGCCCCACGGAGCGCAGGGCGGGCAGCGCGATCAGGGACGTGATATTGAGGACCGTCAGGTTGTTCCGACCCACATCCAGCACCTGCAAAGCCATGTTTTCTGCAAAGGCGTCCGGGTGAATCTCCGACAGACCCGGGTTGTCCGTCATCCTCAGCATCACTAGACTTGTCAAGGGCCCGAACGTCCGGTCCTCGATTCGGGTCAAAGTGTTAAAAGAGAGGTCCAGGTAGGCCAACTTCCGTAGGTTCCCAAACGTGGACTCGGATATCTCGGTTAGAGAGTTGTTGCTGCAGTCCAGGTACACTAAATCGGAGAGGTAGTTGAGCGCAAGTGGTGGCAGCTCCACGATTCGGTTGTTGGAGATGATGAGCTGCCGCGTGGCCAACGGCAAGTTGACCGGGAAGGTGGTCAGGTGCTGCCCGGCGCATTGAACCACCAGCTGGTCATCGCACACGCACCTGTCCGGGCAGCCCGTGGAGAGCACCGGTGATGTATTCACGTGCGTGGCGAGGAGGAGGAGCAGAACTATGAGCCGCAAGGGTTGCGCGCTGGGCTGCGGGGCAAGACGCATGACACCGCTGAGGGCTTCATCCACCCCGTTTGCAGAGAGTCATGTTCAGTCACATTCTTCATTGAGACATCCTCGCCGATATGTGTCCCAGAAATGTCCACAGAGGTCAAACCCAGCGCTCGCCCGTGGCAACCGCTCGCGCGTAATGTCTCAGTTCATCCTGTCGTTGGCTCTGGATCCAGCGCGTAACCGCTCTCCTTTCCTTCACCACCAGATGCATTCATGCTATATCAGATTTCCTTGTTTATCTGAGATTCTTGCACAGGCCTAAACGCACCCACTTACGCTTTGTGAACGCTGATACCGTGGCTCTCATGCTGCGTTGCTTGCAATGATCACGGTCCGTAACATGCTTCCCATCGTCTTGCTCTCTCAAACTGAATCCAAATGAGCGGAGCGGGGCGCGCTGAACTGCTCAGCGGGTGGGGGTGGGGGGTGTGATATGGAAGGAACTCATGCTCAGGAGTGCGCTGGAGCGAGAGGGGAAAGCTCTGGGCAGCGAGGGGAAGCTTATTAAATGTAAAGGTTAGCAAAGTGTAATCCATGCATCAACACATGCCTCAGGTGTTTGTGTGAGTACGTGTGAAAGCTGAGTCCATTAATAGTGTCTGTGTGTGTACAGAGACACGTGTTTTCCCTTAGCCCCCTTACTGCCACACTGTAACAATAGCTATCTCCAAATCTGCCTGATATAGTTTGACAATTACATGTTAGAGCCCCAAACTTCAAAAGGCGAAAGTATCATGGCCATGCTTGATTTAGTCTCAGGTGGTCTTTCCTTTTCCCATTGCCCCACCTTTCCAGTTGTAAAAGTGTACAATAACCATTTTTGCTCTTTATCCCAGTTTCCCCTCTTTCTAATATTGTCACTCCTCAAATTTGCAGTTTCAGTACTTTACTTTCAAAAAAATGTATTATAAAAGAAGCTTTTTAATTGAGGAATGAATGTCTTACCTTAAAGCTAACTTGAGAAAAAAAATTCTCAGTCTGGTTCAAGAAACGATTTTGGTCTGAATAGCTAATTTCCTAGTTTAGAAGTTATTGAAGTTAGGATTGTGCGTAATTTGGGGCATGGCTGGCTTGTTTGACAGTATTTCCATTAAAAGGCTTCAAAAACCACCCAAGTAACCAGTAGGTGGCACATCACTGAAACTATGTCCATGTTTTAGAAAGTTTACTAGTGAAATATAAATGAAGATTTTCATAAATTTTGTATGTACGCTTGACTAAATTATCACCCCTACCATTGTACATGTTTAGCTCCTGTCACCTTTTCTGTGGTAGAGCACAATTTGAATTGATTTTGTTTATTTACTTAATAAATTTTCCTCACATGCTATTTAAATTTATATTTCCTAACAGTTTGTACCATCACTCCCAACTTTGAATAGCCTATTTTGAATTGAAAACTGACAAAGAAAAAAAATACTTGTTGTTCAAAGCTACTGTCAAGTTTTGGCTTACTCCAGAGAGAAACTCTTAGTCTGGATCTATTTGAAACCCCTGCTAAACAAGAAGAACATACTGGTTTGGATAAAATGTAGAATATAATTTGCAGCATGTAAACAAAGGCAAAATCCACAATACACCAATAATAATCAGAAAATAATATTAGTGTGCAGCTTACCGGTCCACCTTATCTTTGTTTATTTTATTTTTTCAATTTTTAGACGGGTGGCACACAGTCATCAGATGCATGAATTCCCCCTACTTAGAGTGTGGACCAGAGTTACCACCCCCCTCATATTAATAATAATAATAAAAATAGTAATTATAATTGTTGAAACTGTTCATTTCTGTGAAAACTATAAAATAACATGAAAATAACTCAACTTTTTCCAAACCATAACGGATGCCGCAGAGTAGCGATCTTTCTAAATATTGGACAAATATTTATTTCCCCTTTCGATAAAAACCAAAGTGAAGTCCTGCCTAGCATACTAAAACCAGGTCAAACTCAACAGTTACACCACATACCACTTTCATATGCAGTATTTAAAATGTTCAATGGCAGTATTTTGTATAGTAGATTGGATATAGCCTTTGTGTTCATTTTAGCACCCCCCTGTGGTTTTGTCCTGCCTTTGTGAAAACTGCAGTTTCTAAAAAGAAAAAAAAAATCAACTTGTGTTTTAACAGTTGGTAGTATCACACACTGTGTTTGTTGTGTTAAATGTAAACAATAGGCTATTCTTGCAGCACACACATCACTCACTTCATCTGACACCTACCCAGTGGCAGCAGTGACAGTCACATTAAGAATAACTACAGAAATGAGCAATCTTGTCACTGGTAGTCTTGGTTGCTTTGTAGCTTTTTGGAGAAGCATTAGTTTAAAATACAGTCTTTTTCATAACCAGCTTTGAACTTCTTTAAACTAACTTTCATTTCCATATAGCGTGTACAAACAGTTGTCAGCCATAAATAGATCCCAGTGTCAAGAAGCCTTTCCTCTCAAACCAACGCAGTGCACAAGTCCTCTGAAACATCTATTTTCAGGCTTGTATGCTTGTTGGATACTCTCCATCAGTTAGCCTCAGGTGTCTGAGAGTGTGGAGATAGAACTAACCTGACACCTGGAAGCATACTGGATGTGAACATGATGTGAAATAAGAGAGCGGGGCAATGATAACAATGTGTTTAGATGTGGGATCCATTTCAGCTACACCCCTCAGACCTTTTTTGTGCAATGAGGCATGCACAATAATGACTGACACATCAGCCAAAAGCAACCTATTCAAACCATAATACCAGTATACAGGCAGACGAGATGAGATGGGACAAGGTGGTCTCTGGCATGCTGCAGTTGTTTTCCTCTTCTCTCCAGCCTCACTATGACTCCTGAGTCTATTCCTGGTTCGTTGTGTAGGTGTTGAAGTGCTGAATCAGACTCGACATGATGGAGGAGGAGGAGGACAGATGTGAGGCCGACAGAAACCACCCCGAGTCAACAACAGTCAACAACCAACTGCACCCTGACCACACTCCTCTCTCCTCCTCTCTCTCATAAGAGCAGGTTAAAAAAAAAATCTGTTTTTTTTGGTTGTTTTTCCGAGGTGTCAAAAACAAAAGCAAGAGGCCTCTATGTATTCATAACAATGCTTTGCCATCCTGTGGACTGGCGTGATCCTCACAGCTGTTTCCTGTCAGAGAGGCTGTAACAAATGACTTCACGAGGACATCTAGTGACCAAAATTCGGTAATGTTTAACGCACTGAGCAGATGTCTTAAACTGCTTTTTTTATTTAAAAATTCTCATGCATGGTTTACAGCTTGACAGTAATAAATTAAGATCTGTGCTTTGACTAACTTACTCAGACTTGTTACGAAACACATTTTGGTCTTCTTTAATTTCTGAAAGGCGCACTTAGAGCTAATGTTTTTCAGTCCAAAGAGCTTTTATTTTTTTAAATCCTGGAAAAGACATTGGATTATTTCTTATTGATGGGGTAATGCTGTCACAAAAACTTGAAGCTTCGGGACTGAATATTGATTAAATGGATTAATTGATTGAATAAAAACTAAGTTGATTCTGGATCTTAAAAACAGAGGTTTCATTGTCCTAATCTAGTTGCAAATAGCCAAAGAAGGCTGTCAGGAAAAACAGGACTGTATTTTTGGTAATCATTGTAATCCCAATGGCTTAGAGCATGTCATTCATGTTAAACTGTATCTGTATGGGCTTGTCCCCACATATGTTTCCCTGAACGAGCCACATTCTTGCACGCTGTTTTATTTACAACAATGTCTTTATTGTAACACACTGCCATCAAGTGTTGACATGTTTAAGGTCAACCAGACAAAATAGACACCATCGCTATAGTAACATTAAAGGGCATTGCAAAATGATCGCTATCACTTACATTCACTGGTAAAGTATAATTAAATAAACAACACTTTGTTCTGAACAAGTAATTTAATTGGACACGTTACATTCCAGTGGTGTTGACAAAGACCACCTACTGGAACTTTTTGATTTATAAAACTTACAATATATCTTTTTTATTTTGTCACCTAGACTTTTGTATTCTTTGTTTATTTACTTTAGGGGGTCTGTCTTTGTTGTGGTACCCCCTCAACACAGGGGCCAGAAAAGCAAGTGTCAGAAAATGTAAATATACACACAAATGTTAAAAAATGTGGACACATTTAGACTTATAAAATGTTGCAATGGTGCTAAAAATATTCATGGGTTGCCAGGACCTGAGTTGTGGTAAAAGATTAAGTATTGATTACATGAATTATTAAAAAAAAAAAAAAAAAAGTTAAGCGATAGTCATCGACTTTTTAATGGACTTCCCACCTCAAAAATGTCTGCAGTTTATTGGCATGAAGTGATAATGATTGACTGAATTGAATTATCTATTCAGTACATCTATTAAGGAAGTAATAAATCCTACTAAGGTTATTGATTAAACTATAGTGGAATAGGAAGCCACACATGATTAGGAATAGGAAGCCACACATGTATGCAATCACATTATATATAGATTTATATAGATTTTTACAGCCTTAAGGGAAGGAATTCTCTTCTTGTCTTCAGCAGATAATATTTACTAAAGCTCTGCTTTTCAAATCTTTTGGCTGTGGTTTAAGAACAAAGTAGGGGTACTTTTTTACTTTTTTTTACTAAAGATAAATGGAGTCGTAATAAAATAACTACATAAATACCCATCTTTTAGTGGAGTAGAAAAACAATAAATATAAAAGGGCATTGTTAATAACAGTATTGAAATGTAGGTATAAGGCCCCAATAATATAATGCTCTAAACACAGATTGTGACGATGTTAGTGTTACGCAATTTACTGCATATTACATTATGCAGTAAATTGTATTCTATCACTAAATTGTGAGGTGCATAAATCATTTGCAGAACTGGTTGAAGTGCACGTTAGCATTGTTGTTACTGAAAATCTTGTGTTTTTGTTGAGTTTAATCATGTATTGCATTTTGCATCTTTGTTTAGGTGCAAATATGTTTGTAAAGTTACATCTAAGAAAGTTAGAACCATTGTATCAGCATAATTTTAGACAATCATTCAAATGCTTTACTTAAATAAAAAAGACAAAAAATATGTTTATAACATTCATTGTTTAGTAAGCCCCAAATGTACTATAGGTAGCTTGTTGCCCTGGTAACGAGTGTATACATCAAAGAAGCATACATGCGGTCAAGTGCGCATGCCTGACATTTGGAACCCATTCATCTTCTGGTAATTTTAAATACTTTCTCATTCATGATAACTGAAACCGAATATTTCAGAGAAGATTAGCCCTTAAACTCTAAATGAAGTCAAGTTCATGATTTTCTAACACACAGAGACCACCAGTAGGCCTACGTCTGCAGACAGTCTACAGTAACCACGCCCTCGCCGTCTTACGTAAGCCTCACGCACACCGACGCATTTATGTAGGAAACTTCTCAGGATCGGTTCGTCGCTGTCTTCACCTGAGTGGTCCAACAGTCAGCATCGTCCTCGAGCCTCATCGTAAAGGTAAGTGCTGTTATTCATAAGAGTCTGTCACTATTTTTTTTTTACTTTCCCTCAAATCGGTCGTTCAAAACCTTAATGGCGTCGTTTGAGTCCTGATTTGACCTTTCGTTTTGAAGTCGTCCTTGCTTTTAGGTTTTAGGACGGAAATAAAAGTTATTCGTTTGTAAGAAAGAGAGCAAAGAAGCACCTTGACCGCTGAATGATGTGAACAAGTGCATGACAAAGCTGCATCTCCTATAATGTTTAGTTCTATTCCTCCATTTCCTTACCTGATGTTAAATGAAAAGAAAGCCAGTCTGCATGATTTATTTCTTTGAAATTACATGAAACAATGATGTTTGAAAGCAGTTTTAATAAGACTGTGTTGTTTTTCCTTGGTCACAGTTGTCAGGATGGTTGTGCTTTCAAAGGAGTATGGATATGTGGCGCTGACTGGTGTTGCCAGTATGATCATGGTTGGACATCTGGCCATGAGAGTTGGCAGAGCCCGCAAGCAGTACAATGTGCCTGTGAGTACTGGTTATTAATGTATACACGGTAGAACATACATATGCCTTTGTTATTTACATTATTTAAAAACTGCATCTGCATCCAGCCATTCAAACTCCACTAATTCAACTCTGTTGTATGTTTACATAGTTTCATGTTTGGGCTGGGCTCTGCATTTTTAGCAGCTTACTGTACAGCTCCTCGGGTTTCCTCTGTTCATAAACTTTCCCCGCCTTGCAGTACCCTCAGATGTACAGTGATGACCCTGAAAATGGAAATGTTTTCAACTGCATCCAGCGTGCCCACCAAAATACGTAAGTATGACTTCTTAACATGAGCAGCCAGCACAACCATAAAGTTGTCTGGCAATGCACCAAACTTTCATGACTCATAGTAGTAAATGAAAAGCGGTGAAAGTTGACATGTGGCTGTCTCCTCCCACTAGTCTGGAGATCTACCCCGCCTTTCTATTCTGCCTTGCTGTCGGTGGATTAAACTGCCCTGTAAGTTGAATTTTGCAATGTCATACCCCTGTAGTACCAACAAACATTCTACTACATACAGTAAAAAAAAATATGTAACCGAAGGGCAAAATTTGAGGTGGTATTCTGGAAAGAATCTGCAGCCTATATAAAATCCTGTGCTCTTAAAATGGGTTTCTTTTGCATCTGTGTGTGTGTGTGTGTGTGTGTGTGTGTGTGTGTGTGTGTGTGTGTGTGTGTGTGTGTGTGTGTGTGTGTGTTTGTGTGCGACTGGCTGTCACAGCGTTTGGCCAGTGGACTTGGAGTTGTGTGGATTATAGGCAGAGAGGTGTACGCACATGGGTACTCTACAGGAGGTAAGAGCATGCTTAGTATGTTTCTTTTCCCCATTTGCTTCTGTTGTTACCTAAAACATGGTGCAGACAAGAGTGACTGTCATTATTATTCTCAACTAGATCCCAAAAAGAGGATGCGTGGTGCATTTGGAAACATTGCCATGCTCGGATTGATGCTGACCACGTTCAACTTCGGGCGCCACCAGCTGGGTTGGACAGGACCAAGGATGCGAGGCCCCTTCCGTCAGGTTAACGTTTGATGGTGAGGACACACCCTTCAGCGTGGCCTGAATTAGTCATTCGCCTTTTAATCATGGGCACTTTGATACCCTACATATCTCAATGTGTTTGCTAACCTTTGACAGACTTAAAATTTGAAGTCTGGTGAGGAATATGCTCTTAGAGTGACCTGACTGGTTCTCCTGGGAGAGAAAAGGCCTTATTAAGAACAATGAATGTAATAGTTGGCACTCCCACATAATCTAAGACCTGTCAGGTTTTCTTTATTGCATTTTCAACTGCACCTTGATAAATAAGAATGAGCAACTGTTTTTTTAAGCACAAAACAAACAATTACGCTGTAACAAGAAGGGATGTTTTGGGAAAATTCAGCCCAGCGCATTTGACATCATGTTTGCTTGATAGAAATATCATATTTTGTACATTATGAATACCTGGCAAAAGTTTGTAAAAATTGTTGTCATAATCCCTGTCATGATTGTCCTTTTCTTTTATTTGTAGATTTTGTCAAAGAATGAAAAAAAAAGATATAAAATGTCACCCATTGGTTATAAATACTCTTGTCCTCTTTTTTTGGATACTGAATATATGATTGTGTCTTCTTATCTCTGGTGTGTGTAAGGGAGCGGCCTTCTTTTTTTCCAACCTCATTAATAGCTCAAAGTCCACTCTACTTGTCAAGGCAGGTGCTTTTATATCCCCGCAGAGCTGTCAGGCTAAGAACAAAAGAAAATGCTCCTCATGCAATGACACAGTAATATACTCCAAAACCTACTCACAATATAGTGGTAATCTCATAAGGTCCCACCCTGTCTGCAAGTTCAACACAAGGCTTTTTAATCTGTGGTTTGTGTTTTATTATCAAACAGAAAATCCTTAAATGAATAAATTCTTACAGTCCACATTTTGGTGATATATTATCATACCTCACTGTAACTCAGAACACACCAAAACTCTGATACAACAGCTTGTTCAAGTACATTTGCGAATACTCCAGCTAAAACACTTAAAGCAAACAGCAGTCAAAACATGGCAACTCCCCTGTGCCGCTTTCCTTCTTGTCAGTAAAAGCATTTGAACTAAACGAACACATTCTGTATTAATACGTATTTCACAACACCTTAACCACTGAAGGACATTTTACCATTAGAAGTTATTCATCAAGGGTTTTTTGTGAACCAAGGTTTCATCTCTGGTTGATAAAACGTTTATCCTCAAATTCAAGTTAAATACAAACACATTAAAAACAGCGGTTAAAGTTTAAAAATCAGTAACTACACATTAAAAGCTGCAGAAATCAACTACTTCCATGTACAATTTAGGCAACAAGTTTGAAAGATTGAATGAGTGGCTGCTTCTGTTTGAGAATAAGGTTTTTTTTCCAGAGTTACTGTGTTATGTGCATTAAAAAATTCCTGCTTCTGCTCTTGTTTTGTTGATTTCCTGCAGCAAGGCCTCAGCATTAAGACAATATGAGCAACCTGGAAGTTTGGTATGAAATTGCACTTCATTACATTTTTGGTCACTACAGGGATAACAATTTATTTTAATCATTACAACTAAGTTGGCAACTTCCCATCTTAAAGCGTTTCATATCTTCTCTCTTTCAGTGACTTTCTCTCTTTATTTTTGCTAAATAACCTGAGGTCATGTATTACATACATTAAAGGACTTCATGCTACCTTGATCCACATTACCTCAGAAGTCCTCCAGGGGGCACTGTGACCATTCATGCCACATTAAAGTGCTGTGCATACATGAGGAGGCAGCCAGGGGTGTAGAGGTACAAATAACTCACCTCAGGAAAAAGAGACATCATCTTTCCAGCAGACTGAAGATCTGTGGAGCTTAAAGGGAATGTGAAAAAAAGTAAAGCTGAATCCCCTCTCCTAGAGACACAGTTGTTTAGTTGTAAATCGAGAGGCATCTCTCCCTCAGACCCTAAACCCTCAGAAAACCTGGTCACATTCAGGCAAATGCTTCCTTCTGGTCCCCCACTGGTGTCTGCTCTGTTTCTGTGTTTCTGCTCTCTGAGAGGTGGAAATGAATCACCGGATGATTCAATCAGTAGCTGTATCTGGAGAGTGGTGTGTCCTCCATCAAATCATCCTGGAGAAACAGACGAAAGCAAGAAAAGGCTCATTTCAAGCAGCGTATTCTTTCAGGTAGACTTATCTCAAGTGAGGTAAAATTAGCCTGGCTGGGCCATTCAGTTGCGTGAATCACTTGCCGTTCCTTCCTTGTTGTTGGAAGGAACAGCAAGTGATTTACGCAACTGGATGGCCCAGCCAGGCTAAGGTAAAATGGCTCAGTGCTAACAATCATATGCTCCATTTCACAGTGGTTCAAACTGATTTTGAAACTGTACGTGTTGATTTCTGCAATTTTACATCACATGAAATCAGGAAAAAGATATTTCAGTGATCTCTTGGCCAATAAATTTCAGGGTGTACTGTAGAAGAGCAAGGAAAGTTGTGTGTGTATTCAACCAAACATAATTTTCTTCTTTTGAATTTATAAATATTTAATACTGGCCAAACTACATTTTTTTTCTCCACAAAGGGTAGAACATTAATAAGGTGGAGCTCAGCTTATTAGGACTGATGTACAAATGCATGATGAGCAAAAACTGAAGAGATGAAGAGTGAAGAAGTAAATAATTTCAATTACAAAGACGCTTTTCAAACATAAACAGTGAGTTGTTGGTGACAGTAAGTAAATTTAGGGTGAGAAGTCACTGTATTCAGATGGTTCCAATTTATGGATATAGCAAACTGGAAAAACAGCTTCACATTCACCGTTGTTTCTAGAGAGAACTTTGGCTATACTTTGAACTAAACCAATGACAATTTAATTACCTATAAAAGTACCGTCCAACAACAAGTAACATCAACATTCAACCAGGTCTTGGTTTTATATAATAACTTTTAACAGTGTGACAAAGTGCCAGGACAAGAAAGAAGTAAATTCAAAACAAATGGTCATATCAGCTGTCTAGTAGTAACAGTCGTTCAATAGGAGTTAAATGCTAATGTTAGCTACTGGTTATCAGACCTCAATGAGTAATCAAAAAGGGTTGTTGCTAAACATCCCGCATAGGCAATACTCTCTGTACTTGCAACTAAATTGGTCACCCTCAGTAGGCTGCCCCCCTGTGTGTTCAAAAGATCAAGCTGTGGTATCATACATGCTTAATAATGGTTGGTTGTTCAGTTGGCTTGAGGCACAAGAGTGTGGTTAAAAACAGAGAAATCAGCCAAAATTAGTACAAAATAATTAGGACTTTCAGATGGTTTCAGAGATGTGTATAGTCTAAAACAGCAAGCTATCATTTAGGCTTTTTAAAGGTTTAGATGAGTGGTTCTCAGAGCCAGGGTTGTGTCCAGAGGGGTGGTCAGGGGTGGCACCTGCTCTCCCTTAAATTCCAATGAGCTGCTCCAGGTGCCATCTCAAAACCATTTTTATTTGCCTTGTTATATAAAACTTTTGGTTGTATTTTCATTCACTTTGTGTCATAAAAACAGCTAAAGCAATTCTCAGATTGAAGTCTTTGGCACAGTTTGTCAGTCTAAAAAGGGTGCTTTTTAGAGAAATGAGAGGCTCATTAAGAAAAAGCTTACACTCAAATAAAGTCATTGTGAAACTACAGATCAAACACACATCCATGACATTCATACATAAAACCCTCAACACTGTGATACTGGGCTCCAGAGGAATTATTATGTCCCTTGTTTGGAACTGAAAAAGATGGCAACACCAGTTATCAAAATGTTTTTCACCTGAAATCTAGCGGTACTTTGCAGACCTGGAACATGACATTCAGATTGAGATCCCCTCAAAGAAGGGCAATCAAAAAGAGTCATTACGGTGCCCTCAAAGTGGAGCAGTGAGAACTGCTGAATTGATTGATGTTGTTCCATTATAGCTGAGCTGTTCTCCTGTGTAATTTATTTTCAATCCAGTATTATGTATATACTTGTACATCATCTAGTGTTGTGTCTGAGTATGTGGGTGCACTTGGTCTTTTGTTATGATGTTGTCTATAAGCTACTTCCTGCTTGGTTGTATAGCACTTTTACAAACAAGAGTAGTTTTGAAATGTGCTTTATAAATACATTTGACTGGACGTGACTGTAGCAGCATGGGAAATAATGAGTCAAGAGCCCCTTTGTCAAAATTAGGAAGTGATCTTTAGGACCAGTATTGTTGCCTGTAGTGACAAATGTATGCACCAAAAAGTGCAACTCACCATGGGCAGGTCCTGCAGCCGATGGAACTCTGGGTGATTTGTTCGCTGCCGGAATTTAAGGAAGAGGACGATGAAGATGATGGCAGTGGTGACGATGAACACTGACAGAAGGCCAGCCAGCAGAGGGTCGAGGGAGGAATTTGAGCGGGGTTTATGGTCTGAAATGACGAACAAATAGAGAAACTTATAATTGACACAATTTTAAGCCGCAACAAGAAAATAAGCAGTCCTTGCTTGACCTTCTCTCACCTTCATCTCCAACATTTAGTTCAGATGGGACCTCCTTGTGTGGTGGCCCTGCAGGACTCTGGCCTGGGGCTGAGGTCAAAGGGAATCCTGTGGTTGTTGGCTGTGTGGGTGTAGTGGTCAGTGACTCAGACTGCCGCTGGACGGTGGAGGCGTGGGCTGTAGAGCTGGTATCTTGCACCGTGTGGGCTGGCGGAGATGAAAAGGTGGTGAGGGGATCTGTGGTCAGCGGGACTCTGGCTTCAGTGGTGGAGATGTGCTGTGGAGGGGTGGAGCTCTGTACGGTTGGTGTGGATGAAAGGCTGCGTGTTGAAGCTGAAAGTGGAGATTGATTTAATGGCAGAGCTGTATCAATTCAAAACAGTGCAGAGATTCTTCAAAGGGAGCGAAGCATCCACACAGCAGGTGGAGGTAACTCATAAAACTGATCACAAAACAAACAACTCAAAGGCCTTTCAGTCGCAATGCTTGTATTTTCATCAAGCAGCTATCATCGGGTGTTTGCGAGATATTTAAAGCAAAAATGCCAAAAACTTCAGTTCCTTGAGTGACCACTAGAGGCTGCCACCCCAAAATGAGTTGATCTCCGTTTGGCCTCACATTAGCATGACCAAATTCTAAAGGTAATCAACATTGCTTTTGCAAAAAAAAAAATCCTGTACATTCCAGGTTTAAATTAATTTAGGGTCAAACACACCGCAACACCGGGTTAGACACCACCTCAATAGAGATGAATGTTGCCGACCGCTCGCTTCTCTAGTTATATCAACTTTAGTAACGACCGCACGATAGCAAAACACAGCAGTCTGAGGAGCCATAAACAAACCTCAACCAAAACGCCACTCTATAGCCACAAATAATGCTCAGAACAGCACCTAACTTCATCAACAGTACATATAGGATCCCAGCCACAGCACTAGCCACCAAACATCTTTTTAACTCTGCCTAATTTTTAGCAAAGAGACTAAACACTAATCACCTACTCTCTTCCAGCAGCCGCTTGTTTGTAGCAAGACCTCGGCAATCCATTACAGACTCAAGGAAGAACATTTATGATCATTCATTTCTCGAGGGGGTGTCTAATTTGGTGTTACAGTGTGTTTGACCCTAAATTAACTTTATGCTGGAATATCCCTTTAAAGCTACTATGAGGCTACTGTACAATTATGGTGCCCCCTGTGGACAAAGACATCTTTGCTTGTCTGTTTAAATGATGAAGTTTTTAACTATTAGTCACAGATTTTAAGCAGAAAAACAAGAATAATTTGCTCCGTGGTCCCTCAATGTTCTGTTTCTGTGCTTGCCATCCATGCCTGTCTTACAAATATTTTTGGGCTAGGCTGTCATTAAGAGAACACAAATCTTTCAGTCTTTCAGCCTTAGTTGTTAAGTCTTACAAAGTAAGTATTTGTTTATATTTAATTTAATTTTCTGGGGTCAATAACGGCTTTATTATTTGTTGATGTTTTCTCTTTAACTACTGATCATACATCAAGATAGCTTTCTAGCTTACAGCTGTTCCTCTCATTCACCATGTTTATATCCTTCCTTCACTTTAAGCACATGTGTCTGTTTACATCGCATTCGACAGCTCACATTGACAGCTGGGGAGGGGGTGTGTTCAAGGAACTCCAAGCTATGTAATCACAAGTCTCTCTACTGTTTACAAAGTAGCATGAGGAAAACAGGCAGCCATTAGTGCTCTGGTGGGCAAAATAGCCTCTTTGTAATACTACACTGATGCATAGAATTGTCAGAGAGAAAAAAATAAAACACTCCTTTTCTTTCCATGAGGTCACAAGACAAATACAAATGCTTACTGTTATCATTTTAAGCTCCCGAAATGAGAAACTACAACAGGAGCTTAAACTCAAACACAAACATATGTATTTCAGCCAAATCTATGAAGACACAGAAGAGCGGTAACAGCAGGGAAAGTGACTGAGGTGTGATCTGAAAGGCTTGTTGGTTATTTAGGAGCCACTCAGAGGGGTTATATTTATCTGATCTATAAAAAGGAATCTCTTTAATGAGGTTATGGCACACACTCTCACTCTCACTCCAGTCATGTGGGGTCGGAGATAGTGGGGGCTGGGACCATGTTCCTGGAACTCCTCTGGCAGTGGAGCTGAGTGTGAGGAGGCCATCTGTGTGTTTTAAAGAGCGTTCAGTTCGTAGGAGAGTTTATTTTAAGGATCTGGACAAAGTAAATAGACTGTACTGGAAAATTATAGATGCACGGTTTTAGAATTATGGATGAAATGATGACCATAATTCCTATGTCTCTGCAGCTTAGAGAAAGATGCATAAACAGAAGAAGTGCATGCAGGTTTTGTTTTTAATACCTGACACTGTAGCAGCGGCGGTGTTCGAGGTCATGACCACAGATATGTGTGTTTGTTGAGATGTGGCCTCTGTAGAGCTCACTGTCGAAGTTGGAAATGCTTCACTTTTCACAGTCACTGAATGGACTCCAGTTCCTGTAATGGTGGTTTCAGTTGAGGTTTCCTCCTGGCCTGGAGGATTGTGTGTCCTTTGTGAGACTTCATGACCAGGATTCTCTGTGGGGTCAGGAGATCTTGAGGCTTCAGGGGACACAACAGTGCTGTTCTGACCTGTGAAATACAAATGTAATCAAAATTACAATACAAACGGTATGAAAATGACCGAGTCACACCTCAGATTTCATTATCACATTTAAATGGTTGGCTAATGGAAAATTCTACTGCCTACAATTTATGTAATTTGTAAACCTGAAGTATAGGGACATGCCTTAAGACCAGTATCTAAATAATTGATAGGATTATGCCTAGGCCACTAAGGATTCAGGCGCTATGAATATTGATCTCATTAGGCCCTATGATATCATCACCACAAATATATAGTATTCTTTAGGGCCTTTGTTAGTTATAGACTCTTGGAGTTGTCCACTTGTCTTCACAGCATCCTTTATGATTACTCTGTGGATACTGTGATTAAAAGGTATTTGCAAACATATTCTTGTTGCATATCCATGATGTTATGGATCATGCTGGAAATTTTGAGCACACTACTAAAGTGGCACATTGGATCTTATCACGTTGCAACCCCAAATTATATATCTTAGGGTCCTCGTCAGTGATGGCCCCTCGATCTTTGTAACTTTCTACCTTGGAGACTACTATTTTGAAGGAAGAGTCAGTGCCAGAGACCTACTTTATACGACTGCAGAGCATCTTTTTTAAGCATAAAATTTGCTAATTGCTAACAGATATTTTTATTATAATTATTATCTAAAAGTTTGTCTGTATGATTAAAAAGCAAAAGGTATTTCAAAAGCAAAAATTGTTGGAAATGACCCTCAAGTTTGTCATTCCTCCTCTAGAGTAACCACAATCTGCTTTTCAGGTTTTCCTTTTCTCCAAGAGCTACCTGCAACAACCCAGTCCAAAACTGAAATATCTACTTTGTGCTGTGATCAGAATTCAACATCTGATGTTTGATAGTATCTGATAAAATGTGTTTTTATATTTTTCACTTATAGGCTAATTTTCTTGCTAGTGTCTAAAATAATATAAATGATGCAAAGTAAGCACCAATAGAAGTCTTGATAGAAAATAGGCCTACAGTACATTTTGGTCCTTTTAAGATCAAATAAATAAACGATAGAATGGTAGACCTAATTCGGTAATTAATGACCAAATATGTAGCAAGAGAAATGACCACATTATTTCTCAAAAATTTGAAGTAGCTTCTGGACTAACAACAAAAAGTTGAATAAAGAGTGAAAATCCTCCAAGCATTACCCAGCTGTCTAGCAGTTTTTAACTAGCTACCTAAGATTGAGGGACTAGATCATCACATGCTGAATCGATAACGAGCCCAACGTCAGCAGGATGTCAAGTCTGTTCAAACACGAGTACACACACACTCTCACACACTCACACCAGGGACGACACCTTACCTCTCGTCTGCGATGAGCCGGTAAGAATGATCAAGACGCAAAACGCCAAAATATTTTCAAGTTTCATTTCATCCGCGGCTTTTTCTCTGCAGATCACAAAGAAACACGATCTGAAGCGTTCTCCGCACGGCAGCTCTGCTTCTCCAGCACCGAGGTTGTTTCCGTTACGTGATTTGACAGGGCACATCATCAGCGCTAAAAATATCCGGAGGGAGTCGGGCAGAAGAGGAGCAGGGGTGGGGCCGTGCGGCAGGCACGCGGCAGCAGGCGGACATAAACACTCATGCGCTTTATTTTAAAGCACAAAACCAGTCTCTTATGTCAGTCAAATGCGAAATAGCCTGATTCACTTTACGGTGGTGTTTCATGTCCTACCAGAGTCACTCATCTCTGCTTCCATTCCTCCCACATGCATCAGTTTGCAGTCGCTGTTGCTTTGCTGCTCCAATCAGACGTCAATGCGTCAGAGGCGCAGCCGTCTGCGTCAGGAGCGCCTGTTGTGCGGCGCTAAACTGTACTGTGGGCAAGTTCGCCAGTGTATTCTATAGCCTTTATTACCTAATTGAGGTAAGCCGTTTACATAAAGCAGGAAAAGGTAAATAAATGTGAAGTTTTTTTGGATGGTAATGTGAGACAACTTTTGAGCCCCTCAGAGGTCAGTGTGTCGTCACGCCTGAGCGCACTGCCCACATGTGTGCTGAATGAGCAGCTGACTGACCCGCTGCGTCCTCTGTCAGCGTGCAAAGACACACTTTAGAGGACACTGCTGTCGTTTTTGTGACTGACACCTTTTTTCTTACCGGAGAGGCAGTAATTTCTAAAGGATTTACGGAACAGCAACAGGGAGACCTGTTCCTCACGCCAGGGGGGGAGATGGAGGCTCCATCCACTCCGGGAGACAGTCCAGTGGAGCTGGAGTTCACGGTGGAGAATGTGGAGTCGGTAAGTTATTGACAACTATCACCTTCTTGTGAAGTGAACCCTTTAATACCATGCAAAACTCTGCAGCTCATTTGCCAACATGTGTTTATTGCAGCAAAATTTCCAGATGAATATTTATTATTTATATGATATAATAATGCATGTAATATTGAAATAATAAGAGGCTGCTGCAAGACTGAAGAAAATGCGGTTAGTTGATGTAGTTGAATATAGGCAGATTGCACTAACTGAACCTTTGTAACATGATAGCCCACCAGCTATAAGCATATGCTGTCCTAATAATAACCAACACCATGTGCTTTGGATTAGTTACTATGACAACACATTTTTCTAACAATATTTAAGCAATGCAGCATGCATGATTATGAATACATTTGATGCACATGCAGAAAGTTTCAGTTATGTAATAAATTTACTCAAGTTACATCAAATAAAACTCACATTGTTATTCTTGTCCCACCTCCTTTGGTGAGTGGAAGATCTGGGTTTTACATTCATTACGAGTTGTCACCAAGTCTTTTCAGTCATCCAGCCTTTTTGAATCATTGAATTGAATTAGTTCTTCTCATCTCTTCCAGGCTCTCTACCAGCTTTACTTTGACCCAGACATGGAGCGTAAGAATGTAGCCCAGAAGTGGTTAACCCAAGCCCAGACTTCTGCACAGGCATGGCAGTACTGCTGGGCTCTGCTTGGTCCTGACAAGGTCTGTGGATGTGTATCTGCATGGACATCTTTACAGTTTCACCAGTTTCGACTACAGAAAAAAATGAGACCATCTTATAGAACAGAATATTAAATTGTTATCAGCTGCAAACATAACTTATTTCAACTTGCTAAAAACTCTGACTGTATAATTAAAATAAAGCATGAATAACTTTGGCCCCAGTATTGATCCCTGTGGGACACCACTTTTTACTCTTCTATAATGTAATTTGGTTCTATGAGTTTTCACAAATTGTAACCCAGAATTCTTGCTGTGTTGGATCAAAAAGCAAAGTCATATTTTTTCAACAGCTTTGGTATCTCTGTCTGTCCCTTTGCAGCTTCCAGAGGTGCAGTTTTTTGGTGCCAGCACCCTCCACACCAAAATCTCCCGTCACTGGACAGACCTCCCCACAGAACAACATGAGAGCCTGAGGATGCAGCTCCTCGCCCACATCTTGCACTTCTCCTCGGGCCCCAAAATGGTGCTTACCAGACTGTGTGTAGCCCTGGCTGCAATGGCTCTTAACTTAATCCCACAGTCTTGGTCCCAGCCTGTGGCAGACATGGTGAGGGCCTTCCAGCCACAGAAGCCTGACTGTGAGGGTGCAGAATCCGCTCAGGAACCTCATGCACACTGTCTGGCCCTGCTGGAGCTCCTCACTGTACTTCCTGAGGAGTTCCAGAGCAGCCGGCTGGCTCAGGCTCGCCGTACCCAGCTGAGGGAGGCTTTAGCTGGAGAGTGGGCGGTGGTTTGTCCTCTGCTGCGTCAACTGCTCCAAAGCCAGGACTCTTCGGTGCAGGTGAAAGAGAAGGTGCTGCGCTGCCTGTCCAGCTGGGTGGGGCTAGATGTACCACTGGGAGAGAGTCATGAACTGGTTCAGGACTGTTTTACCGCACTGTCTAATCCTGAGCTGTTTGATACGGCAGTGGAGACGATAGTTAACGCCATCTCACAGCCGGACTGCCAGAGGTGAGAAACATACTAGATCAAAGGTTATTGAAAAGATCTGAGACTCTGAGAGGGTGCTCTGATCTTTTAATAGTAGAGTTAATATGGTTGTGTGCAACACCCTCAAAAAAAGTAAAAAATAGTCATCATAGGGTGATAAATTACTGTCAAATATTTTCTAATGAACCTTAAAACCTTTATAAGTAAACGAACAGGCAGGAAGGTATCTAAATCTCACTTCCTCTTGTTTAATGTATGAAATTAAAGCTCCCATAAGGAACTTTTATTTTGTGTTAATTTTGGCACCCCCCCAGTGGACCAGACAGTCTTTGCTTAACTTGTCCTTTACATGCTTAAACAGTGTCTTCATGCTGGTAGCTTTTGACATTCATGTTGATCATAAATTGCAAATATTGATGGGAAATGGTAACAACAGGACTGTCTCTGGAGCTGCTTGAGTGACACATAGCCCTCAGCATTCTTTTCAGGCATTAAAAACCATGATATAAAATAGTCAGTCTTCTTGTTGATGGTCTTGTTTGCCTTTGGATATCATGAAAAGGCAACATGAATAAACGCCATTTCAAAAACCTTTTCACTTACCAACCCTTAAACACGTCTTGACCATATAGAAAATCTGTTAGTAACATCTTAGCATCTTGTATTGCTAACTAGTGAGCTCCACTATCATTTTGAGGTGGCTTAGCACGATTAGTGAGCTACCTTATTTTTGAAAATTCTGGCCATTATACACCTGGGCATGTTCAATACTGCATACTATGAATTCATAACAAACTACATACCCACCGTGACACCATACTTAGTATGAAAAATATGACAGGATGTCATCTGGACAGGGCAATGCTCAGCGAGCCCTCTCTAAATGTTACTCTAACCAACATAAACAGTTAACTAAACACTCTCTACACTATGAGTTCAGTCATCTATAGGTTTTTGAATTTAAAGTAATCCGTTTGAACAACAATAAAAATATAAAAGGGGGAAATAATCACAAACAGATGGAGTATTTTCATTGTTCAACAATGTAAATATTACAATATCGTTATCACTATCATACATAGATAGAAAGAAGCAATTGATTCAAGACTGTCAGGTTAAGACCTCTCTGCTGGGTGAAGATCAACTCTTCTGTGTTTAAAACTAAAATAGTTAAGTTTATCTGATATAATGAAAGCAAAGATATTCCTAGCAGTGGAATTTTTCAAGAATTTTTCTGAATGGTTGTGTCGACTTTGAAATTTAATCACAGAGTTTAACATAACACCATAAAATTCATCAGATTTTAACGCACAGCATGACAATGACTTATTAATCTTTTGATGCCTTACATCTTCAGATACATTGATGCTCTGGTGAACCTGGTGCCTCTTGTGCTCGGTCTCCATGACCAGCTGAAGACAGCAGCTCGTGAGGGGGACATGGAGACCTCGCATGGAATCTGTCGTATTGCTGTTGCCATGGGAGAAACACACTCCAGGTACACTCGGACGCTTACACTCTGTCATCGTGTGTTCAGTTGATGTCTGTTTTCTCTTAATGTGAATTCATGTGACATTTGTGTGTGACAGGGTTTTGTTGGAGCAGGTGGAGCACTGGCAGGAGTACTTAGCTTTAGTTAACATGATTCTTTTCTGTACGGGCATCCCTGGGCACTATCCAGTCAGCGAGACCACCAGTTCCCTCACACTCACCTTCTGGTACACCCTGCAGGTAAAATGATGGAAGTAAAAAGGCTGTGTTCGCTTATTGATTTTCCTTAATCGCTGTGTGTTTTTCTGGGCTCTGCAGGATGATATCTTGTCATTTGAGGAGGAGAAGCAGGCTGTTTACCTGCAGGTCTACAGGCCAGTTTACTTCCAGCTGGTGGATGTGCTGCTACACAAATCCCACTATCCTTCCCAGGAGGAGTACACCTCCTGGTCCTCTGATGATAAGGAACAGTTCAGGATTTACAGGTCAGGGCTCTAAAATGCAACTTTGAAAGCATTCGTCTTTTTCAAGTTCATTTTTAGAGGAAAACATGTCTGTGCCACTTTTAAGCAATATTGTTGGTAGTGTGACTAAAACTGTTGGCGAGAGATGAAACCGTTCCTCTGGCTATTTTCCATGACAGAGTGGATATTTCCGACACTCTGATGTACGTGTATGAAATGCTGGGTGCAGAGCTGCTGAGTAACCTCTATGATAGACTGGGCCGACAGCTGATGGACCCCCAACAGTCAGCAGTATGGCAGGTAATACCATCTGAACAGGTATAATGTAATTGTGAAATGGGTATTTTAACACTGATCATTGTTGTTGTGTAATTATGAGTACATATAACATTTTCATCACACTTAACTAACACCATCTACTACTCTCTTCCTCTGTTCTGACCCTTACATCACTCTTTGTTGTTCTCTGTCTTTAGGACACCGAGGCTCTGCTGTTTGGTTTTCAGTCCATTGCTGAAACCATAGATGTGAACTACTCAGATGTAATCCCCGGTCTCATCGGCCTCATCCCCAGAATCAACATCAGTAACGTTATGCTGGCTGACACTGTCATGTACACCATAGGTACTGTTAATACCTGCACACCTGTTACCTGTTGTGCAAAGCTGAGTTACAAGACTATCAATGTCATGTAAAGGTTTCAATTTGAAGCAGATTCTTACAAATGACAGTACCAACAAATTAACCGTCAGCTACTGTCATTACCCACTCAAAATCCAGAGGGACATCAGATGCCTTTGTGGTGGAAATACAGATATAATTTTATTTATTTTACGGCAAAGTAATTAGGACATAGACAGGTTACAATATATAATATACAATGAATAGAGAGAGGTCAAAACATATACAAATTGTCATAAATAGAACATAGACTAATCATCAACCAGCCCAACCAGGGATAGAGAAGTTATAAGTATACACAACAGAAGAAGAAACATGAACATAACAGATGATGATGTGTTTAAGACATGATTAGATGTGATTTCAAAGATATTTTAAAGGATTTGAAGAATGACATTGATTTTAGAGATACATCCAGATCATTCCGTAGTTACGGTCCTCTAAAAGTGATATTAGACTGATGACAAGAAGTTCGACAGAAAGATAACTAAAGAATGCCATTTTGTCTTGATGAGTATGGTTGAAGGCCAGATGAACAGGTAAAAAAAAATGTTTTGATAACAATGTTTTGTGTTCCCACTCTGAGCACAATGTCACAGAATAATGTGAATATCCTGAATAGATCCACAACTCTTTAATTTGACTCTATGTGACACAAAACACTCCTTACTAATGTCTCTTCATTTTCTAGGCTCTCTTGCTGAGTGGCTGGCTGACCACCCAGTGATGTTGGGAGGTATTTTACCCATGGTGCTCCAGGGCCTTGTGAAAGCAGAGCTTTCTGTGTCCAGTGTTTCCACTCTGAAGAGAATCTGTAGGGAGTGCAGACATGACCTTGGCCCCTACGCTCAGGACATCCTCACCGTGTCACAGGTTAAACAGGCTTGTAAAAAAAAAAAAAAAAACAAGAAAAGACAAAGTTGAAATTAAATGTATTTTTCTTTGTATTAACACTTGTGCTCCTCTGCAGGATGCGCTGGTGAAAGAAATCCATAAGGTGAGTGAGCAGCCTTCGACATTCATCACTTATCTCCTTTTATTGAAGATATGAGTGCATCAGCCATGTCTCTCATGTATGATGTGTGCTGTCTGTGTTCCTGTCTTTGTTTGTCTGTGTGCGTGCATGCGTGTGTGTGCAGAGCAGCCAGTGCATGTGGTTGATGCAGGCTCTGGGTTTCCTGCTGTCGGCTCTTCCTGTGGAGGAGATCCTGGTCAAGCTTCATGCTCTCATCACGCCTCACGTCCAGCAGCTGGACTCTCTGTCTCAGCAGGAGGTAAAACAAACTCACCAAACTCCAACACAAACCCCATCATATCATAACATAACAACTTAAGTTAAGGAGACAAGTACACTTTATTACATTTCACTACCCTCTAAGTATTTCTTAAACTCATTATTCATGTTTAAGTACAAAATTGTGTTTCTATTAAACTTCCCTCTACAAGTTTAGGGTTATTAAGTAGGAGGAAATGTACAGTGTCAGGGTCTTGTCTTACCCTGTTGGGATTCTATTTCATTGACTGTTCATAATCTCAGATTTTATCCAGTAAAATGTGTGTACTTTAAAACAGTTCAAGTATAAGACTGATTACCTATTCTGTGGTTGCATAAAAAATTGTAAAGGGCAAAAAAACTACTTATCTTACAATATGTTTACTTCAGGTCACAGCGATTTAGTAACTGAACTTCAACTGAAGAGTAAACACAAGAGGAGTTTAATGTATTTTCCATTGCTCTTGTAAGGACTATGTTATCTTGCATTAACTGTGATGCCTCTGTATGACCTACAAAAGTATTAAGACCATCAAAGGACAAGACTGAGGAATTGCATTGTTGTAACTTTAAATGCCTGAAACCCCTACAAAGAAGTAGATGTCAGATGATAATCCCAATGTAGAATATTAGTTAGAAAATTTCAGACCAGCATGTTTAAAAAAAAAGGTTGTTATTTAAACATGCTGGTCTGATACCTTCCCCAATGCAGCAGTTTCAGATACTTCAAAGACAGAAAATTACTAAGTTTAAATAAGTTTTCTGTCTTATTCTGTGTGGCCTCATTTGCTTTGGTAGGTCATAAAGAGGCTACTGTTTTGATTTTGATCTGTTCTCTGATAAGTTTGAAACTCTTCACAGAGGCTTTAAAGCATTTTTTTTTCAGAGTTATTTTCTCTTTTTACAGCCTAATCCTGCCAACAAACAGTCTATAATCCACATCCTGGGGATGCTGTCCAGTCTCTTCACCACTCTTGACATCAGACAAGCAGATGGTTTAGAAGGAGCACCCAGCCTCAGTCCCTCACAGAGTGCGCAAAATCCTGTAAGTTCAGCCCTATAATCTGTACATCTAGGAGGGATTCACGTCTCTATTATCATAAACCAGACCAACAGCTGCTCTTTTTTTTGAATGGTTTAGTCAAAAAAGAAATATGTGAAAAATACATAGTTTAATACATTTACAAACACATAGTTGCAGCGTGTAATGTTAGGACAAAATTTCCTTGATTTTTCCAGGTTGTTGTTGTGCTGCAGCAAGTGTTCACGTTGATCCAGACCATCCTCAGCAAATGGCTCAATGACTCAGAGGTGGTCGAGGTAGGAGGCTCTTTACTGCCTGCGTAAATACAAACTGTACGTCCATGATGTTTGTGTGTTTGTGTGTATTTATATGAGTGCATTTACTGACTCACAGCTCTTCCGTTTCCTGCCTTCAGGCTGTGTGCGGGGTCTTTGATAAGTCAGTCCGAACCCTCCTACATGATTTTGGTCCGATGGTTGCTCAACTGAGTGAGATGCTGGGGCAGATCTACAGCACCTTCCCACAAGCCTCTGCTCTGGACCTGGCCCGGCAGGTACGCCCCTGCAGATCAGAAATATGAAGCGTAATATCTACAAATGTAATGAAGGCTCTTTGAAGGCTTTTAGGATCAAATGTGACTCTTTTCTGTGCTTAGATGGTTCACATATTTTCTGCAGAGGAACAGCACATCTCTAACATCAGAGGCCTGATCGAGGTGTTGACTTCAGCCACATTAACCATATTTCAACAAGGTAACAACAACCTGTGAGGATAGTTCTCTTATTGGTTTTACATTTTACACTAGCAGGTTTCTCTCTTTAACTTACATTTCTGTGTCACAGGCCCACGGGATCATCCTGACATCGCAGAATCATTCATGCAGCTTCACGCTCAGGTTTCTCACACAATCTTTGCCATTTTTGCACATCTGCATCAGACAGAAAACTTTCTTTCAACACTTCTGTTTCCTTTTCACTACCATTAGATTCTTAAAAGGAAGCCTGATTTGTACCTGTCTGAACAGCTAGATGTTAAAGCTTTGTTTTACTGTGGTAAGTATTCACTCATACTGATGTAGCTCATCACCACTCACTACATGTTATGATTGATGGTGAGAACATACTTTTTTGCTAAATTTTTGCAAACTACTAGGTCCAAAAGATCCTAAAACTGTCCAAGGAGGGTTCATTTTAATATGTGACCCCTCTCTAAAGACTGCAGGGTCGATTAAGTCTTCCTTATTTCTGCCTGAGGCGTCCTCCATCTGTTGTTTGTTTTTCAGGGATTCTTTCACTGAAGTTTCCAGAGACTCCCACAGTGAAAGCTGCCAGTCTCTTCTTTGTAAGTCACAGCAAAAGAGTGCATCACTGAATTACAGACAGTAGATCTGATCTCATATTGATTCATCAGCTGACAGATTCTTGTTATGTTGGCCCTGTTGCCTGACAGACAGAGCTGCTGCCTCGGTGCAAAGATGTCCCCTCTCTAGGGGAGGTGCTGCAGAGGGATGGAAAACTCCTCACAGAGACTATACTCCATGTAAGTACCTAAGATGTGACTTATGATCAGACCTGGGCTTTTATTTTATCCATGAGATAGAGTATGGTTTCAAATCGTCATGCTTTATCTTTAAAACACCAGGCAGTCGGGGGTGGGTCTCCTCGCAGTCTGACGGAGCACTTCTCTGAGGTGCTGCTGAGTCTGAACAGACACTGTCCGGCTCTGCTCTCTCAATGGCTCAAAGAAACTCTACAGAGTCCAGGATTTCCCTCCAACCAGGTTTCCTCAGAGCAGAAACACACCTTCAGTCGGCAGCTTCTGAGGTAACTATATCTGTAATGGTTTTTTACCATTGTGTTGATACCTGGATTTAAGATAGAAACACGAGGACCGTGTTATACTACAAATGCCTGCGGTAAAGGTTCAGTTATCAAAAACCTCATTTAGATGATGCATTATTTTCTTTTGTATTTTGATATCAATTTGAATTCAGAGCGCTTGTTTGTTGTTTTTGTTCTTGGACAAAATCAATAAAATCTATATTTAAAAAAAAACTAATTTGAACAGAAACAAAAGGGCACTGCTCTCTTTAAGGTAAATACTTGAAGAAAAATTCAAAAGTCTTTGATATGACAAGTTTATAAATCTGGTATCATTTTGTGAGCATGCTTTTAAAATTATTTCATTTACAATAAGAGAAACTGATCATTTAATGCTACTGTAAGCAGTTTTTGTTAATAAAACAGACTGAAACTATTCCTCGCATATAATGTATAAATATAAGGCTATCAGTGACAGGATTGTCTCTGTACCTCTGTTGTATATACGTGGTATACATGTGTGATGAAGGAGTACCAGGGTGAGATGGTTTGTTACAAGACTTGTCCAAAAGCCACAAGAAATTTAAATTTGAGAAATTTAAAAGCACACAGTCAGTGAAATACTTATCAAAAAGACACACTCTGCTCTGAACTTTGTTGTGTGGGACTTTTTGTACCGTTCCACGTTAGAACTGTGAAATTTGAGGTCCCAAAACATTTAGCTGTTTATCATAATTTGTCATTTTGAATAGAGAAACGTGACTTGATAGCAAGGCAACAGTGGAGGAAGCTCCCAGAGTGCTGGGGGCCATAACTAAAACTGAGAGATTTAGACAGTTTATTACGCTATAGCTGCTATAAAGTCATATTTGAAACTCAAGTGAGGAACAACTATGACAATTTGGTGCCCCCTGGGGACAAGGCAGTACTTGCATACCTTGTCCTTTACACCTTCCTCCTCTCAGTAGTTTCAGGGATTAAAAAGTATAATATAAAAGTTGTCAATCTTGTCACTGGTGGTCTTGTTTGCTTCTGGATACCATAAAAAGTCCTCAATAGGAATTTCAGCCTATTGTATAAATGTCAAAAACTTTTCACAGGAGCTTTAAAGACTTGAATGTTGAACGTGACTGAAACATATTTTTCAATCTTTCAGGGAGCAAACCAACAAGCGCCGCGTCAAGGAGATCGTGAAAGAGTTTTCTCTGCTGTGTCGAGGCCTGCAGGGGTCTGGCTACTGAAAACACTGAATGTAGAGTAAAAACAACACAAAAGTGGAACTGTTTTTATCACAACAAATGCTGAAGAGGACTTTTTACCTGGACAGGTGACACTGGAGTGTTTTAACCTTGTTACTGAACCAATGCTGGTAAAACTGACTGAACTGAACATGTTTGTAATAAAATAATTTGTCAGGAAAAATGAAATAGAGAAGTATAACAAGCTGAAAACAACAATAAACACTTTGTTCTTTACAGCTGCTTAAGCAACTGTGTATGAGTGTGTGTGTTCACTTATTGTTTCTCTTCTGTATTCTGCTTGAAGATGATTTTCACACATTATCAAAATATAGAAACCCCCAAACCCCTCCCTCCACTCACTTTGTCTCTTCATCTTCTTCTTCTTTTAGTTACAAAGGAGAACTTTTTAAAAATGAGACGTCATAATTTTATATAGCTTAGAACTCTTGCACATGTATATTTCAGCTGATATATAATAAAACAATTTTATCACTTCCACGACAGAAAAAGAAGACAAAACAGACGGTTTTGAAGCAGACAACATGTTCAGTGTTTGTCAGTGAAGTCACTGGGAGGGCAGGCAGTTTTTGTCGGAGGTTTGGACAGCGTCCTCTGTAGAAAAAAAGATCTGAGGATGACTCTCCTGGTGAAGGTCGGTGCACTGAGAGTCAGGGCTGAGATGAGATGGATGTAGTCTGTGAGTGTCTTTAAGGGTTTTGTGCAACCAGAGCTCAAAGGGCTGCTCCTAGACCTGGTCCTGAGCCTCACTATCGTATTCTGGTGAAGAGGTTCAGCACGGACTTTGATTCCTGCGGTCAGAAAATAAGAGAGTAAAATATGTAACTTGATAAAAGATTACATCAAATATTTTTTAAAACACTTTCGCAAACATGTTTGGTGAAACTCAAGACCTTGATATTTCCTGTAGAGCAGGTTTTGTCTTATCTTTACATGAAATGGTCACAAACCAATTTAAAATCCTTGTTTCATCACCTCGTTAGCATTTCTAAACAGATGTGAACTTAATAAACTCCTTCAGTAACTCTCAACCTCAGTACATGACAGCAGCATTTGACAAAGTGTCCTGTTTTTTATCGTACCTTGGTGCAGCGTGTCTTACTGAAGACATTCCAGAAACGTAGTGTCTCATCTCCAGCTCCTGTAACAATAGCTTCCCCGTCTGGTGACACCGCCTGAAAGGAAAGAGAAATAATGAATGATATGAATAATTTGTCTTTTACTTCATGGCTGTTTTCATACACCACAAACTTGCATGTGTGTTCAGCTGCTCTCTGTTAATGCTCCTCTTGTCAGGTAAGAGCTGGATATTAAAACTGAATTAGTTAAACACACTGTATATGATATTAAACTTGACCAATATTTGCCTCTATTGACTTCCATTCAATGTGGACAGAGGGGCAAACAAACATGTCACTTCTGGTGGCTCATTCTCATTCACAACTATCACAGAGTTCAAATGTGACCTAGAAGGACACAGCCTCATAAAATAGCAGTGTAAGTGCTGTATAGCTGACTCCACTCAGCAGTGCCCAGATTTATCAATTGTGACTTGCAGACAACAGACGTTTGCCTTCGTCCCTACAATTAAACAGTGCCATTTTTAAGAGGTTGCCTGTCTTATCCTCACAGTCTGGTCAATCAAAGCAGCTGCAGAAAATGCATGAATGCCTGAGACAGGTCTTAATAGATACAGAAGGACTCAGATGTAACAAAGCTAGAGTCCACCCTCCACAATGAGGCTCAGTTTTTCTTATGGCACTGACAAATTTCTTGATTGATACTTTTTTTGCATGCAGAACTCTTGTTTTTATTGTTGCAAAGCTAAGACCCTGAATGCATCCTTCACTAGAGAGACATACTCTCATCAGCCATGACATTATGACAACCTGCCTTTTACTGCACAGGCCCCCTTCTGGTCAGGTCAGGGCCAATATCCAGACCATCTTCATCCATTGCTTTTAGGGCCAGTCTTATGATCACATGATCATCACAGGAGCTTTCAATGGTGGGAAGGGGTCAGCACGGATACCATGATCAGTCTGTGGCTATACGGTCCCCTATGCAGGAATCAGCAGTACCTATTAATCTGGTCATCTAGTCATTACAGTTTGACCTTGGTAACAGGATGTCAAATCCCTATTCTTGCCTATTTTGCCTGCATGTAACTCATCACCTCTGGAGATAAAATGTTCACTTGCTGCCTAACATATCCCAACCAATGACTGTTTAATGAGGGTGCTCAATAAGTTCACCTCACCTGTCAGTGGTCATAATGCTATGGCTGATCAGTGTCTGTAAACATTCATGTATGCCCAAATATTTACTTGGTATGTTAACATGATAATTATAACTGGACCAGACAAAGGCTGGGGGCTGAACTAGCAACCGCTGTGACAAGTACTGCAGCCTCTGTACATACGACACTCACACAGACTACTAGGCCAACTGCTGCCCCCAAAACTGGATTTACATACCTAGAAAATGCAATAGGTATAGATTTTAAACTGGCCGAGATTTCGGGCATGCTCCACAGTTCAGCTCATTAGACTTTGACCCAGGAGTCCATCAGTCTTAGTGGGTTGTTGCCTGCCTTTGGGTGTCACTATAAGCCCATAGGATAACATAGGCCTATGGCAAATTTATGCCAAAAGTACAGAGAAGTTTGTGCAGTAGAGAGCTATGAAGTTATCCATGTTGCAACTGTTTCACAAGTTAACCTCTTGCTGACTTGTTTCACAATCCAGTTGGTCTAGAATGTAAACATCAGCGGAGGTGGACATACTTTGGTCAAACCAGATTCCTGCCTGATGGCCGAATACTTGGACGAATTCAGTAGTCCAGGTCAATCACCTTAACCAAATTTCCACCATTGCTTGACTTACTTGTTCTTGTAAATGTACAGACTGACACTAAACATAATCTTACCAGGTACAAAACTCTGTAGGAGTGCCCTGTCAGCTTGGCCACCTGTGTCAGTGATGGATATTTCCAGACCAGGATCTGGTTCTGAGAGTAGCCGTGAGTGCTCACCTGTAAACATAAAGAAAGATGTCAAAACCGAAGACACACATAAGCCAGAGTATTTTGATTGAAACTGTAAATGTATGATTCTTTTTACGTCAAATAGGTTCAGATTTTTCTTGTTGTTGTTTTTGCTATTTTTAAAACACCACATGAAAGATCATGTGACTGTGAACACATCAGGTACTGCAGCAGATAAAAAACAGTGCTTCATCTATGTATTGTTTGCTGATAATATTGTATATTTTACGACTCTGTAGCTTTACGGGAAAAAAATATTTTTTACTGTGTCTGGGGCTGGGCAGTGACCGATCTTGAAATGCTTAAATATATCTTGTTAATTTACGATTTAAAAAGCACTCGCCAACGTCTCTTGACACAGATTATATCTCTAGGCTGGCTGTATGTTCATATGTGTGTTTGTGTGTGAATGACTGTCCTCACCAGTTCGTTGGCGTGTTTGGACCAGGCCAGGTTGCAGACCTGGGACCCGGTGTCTGTGCTCTGCAGGGCCTGACCGGTCAGTGTGTTCCAGAAGCGTAGACAGCGGTCTGCAGTGCCGCCCCCTGATGCCAGCAGCCCGTGTTGATGAGGGGACCAGGCGATGGCCTTGACTGCTGCCAGGTGGTCACTGTACTGTTGCACTGGGAGGAGGCTGGAGCTGTTCCACACCAGTAACTGAGCGGCGGACAGAGAGGGACGATCACGTTTACTCTCACAGGTTATTCAGCCTGGAGAAAAGTCAAGAACAGAAACACTGCGTCACCTTGTTGTCGTTGCCCCCGGACGCGAGGTGCTGGTGGTCAGGGGACCATTTGAGACCGCACACTTCCTGCCTGTGACCTTGAAGCCTTCTCTCGGCAGAAGGGGGGGTTCTGACGTCCCGCTGCAGGATCACTCGATCCCGACTCCCAGACGACAGCTGCTCGCCATTCCACGCCAGGGCACCTTGTTACAAGGAAAGAGGGTCTCATATTTCACTGTGGCTGTTGTGATTAATTTGGTGTTTCTCATTTGATGACAGACATTTGAAAGTACCAAACAAACTCTTAAACAGATTTTAATCTGGGGTTTTTGACTGACCTACACGTGCCGAGTGACCCTCTAGACTGGTCAGCTTCCTCCCGCCTGCTGCATCCCAGATCTGAACGTAACCTTTGTGTGTACCAACAGCAACAAGACTCCCCTGATAGAACCGCAACAAAAGTCAAACCCCATGTTAGTTTTACAGTTTTTATTTTTTTAAAGACAGTTTTCAGTGTTTGGATAAACTGCTCACCCTCTCATTCCAACAAACTGATGTAACTGAGTCTCCGTCCACTGAGAGGTCACATAATCTGGTCACCTGATGAGATGAACAAAGAGAGCACGAAGAGAAAGGGGAGAAATTTGCATGTTATTCTGCCCAAAGTGTTACCACACAAGGTTAGCTTGAGCATTGATCTATTTTCTCATAAACCTGATGATCTTATGGCGTGACTATCTGATATTGCTCCTGAGAATTTACAATTTTGCGAAGGTTAGGAGTTTGAAAACTGTCTTCTATAGCAAACTTATAATTTACAATATTTATCTGCATATTTTCTCTCTATAATAGCAAGCAAAGTGTGAGGTAATGTCCAAGACTTCTGCATACTTGGCTGGTACAGGCGCTCCACAGGTAGACGCAGGCTCCCAGTCCCACACTCAGCAGGTTTCCAGCAGACCAGTCTACCAGGTTGAGGTAGAAATCATCCTGCAGCTCCGGAGCATCCAGCACTTTGAAGGGGATCTTGGAGATCTTACGTGCTGGTTTACGAGGAGAGCGGAGCAGCTTGTGACTGCAGTAAACATGGTGGAGAAGGAAAAGTTATCTCATGGCTAAGTTCGAGTGCTTTCAGTGATTAGGGAGCAACATGTGATCTTTTTTCTTACCTTTTGTTGCTAAGAGGAGAAAGGGAGTACGGTGAGACTTCATTATCGCTATCAAAAGGCACTCTCTTAGTGTGGACAGTGTACTGCAGAATGAGAACACAGAGACTTATAATTGGATACAATTCTGGATATTTCATCTGTAACTCCAATAAAATCCAGCCATTTCTTCCAGCTTCCTACTTTTTCTTATGCTACTGACTATACAGAGCTTTTTAAAGCAAATAAACAGACGTGTCTTTCGTGTTTCCTACCCTAAAAAGGCTGTGAGAGTCTTGAGAGAGGACTGTGTGTCGCCGGTCGTCTGTGTGAGGGTCTGGCACACTCTCTATCCCCGCCCCCAGCAATTCATTCCTTAACAGGGCCGCATACGCCACAGCATCTAAAGCAAAAAGGTGATAACAGATAAGTTACCTGAGGGATATGGTTCAAACCAAACAACTGGAACCACTCGCAAGAGGTATAATTGTCTTTACCTTTGCTTGAGTCTGAGCTGGCATCTTTTGCTTTATGGTTCTGATTTGGGGACCGACAGTTCTCCTGCAGAGAAAAGTACAGCTCAGTTCATTCTTGATGTAACTCTGATCCCCAGTCTGTGTCTCACTGAGGTAGAATATGAGGTTTTTAGCTAAGGTGAAAAGCAGCTTACATTGGCGTAGTGGAAATTGATGCTCCAGTTGCTTCCAGCACGAGTGGGAATGAAGCGGTCCCCTGACTTCACACTGACGGGACTGCAGGTTGCACTCACACACTGAAGGGTCAACAGAGAAAATGCAGCACTAATGATTTCACTACATTGAAAAAAACACAAATGTGTGACCAAGTTTATGTGCCCCAGAATTGTACACAGGATATCTGTAAAGATGAGTCTGATTTTCAGGGTGCTAGGAGACCCACCAGGTGTTAGAGACTGATCCAAACAGGTGGTACACAGGATTTCCTAATATTTTGCACTTCTTATTTTTGTTAATGAAGACAACATATAAGGATCGCTTCAGTAAGTCACACTCCTGCACACCAACAACACTAACTATGTCTTCAGTTATGAACTCTAAGTAAAACAATCACAATGTCTGATCATGTCAACAAAAACTAAAAATGCACTGGGGTGAAATAGATTGTCCAGGTGTTTTTAATGTAATGGCTGGTCTGTTTATGTATGACTGCCCCTAAATAAACATATTTGGTATCAAATTTATTGATAGATTTCATGATAATATAGAGGGTATTATTTTACCCTAGATATTAACGATATAAACATGCCATGGTGCAGTTTTGTCCCTATTACCACTTTGAAAATGAGGACTATATGTTTGACACACATATATGAAGCATCATTTTTAAGACAGTGAGTCCCTCACCTTTGACAGGCGGGCCTCTGTCGGCAGGTTCTGGTGGTTGATTTGCCTCAGCAGTCGTCTCTCGTACTCCTGGTCCATCTCCTCAGGCCCTCACTGCTGGCCTCCCCGCCCCCCTTTACACCTCCTCTCCGTCCCGTTGAGGAAATCCACCTCGGATCCCCATCTCTGCAGAAAAGAAACAGGTCATTGGGGATAAAATCAAATGCTTCATGAATTAGTGAGGACTGGTTTATGGCAACCCACACAGCCTGGTTAGCATGGTGCCTGTATGTCAGCGCAGTTAGGTGGTACTAATGAAAGCCTAACATGGTTTTAGCGAGCAGTGTGCATTAGCCTGTTACTGATTGCTTTAAAACAGACAAATATGACAATAAAATCGCTTACACTACGCTAATGACAGCCGCACCGTTGTCATGGTATCAAGCTTGCGCACAGTACAACCTATTTAAAAGCAGTCTGTCAGCTGACGATCCTGCAGCTCGACAGTGAGGCTTTCTTACCGTCTGACTGACACAGAGGTTCAGGTGACCAAATCAACCATCATCTTTCAATAAAAGAGCAGAGCTGCAGCGAGGGGACCGCGTCGGTTTTCCTCTGAACGACGGCTGTGCATGTAAATACCAGCGGGGCCGCCTGGTGTTGTTTATGTTCCGAACAAAGATGGCGACCGAATCAGCTGTAGCAGAAATTCTTTGGTTGACTTCTGCTGCCTGAGCAGTGAGTGGTGCACGGTCCAACAGTGACGCCAAGTGGTGAAGTTTGTGTACTGCGTTTAAAGTCGCAGTGTAGTTATACCCTTTGTGACCACTGGGCGTCGCTGTCGTATTGCAAATTACGATAAAACAAGCAGAAGACAGTCAGCACTTTAATAATAATAATAATAATAATAATAATAATAATAATAATAATAATAATAATAATAATAATAATAATAATAATAATAATAATATAAAATAAATAAAATAAAACTTTCCACAAGCACTCATATTTTTAAAAAATTATCTGCCTTAAAAATGTATTTGCTTTAATAAAATATAAAAATTAAAAGTTAAAATTACAAGGCAAAGTTTTATTACCTGTCAAAGTAAAATGCAAGAAATCCCCCACAAAAAATAAATAACATCTCTGAATTTGATCACAACCACTAATATGGGATCTTGAGCTGATGACATGCGTCAAAGTATATTAGTCAGATGTGCATGAGCCTTATAATGTGTTTTTTTTTTTTTTTTCCCATAATGGTGCAACTGGGAGTCAAAAAAGACAATCCTCTACTGTTCTTTTTAATTAAGTACAACATTGAAAATTCCATGTAAAATGGCACTTTAGATTGGTAGATATGTGAGTTAAAAATACCCAGCTTGGATTTAAAAAACAAAAGAGATGTATGGGACAATAACTCTCAAAATCACGAACGAACCACAAACGCCTTGATTCTCCTGACTGTGCAGATCAAACATACAAAACAAACCTCTACATCAATTTGAGTGCCATCTGTACTTTGTCAATAGTTCTGTGTCTGGCAGTGAGTAAGAGTATTGATAGCACATGCTGGCCTAAGGGCCCCTATGTGAGCGTGACTTCAAAGTAAACAAAGATCTTACATTTACCCTCACTGATTCTAAATTTTCCATCCCCTGTGAACAGCTCCAGAGAGCAAACATTAGAGTCTGATAAAGGTTTAGTCTTTGAACTCTTTCATGAGTGGCTCTTTGCTCTGAACCACCAACAGAGAGTGCAAGAAAGAATGAGAAAGACAGGAAAACGATATGGCTGCCAGGGCTGTAATGAGACTGTCCGACATGGTAGAGTGAAGACAAGGCATGGCATCTCTGGTGGCCCTCTGATCTGCACGTAGGCCCGTCTGCTATGCTGCCCTTTGTCTACAAGACACTGGGCATCAGACCTGTGAGCTACTGTACACGGGCTGTTTATAGATCTCCTCTGATTTCCTTACAAGGCTTAATGGTGCCTGTTTTTGGTTCAGACAAACTAAATATACTCTGATGTTATCATTGCTGGGACACAACGTCACACCATTTTGAGGCTCTTGCACTGTACTCGGCCTAAATGCCTCAAATGACTTTTGCTTCCCTCATTGCAGCCCTTACCCGAACAACCATTGAAGTTGAGAGTTTAATCTGGTCAGTGAGAAAGACCTGTCCCATTTCAAGCTAGCCGATTTTAGCCGACACTTTTAGCATATTTGCTCTCTTGCTAATCTCTGATTAAATATTACTTATCAAAGCACAAATGTGGAGACCCAAAACTGATTTCTTCAGAAGAGAAACTGTCTGGTTTCGAGAAGAACTATTTCAGTCAGCTTTTGCTACAGTGGAAACCAGTCTGTGCAGAGCTCTAGAAAAGTAGAACACACCTGTTGTCTAGCTGTTTCACTGTACCAAAACCTATCACTGGTCTCCTGGCAATGATGAAGTTTTACCTGATATTTGTAAATGGCTACATGCAATGTAAGCTGACACTCTTGTGTTACTATTTTTACTCCACATTACAGGGCTCTCAAGTCTCACGCACTCAGCGTGAGACACACGCATTCCCACCTGTTCACACGCTCACACGCCACACATCGTATTTCTCACGCATTTAAATGAACATGGTGATGTCCACCAAGTTGCACCTCTTTATGGAACAGGTACGAATCAACTGAGTTCCTCCGAGAGTTCAGAAGCTGCGTGCCACGCGCAAGCCAATCAAATAAAGTATATCTACTGAACAGCCAATCAAAAAGCAGCATTGCTGTATCCGGGTAGATTTTGATATCTTGCGGTTTGACTACAGGAGAGGACAGACACTCGCCGTAATAGAGCAGGTTTTTATAAGGACGAGATAGACCCGATGATTACAGTAAGTCAGTAACCTACACATGCAGAGACCTCAACACCTCATGGCATATGAACTCATATGATAAACTAAAGCCCTATGCTATTGCTATTAACAGCTGTATTGACGGATTTAGCCTCCGTACAGCCATTTCCAGCCATTTTCCCCTCCACAAAAGCTGCATTTCTCATATATCTCAAATATAAGTTCTGATACTCATGACAGTGTAATGCTCATGTACCAAAGGATTAAGTATCTCCATGTTTGTGAAACCTATACTAAAGTAAAATTCATCTAAATGCTCCACAGTGCAGATTTTAACAACTTTACGACTTAATACTTATACATTAATGATTTTATTCTCCCAAATAACAACTTTATTCTGTAAGATATAAAAACATTTTTTTCTAATTGTGCCCCTTGTGCTCCGTTGTATTTAAGAGATAATCATACTAATAGTTATCTTCCCCCCCCCCCCCCCCCCCCCCCGGAAATCTCACTCTAAGCTTAGTTCAAAACTTGAGAGCCCTGACATTACCTAAAGTTGCCATTTGACAATAAGCAATGCAACACATGCAAAAGTAAGTGTTGACAGAGATCCCAGTCTTCAGTGGATGTCCCAGTTGGCTCCAAGAAGTTATGTACCCTGTAATAACCCTGTTAATGTTAAACACTTGATTCTAATGACAGCTGAACTGGTAAGTGTATCTTTAAGTTTTCAACACCTTTTAAGTAACATCAGTCCTATGTGGGTGGTTATATTTACCAATGATAACATTGTGACGTTTGCCTCATGTGTGTATTAAAGTGTTAATGTCAGTCAATCTCCTAAGCAGGCTGTTATGGCTTTGTCACAGAGTTGAGGTGTTGCTGGCAGTGGTATTGGAGGAACCAAATGTTAAACTGTTTTCAAAAAACTATATATCTTAAGTTAGTAACCAGGTAATGTGTGAGATAATGTATACTGGGCATGTGGTGGTTATGCTGATTAACATCTGGCACAAAATAAGTCATAGGGACTTTTTCTTTTTCAGAATCTTTACTTTCGATACATGGGTGTAGCTGTTTTTTTCTTTGAAGTGAATGATTTTTAGATTGTTATACTCATACCTCAAAGTAAAGTTATGATTGTTTTTCCTCCGAGCCTTAAACTCTAAAGGGATGTTTACACCACTTACAGTGTACATTCCGCACATGCGCACTCATGCACACACAGATTACTTACAAGAAACTGTCTGACCCTTACTGCATTTAGCTTTTATATGGCCCAGTCACAACCCTCTCTCTTATCTGCTTCCTGCATCAAGTCCGAATAGTGCAGAGAGGCCCACGCTGGAGCAGACTGAAGCTGACACAGAGGGTAGCGTCTGGGGGAGCAGAGCCACTGTCTCCCTTGGTCAGGGTGGAGGGGGAAGCACTGCTGCCTTATCGCTCCTATAATGCAGCACAGTCCAGTGAGCACAGAGGAAGCTGGGCCAGTGCTGGCAGACTGTGACGCTGTCAGATCCTTACTGGAATCCACAGCAAGCGGCAACAGGGACTCTGACTCATCTTTTTTCTTGTACGATAACAAGAACAAATTTAGTTTCAGGATGATCAAAATAGGAAAAAATTATGTAACTGCTGAATGCAGGCTAAGCATTTTCTGGGGCAAAGTAGCTTTGAGTTTCATATCCTGTAAAATAACTTTTCTGAGAGGAGAAATGCTCGTATATATAGAGGTCTGGTAAATACAGTAGCATTATAAGCTGAAAAATGTTTTCATTATCTAGGCTAAAAAATTCTATCATCTATGGATAACTTTGAGCTTACTCTTTCAAGAATTCATTCATCACATTCAGCTAACTGGCTCAACAGTCCAGTAACATCTACTTAGCAAGTTCTACCATCAACTGCGACATGAAGCCCCTGCTTTTTGAACTTTTTTAAAACTGAACTCTCAGCTAACTTTTTCAATAATTTGCTGCTAATGCTAACTCTGACAGTTAACCTTTCCCTCTATCCATTTCTTCTACTTGGTATCTTCAATAGCTCCCTACACTACATTATAATCAAGTACTGTCAGCTCTTTTAGGTTTTCATTCACTATTTTTAGCTAACTACTTCCACCTTTTGTGTAAGCTTGTAAGCTCAGCCAGCATAAAGCTATGATCAGTTAGCATACGCTTTTTATTGCTGTCTTGTACACTGATTTATAAGAAAACAACAAAAAGCTAATCATTTAAACTTAACATAGCAGCAGTGGAACACACAGTTAAGGAGGAAATGATCACATAAGCCCAGATCTCTTCTGATGTTATTCACTGTACGCAGATATCCTCAAATAGAGGAGCGGCTGATAGCGACCTGCTTCATAAGAAAACTTCTTTACCTTGTTGGATAAGGGAGTGTCCAGGTGAGCAGATCATGTTGTATTTTTACATACTTACCTTTTATTTTAGCCATATACATTGGCTTTTTGTTTGTAAGTAGACTAGCACAAAGATCGGCCCCTGGACCTGTACCCAAAATTGTATATAGACTTCAACTTTGATCACAAAACAGTGTTTTAGCTTTGATATTTAAACATAACATTTAACATACAAGTATATCAAATATGATCTTTGATGTTAAATAGTTATTTTTGTTTTAATAAGATTTGTGAGCTTACCTAAGTAAGGAACAAACAAACGATGGACAACACTCAAAAGTAAACCCCCTGATCTTTTCAAAATCTCAGTCTTAGTGTTTATCTCAGTGACCTTTAGTGGAGTTTGCAATGAGTTTGTTTTGTTTATCTCATCCGTTCACACGTGGTTATTTTTTTAATGTTTTCATACTGTGTGGGCCTCTCTTCTCTTTCTTTCTCCTCAGCCTCTTTTCTCTACCACAGACTTCGCCACTGCAGAGCATGTTTCACATCTCCTCCCACGCACTCGCTCACTGTGGCACACCAGAGAGCTTCAGAGCTGCATGCTCTTTCTGTTTTCTCTCTGCTTCTCTCTGTGTCTGTCCCTGCATCTCTTTGTCTCTGTGTCAAATAAGGACTGTTATCGATTGGGGAAAAAATCAAGGACAGGAAGGACATGTGAATTAAACGTGATTTGGTTGAAAGTAGATTTATACCTTGATCCAAGCAGCCAGACTTGTGGACTTTTAGGTTTTGGTTGCAAAACGTGCTTCAGTGTCTCATGAATGCCTGTGTGATCCAAGTGTGTTTTTTTTATTCTTATTTCTTTGACAAACAAGGCGGACTTCTGTGCCTCTTGTGTCCCCACAGGGATGTTCCCTTCCATAGCTGAACCATTGTCAGCTAGCTGTGCGCTGGATGAAGAGCCCAGAGGAATTAACACAAATGTCACGCTGGTGCCATGACTTCAAACACATCATGATAAATGTGATGTGACACTGACAACTGCTGTAGACACAGAGGAATCACTTATTGTTTTCTCACTGACAGAATATTTCTTCTAAAGGGTTGACATAAGAAAATAAGACGACTACATTTATCCATGTTATTACCTTAAAATCTTCATTTTGCACATTTTTTGACCAAAAAGGATGGTTGGTTGTAGGGTCCACACATCTTACATTGGGTTGTGTTTTAACAGTGCTAATGCTTTTCTCCTTCTGTAGATTGTATAATGGCTGCCATATAAAATCTATGTATTTGCAGATATTCGAGACAGCTCCATGCAAAGAAAAATCCCACTGAGAGAGAAACAATGGCATATCTTTGACAACTGCCGCCATATTTGATAACGAGATGATTTGTGACAGTTTTCTGGGAAGGACACATCCTGTTATTGTCCAAATCCTTCATTTTAAACTTGACACAAACACACACACACATATATACAAGAGGCCCGAGAGGAAGACAACTGCCTCATCTCATCTTTTTCCAGATTCATCACTTTCTTTAGAACTGTCTTTTACAGCAAACTTCCTCACCGATCTGTCTCAGCCACTCTGAGCTGATCTTTGCCATTTACACACAGGCCCGCTCTGTTATTGAATTATCCTGGAATGCCCCATATTAGCCAGTCATCCTGCCCAGTGACTACAGTCCTCACCGTCAACCCAACTCAAAACAAACAGCAGCTGGCAGGGAGAAACTGCAGGAAGACATTTGTTTTTATAAAGTGGATATGGGGAGAGCAGGTTTGTTTTGCTGGAAGTGGTTCTCTTCCTCTCCTGCCTCAGCCTCAGGGCTGTGGATGCTTTCAGAGCCTGGCTGCTGGAGTGGAGAAACGAGGTGGACTGGCTGTCAGCTGGATCTCCTGGCAGTAACAGCCGCCAGCCCAGCCTGAACCGGGGCGGCTCACAGACACCGGGGCCAGTCTCCTGACGTCAGACACCACCAGACCACAGGACCTGTGTTAGAGTTTCAAACAAACTCACTGCCCATTGCCATGGCAGTACGGACCACCACCATGGAAAAACGCTTGTCTTTGTCTGTGCTGGTGTTTAGCATAAACAGCTGCCTCATTTCTGCTGAATCTGGAGGAAGAGGAGGACAGCTCAGGTTTCTTGATGTCATCCAGACACTAAAAAATCATCATCAAATTTCTTAGAGAGTGTGCACTTGATCTTATGTAACACACAAGTTCAATTTATGTTGGAACATTTTTCTCTTTGGTACCTCCATTGTACTACTATCATAGCAGGTAGTTTCCATAGCTGAGTAATGAGCTCGCCAGATTAGAGCAATAAAATACTTGGCAGTTTGAATGGAACTTGTTAAAGATTATGTAATCTTGATGAGTGTCTGTCAATCCCACTTGTACGCAGCAGCAGCAGCAATGTGCCCTCATGTTGATCTCACATGCTTGTATCTCATTAGAATGTAGAAAATGTGGACGTGTGTACCGTCACTTTGTTTTTGTAGCCTAATAATGGTCACACAGATTCAATTCAACTCTCAGCAAAAAACCATGTGTCCTATTAGTCAACTCAGCCAAGCCCAGGTTTAATGCGCAATGTCGTTCTAATGGACCCATTATGAAAATGTACGTACAGTGAAATGAGCTCTATCGGCTGTTGAAGCGAGCTGTGAGCAGGTTTATTGTGCTGTAAAGTTTGGTATTTCATCATGGGACCTAAAGAGGACTCTTTGGCTTTTGAAGCCAGTTTCAAGTGGACATTTGAGGAAGGGCTTTTTTTTTTTTCTCTCTGAGAGGCTTCATTTCTCAGAGTTAGTTATCTGCGTTTTGTGCAATCTTTGTTTGGCATTGTCACTTCAGTAGATTTAAAGTAAAAAAAGGTGGCAGACATGAAAAGATTTTTGGACACCTTTTTTGTGGGGTTTTGGGTTCTAACTATTGCGGGAAGTGGTCTCCCTATAGTTTTTCACTGGCTGAGGCCGATACTGATACTAAGAGAGCATAATGTTGTTGTTGTTGTTGTTGTTTTTTTTTTCAAAATATTAATGCTTATAAATGAGAAACAATCTTGCTGAACTTGGGTAATGTTTCATTGAATAATTACAGATAGAAAAAATATTTGTCCCGGTAAATTATTACCACAAGAGACTTCTGGATTTCTGCTCACTTATCTGATATTAGTAAGACTGACAAAAAATTGAGGAGGTAAATACTATGATGAAAATTTGCAAAGTAGCACAAAATACCATGGATTGAATCATAGGAGATTAGGAGTAATAAGTTTTCAAAATACAGGGAAAAAAAACTAAGCTATGAACTTATTTTTGGAGAAAGAGTATTTGTGGTGAGGAGTCTTCAGTATATCAAAAGACAAAGGTCTCTGTGCACAGTTGCGCTCAGGAACCTTACCTTTAGCTTTCGAAAAAGGGAAGTTAAAGGCCACACCTGAAAAGGACACAATCTGTTTGTTGTGTGACTTCGTTTTCTGTTTGACTGTCGATGATGACTTAAGGGAGGTTTTTGTTAATAAAAATGTCTTCCATTTATGCTGTTTTATTTTAAGATGATTATGAAAAACTTGAGCTGTGTTTCGGAAGAGAAAAGGCAGAGTGTAATATTTAAAAGCAAGCAACATTATACAATCATTTATCATAACTTGACATGTTTAGAGCGCTGTTATTGTATTTTTGGTATCTTGTAAACCCATGGGGTTTGGGCATTTTGTGTGAAGACAACCGACTTACCAAACGAGAATGTCTTTGGATTCTTGGAAGAAGCTACAGTGCCTGGAAATAACCCAGAGAGAGACACATAGGAGGGCCCCAGCTGGGACTTAAACCAGAAACCTTTTTACTGTGAGGCAACAACATCAACTGCAACAACACCACTGTGGCGTCACAGCTTCACATACTGTGTTTGTGAACTTTGGCATTATAAAGGCACCAAATGTGAGATTACGTCAACTTCTAACGAAGCCTTTTGTTTCATTGAAATAATTTTGAAATTCAAATCAGTGGAAATCATCTCCTGTCTTCAAACATGTCCTGCTGTTGATCACGTATTCAGATGGTTATCTGCCTGGGTCAAGGTGCGCGAAGCCATGGGAGAGTGAATGCCCTGAGGGCTCTGTGCATAGCTGCACTATCTATGGTCTTCCTGTTTACATTGTTGCCACAGCGTCCAGTCAAACTGAACGCAAATCTGAGGGAAGACATGTCACTGGTGTCACTGCGGGGAAGTGACTGGGTCCACTTGGTGGTTTTCCCCACAGAGTTACAAAATTGGAACTTTTACCTTATTGCACCAGATGAAATCATTGACTGTATAAATACACTGACGGGGGAACTGTGATGTGACCCAATAATCTGTCAACCTCTTTTTACATGCCTCAAGTTCAGTGAACTGTCTGCTCTAATCCTCTAAGAGTTTGAAAGTTAACAGAAGTGAGTTAACAAAAAGTTTTACCAAACTGAAAGAGTGTGTATTTTTGCTGTAAAGTTGGGCTTTTTAGTGTGAGACCTAACAGGGTTGGACTCACTTTTGGAGCGAGCCTCCTAACATCTGGACACTCAAGGAACTGCAGTTCTCGGCTCTTCAGTGGTGCTTTTACAAGCCATGGAGGCTGCAGTGGGTGAAAGTCTTAACAGTCTAGTGGTATAAGTTAAATTAGAGCATTAAATTAAAGTATATGAAATAAAATTAAATGAAAATTAAATTTGATCTTTTTGTAACTGCTTTAAAGTCCCACTCCGATCTTTTTTTTTTTTAAATTATTTCTATCTAAAGTGATTGTCAGTCATCTTTTAAATTGTGATCATGAAGTTTTTAGCCAAAATCACATAACCTGTGTCATTTTCAAGGACTTTTCTTCTGCAGAGCTCCAGTAGCTCATTAGCAATTCGCCTCTGAATCATGGGCGGAGACAGCGCTGCTCTGCACACTCTTATTAATGCTAGCTTGTAGCCTAACATTGCCGGTGTAGAAGAAGAAGCAGTAATGTAGGAGCTGTTCAGCTCTGAGACACTAGTGTCTTTGGGGACATGATGAAAGTTAATATCATAATTAGCTTACAACGAGCATTGCAATTGGCTAATGCACACACTTTTTTCGCGATTATCCTCTCTACTTCTCCGAGTCTGGCCTGCAGAGCGGGGCTCTGGGGGCGGAGCTTGGATTTGTGACATAGTAAATCTCACTATCTGAGCGTGCAGTTTGCGTCTGTGAGAGATTCACTGTGATTTGAATGCAGAAATACTCAGAAATGCAAGTTCGCACTTAGTTTTCTCATTTATCCTCTAGCATTAGAAAAATGCCATATGAACATGTAGACAACTAGAGAAGCATGATTTTCCTCAGAGTGAGTCTTTAAGAATAAGCACACTATATCTAATTTACTCCTAAATGTTTTTGTAAAAGAAAAAAATCACAAAGACCAGACACTCATGTAATACATGCCCATTTTAATAATCTGATAGAAAACATTTGCTGAGCACAACATACACTGTTTTACAATATATTGTGAGGAAACACTGAAAAAATATATTTGAAACATGTTATATATTTCAGCAAATACTCCTTTAGCTGTACAATGACCCGTCACCGTACACAATCTACTGCAGCACATAGTCAGTCTTCATAATCCACCTGGAGCATGAGACGAAAACTTCCTCTGCACCCCACACGAGGTGTTGTTGGATCATCAGACTGTACAAACGTTACATTTCAAACCGTCAAAGTTTAACTGCATAACTTCACGTTATGGTCTTATAGCAAAGTAGCTTGTTGAGTACAATAAATCAGAACCACCAGACAAGTTCAGTCAGACTGTGACATGTGGTAGTCCATATAAATAATGACAAATATACAGGGAATATTAACAATCAATACCAATATTATCATGTACAAGAATAAGATAATAAATAGACTGTTACAAACAGCTGAATGGTCAACGATACTGTGCAACTCTGTGACCACTAACACACTCTCTCATCAAGCGCACACACACACACACACACACACACACACACACACACACACACACACACACACACACACACACACACACACACACACACACACACACACACACACACACACATATATATATCATGTAATGACATGACAGAGTCTTTTATTCTGAAGGTTGCACCTCACACGCGGTACCTTTAAGGTAGTGTTGGACAGATCAGCAACCAGCTGCTGAAGTGTCGACTTTTCAAAGTGCTGGAATTAAGATTTCATCACTAACAGGTGTGTCTCTTTTTCTAATGTGCGCACAGTCTTACAGCCATTCAGAAGGTCAAGATGAGTCACGGTGTTTACACAATGATGAATGAATTACTTTCAGTCACAACAAGTGTGTTTGTGAGAGCTAATGAGAATTACAGTGGAAACAGATTCCCCATAATGAAATAGCTCTGTACAAAATCAAATGAGGGTTTCTTACTAAGAAAAAGACTATATTTGACTTTTTACTTAACCGAACTATTCACTAACCTACAAAATTGGGGTTTTGATTTAAGTCTAACTTATATAACATGAGCTACTCTTCAGCATGATATTAAACTTTTCAGGGATGGCAGTGAAATCATCAAAGTGCTTACTCTAAACAATCTTTGGATTTGGATTTTCTGAATTGTTGGATGTTTTTTTGGACTCAACGGCATGAATCATTAGAAAACAGCTGGATGAATCAAACCTAATTTTCTTTTGGTTTTGCATGTTTATTTAATCAATGAAGCTTATCACGCTCTCCTCTGCCACAAAGTGCAAATTGTGCTGGGAAGTTGTCTGATTTTAGAAATATACATCCACCGGACCATTCTTAAGAACAAGCTTATAATATTGCAGGAACATCAGGAAGACTGTGAGACAGTTGTGTCTGCGTTGTAGAAAATTTGACACTTTTTACAGCTACATAAATGTGTTCAATAAATTATAAAAACATATACAAAAAACACAGTTGTTAAAAAAAAGGCACACACCTTATTTTTTAGACAAGTGATAAAAAAGAAACTACTTGGTTACACAGAACTCGCGGACAAGTAGTTTTGGTTGGACGCTTGAACAGGTGACATCCGATTCTGACACGATACAAAGAATCTGAATGAACATAAAAACGTCCTGAAGTGCAAGTTTGGAAGTTTTTCATCAGTCCTGGTACTCAGACACAGATCATCCGTTTCACCTTCTTTGTGAGAGCAAAGACTCAGCCTCACCGTCCAACAGTAGTCCCTTCTGAAAGAGCGGACGTTATGCTCCTCCAGCTCCCTTTCAGGGGGGCTCTAAACAAACTGCCACAGGGTTTCCTAGCCTTGTTTGCATGGGTGCCCTACAGTCAGTCAGGCCCTCTTTGCCAGGCAGCTCCAAAGAGCCAGATTGCAGGATTTCTCCACTGCAATAAAATGAATTCAGCCAAAAACAGCATAAACCAGCAGCACGTCAACGCCGTCAGTCCAGCTATGTTTCCTCAGGTGAGACGCCGCATGTCGTCATTTCCACCCCGCCCTCTTCTGGGGGAGGGTCTTGGAGTGCCACATTCGTCTCCATCATCCCACCCTCCTCAGCGTCTCTGTCCCCGTCGTGATCATCCAGCGTCAGTTCAAACTGAAATTTACTAGGTGGGGGTCCCTCCAGCTCCCCGTGTGGGCCCCCTTCTCCATCGCTGCTATAGAAGGGAGGGGAGGGGCTCTGAGGGATCATGCTCTGGTACCAGTTTCTGTTGTCCTCCAGTGTGTCCAGGATATCCTGGGCATCAGGGTGGACCAGGTCAGCCCACGTCTCCCACAGGGGGTGGACGATGTAATCAATGAAACTAACCTGAAGGAGGAAAAACAAAATCATTTTAAATGTTGAGGATGTTGGGAGAAATCACAACTTTTATTTTTTTAATTTTTCTGGATGGGCAGATTTTAAACTTTTTTGATAAGGACTGATTAAAAAAAAATTCATAACATATTTATTTAAAAGTCTTTTAAATATCTATATTATGTGTTCTGTACCTGTGTCCTCTCCACTGATGCTGTGTGTTTGTCACACATGGGACTGATTTCCATCCCTCTCTCCCTCTCTCGGTCTCCCTGGTGGAAGAACTCGTCCATGATCCTGTCCGTCCACTGCCGGTATAGATCCAGAGGCTTGGTGGGGTTGCTCAGGTCTGCACAGTGAACCATGTTACGCAAAACCTGCAGAGAAACATGAATAATTGAACATGTTGCATTTCTCAGACGGTCTGTTTTGTGTCGGTGTGTGGAAGCGTGCCTCTTACCTGCATCCTGTCTGTGTAGTTATCTAGCAGCAGGACACCAGAGCTCGTCACTTTCTTGGTTTCCACCATCGTTTTCAGATCCGCCAGCAGGCTCATGTGTTTGGACATGTCTGTTGCCAAAACCTGGAAAAATGAGAACAGATGGAGAACGGTGTAAGAATGAAGGAAATGAAGAAATCGAGACATTACCGGTAAAGCTAATATGAGACGCAGACGTTCGCTCACCATGTCTATGACCATCCTGCGCAGTGTCTGCTTCTGCTTCTTGCTGAGGTTTTGGAAGATGTCGCAGTTGTCTTCCAGCAGCAGCTTGAAGCCCACAGCCAGGTGGTGGTTCTCCAGCACTGACTCATCGTTGTACATGAGAGCCAGCTCAGAGTCTGCAGACAGAGGAGAGAGGGGAAGCTCAGAACAAGCTCTACTTTTTTTGAGGCTTGGCTACCATGGCAACCTTGCAACATCCCGAAAAAAAAAAACCCCAGCGTGGCGTTATGCTCAGAAACGGATCCCTTAAAGACATGCACTCAGTTCCTGTTTTGTAAATGTAGACTAAATAAATGAAGGTGGTGAAAAACCAGTAAAGAGGACTTACTGGTGTTGATGAGGAACTGGTTGGATACTCCTGGGTGGTCCACGTCATGGATGGCTGCAGCAAAAATGGCCGCCAAGATCTCCAGATCAGTGAAGACCGCCTGCATTCAGACAAAAGAGAGAAAAGAAAACAAACAGGTGAGCTCCACAGGAAACAAACAGGCTGAACAAGGTGGCAGGCGAGTGTTTTTTGAGGCCGCTCTTTTTATGTGTCATCCTCTCCGCCTTCAGTTTCAAAGACATGCCAGCGTTGCTGACGTTAATGCCAGTAAACTAATTAAAACATAATAGAGGGACTGAGAAAAGGTGTGGGCCTTACTGCCAAACTTTTGAGTGCCAACATCTTCATCAGAACTAATTAAGACAATTAATGAAACAGACAAAAGACTGTGAGGTAAAGCATGGAAAGTGGCTCACATCAAGCGCAGGGGTGGACAGGAGGATGTGTGTGGACTGTGCTACATCTGCGGCGTGCAGGCTGTTGTGGTACGCCACGTCCGAGTGATAGTGTCCCTCCAGGGTCAGCATGAACGTCACAAAGGTGTCTGTTGGAATCTTGAACGTCCTCATCAGGTCTCTCTCCTGCATGTGACACAAGAGGATGAAAATTAGACAAACAACAACAACATTAGGGTGGGATCAAGATCCTGCAGCATGTTTGTTTTTATGTACTTTTGAGAAATGTTATCTTCAACTGACCACTGAAATCTACTTTCAATCCCTGCAGCTGTGAGCGTAAGTAGGAACACTTTCACACTTTTTTACAGGCTCTTTCTGAGTGACCGCGAGGAGAATGGCGACACTGACCTGGAAGATTGTGTACATGATGCATGTGAGCGGTCGGTTATGGGAGTGCTCGGCCACTTTGAAGATATTCAGGCCCCATCTGTTGATATCCTCCAGGTCCTGATAGAGAGAAGAGACAACCTTGAGTTTGCTGTCACCCATTTCTCATGTTTTTTTTCTCTTTGCCGTTCTATCTGCTCGTCTCTTACCTTCGACAGCAGCTCCTCCTGGTCCGTCTTGACCCCAAAGCGGTTGCCCGTTCCTCCAGAGATGCTGGGCGTGTGGCTGACCTTCCTCACTCCGCTGATCTGAGTCATCATCCCACCCTGCTGCTGCTGTTGGTGGTGCTGCTGCTGCTGGCCCTGCCTCCTCTTCCTCTCCCTCGATTTAGGGACCGGACATGGAAGCTCCAGTTCATTCTGCTTGTCTAAAGGGAGAGAAAATTTCAAAAAACATTAAAAAAAACGTCACTTTTCATTTACTCCGAAGAGAAACTCCGACCAGAGTAGGTGTTACTGGACTGTGCCTCACACACTAGACTGAATGAAGAGAGTAAACACGTGGGGACAGTTGACCTCTCACGCCTGCGTGACAACACTCTGAGGCTGCACTTACACTTATTTAATTAACAAACAGTCCCTCAGTTTCTCAGCGGAAAATAAACATCAGTTGACAGCAGAAAAGCGAGAGCAATCGCAGCTAAAATAACTAAACACACATTAAAAGACAGTAAAAGAGATATAACAACTCAGAAGATAATACAACCCCCTGAATATATCTGAACCCCTTAAAACTTTTTGTGTTCAGTTAAACAACCTCCCTGGGGTCAAATGTAATTAACAAACTATTTGAAAATTTAAAATGTGAGGTGTTATTTCTAGATATTCTAAACACAAATAAGAGTTTGCTTTAAAACCTCAAACCCTGATCAACTCTCTGCAGGTTTATCTCTCTGCTCTGTGGTGCTGCTCTTGTTTGTGAACCTAACAGTAAACATTAAAATGAGTCTGTGAAATTTGGGAAAGTTCACGGGGGTTAAACTCTGATGTAGGACACAAAAGGAAAAATCAGAAAAAGCTCCAGCGTGTTCTTAGAAACTGAGTCACACTGCAACAACAATCCACAGAATCATGGAAGGCGGGCTCATTAAGTCTGGACGTCATGTCAGTATGTGGGTTTGTTTGGTGCATGTCACACTCTCTGCAGCTGACAGCGTGCAAGACTCCCCCAGTGTGTATTAGTGCACCGCAAACACACCGCAGTGTGACTAAAAAAGATGTATCTGCGCTGCATCCTCCACAGAGCACAGGAAGAAAGTGATCTCACTCCACCTGACAGGTGTGAGCTGCAATGCAGATGACAACTGAACCACAAAGCTTCAAAGAAAAACCAAGTTCCTCTCTGTGCGTATGTGTGCTCTTCTGTTTAAGTGCAGAAATCTCTTCCTCACTGCAGCACTCTTACTGCCTTTTTATTTAACACCATCAAGCCCTCACTGTGACCTCTTTGGGTTTGTTCAAGAGCAAAAAGATGAGGAGCAGGGCATCAGTTTGCACATGGCCCTGTTGAGCTGCCTTGTCTGAGTGGATGAGGGTGTTAAGTTTGATGGGAAGGTGGAAAACCTGAGGGGCAGACCAACTGGCAGTGAGTCATGAAGACAAGGAAACACTACTGCTGTCCTCCTGATGAAATATGCAGCACCCATGAGGACCTGATGGCACTAAGCGCGCACACAAACACTATCTCGCTCTTTCTAGAAGGGAGTCTTCTCTCTGTAAACCCGTCCTCCACCCGTGTCCTCCCTTCATCCCCCCCTGCAGCTGGAGCAAGGGGACTCTCTGTGTCTCCCCTGCAGACCAGATCAGACTGGTTTGAGAGCGCTGTAGCACACCAGGTACTTGACACATGCTTTAAGTGACCTCACAACTTCTGCCACAAACACGCTGACAGATTCCTGAAGGATGTCGCCTCATTTTGGCTCTCCACTGACTCTGTGCATGTAGTAAATATGATCACTCTGAGTGAGTGTTTGTGTGAGTATCTATGTGGTGGACTGCTTACCTAGGAAGGTGTTGGAGATGTATTCTGACACTTGGTTCCCTGATCGACTCATCTCGGACAGGTGGCTCAGCTCCCGGTTTAACATCCTCTTGAACTGGAGGGGAAAAGATAAAACACACATGAGGTTAGATGACTTATATAGGGGAACACATCTTCATGACATCATATCAGAGCCGTTTTCCGAGCAGAGGAATTAAGCATTTCCTGTTATTTCCTACTGAGATATGTGTCCCATGAGAACACGGCCTGCTTTTTCATGTGCCATATAAGGTTGTGTTTATGTCTCCTTGGAGCTGATTTTGGTAAGACACTGTGACACATGACTGTCTCATATTTCACCAAACAAACACAATGCATAATATATAAAAAAATATTGCTTATGCTGTCTTTTTTCTCAGAGGTGCAAAACGTAACAATGCACGTCTCCACTGAACAAGAAATACACAAATACAAATATTTGTGTCAAATCTGACACGACTTCCTGCTGCAGTTAGACGCCTTGGATGTACTGTACATGCATGCACATACAAACACACACACACACACACACACACACACGGTCCCATCCCTTCATAGGACACACCTTTATGTATCCCCAGGACACAGAGAACAGGTAGTTGGCCTCAGGCATGGTGCTGAGCTGTGCTGAGCCCCTGGTGCTCCCCAGCAGAAGCCCTGTACGCTCCTCTCTGAGTGGAACCCAAGGCTGCGCTCAGCCCTGCAACCTGCAGCGCCAAACGCCACCAAATCCCCACCTTGACACTCGACTGCGGTAAAGAAAACGCCCCAGATGAACCGCCAAAAAAGGGGCTGCGGCAGACCCCTACACTACATCCTCGACCAATTTTGCCTCTTCATATCGTCGCCTTCTGTTTTCCCCAGATTGCAAAGCCGCTGGCGGAGTGATGGAATCCCCCCTCGAAGCAATCAATATTTCCTTTTGTTTTCTCGGGTTCAAACCGTTCCTGTCAGTCTTTTGAATCACAATCCAAGCGTTATCCAGTGACACGATAGGGGGAAATCCAGCCTTCCCTCAGCCCGGGTTGAACAAAGCAGGGAGGAAGACTCTAAGACGAAGGGAAGGGAAGGGAACGGAGGGATGCAGTGAGACAAGGAGAAGGAGGGGGTGAGCTCTCGCTGTAGAGTCCCCTGTGGCAGAGAGACTGATGGAGTCTGTCTCCCTCACTCACTCCCTCTCTCTCTCTGCCTCCCTCCCCTCACAGAAGACTGAGCCATGCACAGCACTGCAGAAAACAGGAGTTTGGAGAATCCCCCCCTTATCTCTCCCTTTCTCCTCTACTCTCTGCAACCCCCTTCCCTCCTTTCCCCCTCCTTCCCCATGCGCTCCCCCTGCTCAGTAATGCAGAACAGATCCGACGCAGAGTGCGCAATGTGAGTCTTCAAAGCACTGCTGTGTTTATCACATGGCAGAGGAGACGCAGGGTATTAATTTACCAGATTGGGTCTTTATCATAAGCTTGTGTGCACATTCCACCGCACAGCTCATTTCATTTTTTTTTTTTTTTTGTGCTTTTTTATTTTTCCCCTAAAACAGAGCGTGCCTGTGCCTCTCTGCAGCAGCCGCTCTGTGTATAATAAAAAAGACATACTAGAAGACGACAGATGAGAGAGTTTTCAGTCTGCCACCCACCAGTGTACCACCAATTGGACGACAACCTGAACGCCATGGCAACAGAGTCACATGGCCCCCTCTTCATTTGCTCTCACGGTGGTCCCCACTCTAAATGCATTGCATCACATACATCCACACACACACACACACGGGCATGAACAAGCGCACATTTACACACACACAGTAAATGCACAGTGTGCGCTTTGGAGTGACATAACTGGGCTAAATGGTATAAAAACATAAGTGCAGGCTGTGTCAGGCTGCAGATTCAGATGACAAAAAGCTCTCCTTTTCAAGAAAAGCGATGCTCAGATGTAAACCACATCCTAATCTTTATAATGAGTTCAGTGGAATAATAGTGCATTATTTTTTTTCCTGTCTCCTGAAATGTGATTCTAATTTCCTGTTCTGAAAAAAGAAAAAAAAAGAAAAGCAAATCAGCCTTTGTTAGCCTTTTGCCAGGACTTCTTTATGAGGTCTTTTCTTTCTCTACAGAACCACGCCGTCTCTGGTCTCAACAGCTGTCTAATAGCTGTCAAGCAGACGGCAAACATCCACTTGACTGTGAAACTTGAAAACCACTTTCAAAGCCCTGGACCGCGCTCAGAAACGCAGTGTGCCAGAGGCTGTCCATAAAAATCAAAAGGGAGCTCGTAAGGACAAAAATGTGAACTGGAATCAGACGCCTTGAGTCCATTCAAAGGCAAACTTGTCATTGATTCTTGAGAGAAGCAGCAGAACAGTGTGGATTATTGTGACCTGTTGGGAATGAATGAGCTCCAAGGCCACATGTCAGTCACACAGGGTCACATAGTTCAGCTCAGACACACAGTGTGCGTTCACATCGTGACGCCAAGCCTGTGAGTGTTTTCAGGAGAATAGAGATTACTCAACGCACGGCGGTCACTCATACATCCTTTTACGTTAGTGCTCACTCAGAACAGACTCTCTTCTTTGGTAACCTCCGCGTGTTACATAAAAACTCGACTTGATTCTAGGTAAGCGATAAGCTGATGTGGCTCATGAAGTTTCAATATTCAAAGCTTGTGAGCCACATCACACTGGAGTCACTGTGCTCATGCAAATGTCCTGCATGGGCTTCGAGCCAAAAGTCTACTCGGATCTGAACTCAGTTTAATGACTTCAAAAAACTCTGCACAGTTTTTCAGTGAAATCTGTCCACAGTTTTAAGAACAAAAAGATCAGAAAGAAATCAAAGAGCAAGGACTCAAACAGTGAAGTTATATTTAAAACTTCCTGATCCTTTGACTCGACATCAAACTATTTAACTTTCTTTTGAATAAACCCCTCTAAACTCCAGCTGCACCATGAAAACAAAAAACTTTCTCACCTTTTTCCAACCAGTGAGCATCTCAAAGTTCTTCTCCTGCTTTTCAGAACAACATAGTCCCATTGTCACTTTACAAAAACCTCAAAAACAACTAAAAAGAAAAGAAAGAAATCCCGTTCAGTTTCTCGAGCAGTAACTCCTCTTGAGTGAGCCTGCTTCCTCTCTCTATACAGTCTTTTGTGAAGTGGAGTCAGGCAGGAAACGTATGGCGATAAAGCCTGACTTGACTGACCGGCCTCTTCTGTCTAACAGGAGATGGATGGCTCCTCCTTCTAGCACAGGCCCGAGCATGTGTCCCCTCCTACTTTTTACTCTGAACTTCACACAAGTGGCTTACTGGTAGACATCCTGCTTTCTGGAATAGCTTCAGGCGACAAACAATTAACATACCTGAGCTCGTCACTGAAAAGTCCCAGACGGCAAGATAAATAGAGAGCTAAGCTGACGTAATGTGGGGGAAAATCACGGACTACTTTTATGTATCTGGGATGAGTCTTTAAAAGTTTCCTCAGGGTTTGCAGTGTGATTTTAGTCTTCATTCAGGAAGAACAGAGGTGGAAATGGGACTGCAAAGCTTAATATCATTTTGCTATACTTGGCTTTGCAATCTAACAGAAACCATAGTGATCCAATGCTTCCTCTGCTCCATGTAAGGTTGTTTATTGTGCAAACAGGTTCAGTATTAGCCAGTTTCACAGTTGGGAAAGACTAGAAAGACGTTTCCTAGAAGTCAGGGGCCAAAGTGGCTCTCATTTAACTCTTTCATTCTGGTTCATTTTCCATGCTCACATCAGATTACAGAGGTTGAACTTTTTAATTACAATTAGGCACCATAATCACTACTGCAGCTTCAGTCAAACCAAATCAAAACACTATAATTTAATGTCCATTACCCCTGCTGCAGCTACAAACCCACCACTACATCTGTTTCAATAATTCTGTCATTTTTTCCCCTCTAAAGACGGCGGCGCTTCAAAGTCAGAGTGACCACACGTGAGTTAAAGTTTCCTACCCGCTCGGGGGCTCGCTTGCTCACTCGCACGCTAACCCACAGAGCCCTACCCTCCTCTAACTGGATTCAGATGGCAGAGTTTGTGCAAGGCCGTCACCAGCTCCAGCGTGTTAGTGTGGCGAGGGTAATGATAGTGAGGGGGCAGGGAAGCAGCTCCCCCCTGCTCTGAGGTCACGGCGACCAGGCTGGCGGTCAACAGGGTGTGTGGTCCCTGTAGACCCGGCTACACCTGCGTCCTTGGACGCTGAAAGAGGAGACACTCAGGGTTCGATGTTGGGTTCAATTACATCCTCTCGGAGAAGAAATGGGCTCTTTGTCAAACATCACATCATCTAAACGATGGGAAGGAGCAAAAGCCTGCGGATTCTGAGTTAAGTCAGGGATAATGTAGACTGAAGGAGTTATTATACTGGAATAAAACCCAGACTGAATAACAGCCCACTCACTAAATACTGTCAGCCTTCTTACACTGGCTGGCAGAAATCAATAATATAGCAGAAAATAAGCCAAATGTGAGTTTTAAGTGTTTTCAATTCTTCCTCTGAAATGGTTTGATCCACTTCAGAGCCTCCTTCAATTCTTATTGTTTTTTGTGCTCTCTATAATTTGGTCACTTCCTTCACCATGACCTTTAGACTTCTGGAACTAATACATATTCACCCACTCACACCACATGCAAAGTCTGATGGCAGAAACTGCCATTGAAAGTTAGGGCAGGGAAATATGGCCTCAAATCAAAATCACAATATATTGCGCAGTTCGCTTCAATAACGATAAATGGACGATATCTTTAATTATTTTTTGACACAAAATATACCAATAAGGGCAAAATGATGTTTGTTCATGTAGTAAATTTTATATCAGTATATTTTCGCCCAGCCCTATAGAAAGCACTCATCAGTTTTATTCTATCCAGAAGTATCTGTAATCCAATGTACTTTCCCATGACACTTGTGGATCAAACAGCCAACCTTTAAAATCAGAACAATATCAACTCTACCATTGAAACCGCCCTTTAGAAACAGCAAACCTTAGAAAGCTGTTATTAGCCAGAACAAACCCTCTGATAATAATGGTGAGTACACAGAATTACGACTTCAGTGTGATAATTAGACTGTTTATGACGACAATTTTGCAATAAAACATATGAACCAATAAAATGTTCCTTGCAATTTCTGTGCAATTGCACAACAATCTTGTGAAGTGACAAATCCTGAGCTGAACATCATAAACTCTTGACCCGTGTTCTTTCAAAAAACAGTGTTGGTCAACAATGCTCTGTGCTGGTGTTGGGTCATAGAGACAGAACTCTGACTCATGAGAAACAATGTGCCCGGCCTGCCTGACCAGGCGGCTGTGCTGCTATGCGCCTGCAGGGCCTTGTGCCCATTGTCCCGACAGTCCCAGTGACGCGGATCTCAGTGAAATCTCAACCTGCGCGGTCGGAGTACAGCTATTGTCGTCTGGTAACCATGGAGAAGAGGAGAGGAGGCAGCAGGGGGCACGGGAAATAAAGAAACAGGAAACCGGTGTCACGGTCACAGTCACCCGTCACAGTCAGAAAACACCCCACAGCCCAATCCTCCCCCAGTCAGACCACAGAATACAGACGGAAATGGACAATGCCACCCAGGGTGTTTATAACTTGACGCCGCCATACAGTCTCCACTGTCTGCAGAGTTGAGTAATAATGTGCACTGTAATTTGTCAGTTCTGCACTTACACAATATGAAAGGAAGGTCATTTATTTGCATCAAAGCAAAGTGTAGGGGTCCATTTTTATAGCTATTGTTATCAGCATATCAAATAGTGTTTTATTCAGAAGTTGAAGTTCTTTGTTGTTACTTTAAAATATGAAATAAATATATTTTCTCATGCTTATGGTTGAAACTGTAGTGCTTAGCTTTTTAGGGATACCAGCAGGGTTATCCAACAATGACCCCTTTTTTATTAAACATGGTATTTTGTACAGAGATCCACTTGCAGGAGTTGGACTGATTGACAGAAACTAAAATTGTGATTAAAAAATAGAAAATATATTTGTACCATCCTCCGGAGGATTGCACCAACTTTGGTGTTCATATAATTTTTGATCAAGAATGTGGCCGTTAAACCTCAGATAAATAACTGGATTTTAGCTAAATTACTCACGCTCTTGCCAAATAAACAGGATCAATTTTATGATTACATTTATCATTAGCATATTAGCATGCTAGCATACTATAACATTTTAGCAAGATAACCTTAGCATTTAGCTGGTCTTATGTCCGAATTGCAGCCTTAAAAAAGTAGATAGCATGACTACAGACCTCCAAGTCTTGTTAAGAAAGCACATAACTTACTGAAATGCTCCACTTTGCTTAGGCACTATTTAGTTCTTTAGCGACTGCATGTGAAATTTTGAAAAAAGTGGATGGTGTTATTTGAATAATCTCTAATTTCACTCTTGTTTTGAGAGAATCCTCAAATAAACTGAATACTGGTTTCATTTGAATAAAAACAGACTCTGAGGTAATGCATTTCAGCTATTATAGTCACTATACTGTAGTTACTGGGAGTGCGTTCAAGCCAGCTTCTTGAGGAAACCTTGTTTAGTCTCATGCATTTGGCCAGCTGTCCTTTATGAGAAAAAGGAATTAATCAGACCCATCAGACGGCCGCAGTACCTATTGACAGTTTTTGTTTCAGTGTAATGTATTGTGATAGTATAAAAAACAGGAAATGTTTAGTATGTCAGTCCTGTTGCACAAACGTTTGCTGCTTCCTCGGCTAAAAGAAGCGATACAGTCACAATGACCTTGTCTGTCTCACAGTTAAAGGGGAATATATTAAGTGCATTCAATTAGCTTGCTCACCAGCTTCAGAGTGAATATGATCTACAACAACATAACTGTAACTGCTGCTCTTTGAAGGGTTAAAAAATGGTAAAATGCACCTTTAATTTTACAATGACCTTTCCTTCCATGACACTTTACTTACTGTTAATCTTAAACTGTAGTCTGCCAAATTGATGTGTGTCAGTCAAGAGTGACCTTTAGCGATGACGTCACTGCAGAAAGTGGACCAGTGTTTAACCGAGGTAAACATTACAACAGAGCCAATATTCACTGTACGCTGAAATCAATGACAGCTGTCTGTGTGCTGAATAAAACTGCGATGCATGTTCATTTGCAGCTCAGCTTCGCTGTGTAACATGTGCTCAGCTGAATAATTGAAACAGACTGATGAGCAGCAGACTAATGTTTTCCCGGGAAATCCTGCTTGAATGCATTCAAAGATACCTGGAACTCACTCATCTTGCATGCAAACTAAATGCTGCTGATTACTTTATACAAGACATCCATAAAACAATGAAGCCAGCTCTAGCCCGACCACAGAGCGGCTGTTACTTTGCAAGTGCGTCAGTGTGGCTCGAGGCAATTAACATTTTGCGTACCCCGTGCAAACTGGGAACCATGCAGCAACAAAGATCAACTGTGCAGCTGTATATGAGTCAGAGATTAACATACAGTAACACACACCATCCTTATATCATGCTCTCTGACTTCATATTACAGATTACATACTGGAGAAAAGCAAACACATCATATTGAACGGATAGCAGATAAGTACGCTGTGCCTATACCAGTGAAATTAATCTGACTTCACTGAAGGCTGTGTGTCTCAGAGGTTTTATGGGGATGATCATGACAGTATTCAGGGTTTAAATTTGGAGAGATTTTTATTAATACCAACAATCAAGAGCATAAAATACTTTGAGACAACTTTTTAAACTTGCAATTTAGACATTACAAACTTTAAAATGCATCTTCTCAAAATCCTTTTAACTCTTGGACTTCTTAATGTTTCAGTTTTAATGATTTAAAAATATTTAAAGTCTTGTACAGTAAAAACTTCTGGAGTTTTTTTGCATTTTGTTATTTAGCTAAAACACCCAAACAAATTCTTTGTTTTCAAGCCACATTATTGGGTGTATGGATGCAAAACTTCGTAGAAACTTGGCATGTGCACTCTTTTGCACATGTGCAAATACAAATAAAGAGGTCATAAAGTCTCTTACTTTGTTTGAGGCCATGTCACTGACTGAGCGGTAGGTCTGGATGGTCTCCAACTGATCCAGACACCAGTCCAGCTCCTCCATGGTTTCCATCGCCAGCTTCTGGTAGGATTCATCTGCCAACAGACACATGGACACGTAATCAGACCCCAGAGGATCCATGTCTATGGCGGAGCCCCCCGACACCATGCGTGGAGGTCCGAGGGTCCCAGAGTGGCCTGATCTCACAGGGGACTGGCCTGCAGGACATCCGGGAGACGTGGAGGAAGAGGGGGAGGTGTGTACACAGAGCTCCTTCATTTCGTTTTTGCTTCACCACCTCAGAAAAGTTCAGGGAAGTCTAACTCTCAGACAAACTGAGGCTGGAGTTTCTGTTTGCACACTCTCGCTCTGTAGTCTCTTTCTCTCTGTACCCCCTCTTCCTCCTTACTCTCGTGCACTCTTCAAACCCCCTCCCTCTCTGTCTGCTTCCTCCGCCCCCCTCTCAGGATCCCCTTTCAGAAGCGCTCTGCTGAATGGACAGCGTGCAGACTAGGCGGTCTGCTGCCTCCTGCTGTTGATGTGTCTGTGACCCCCCTCTCCTTTCAACACATACAAATGATGTGTGCATACACATCCAGTACAGAACACAAACAACAACCCCCCTGAGGAGTCTTTATGTGCTTTTTATCTTCACACTATCTTCTCCTCCTCTAAAACAAATGCATCATAACGACCTCCGTACGTCAGACTTATCTCAAAAGCAAGAAAAACAACACCAGAACTTTTAAGATGCACTTTGTCGCTGCTGCAAAGACACCCCCACGATTTCCTTCACTTTGTCTCAGAGACGTGCAGACCACTTCAAGGCTTCACTCTGCTGATCCGCAGCGAGCAGCTCACACCATGATTCACAAACTGGCTCTCTCCTCTCTGAACCTCTCCAAGGGAGGGAAAAAATTAAATGAAACACCAAACTTTATGTTTGCACAAGCAACACGAGAGGCAAACTTTGACTCCCTGAATTGGAGGGGGGGGTAGGGTCTTGTTGTGTGCCAAAGAAACCAAAGCGCTTCCTCTTTGGCCCTAAACTCGCACAAAACATGGAGTGGAATTATGACTGAATGCTGGAGTGAGAATCACAGCTGTCATTTGATGAAATACCTCGTCATTAGCAGTTATTACTCACATGTGGGCAGACGCACGCGATTTGGAAGTGAAAAAGTGGTTTATGAGAAATTCTCTGAAACTATAAAACATGAGGAAATGAATTAAAAGCATCTGTCTCTCATGTAGCATGCAGAAGGTTGATTCAACAAATTTCTGCCTGGAGGGAGTGAACGTTGAACGCATCTGGATCTACCCACCTTTTTTTTTTTTTCTTTGGAAAAGACTGATCTCTACTTCATAGGGCTTCACACATGGAAGAAATTTACCCCATATGCTAAGCACAACAGGACAGCCAGCGTGCTGCTCCCCAATTTACGTCAATATAGTGGATCAAAGCACTTCAAAGCAGAGTGATGGCGTACAGACTCTGAACCACCGGTGCTTGACAGAGAACTTCAATGAACTCTAAGACGGTTTCTGCACTGTCAAACCTTTAAACACTGAAGGTATCAGGGGATCATGATGACAGCTGCACCTCTGAATCTATGGGAGTCAAATTTCAACTATTAAAGACTGACTCTGCATTTTAGAAACCAGGCCACCAGCTCCTCTGGTTACAAGAGCCGACTGCTCGCTCTAGCCTTATTCTTCAGGTCAGACAAATTTTCCTTGACTTCAGCCCGAGGTTGGAGAATTCAAGGATCCCTTGGCGATAATATACTGCTGGAAGCCAAACTTCCTGGCCCAAACTATTCACAAGAACCACTGGCATCCAAGTCATGTAAAAATCAGTGACACAGAGCTGAAAGTACAGCATCAAAGCAGCTTGTGCACAAGGCGTTGAGCTGTTGAAACTGGTTATACACCAACGTGCGGCTGTCTTGAGCCATAGGAGCCGGAGACCATGCCAAGAAGGTGCAACCACATCCTGCCCTCTTTTCCTCCAATGAGGACTTATAGAGACGTTTTGCAGTTTGGAAAACATCAAAGGCTTGGCTTGACCGTACCGCCTTCGTGACCGCCAATCAGGTCAGTTTGAAGCTGGCGGTTTATTCATTACACAGTCCGGGATGTGATGGCAGTTAAAACCATCAGATGTAGAACAAAAGATTTCTGGTCTCGCTGTCTGGCTTCAAACCACAGGTCTAGAGCTGTATCAGGCCGAACTTCACATTTTCATCTGTTGTTTTTTTCCTCAAAATGACAACAGCTGGTCTTGAGGCCACAAGTCTCCGCCGTGATTTAATTGAGTTCAAGCTGTAATCAGACAAAGTTATGCACAAACACACGCTCACAGTAAACAGAGATTAAACAGCTGAATACATCATCGCTTTTGGTTGATAACAAATACAGAGCTAAATAGGCCGACACATTTCACAGTGTCACTAGTCAAAGGTGGCGTGACGCACTTTCAGTCTGAAAACCTGCACCCAGACAGAGTGCGAGGTACTTTTCCAGCCTCTCTTCTCAGTGGAAGTTTTTTTTTTCCTGGTCGAGTCCTAATGCTTTGGCCATATGCTGGAGGCTGCAGAGAGCACAACAGACCTCAGTGTGCAGACAGACCCCGTCTGCCTCCCCCCCTCCCCTATTTCCCTCCGACTCTCACCCCAAAAGGGCCACAAACCGGCCTCTGTGAGAGCCATCAACTGCACCAACGACCGGGGCTGGACTCAAACCTCCCCCACCTCCGCCTCCCACCTCCATTCTCCATTCCCACCCGAGACACCTTCCGCTCACATCCACCTCACACTGCCCTGCTCTGTGCTCTCAACCCACCCCCCCCAAAAGCCCTTGCTGTCAGGACGAAAAATCTGTGCACAACACTGGACACCCTTACCTAAACCAACATCCACAGGGCAATCTGTGAGGATCAATACAAATGTAGATTACTGAATTATAAGTAAAAGTTTTGAAATTCTGCTTCTTTTATTTTAAATATATGATTAGATTTTTTAAAATAATTGGTTTAAGAGTTTGTAAGCTGTATTATTATATAGCTGTTCATCAAGGAGCTTGTTTAATCAGTTCATCACTTTATATCTATACAAATCGTATTTTAAGTTTTGTAATAGCTGAAAACAACAACCTTGTTGCAATTAAACACATTTTAAATGCCAAATTCTGCAGTTCTTCAAGGGGACCACTTGGGATTGACTCCAACAGCGTGCCAATCTTGACTAGGTCTCCTAGCTAAATACATAAATTAACTGCAGAAATGAACATGTTTACAACTCGACACACAAAAACGGTTTGAACCCAACGACTTATTTTTCTTTTCATGTAACTTTTGGTGTAACTCTGTTGCCTAAGTACAATTAAAGCTGAGAGTTTTCCACAGTTGAGGGTGTGAAGCTCTGAGCAACAGATGGGTGTCTGCTAGTCATCAGCTTGGCTGCTTGAGTCACTACCTCATCCTTTCATTGTCAGAAGTTTTTATGCCTTCTAGTGAATTTCTATGCAAAAATCAGGTAATGGCTGAACAGAGAGTGGGAATGAGAGAAATGATTTTAGTGATCAGATTTGAGTGTTCCTCCTGCAGTATGACAACTGTACTTATTATCTTATGTTCACAAGCACTCTCAACCCCCTAAAGCTGATAAGTAAACAAAAGTGATCAGGTCCCCAAAACTAGAGTCTCATTTTGTTTATAAAGAATAACAATAATAATTTACTTACTAATCTATTAGACATCATCAGGACTGTTCAATTTGGATAACCTGCCATCTATTGACATTCAGGCTTCAAAAACAAACCAACATACTATGACATTGTGGCAGCCACAGCCAGACAACAAACTTAATTTTTGTATTTTAATTTACATTTTTAAATTTTGATTATTCTGCATTGTAAATTTGTTTTTAAGACCATATTTCAAACATAAATTAGTTCTTCCACGTGTCTTTGTTTGGCCTTACTGGAGCTGTGCAGCAAAGTTTAGGACAACACGTGAGAGGATTTACAGCATAATGTGGCAGAACTGAGTTTGTTCTGTGAGTATTTACACATGGAGAATAAACAACCAACAAATAAATGTCAATTTTCTTTTATATGGAAGTTTTACGACAATGTAATTGAATCACAAATGTGTATCTGCAGATACTCATAAAAAAGGAACAGGACCAAAAAAGCTGATTGGGATGTCCCTAATTTTCTCTGTCAGAAGTTTGACAGGTACCATTTACAGTTGAGGTTTTCATGGGGAATTTTAGATTTCATGGGGAGACTGACTTTACACAGTGACTAATGTGGCTTATTTCTTGTTTACTCAGACTAATTCAACTTGTCAGGGAGAAATGGGGCCAATTTAAACAGAGGGTCAATGAAAAAGACTTGAGTCATCCTTAAGTCAAAGTGTAAACAGCTCCGAGCTATCAGCACGTACGCAAAAAACCACATTCCTCATCTCGACCTCAGCACAAACCAGCGGTGTTTGTTTCCTTTTGTTCTCCACGTGGAGTTGAGACAGATAATGAATCACTCTCGTATCATCCCCAATGTACGTCAGTTTACACACAAGATGATAGGAGGGTATGAAGAAGAGTTGACATTGAGAAACAAGGGAGGATATGGATGTTGGTCCAATCAGAGAGCAGCACATGGAGGTTAATGAGACAAGTGAACAAACACATAGTGGTAAAATAACCTTTAACTTCTATAATTAATGAGTGAAACTTAAACTTCACTATTTGCTCTTTAAATATCACTAACCAAACTCCTGCTTTATGATTGTATTTGCATATTGTGCATTGCTCTAAATTTAGAAAGTGTGTTTAAGTCTTGAATTTTTTTTTCCAAATCTATCATGTGATGTTTAAAGATCAGTTTAAACTTTTATTTTCTTTAATAGTTTCTTCATGCACACACATAAAAAAATGATAAAAGAATTTAAAATGTTAAACTAATTCTAAATCATGCAATATCATGTGCAATGCAGCAATTCGTACACCATTATTTATCATGTGCAATATGGCAATTCATACCTCATTTATCCCACCGACTTATTCCCCATTTCATACGTTCACACTCAGCACCTACTTCCTTATTTTCCTTATTCCTTATTTATATGTCCTTATTTTATTGTATTCCTCTCAGTACTTATTGTGTGTTTTATCTGTAATCATTTGAGCTGAGCAGCCCTCTCATCCAGGGCATTTCATTGCATTGTTGACCTTGTTTAACATGCATATGACAAATAAACAAATCTTGAAATCTTGAATTTAAGCAGTTCAAGGTTTCAAAACCAACCGTATCTTCATTTATTTCATAACACAAAATTATTTCTATTTCTGTTGCTGTGATTTAAACTAAACTGCTGTAAAACTTACTTCTAACATGCATTTGTAAGTATAGGTCTGATTTCTGGTAGTTGTTGTTGTTGTTTCAAGAGCAGACCTGACCACTCGATGATTATCAGTTGCAACATGTCTTATCTGAAAATCTTTCATCAGATTAAGGTGTTTCTCTTTCAGTCAAAAACAGCAAAGTTTTTCACGTATTCAGAGAAAAAAAGATAGAATAAGGAGTTAGAGACGGGGTGTGTTAATCCGGTACTTAAATAATATAGGCAGGTACTGTATGGCAGGTTGTTATATTACATAAGATGTCTTTAAAATGAAATGGCTTTAACCTTTTACGGTAAAAGACCAACCTCGAAACCACGTTGTCAGCCTTTGTCCTCTTTCACAAACAACCCTCATACCTGATAATGTCTCTTCATAGTTTACAACTGCAACTTAATCTTTCTCTGTATCAAAATAAAAGGCTTCAAGGGTTATACAAACAATCGCACACACACATACAGACACACACACACCTCATCAGAGCCTGTTTGACAGCTCCCTCACAATGCACCATGGAGCAGTGTTGGCACGGGCCAGCCTGAGGGATGGGCCGCAGTGAGGTTTATGACTGTGCTGACGTCAATGACATAATTCAAATACTTAACCAGGCTGCACGCTTCCAGCCCTCCGGATCCTCTCCTCTGGCTGCTGGCCTGGAAAACCCGACATGGACTCCTAATGTGGAGCAGAGTAACAGCAACAGCACCAGCAGCAGCAGAGGAGATGAGCGTAGCAGACAGCCTGGACTGTAAAGTGACAGGTCAAATTTGTTCTGGCTGTCAGTTTGTGTTCAGCTGCTCATCCACAGACAAATTACACCTCATTACATTTGCTCTGTCCTCATACAAGACTTCCATACTTTACCGTGTATGCACACCCAGCTGCCCACACACTGCAACACTCCCACCCTGATTCAAAAATGATTAAGTGTACATTGCATCAACCTGCAGATTACTTCCAATCAACAGACCTTTTTTCTTTCATTTCTATTTCCTAAGACAGACCTGTTTGAGATTAGTCAGCCTTTTTATTCTCTGAAAAGACATGTTTACAAAAAAGGGACAAAAGATAAATGAGTAAGGCTTACTGTGCAGGGCCCCACGCCCTGGCCGGTTTACGCACAAAGTCACGTGTCTGTTTACTTTCAAGGCAAAGAGTGTGTATGTTTGTTGCTTTGCTTCAGTCATTTTGCACAGTTTGAAATGCTCTCAGTTCTTGAAACAGCTGAAAAGACTAGCTGACATCAATTCTTTAAAGAAAGATGGAAATAAGGGAAGAAATACAGAAAGTCTCTTAACTTACACTCATGAAGGAGAACAACAAAGCTTAATGATGATAATTAAACTCTTTGTCCCTACGTCTGCGTCAGAGAGGTCTGAAACAAAGCTCAAACTTTATTTTCCCATATGAGGCCTTACAGGAGACATGATGACAGAGCAATGCAGTGCAAACACATTAAGATACATTGCAATATTAAAGGGATATTCCAGCGTAAATTTAAGTTATGGTCAAACACACCATAACACCGAGTAAGACACCCCCTCACGAGATGAATGTTGCCGACTGCTTGCTTCTCTAGTTATACCAACTTTAGTAAAGACTGCATGATAGCAATGCCAAACGGTCTATGGATCCATGCACAAACCTCAACCAAAATGCCACTCTAAAGCCACAAACAATGCTCAGAACAGCACCTAACTTCATCGACAGTACATATAGGGTCCCAGATATAGCACTACCCATCAAACACCTTTTCAACTTTGCCTGATTTCTTTAGCAAAGAGACTAAACACAACTCACCTACTCTCTTCCAGCAGCCGCTTGTTTGTGGGGGGAGCCCTGACGAGTCGATCACAGAGTGCAGTGGAAAATTTATGATAATTAATTAATGGAAATACAATCAGACTGAGACGCTAAGGCAGAAGAACTACCGCGTCTGCAGTGTACATACAAGATACACAAGAACTCGATTGCATTTCCAGTAAGTAATAATCATAAATGTTCTTCCTTGAGCTGCGAGACTCGGCTGCACTCATTGTGTTTGACCATAACTTAAATTTACGTTGAAATATCCCTATGAGCTGAAAAATTAATGAAAGATAGATCAAGATGGAAAATAACTGGAACAGTTTCTCTTATTTTCTCAGACTTAAAACAGCTGATCTCTTTAAGATGAGACGATAACAAATATTCCATGAAATGATGTAAATTGTGAATCCTTTTTTGACAGGAATGTGCAGATATTAAAGAGACTGAAATGTTTGGTATTATAAGTGCTGCTTCTCATGTTGCATCTGATTAAAAGACTATAAAAGGACTCTATAAATATGTCTCTGCTTGTTAAGTGGGCGAGTTGTAGAAAAGTAGAACAATGTAAAAGCTCTACATTTAGTATCACAGTTCTCTGCAGAAATATTCCATAGATGGAGTTTATATTCCTGAACATTTCAATCAAAGAGAGTCCATCTAAAAGTGCCCACATAAGGATCAAGCAGAGCTGTAGAGAGTTGTTTTCTTCATGCTGATTTTTTCTCACGTGGGGGGGAAATTTTCAATTCAGCCACGGTGGTCTGTAGCAAACAGGCCTCACTGTGGGCAGCCCCGACTGTATTCCTAAAGGCATTGTGTAAATATTAATTTTAAAGTGAACATGGACTCCAAGAACATGATGTTTTGCACGCTCCTCTCAGTCAGATGACTAACCACGGCCCCTGGAGTCTCCTCCGTTTGCGACAATAATCAGCCAAAGCCGGTAATGACCGTTACTGATTAATCAGCAGTCCTTGACGGTTACAGACGTCAGCATCTGAATTTCCCTCAAAGTATCATTTATTGTGCGTAATATAGAACAAAGCTTGTAATCTGAATGAATCAGGGAAGAGTGAGCCCTTTGTTGGCCGCCGGGCTCATGAGATTGCATGTGATGGAGCCGAGACAGTTTGTAAAGCGTAAGTTCAGACTGGCACGAGAAACACTTCAATCCCGTCACGTTACTGGGTTAGATTGACTAACCGTGTAAACAGCCTGTAGTGACGCATGTGAGGCTGAACTGATCTGAAATACACCCCCCAGTTTTCTGATTCCTGCACTCATTCACCCAGTCACTGTGGTCACCTTTCTGCTTTTTGTTTATTTTATCCGGTCTGACCTTTTTTTCTGCTTCTCTCATGCTGCATCTGATAAAAAGACTTGCCAACATCCCTTTGTGACCTTTGCTGTGTTTTTAATCTTTTCTATCTCCTTCCCTGAAATGATCTGTCACTCGTTCTTGAACCCACTCAGTGTCTACGTGTAACTTCACCATTTTCCTACAGGAATTATCATAACCCCCCCTACCTCTCTTAAGTTTCACTTTATTGTAAAGCACCCATCTCAATCCCTTTATGGACAAATTCAAGATTTCCTGTAACCTCTGATCAGCTGTCTACACTGAGCTCATGCCCAGAAAGACGCAGGTACTGTCATCTTTAAAAAAAATAATAGTAGGGGATATTTCCTCACTAAAAAACAGAGATGCAAAACAGGAAAAATCTGTTCTCCTTTTCCGGTTAAAGAGTTGACAAAAATGAGACAGAAAGCAGGCGCAGGGAGGATATGAGTGCACCTTTCTTTGTGATATTGTTCACTGCAGCACTCTCCTCTGATACGACATGAACAATTACTATTATGCTGCTGCAGCAGGTGTACTGAACGCTCCTTATATGGTCAAGAAACTTGTGATGATGACGCCCATATAAAATGTGGGTCAGGATTAATATGTGTGTAAGAAACATACGTGATCTATCATTGAAACAAATTCAAACTGATTGAATCATGTTTGTTTTCTTATTCTGTGCTGACAGAGTCCGTCAACAGGACGGTTTCACTCGTCACAGTTTGCTCTCAGAAGGTCAAGGTTTGTGAGAAGTGTGGAGGAGGAGGAGGAGGAGGAAGGACAATGAGAGTCAAACAGTTGTCTTGTATTTTTTCCTGCCGCGGGACGCTCCTAGCAGCCCATCTGTGCTGATAGGAAGTGGAGAACTGCTGTGTGCAGGCTGTGCTGACGTCAATCGGGCTTGAAGAACCAGTGCAGCAGGAACTAATATCCCCACCTCCCTCCTCCCTTTTCTTTCAAGCGTCCTCTCCCTTTTTCACTTCTTCCTCCATGCCAATCTGAAGCATTAAATCTCTTTCTGTGGTTCTCACCCTTTTTCATTCCTTCTGCATGGCTTTCACGTCAGTGCATGTGAGTTTTTGTGTTGTTATCAAGCCATAGTTTCCTGCATCAGTGATTCAAGATTAAAGCTGCTGTTTGCACGTGTGGAAACACTCGGAAATAACCGAGCAAGAGCGTAAACATTGTTTGTTACAGTGCAGCTATGGGAATTTTCAGAAAGAATCACAACTCTAACTTCAGTCTATTCAAACTCAACGAGCGTTTGCATGCAGATCAGTGAACATGAAAAGTTTTATGTGAGTGTGTGCAATGCGGCAAAGACACTTGTTTTATTCCTGCATAGGTATGAGACCACATTAACCTTCTGCATGCTCAGGAAGTCAAGAGTTTAGTAAGCCTTCCTGAAAATGAAAAATGTTCTTTTAAAAGTTTATTACCATGCAAGTCAATATCTGCCTTTGTCTAACATGCTTTTGAGAATTACCTCAACTTTTTTGTTAAACTCACAAATCTCCAGCCTCTAAAGTTATTGCATGTAGATGTCCCAATGTGCAATACTTTTAAAATAACAAATATGCAAACATCTGGACTTAAGCATATGTAAACTTCTGATTACACCTAATAAAAAACATAAATAACTTCTTTTGTGAGCTTAAAAACTTCACTCTGCCTAAAAACTTGCTATTTTTTTGATGTTGAGAGTTTACTTGAAAAAGTCATTGATGGTTACATTTAAAACATGATAACAATTATCTGCACAAGCTTGTTTGCCCTGCAGGTTTCTTTATGCAACACTTATCATTTATCCCAAAAGTCTGAGGTCAGGACTCACCAGACAAACAAACTTTGGCGACAGAGGGTTGATTTGCAGCAGGAGATCTCCTACAAAAAGAGAGAAAATCATCCAGTTAATTTTAAATGATGTGTTACTAATGCTTGTATATAGATTTGGGTTCATGAGCAGTCATTGTTGCCACAGCAGAAACTCAAAACAAGGGCCTCCTCATCAGTTATCTGAGTCGGTCACAGGTGAGGTGAGACTTTTTGCATGTGACATCGCTACATCTGCTACCTCAGTTTTGGTTCATGCTGACCCCCTCTGAGGTCATTCGGACTCTGTGCCCGGCTAAACTGGCCAAACCGCATCCAGTGACCTAGTTCGGCGATGAGTGTGAGCCCCAGTGCGCTCAAAATGAGATCACCAAAACATAAAACGAAATGTCACCATGTCACCGCTAGGATTTCAACACTGCAGCTGCTTCAAACCATCTTTGTACTCACACTCTTCTTGTTAGTTGGTTTAATATTAGTGGTATCGTCACAACATATTCAATTTTAAATGTTTTCAGTGCTCTGGCGCCCCCAGGTGGGGCATGTTAGCACCTTCAGCTGTCGCATTGAAACAGCTTCCTTAACTGAGTTTACCTCTCAAAAATGATTGAATCCTAAATTGTAAATCTGTAAACATTGTGCACTATAAAAGTTTAATATGCAATGACTTACTTGTTGGACACACACTGGACATTAGTCAGGGTGGTGAAATTGTTCCTCACAGTCCGAAGGCTTGCAAGAACCTAAAACACACACAAAAAAATAGAAGCCAAGGATCAACATATGAAAAAATTCAAATAAATGAGATTCATGCTCTGCTCTGATACACACACATCAAACATACAGATGAACACTATCAACATGTGCTGACTATAATGTGATCCCTCCACAATACAAGCTGGTTTGTTGAGTTCTTTAAATGTTTCTACGACTTGTATCTGTATCTTGTTCAAATTTCATTCAGTTAGAGCTAAACATGCTGAAAGACTACTTGCTTGTTTTGGTGATACTTGCTGCTATGATCAATGCAGTCGTTACAGCTACATCTAAATAAAAAATGGTACCCTTCAACAAGTTTGAAATCTATCGGACCAGTCTGCATTGGGTGTTTAAAATCACTATACAGTACCCAGTACCTTAAGTTTGAAATAGAGGCAGCATCCTTACCTGACACTATTATTGTTTGATTTTAACAATTTACAGACAAATTTAAAAAAAGGTTTTTGTAAAGTCAAGTGTAGTTTAAACTGGACATGATCCCTTGGCAAAATACTTTCAAAGGGTGTACTAAAGACCACTAGAGGGCAGAACATTTACTCATGACTGCATGAAAAATGTTATCTCATGGTTGTGTGTATTGAAAACTTTTGAAAAGTAATTATTATTATAGATCATTCTTAAAAAAAATCATGAATAAGGTGAGTTTGCTGTTCTCTGTTGAATCAAATAGTAATAAGCTCTTACCTGAGCATATGGGGTCACAATCAAGTCTTCTGTGTGTCTGAAATACGGGATGAAAGTTATTTAGCAAATATTCATTGTTATAAAAAAATAAAAATGGCACAGATGAACAAAGTGAGGTTAAAAAAAAACAGCAGTGGTTTAAAATCAATAGGTAAGGTGGATTGAAGATGATTAAGAAGCTGGTTCCACCTGTTTAAGGCATAATCCGAGGTAGGTACCTCCTGTTTGGTTCTTACCAAGTGATAAAAAGTTTAATCACAAAGGTAAACAGAAATCCTGGCTTTCAGCTTTACTGGGTTAGTTTTATCAAAGGAGATCAGATATTAGTTTTAGCCTCAGGTTATAAAGTTATTTATAAACTTAAAATCTGCTGTGTGAGAAGCTAAAAGGCAGAGTCAAAGTTAAAGAACAAAGCGCTCAGTTCTGCCGACTGTCATTTGAATTATTTCAACTCACAATTCTCCAACGATGGAGGAGTTTCGGGACAGGGACTTAGGCGACAGGTCGTAGTCACTGTCAGAGCGATATAGAAACGACTCCCTCCGCTGGCCATGACTCGCCAGGTTGGGATGAAGAACAAGGCCCGAACCTGGGGACGCCTGCGGGTCTGATGGACTGCAGCACAATGATGGACCATTCTCCCCCTCAAAACTGAGAAACAGAGAAATAAACAACAAATAAGGACCCTCAGCAACTTTTGGTATTTACAGAGAAGGTGTAACATCAAACCAACTATCTGTTCTCAGTCTGTCCTAAAACTAACTCCACCATCTGACTGAAAACATGGCAGCACATCTCATAGATGAAGAAAGTGGAGGCAATTTAAAGAGATTTAGAAAGGCAGAGAAGAAGAGTATTTGACTTTAAAAGGAATAAGCAGTGGGACATAGCTGACTGTGCAGTTTGAGCGCACAGAGGCTACAGCTGTCATCGCACTAGTCGCAGGATTGATTCCTGATTTTTTTTCATTTCTTGTCCCTCTAAAGCTCTTCAGTAGATAAAATATTTTAAAAATATTTCCAATAAGAATTTAAGTCAAAGCATGAGCATTATTGAGAAGTTTGATTCATCAGTTTGCAGCACAGATGTTAAAAGCAGCTCCACTCATCCAAGTTCTGATGTGGGAAACATCTAACTGCCTCCTAAAGATCTGATAAACTTACATTAAGAAGATTTCACTCGGTTTGCGATCTCAAATTGATTTAGGCTTTTACATCGTTACAGTGTTGTGCTGGCAGGCAGAGTAAAGACTTAAGACCAGGAGTTATGAGCTTAGTTGACCGAACGCTGGCAGCAGCAGCACTCTGAGCTGAAGTTGTTTGGAGGTGTTTTTGAAGAGACCAGACAGGAAATGAAAGCTTACTCCACAACTTTGAAGCATTTGAAGCATTACCCCAATCATACTAATGAATCAATAATCATTTTGAGTGAACATCAAGTCATCAACATGAACTGAGTACTTTCAATAAGCTGTTACTGAGTACCAGCTTGCACAACATGTTCACTAATCCCATTCAGGAAGAGATGGTTACATAAACCCTAAAATGATTACTCGCCCATCATCCATTCATCTATCGCCCATCAATCAACCAATCTATAGCTAAATATAACTATAATCTTCATCAAAGACGCAGGTTCTGCTGGTCAGTGATGGGAGGAGCCGTTTTATTGTAAACTGCTGTTCTGGTCTGTTTCACTCAAAAAGTGAACATGACATCGCTGGTATTCATCCAACAGAAAAGAGAGAGATTAGCTCCTTGTGGTGCGACGTCAGACTTCTCCATAGCTTTAATTCAGCTTTGTTTATTCTCACAGTGACTGATATGCACAGCTGCAACAAAGATTTTATTGACTGTGCGAAATCTTTTTTGTATCTTGTGGTGTGTCTGCATCTAATTAATTCACAAATATAGATGATAATCACAGTGCATTGATAACATAAATGCATAAGACAGCATCATTTCTCCTCATTTTATGGGATTTGTTTTGTTTATTATACATCAACCCTGACAGAGAAATGCAATAAAATGGAAACTAAAAACATGAGCTGTCTAATGCAACAAATAATCTAATCATTTGGGTAGTTAGCCCCCGGCTTTGTGCGGAGAAAATACACAAACAGCCCAATACAAAAAAAGCGCACTTAAAGGAAACAAAAACTTATCAAAAAAAAAAAGAGATGCTCAGGTCAGAAGCAAATAAACAAGCAGCACATCTGATACCAACACAAAACTAACTTTAAAACGATCTGCCCTCAAAGTTTGCTTTAAGAAGAAGCCTTTTAATGGATCATTTTTCCTTCAGCTGTCAGACTGAGGGGGGAAAAACTGATGAAACTGGATGATGCTGAAACTTTTTTTTTGACTGACTGTATTCCAGGTCCTGTACTATGTAAACAAATAAAAAAAGTACTTGATCTGAACTGTGAAGACAATGGAGGGACATCTGGCCAAAATCCAACATAAACCATTTGATAACTTGTGAGCTACTTCTAGAGAGCAGCTAACATTAGCATTAGATATTTATTTCATGCAAAAATTGTCCAACTGCTTACATTACCATTTGAGGCCTTTGTCCATGAACAGCATTTATTTTAGCTTGGCCTAATTTCTGTACAAAACCAAAACCAATGCAGTGCAGTATTCCCAACACAAAGCATCCTTAGTGTTAAGAAGTACATCAATGCTTACACATGCAGCTAAATAACAACAGACAGAAAGAAAATTTTGATTTGATATATTCTTTCATACTTGATACTAGTTTGATTTTTTAAAGATGGATCCTTTAATCATCCATTTAGTTATTTGTTAGTTTACTAACAAATAAATGAATATCAGGATATTGAAATGTACTAACACTATAAATAAATCATAGTGTTTTACTCCTTTTATATTTATGCTGCTCCACACCAATCATCCCTTAAATGGTTTAGTTTCTTCATTAAATGGATTCAATTAGATCTGGCCTGATGTGATTATCACTCTCTGTTGTTTTCCTCATTACTGCTGATAAGTCAGAAGCAGTGAATCAGAAAGTTCCTGTCAGACTCTTCATTGTAAATCGTCTATTTGCAGCTTGGATTGCAGTGCTTAAGTATTGTAAAGACATTTGAGCCTCTCAGAGTGAGTGTGTGTGAATACTGTCACCAGCTAAGCTTCTTTTAGTTTATTCACACATTTGTAATTGGTAGCTGCTGTTGTTAGTATGCATTTTGCTTATAAAATTTTGTATTTTCAAACCCGTTTTAAGTTGCCTTAACAGACTTCTTGTATGTACGACTTTATTTTCTTTTCATAAAACCCTTCAAATATGATCAGAATTACTCCATCGCTGTGTTTTGAGCAAAAATAATGAAAATATCTACCACAGCTTATAGTAAAACTACCACAGATGCAGCGGCGGATATAATCTGTTTGCCACAACTGAGCGCGTGCAGAAGGAACGGATGGGGTATTGTGTAAGCAGATGATCAGTTCAGATGGAGCAGAGTTTAAAGGTTAAAGGTCAAAAAGTCAAAGCCCTGTAGGGACAACAGATGCTACAAATATGAATGAAAAAGAAAACACAAGCATTGAGTTTAGTTTAGATGAATTTACACACAGTTGGATGCTCGGTGACTAACACAGATATCATCTGATGATATTTTTTACTTTCATCAAAGTGCAGTTAAAGTGTTCTCAACAGAAAATAAATCACATTTAGCTCTTTCTCAAACTCTTCTACACAAACAATCTTGTAATGGCCAGATAGTACAAGAGGTCGCGTCTCTCTCTGTCCCATATTAACTCCCCGTCTCAGTAATTTCTGCAATATGTCAGATTAACCACTAGCAAACATCCCACTGGGACACTCAGCTCCACACCTCTGCCAGAGGAGCTCAGATTAATGTGAAATGTTCAGACTCTGATTACACACACATACAGAAGCATACACGTCATACGGGCTGCACTCTGCGTCATCCAAATCCCAACTTCACAACATTAACAACATGCTTTACCTAGAATCTAATCTCTTAATCTGACGCAGGCAGAAAACTGCCGGATGTTACGAATAGAGCAGCATTTCTGTAGATCCTGATGTTCTGCAAAGCTGGCAGTAATTTTAGATACAACAAATCCTGGTAAATTGCATGTTTTCTTTTCCTGTTGTAGGCACAAGTTGAAATTTCTCATCGCAACCAGAAAATGATTAAATATGTGTGTGAAACAACTGAAATCATCAGAAGAAAAACAGAGAGAAGTCAAATAACATCAAAACAAAAAGAAAAATTCACACATAACTGAAGGTAAAGTGATTCAGAATCACCTGGGAGCCGACAGATGCTCTCTATTGACCACATCCTCGTTGAAGTCAAAGTGCCCAGCTCTGCACCTAGGGGACCTTCGAGGCATTCTCCCTCTCTCTCACCTCCACATCAGGAAACAAAACGCACAATGTTTTTGTCTGCTCACTCCAGCAGATCTTCTTTCTGTCCGGTTTAAAGCCACGTGCTGGAATATCGTCCGCCTGGCAGGCACCAACAGGCAGCTCTGGACTGCTGCAGCACTCACAGCCGCTCTGTTTATCTGACCGCCTGTCCCCTTTTTTTTCCCCCTCAGATATTAAACCTCTGAAGATTAGTCTGTGCGTTCATCATCCAGCCCCGCCCTGCACTCCACCACCTGTGATGTCCTGTCAAAACACGCTCTAAGGAGTGAAGAAATTGGCATCTCCAAGAGGAAGTTCAGGTTTCAGCTACTTTTTACCCACTTTCAAAACTCTCACTTATGTGTAATGTTATGCAGATACTAACCAGGGCCTCTTTTTTAATCCTGGTTTAGGCTTTCAGGTCTAGCTCAAGCTTATCAAGTTGTCCCCATCATTTTTTATCATATTTTATTCTCTATTGCACCATATTTTTGGATCAAGTTAAGTCTTATTTACTAGAGAGGGGCATAAATAGGACAAGGGTTAACCTAAAATACTATGTTTCAAACCGCTGGACCCTCTACCCTCAGGTTTAAACATCTCTTTATGTTAAAGTCAGAGTTAGAGTCACTCAAATATTGCAAAAGATAATCAAAGACATCCATTTGATCTCTTTAAAAAAAAAGAAAGAAAGAAAAGGAAGGGCACTTGTTTAGACTTGCTTGTTTAGACTAGTTGGTAGGGAAGATGATCTATTCCCAATGTCAACAGTCACTCACCACTCCCTCTAACTGCATTTCCTGACTCTCTCTCTCAAGTCCCTCTATAAAATAAAGGCAAAGAGGCTGTTAAAAGTTTTCTTGATGTGCTTTTTAGAACTTATTCTTGTGTGAAATAAAGTAAAACTAACAAAGTGAAATGCTTGTTGAACTCCAGATATGAATGAGCGTTTTTAAAACAAAAATTGAGATCAGGGTTTAGAAGTGTGTTGGACAATTTATCAGCCAAAAATGGTAAGGGGGATATCATTATAACTTTAAAGATTTGAGAAGCCCTAATTCAGCTTTGATCAAGGAGAGGGCTTATTTAACACAATGACAGTGTTTACATATTATATATCTACATCAGTTTAATTGGTTAGTTTTTGGTGTATCTTAGCAGGATCAAAACAACCCTGACAGTCTGGTGGAGGAAAAACTTCATGTCTGAGAAAAACCAGAGCCTCCCATAATCGTTTCAGAGCAAACACAGGAAAACCAGAGCAGACTGGCTTTTTTTTTTTTTTGTTCGTACAAGACAACTGCTGCTGTATATGAGCAATATTCCCCTCTTAACAAAATATTAAGACATCATTGCACACTGTAGACTTTTTTCTTTTGTTAAAGAACAAAGTTGTTAAGCTACAACAGCTCCCTTTGAGGTATTCATACATGCAGTAATGAGTTTATATCTGTCATTGAGGAATAAGATCCCTCAGATACTCATCTTAAGATGGTTTTTACACTTTTTCCTCCTACTTTGTCTTCTTTAATGTTGACCTTTCAAATTAAAGATCTAAAGATTAGATGTGAGGAGAGCATTCTGACGCCCTCTGAGACGACAGGTTTTCAAAACTGAATCTGAACCTTTCATTTGTTATTGGCAGCGTCTTCCTCCGGACTTTTCTCACACCTACGATTGATAAATCCTTGACTCTCACTTACTTTAAATTGGGAAGTTTTGAATTAAACTATTGCCAAATAAGGTTCTGTTTGAGCTGGTTTTAATAAATTGGAAATAAGCCCACATTTTTAAGTGAACGGACTTGTAAAAACAAGACCAAAAGTGAAACAACAGCTCTTTTATCCTCTCAAAAGACACTCCGAACAGATTCTCACCAGGTCTTCTTGGCAGTGAAGAACCTGAAGTGACAGAGATGCCTGTTAACAACCTGCTTGTAAAACAATCTGGAGGCGCTGTGTGATGGGAGTATCTGCTTTGGATTAACAGCAGCAGCACTACATGAATCTGCCTGATCTGTCTTGAGCTCCCTGCTCTCTAAAGGCTTCAATCAGAGCTCCAGCTTTACAGATACAGTGACTAGTGACTATGGACTTCTGCTTTCATGTTTCACAGAGAAGAAAGGGTGTATTCAGGCTACAAAAGCATAAACAAGGCCTAACAATAAGCAAATAATGATTCTCGATGAATGGTCTAACACTGAGGTCCTAATTTATATGATTAGTCTTACCGTTTAATGGTCCATCCCTGACAAAAATAAGATAACAGAACATCATAAAAAGCTAAAAATAATAATCATTATAATAATAAAAGTAAAAAAAATATGGCTGAACATAAACAGAGCAAAAGTTTCCTAGCTCCTGACCTTTCTTTCAGAGAAAGCACTCATGTTTTTTAAAACTCAGAGAAGCAGAATGAGAGTTCATGGAGATAAAAGAGACCAAAGAGGGAAGCAGTGGACAATGGGCCTCTGCTGAGAGTCTGTTATCATCTGCAATTTAGTGAGGTGAGTCACTGCGGTTCAAAGAAAGAAAACCTTCAATAATTTAACATGGTAGCCGTCATTAAAAGTCCCTTTTATCAAGTTTTTCTGCTTTGATTTGACTGTATAACAGCAACTCATTGAGAGCTGTTTGAAAGTCAGACACAACAAGACGACTGTTTTTGACGACATGGTTGCCAAATTATTTAACACTCCGAGAGAAGTAAACAGTAAAACCAGGAGAAAACAGAAGAGACGCTGAACATGAGGATAGAGAAAATACAACTCCTAGAGTTTACAACACAAATCTTCATTTTAATCTTAGTGTGATACAGCACCTGCAAATTAACTGATTAACATGATAACACCCACACTGTCCTCTCTCATTCCCATCAACAAAAAGCTCTTCAACAGAACACTTGGTAATAAAAGGACTGCATTTTCCTTCAGCAGTTTTTGACTTGGCATGTCTGCTGTTGGTTCATTTGTCTTGAATGTCAGTGAAAAAAAAAAAACAGATGAGAGAGAGAGAGAGAGAGAGAGAGAGAGAGAGAGAGAGAGAGAGAGAGAGAGAGAGAGAGAGGAGAGGTAAGGTAAGGTAAGGTAAGGTGAGGAGTTTTGGCCCATGTTTGTATGTTTCTAAATTTACATTGTTGAATTTAGAGTCTGCCTCCACCTAATAAAAAGGTTGTTCAAAAGCCGTAGCAACAATAAAGTTTGATCAGTTCAGCGTTTTTTGTGATACAGTCTTGACTTTGAATTTCCTCTGAATGAAAACTATTTCATAAACTCTGCACCACTGAGGTGGTCGTCTTCTTACCTGTCGGGGTCGGCCTGTGTGATGTCGATGCGTGGCAGGGACACAATAGGCAAACTTGTGGGTCTGGTCCGGGTCACTGGGTCTTCTTCAGGTGTTGGGGATTTCCCCCGGTGACTCTCCTTTTCTGCCTGCCGCCATGACAATGGAGGGAGCTGCAGGTTGCCAGAAAACCGCCGATGGACTTTAAACAGCTCGACACCGAGGGTGCTGCCTGAGCAGTATGGTACTGCTGGAGGATCCTTATTCTCCTGAAGGGAGAAACATGTCAGTGGATTAGATTTTCATGACAACAGCTTTTGATAATCCCTACTGTCCCGCTTTGTGGGGAAAAAATAAAGATAATGAAGGTGAAAAATGGCTACAGAGGAGAGGTCCCACCAAAATCTTTGTAAGAGGTGAAACTACAAATTTAGCTGAAAATTGTACAAACTCTTAGCTAGACAAACATGCTTGCTCAAAGATGTCTCAGTGTTAAACATGAACTAATCAGCCCAGCAACTAGGGAAGGGCGATAAATTATCGTCCACGATTTATTGTCAGAAAATTCCTCCTCGATATATATTTGCCATCTCACAATAAATGTAAGTTGATGACGTAAGCGCAAACGATGGACTCACAGCCACAGATCAGAATAAGAAACAAACATGGCCGAAGGTAATGAAGAACTGAACAAGGCTCCACATGAGGGATTTCCTTCAAGATTGGGGCTTAGACGAGTGCAATCAGGTATGCCTGTGCAATAAGAGTTTCCAACAAATGTTGCAAATGTTTTAACATTTCACTAGTTTTCTCTATAACCTCCAACTTAAACATGTAGTTAAGTATCTTATTTGACTCTGCCAACTGGTGTTTTTAAGACAGAATTAGTCAAAAACACAGATAGTAATTATTTTTAATCAGGACTTTTATTGTTATCGCCAGAATGGCAAATCTTATTGTGATACATTTTTTTGCCCACATCACCCATCCCTACTAGCAACACAGATCTCAGGTTTAACAAAGTGTAATACACAGAGAAAAAAATGAACTGTTTCATCAATGCCCCTTTCAGTCCATGGGCGCCTGCCAATTGATGTTTTGATTAGCCTGTGCAGGCTATAAATTGTGTTAAATGTGTCTGGGTGACTGTGACAGCTCCAGCAGGGTGCTTCACTGTGATGAAGAGTTGTAAACAAGCCCAGGCGCAGAGGAAACAAAGGCGGGCTGCCAGAGCTCATTCTGCATACATTAACGTCTCCTTTATGTTAACCACATGCAGGTGTGAATGAAAGAGTCAGGCAGGCTTCAAATGGACAAAGAGAGAGGGAGGGAGGGAGGATCAATACATTCCTAGAACGAGGCTTGGCAAACAGGAAAGCATTTGTCTGCTCTGTGTGTACAAGGTGCTGGAGAACAAACAGAGGATGAGTGTGAAGTGACAGAATGAGAGAGAGTGGAGGAGAAAATAAAGCCACAGTCCAACCTCGGTGTGACCGGGGATGGACACTCACAACAACCTGACAACATCAAGACTGCTCAACAAAACGTCAATGCAACTGCATCTAATTTTGAAATTTGAAAAATATAAATATGGGAAGAGGAGTTGATCATATTTGAATGATTATACACAGATTTAAACATTCTGAGCAATACTACATTCTGCTTTACAAAGATTATATCCTATTTGTACCAGATCTGTTCAGCTGAATCCTTCTGAATACAACGCACTGTATTTTTTAGGGCTTAGAAAATCTTTTATCTCTCACTACTAATAAATCCTCAGGTTACAGTGTCCTAAATGCGGAGATCTTTCTGGTTTCTTCCTCTTTAGCAACAATGAACCAAATATCTTTGAGTATTGCAATAAATATTTCAGCATGTTTGTTGCTTTGAAGTTCATCTGACATTTAGCTGACATTTCAAAGACCGAATTATAACTGATCAATCAAGAAAATCATCTTTACATACTTAAGTTTTTATTTGAAATAGGAATTTTGAAGGCCTTGCCAGAAGCAGACACGTTATAATCAATATTGATGAAGATTTACCTCCTTAACAAATGTGTGACAGAGGAGAGACGTTTTATACATGGCAACAATTACTCAATAATGCCCTCTAGTGGATTAACAAGTTCAGTTTATTATGAATACCTATGATGCACTTTAGATATCAATGAAATGACACAGTTATCAAAACTGTTTATCTAGGAAAAAATGTTAATTAAACTTCTTAAGCAGGTCCACTCATCATTCAGGGCCCTGAATGACAAAAACTACATCCAAAAATCATCCTTTGGAGGCTTTTGAAGTGGGTATGACACCGACTCAAATCTAGAGATGGAATAAGACGGATTATTTCAAATGCCTGAAAAAGCTGTCAAAAGGTAGGTGTCAGGTGAAGTGGTTCACTCCACACAAACGAAACAGCCTTTTTGCCCCTCATTTTCCTTTGTGAAGGTCCTAGATAAGTGAGATCATTTACAGATAAAAAGGAAGTGAGATCAGATTTTGTATGAGAACCTGAGCAAAGGAGGAACCAAAAGTTCCTCACAGAAACTTTAATAAAGAAAATGATCAAAGTTGAATAAATTGAAAGGGCAGAATTTTTGAAGCCTACATAATCTGTTTTGAGTAATCAAGATCAACAAACCATCACAAAAGATGAAAGGTCACAGTAGAACTTAAGTATGGAGATGCTAAAAATTAGAGTAAATATCTCTTGAAGCAGCGAATTAAAAAGGGTGGAAAGACGAAAAGACCAATGTGAAATTATGAACAATGCAATACAACAGGAAGAGGATAAAATGACAGGAAAAGCTTCCCATCTCTTCTTTCCTGTCAAAAAGACCAACAGCAACAACACAAAGATTAAGAAGCTAAGTAAAATCATGAGCCAAGTAAGCCAATTTCAGCGCAGACAGATATAAAAAGAGTTTCTTAATGAGAGAGGGGGAGATGGTGTGAACAGAGGAGACATTAAAAAGGAGCAGAGTGAATCTATCCTCCCTTCTGGTTGTCTGTAAACACAGCCCTGCTGACTCCTCTGCTCCTTCTAGGAAATGCAATTTGTCTGATTTATGGTGCCTATCTCTTTAAGACACATTCGTCCCGTTGCAGGAAAAGGGGAGGGGGTGAAAATTAGATCTGTAAAAACACACAGCTCTGTTCCTCTGCCTGAAACTGTTTCCACACACACACACACAATAACTCTCCATAACAAATGTTATCTGTAGAGATCTAAATAGTCTATTGTCAATATGCCACTGTCACTGCTGTTTCACGCCAAGTTGTCCATCACTTGAGTATCTATTGAATCTCTGAAATCAAGCCAGTAAATCCTAGCTGCTCATTGATCCTATGTCTGTGGTCTACATGGTATTTGGATGAGAAACTGAATGTGTGCTTGTATATGATCCAATGACAGGACTGAAGTTTAAAATAGAAACTTGGCTTCGTTCATTTGTGCCTGAACAGTTTCATAAAAGACAGGAAGCAAAACAATGAAATGATGAAAGTCAAAACAATGAAGGTAAGATCACTCTGAGTGAAGGGTTCCAAGGGGAAGATGAAAGGTTTCTTTTGGCTGCAGAGCTGAAAAAAAACTTCTCTGGGATTTCTCCAAAAACCCTTTTTGAAGACGGTGATTTACATGAGACAGCTTGATGAATGAAGCTTTAATAAGATCGGTGCCGAGCCTGAATTATTTAAACCAAGAGGAAAAAAAAGAAAGAAAGAAAATCTTAAATTAATAAGAAGCTATAGAATCTTAATGAAAAGTGGGATATGGAGACCTGGAGGCGTTGAGCTGTGAAGATTAGCTGATGTCTGAACAGTTTCTTTCCTAGTAGTACTAAAACTTAGCCTTTTCAAGATTTTCTAATATCAGTAATTGAACATCTGTATCTATGAAGGTTGAATATAAGTGTTAACTGCAAGGACATTTGAGCTTTGATTCTAAAAGTGTTGCTACGTTGTTTCTTTATGTAAAAAGTGATTTCAATACACAAGAGGAATGCAAAGCTATGAAGTGACAGCTGAGTGCCATGAAAGAGGCTGCGGACGGTTTTATGCATCTATGGCATAGATAGATATCTGACTCAACTGAAGTAAATCACTTTGACTTCCATCTTAGCCATTAATACAAGTGTTTCAGAGAACAATCAGGAACCGGGATGTGTTTAATCTAATCTCAGTGTTAAATGAGACTGGGCTGCTGGTTTGCCAGACTGTGTATACTTTACTTAAGAGTGATTAATGAACCATCGATATGGAGCTCCAGTCATGGCTTCAACTTGATTTGGCGAGCAAACACACATAAACAAAGACAGCCAGGTTACAGCAACAACAGTGGCTTTATGGCAGCTTTCTGTGACTCTCCAAGGATTGTAAATGGATTAACAGGCGGTCAAGCACAGGACAGTCCGTTCATCTGTCTCTTGAGTATGTTGCATTTAAAGTAGCACTGCCTTTAGTTTGAGTGTGCTGTCTTACATGCACACCAGTTTTATCGATTTATACAAATAAGTATGTCAAAAAGATTGTGAGTTTTACTACAAGGCTAGCTGGACTAATTTAAATTGACTAAGATGGAGGCATCTTTAAGTTTTGTTTTTATTTAAGCCATTTTTAATTCTTAAAACTTGTGCAAAAATAAGTCAAACTTTGGTGTTCAGCAATATTATATCTACGCAATACCACTTAGATCAGAACTTGGCATCAGCAGATACTCAATCTGAATCGGGGGCCAAAAAGCAGATCTGAGCATCCCTACCTTGAATGATCCTTCATGGTCCATTATTTACAAGGTCTCTACTGAGGAATGAGTTATCTACAGAGTTGTTCTCCTGTCCTAAAGAGTTAACATCAAAGGTGATTGTAGTTGTAAAGGAGTTTCATGTGAAAAGTCAAGCATTTTGTCAAATCTTTATGGGTTGCAAACCTCGATGTGTCAAACTTAACTGAAATTTTCTTTCTAAATATGCAAGTATTGATTACTATCACTACATTCCTTAACTTTTGGTTAAGGAACACAAGATTTGTGACCCCTACAAACAAACCGGTATAGCTTATCTTCTGAGCTTACCTTGTGTCTACCTTTGTTTTTGTTATTGTAACAAAAAAATATCTCTTCTTTTTTTTTTTATTCTGGATGTCCACTGTGCAATTGGCACTGAATCTCTCTGTTGGAGAATTCAAACAAAGGCTGTTTTGGCTTTCTATTGCTTCGTCTGGCGCCTATCCTGCTGCAGGGCTGACAGATCTATTAAAAAAATCTTCATAAAAATAATCACTCCTCTCCCAGATGGTCTCATTTGCTTTTTTGGGTCATAAAGACAAATCTGAAAAAAATGTAATCTGTTTTATTCCCAGCTAACCGCTTCTTACACAAGGTTTAGGTAATAAAATCACTGTGACATGAAACACTCAGAAAGTAGTCAAATTAGGCGAAAAGTCTAGTCTTTACTTTTTCATCTCAATCCAAATGGACCCAAAATCACTAAACACATTAAATATTTTAAACATTAAAGAGGCTGTCACAAACATTCCTGAGCATTTAAAGTTCTATTAATTTACATCTTTAATTTCTAAATGAGATGTAGACCTTTTGAAAAATGTGTCTGCTGTTCCCAAAAATCCCCGCTGGCATTAAAGTTAAAATTACTATAAATCTTTCCTACCAAAAGAAGCCATTAAGCTAGGTTATTATGTGAATTTCCTTTATAAATGGTAAAAAATGAACAAGGTTAAGAAGTTTGTAAGTATTTTTCATTATCATTAATATCAAGTAGCTTCTAGTTATGAATGTTAAAAGGGATCTGATGTTGATGGAGGCCAGCAGGAGGAGAAACTTTCCTCCTCATCCGGGATGTAGCTTGGCCTCTGAGCTCCTGCTGGACAATGTCAGAGTAAATGATCCGTCCTGCCGGTCCAGTCATAAACATGGGGCCGTGGAGGAGAAACAGATGGGCCTCTCTGTCAGGTCTCCGCTCTTCTTCCTCTCATCCATGTTTCCATTCAGTCAATGCTCTGAATGCCTCCTGCTGTGATCTGTCTTTAACACCTTGGCCTCTCTTCCTGCTCTGCATCCTTCCTCAAAACTCTGCATCAGTCCTCAATCCTTTATCTCTGTCCACTCATACAACCGCATGCACACAGTGTCCTTCATCCTCTCTTCCAACACTGAAACACACACATACACACACTCACACACACCATCTTGCTCTCTGCGGTGTGTCCTGCCGGAAAGCGGTCTGTTGTGTACTGTACAGTCATCTGTTCCTGACTCACTGACCGCCACAGACTTACAGTTCTGCACCTTGCTCCCACTAGAGCTTGTTATGTTTTGGACAAACGTAACAACATTTACAGAGTCTGTGCAAACTGCAGGATGAGGCTGTAAACTTTGGAGACAAGATTCAGGATATCTGATAAAGAGAAGGAGCATGAGTGGCTGTGTAATAAATGCATGGATGGATCTGTTGCTGCTGCACAGATGGAGGGTTGGAAGAAATCAATACTGTACTTACATTGCCTGGTGTAACAACCTGAGCACTGCTGCTTTTCTTCATTCTGAGGGGCGTTCAGCCAGACACTCTCCCTCTCTCTCCCACTTTCCGACTCTGATCCTTCCTCTGAAATCGCAGCTCTCTCCTGCTTCTTGTGCTCTGGGCAGCTTCACCAGTCCGCCTGCACACGGGAAACAGAGCAGAGGAGGAGAAGAAGCAGAAGGAGAAGATGAGGGGTGATAGAGGAGTCAGTTCTAGAAGTTGTTCTGTCTCCCTCACAGTGGGCATCATGTCTGCAATTGTTGTCAGACTTGTGTAATTGTTCCTGGTAATGCAGGTCTGTGTGCAGTAATTTGACAAGTCTCCACAGTGTTGCATTACGTAACTGACAAAAAAGCAGACATTACACAAACTGTGATGGATTAACCATCTCAGCAAAAACAGGCAAATACTGGAGTGAAATGAGTGGGAATGTAGACCATAATAGAGTCGGAAAAGAAGCAGTTTGACTTCACTGTTCTCAGTATCTATCATTTATCTGGCAGTATGTCAGAGAAACAGAAACAGATCCTACTTCTGGATTGTGATGGAAATGATTGTCATAACAACGACGAACTTGAGACAATTTATGGAAAAACAATGAAATGATCTGACAATCTGTCTCAAGCCCTTTTCACACTGCCAGTTTAGGACAGGATATTTACAAAATCTAAATTGCTCAGGGAATTTCTGCAGGAATCCTCAGATTTGATTTTCCCTTTGGATCAATAGATATGATTGGTAAATCCTGAATGAAAAAATAAAGATTGAAAATACTACAAATGACTTTAAATGATACAACTTCTAAATGATTTGTTTAACATGTTGCTTATTGGTGCAATAAGAGTTTGGACTAGCACTAGTCAAGACCTTGACAATGTAGCTGACAAATTATTAATCTCTGCGGTTTTGATGGAAACTTAATCTCAACAAAGACTCGACTGAAAACTTGTTGAAGAGATTTCTTGATATCTAAAGCACACTTCACTGGTATTACCAGATTATTTTTATCACATCCCATCATGACTGCATGACAGCTGCACCTCTGAAGGTTCAGAAAAGGACAGAGTCTTTAAGTTGCTTTATTACCACAGCTTACTGTATGGAAACAAATGTCTGCCTTTAAAAAAACAAGTTGAAAGTCAGTTGAAAAAAAATCTATTTTGAAACATTAATACCCAGAGAGCTCAAAAGTTCTGGCTATTCTTTCCTGAACAGCAGCTCAACACTGCTGGAAACTGTCTGCATGTCTTTGCATCAGCCTTTAAAGAAGTTACAGTCCACCAAAAAAACATCTCAGTAAAATTCAGTTTTGCTGCTGTGGTAAACAAAGTAGAATCTGTTAAAAGAGACAGCCAAAGAACAATTTCATCATTTCATCTCTTATCTATTCATTTTTTGTCAAATATGACTTTGTACAACTCACAGTGTTAGGAATCTGTCCGTGGTGGTGTGTGATCTGGGGTGCAAGGGTGCTTGGGGGGTGGGTGGGGGTGTTTTCAGAGAGTGAGGGGGGTGGGGGGGTATGAATCAGCTGTGTGATTGCCGATGATAACTCGCTAATTAATCAGCTATGTGACAGCAGACGATAACTTGCTGATGCTTGGTTAGCACGTGCTCAGTGGTGCGATGCATGTATTCTGATACATGCGAGTCCGAGGTAGAGCCACATAGGGCTGGGCTATATGGCCTCAAATCAATATCACAATATATTGAGCAGTTCACCTTGATAACAATAAATAGGGGATACTACTCCACAAGCTGCTCACCTCACTTCATTTACTTTAGCCACCACCTTAGCCACTACAACTTTTAAATCATCTTTCATTTCCTCACCTGTCTTTCCCTCTTTGTTACGGACTGGATGGGATGGGACAGCGTCATGAGCGTCAGCATCAGTGAGTCATGAGACCATAGTGTAACTCCAAAACCAACTTTTATTTATTTATTTATTTATTTTTTTGACACTGAATATACTGACATAGGCAAAATGACGTCGGTTATTGTCCTAAATTTCGGTATCTGTAAATTTTCATTTTATTGCCCGGCCCTAGAGCCACATAAGAAAACACTTTATTTTTAAGGTGTGGAGGCTTTTATTTAGTTGTGGCTGGAAACCCTGACTCACTTTCTATAGGATGACATTGAACGTGCTGCATATAAGAGGGCAGTTGACATATTTAAGGTCATTTCCTGAAATAAATGGATTGTGTCTCTCTTTGTAAATGCCCTCAAAAGAGCTGAAAGAAAGTACCCTCTTAACTCCTACAGGCCCAGATCCAACCCTTTATTCAGACAGTAAAAGCTTGAACAGATGGTTTCAGAGCTAATAAACTCTTTTCTTCACACTGGTGAGATTTTAATTGGGCAGTGCAAAATACTATGACAAAGACAGAGCTCATACTTCAGTCAGCAGCCTCAGTTTAGTGTGCACTGATAGAAAATAGTTTCTATTCTTTAACTAAACACACAAACAACAAAAGTGAAACTCTGCCAACTTTCTTCTGGGGTTACAGTCCGGGCAGGTAAGTCCTGCCATTCTCTACAGCCTCATAAGGATTTCCTGAGTTCATACATCTTTTGTTTGCTTCAGACCTGTTGATTAGTCCAGTCCATAGCCTATTGTTTCTGCCGTGACTTGTCTTCATGATAGAAAGACAATGTCATAAAGTATTTCTTTGTGAGGTTAAACAGGTGCTAATCTATTTCACTGCTACACGATTGATTGCTCATTACAAACCCTGTTGTTTTCATCCCTGTACAGTACATTGTGTGCATACATATGTATGAAATATGTTATGTAAATAAAATCCAATATTTTCTTGGTGCTTTTGTCAAGACTTCATTTTAAATTAAAGTGAATTTTTCTTCAAAAACAACAACAAAACATGCTGATAAGAGAAATAGAAAATGACAAGTATGACATTATGTAAAACAACAGTACCAGCACTGGAATTGTGTGCAGGTCAGCATGCTGATGTTTGCATTTAGCCCCAAGAACTGCAGCTTTATCTGTCTGACAGTCCTCTGCATGGCTGTAGACCCTTAAATATCTGTCCACAAAGTTTTTTCCTTTGTATTCTAGCCCAGATCCACTGCATCATCCATCTCTCTCCTTTCTTTCACTTGTCTACTGTTTTTCGATGGCAATGCCAAGAACCATCTGTCAAAACCATATCTTTAAACCAATCAGTCATACAATAATCAAGCTTTAATGAGATCTTGAAGGGTTTCAAATGTGTCCTTGGTTTTACTGTCTTTGATTAATTGCATGAGAAAGGACATGCTTACAGCTAAAACCCATCCTTAATCAAATAATACAAAAGATCTCTCAGTCGCAGTCTTTCTAAGTCAGGGAGCTCAAGGCTGCATCTAAACAAGTAAAAGCCTCATTGTATTTTCAATCATTTTGTGAGTGCTAAAAGAAACAAACCTGTGATCTCTTCCAAAGAAACTATAGGCATGTTCATAAATGTTTTCCAAGTAGTTGTGTACAATTAACATCTGTTTTTATCTATTAATTTGCAAAAACTTACAGCACTAGACATCTTAATGTGTGCTATCCCTTAACTTCTTTGGTAATTAAATGAATGAGGCATAACCTTCCATTTTTCCATGAAACCATGGAAAAATGGAGGGTTATGCAGTACTATTTTGGAATTTCCCCCTGTGGGACTAATAAAGGAATATTTTATCTTCATTTTGAAGATGGGCTTTATCTTAGCAGTGAAGAGGACACTCATACACCTTACATATAGACATCCTATTGAGATGAAAGCCACCTTTAAAAAAATTGCAATTTACCGTCTACATTGAGTGTATCACAGCTAAGCTGCTGCTCATTGTAAAGTACACATCACTGTACATTATCACCTGGTCTTCTTTACTTGACTTTGGGTTTCTGTAAACAAAACTGGGTAAACCTGTGTTGACTACTACACCTCAGCAACAGCTTTCATGATATTTGTGCAAGAAGAAGGCTCCTACATTATATACTAAGGTAGTAAGGTGCTGTAAGATAGATATCTCAAGTTTATACTCTGGTAATGCAATAACCTTCAGAGCTGCAGCTGAATTATTTTAACTTTCTTGAGTGGGAATCAAAGCTCTGATAAACATCCTGTACCTGGAGAGTGGCATTTCTCCTTAAAAGACAAACATTGATGTGGGCGTACTTCCTTATTCTTTAAAGGTACAACAAAAAAGAAAATTATGTGTCAAGAGTGTGGAAGAAATGAAAAACTTTTGGTTTCATTTAAGAAATTTTAAGTTGCTCAACAAATCTAGGAGATGGAGGGAAATATAGTATGTGTCGCGTCCACAGTAAGGATCGGCCGATAATATCGGTCGATATTCTCCATTTTTACAATTATCGGGATTAGCTGTTTATTCCACCGATAGCCGATAAAAACTGTTTATTTTAAAATGTGCTCGATCGGCTCCTACACAGCTGCCTATCTCTGCCTGAAGTCACCACTCTTGGCTATGTAACAATATCATGCCTACAGTCCCCACTGATTGGCTACACAGACAGCCAATCAACACTCAAGCTTCTAATTGTTACAATTAGAGTCCATCATAAATGCCGCAATAAGACCTCTACACTTTTTGTTGTTTTTGTTGTTAAGAATAAAACAACTGTTTGAACCTTTTCAACGAAGCTAAACTGATAACAGTTTAAGGTCTTTTATTACAGATTTTTACAGTGTACAAAAGAAAAAAACAGTGTTCTGTGTTCAGTCAATTCCCAGGTGTGTTATCTAGAATTTCGAAACCAAAATATACATTTTTACTGAGAAATGAATATCAGCTCTAAATATTGGTTATTGGTTTCCTTGAATATTAATGATAAGTATCAGCCCTAAAAACAAAAACATATCGGTCGATCTTTAGTCCACAGTGCAAAAAACAGCCGAGTTTTCTGACGGTTAAGTTGTAAAAACTCTTTCAATTACATTGTTTTGATCAGATTTCTTAAAGTTCGCTATATTATTTGGCAAACTTGATGAATCTGCAGTGGTTCATAGCCTAGCTTGCATAACAGCCACCGACCCGACATCTCCTATAGGTAATAAACTAACTTTTCCCTCATACAATCCCATCTCTAAAATAAAAAGAAGCCATCCCCTCAAACCATCTGCTGTATGTAATGCTGTGTAAAATAGACACTGTGTGTCTGTTTCTGTGAAGAGATAGTTACATGATTAAGTCCATGGGGTGTGTCCCCACAGATCTTTCAGTCACATCCTGTCTGTCTGTCTGTCTGTTTGAATGCCGTGACTAAATCATCAATAACACAATCACTAGCACTTGTAAAAAACAACAGGCAGACATGAGTGACTAATCCTAGTCACAGATGTTGATCAATAATTTTCACGTCACTGTTAATCTGCACCTGAGTTCTATTGTCCTTGTGTTCGGATCAGGGTTTGGCTGCTAGGAAGGGGGGCTGTTCTCAGTCCTTTCAGCCCAGTCAAGTGGCATGAAAATGAATTTCTAAGCAGCACAAAATCACACAATTTTGTTTTTTTCCCTTAAAAACAAACATCTATCCATGCGACCCCCCCGCTGTTCTTAAGATTTTCTGGGAAAACATGACATGAGAGAGAAAATGACAGCAGATCATGCTGAGACTTGTTCATCCATCTGCGAGATGTGAATCTTTAACTGCTGGCTCACGTCTCAGCAGGAGGGAAAAAAGCTCAATAATGTATAAGACTGCATAGATGTGTCCTTGTAGGTTTCACAAGAAAAATAACATACTTCATGATACAGAGGAGATGGTTCGGCGGTGGTGGCTGCTTCACAAGAAAAAACAAAACGAAATGTTAGATCAGCCAAGTTTATGACTTTATCAATATTTCATAAGAAATGTATTACTGAAAACACTAGAGAAGCACCAGCAGACTGTAGATTGGACAATTCGACAATGAGGGATACTAATCCTAATACTTCTCCTCATCTCCTAACTGCCTGAGCACCACCATAATTTTGAGCAGTAACATTTGCAGCATGGAGTTTAATTGCATCAAATGCTCCCATCAAAAGCAAACACAAAAGGCTTTGTTCAAAGTATACAGAGAGGCAGCACAGAGGTGCTCAGAGGCTTTCTCTGCTGTCAGCCCAAAAACATCCTCATGACAGAATTGCTGAAACAAAAAAAGAGTCCACATCCCACCTTAAATGTTGCACAGGTACAATAGGTGCTGGCCCTTCATTAACAAAGATAGTTGTCAGCACTTGCAAATCAGTAGGCAACCTTTTTAATGATGCATATCAGCAGGAAAAAAAATGATGAGTTTCAGATCTACACCTCCACTTCTTTCCTCAAACATTTAAGAAGGTGACAGGTTAGCAGAATACACAAAGGCTACGAAATATTGAAAAGAAACTAATGTTTGTCATTCTGGTCCTTCCTGTGGCTGTCTGAAACCCACATCGAAGAAAAGAGACACAAAAGATGCAGGTGGAGCAGCACTTTACTACATCAACTTCACTGTTTAGTGCAACTGTTATCAATAAATTCTGTTAGTGTTCACACCATGTCACAAAGCCATCACTCCAAACGGCACAGCAATAAAACTAGCCAATAACCGCAGACTTGGCCAAGGAAGGGCTGGAGAGAGTTTTCAATAATAGTGGCTGCTCCTGCTGCTGTTTGCTAATACTACGACCACAGCACAGGGTCTTAACAGGTTACATTAGTCTTGCAGATTTTTTAAGTCACTCTACTACACAGCCTACAGATTTGCAGATGTTTAAACATTTTCATATTCAGATTTCGTCCACATGATTTGACGTCTGTAGTAGGGACTGAAAAATCACTGCAGCGATCTTAAATGTTCTTTTCTCACTGTTAGGTAACTATTACTACCTGAACAAACTAGCCTTATTCTTGTGAAAGGTCAAAAGGTGAAGTCCTGCAAAATTCAAGACACTGTGCAGTAGTTGTTCAGCAAACAAAACAACCACACCACGGCTTTGATACTGGGCCATCAACCTGTTCATATGATCCAGGATCTGGACTTGGAGTGGTGTACTCAGATCTTGAGTGTCAAGATGAGAAACTGAGTCGGATCAATGACTCTTGATAGCCCTGTGGCATTAAAATGACTATTTTTCAGAACTACAGCCCTGAACAATAGTCAATGGTTAAATAACTTGTTTGATAATCTGATATGATGATAGTTTTTCCTTTTCTCTCCATCAGTGCCATAACAACCAAAATTTCCACCAACTGCAACCTACTAGCTCCTCATTTGAACCCAAGGCTAAAACAAGTCGTCTCATCTCTATTTCAGATGCTTCTGAGAAATCTGGGTTTTTGAAGCTCTATTTTGGTTTGCCCATGAGGATGTTTCAGTGGGCAGAGTCACTGTGTAGTGTTTCATGTGATTGTACCCCTGACTTTCATTTCTTTGTCCTTTGATGGGATGTAAAAGCAGTTCCCTTTGATCATGGCATGGGACAGAAGTCTGATAAAAAATAAAAAAAAAGGACTGTGAAAAACAAGTAGGGATCCCACTGACACCTGTTTTTACCCACTTTACTGCAATAGTACTTGGTTGGCAAGATACTGTTAAAATTGTGATATGATTATGCCACTCTATATGTGAAACATTTGAGGGCTAACCAATGCCTGTCAGAGGTATCCTCTGAGAACCATGAATATCTGACTGCCAATCTGACTGCACTCTCTCATTGTTTTCAAGAACACTAAACATAATTATGTTAGATGTTCAGAGCTAGTACAGCAAACAGTTTAATATTATGGACATCTATTTCAGAGATACGAGGACATTTCCCTCCATCAGAGTCAGAGGGATTCGTCCTTCAGATGCACATCACTAGCATATTAGGCTAGAGTTAAATGTTGTAAGAGTTCCCTGACTTTGAATACATGCAGACATGTTCATTCAGATCTTTCTATAAAAGAAAAAGTAATTTTTTTCTCCTCATTCTGACAAACTTGACTTTTTTACTTTAAACAAATCTGTATCTTAACATTGTAACACTGGCAAAATTTGTCATTTTAATTTTTGGACTCAAAACAAGACAAATCTGGTTTACCTGTGTTTATAACTTTTTACAGTGAAACTAAGACCCAGTGAAAAATGAGGATCAGGCAAACCTGAATTTACATGCCAGTTATCAGCTTAAATCAGAGAACTTGAGTCCAGGAAAGGTATAAATCAGGAAATTACAACATTTCAGTCATCATATCTGGTGAGGCAAATGTCTACAATGTTTTCCATGAACACTCAAACATCATGTAGGATTCAGACTCACACAAGCCCTGTTTGTTTTTGTTTTTTTTTTACAAAATGTTGGATTTTTCTTAAATCATTTTCCAGCCAGCCTAAGATGTAAAATCTCACTGTGTCCTGTATCTTGTTTTTCCCCAAGGCAAAGCAAAACTGTTTAAAGTGGTAAAATAACCCCAGAACCTCAGACTACTTTACTGAATGACCAGAATAGACAAATAGTTAATGATTAGATGGCAAAGCATGCCATTTAAGTCCGACAGCACAAGCTTGTGGCCCAATGATGATTGAAGGCTTAAAAGGCAATTAGACAAATCTTCAGAGGAAAGGTACGTGACAAGTCTCGGTACACTGTGATAAACCTCATACAACACACCCCACAGGGATCAATAAACCAACTGTGCAGCTGGGTTATGTTGTATAACAAGCAGTTAGGGGAGTTTTCAGCCTCAAAGAGACCACTTAGTATGATGATCAGATACCCCATAATAGTTATAGAGTGTCTCTGTGCTTCATACTCTAGTATTTGAAGGCTGTTGTATCTCAAAGGACTTGACTCAAACAAAAAAAAATGCTATTTCAAAGCCGTGGTTTCAGTTCCATATAAAAAAAAACAGAAAATTACACTGACTGATAATTTGTGAACTATGCTGCTGGGATAACCCCTTTATGCCAATGCAGCCTTTTGCACTGCTTTTAGTTACACTGCCAACTATTAACATGTGCATGATTTGTGCTATTTATTTTCTCAAACTCACTGCAGACTGAGAGTCTACATTTGTGCACTTGAAAAAAGCAAATCAGGGATCACTGTTACCTGCGGGTTGGATTTCTTTTTAGCTTTCCTCTGAGTCTGCTTGAAAGATATAAAGACTTTGTTTCAAAAAGTTTTTTGTAAGACTTCGTCCTTGCCATCAGCAGCACCTCTGTGAAAAGCTCAGGGCGCTGTCTCTACACCATGAGAGTGAGCCTGAGGCCCTGAAGAGCATTTAGAGTTAAAAACCCGAGGGACCTCTCACTCACAACAAAGAGAACATTGGACAAAAGATGCTGAATAGAACACACACTCCTGCCTCCACTTGTTAAAAACAAGCCTCGAGCTTCCTATCATCTGTACAACCTCAGCAAGAACTTATCCCTGTGGTGTTGTCTGCACCCCTACAGTCAATATGCTGTTGATGAGTCCTGGACAGAGACATGCACAGTCATAAGGCAGCCGAAAACATTTCATGGTCAGGCTTTGACTGTTGAACATATGAAAAGATCTACTTGAAGGACAAAACTTTTGAGTATTTTATAAACTTTTTAGACATTTAGACAAACTTGTTTCAAAATCTATTTTGTGTTTACATTTGCATCAAAGGTCTCTGCAAACTGTGTAAGTTGGTTTAATACTTTTTATAGACTGTATATAGAATGGCTGTCATCTGCCTCCTCGCTGAGTGAAGCCACTCCAAATACATCGCCCTCTGGTGACGGGCTGCAGTGTAGGTTATAAACTCATAAACAAACTTTAGAAATTGATACAGAAATTGATACACTTGATACAGCCTATGGGCGTACGAAGATTGCGTAGCTCACCTGAGGGATACACTGTTGGAACAGAGCGTCATCACAGCGACTCTGTCGCCAAATGCGTACAATGCTACGGCGCAAGTGGTGGTTCCAGGAAATGGAGAAAATCTCAGAAATACTGGGAGCATTTTGGCTTCAAATTTGTTTAATGATGGAAGGCAGAGCAAAGTTGTCCGTAGTCTGTGGTACTTTTAATCAAACAAAACAGAAAATCAATCAACATCTATTTGGTCCAGAATAATTTGGGGAGTTTTATTTCTCTCTGTCACTTTTTGGATAAAATAACATAGTGGTGACTTTGACTCCAATTATTTTTTTTTTTTTTTCTTTTTCAAATAAAACCATCCAGCTTTCAAATTACTCATCTCATCGTTTTAAATACTTGATTCTGATTGATCACAACCCCTTAGAAATTATGATTGATTGCAATTAGTTACCAGAACAGGGGGTTCAGTATATTTATTACAAAGTTTAAGATGCCACAACTTCCTGTTGACAGGATGGTGGTTTCAGATCGCACCTTTGATATTACTCAGTCTTCAACGAGAGTCAACAGCAGAAAGAAGAAGAAAAGTAAGAGATGTTAAATCACACAAGAGCTAAGTGAAAAAGATGTCAACTTAGCTGAAGAAAACAGACACAAAACAACACAAACTGTGTGAACTCCGGCCGTGTTACAGGACTGGTGGAGTGAGGGGAAAATGCCAACAGAAAAGTTAGGGTTGAGAGAAGACACTGTAAGGATTTTCAGAGGATGCAGAAAATTTATTTATGGGTGAATAAATATGAAAAGTTTCAGGTTACTTCAAATACCTGAAGTAACTGAAGTACTGAGTTGGCTGGTAGAAACACCTTTTCTATGGAAGTGCTACTGTCAAACTAGAGGGACTTTTTTTAGCAGCAAGAATTCATTATTTACGAATCAATAAAATCACTTTAAAAACAAATGACCGCTTGCAACCACATGTACAACACAGCATGACTTCTCATCTGTTCCAGTCTAAAAATTCATCACATGTGCCTGTGAAATAAAATCTGGCTTGTATTTCCCAACACTAAAACAAGTGGAAAGTGCAAAACAGTCACAGAAAAAAAAGGGGAGGTGTAAAAATTGAACAAATATGTAATGACAGCAGAAAATTGCTATCAATTTGTTTGTGATGTGCAGCAAATCTTGTGACTAAAGCGTATGACATCTCATAACCTCTGTTATGCTCTGAATCTGTCTTATTTCCATTTTTTTGTGCCAAACAATAGATGAAAATGTCAGCTTTGCACTGTTAGCCCCCCAGGCAAAACAGGAGATAATTGTTTGTTTATCTTAAAAACTAATAAAGAAAAAAAACTGTCATAATTATCTTTAATAATTGACTGTATGTGATACTGTGGCCCTCAGTTAAGTAAAACAAAACAAAAAAAATCGTCTTTTAAATGAAGTAGAAACTGAAAAACATGCTCGGCATTTAAAGACGATTGAACGATGACCCTTCTTAGTGCTAACTGGATGACACAGCAGAGACACCGCCACTCCATCATCCAATCTGACCACGTGCTGGAGAAAAAGGTATAAAAAAATTGGATAGATAGAGGATTATTGAGGGCATTGCGCACAAGCTTCAGCCTCTGACTGCATGGGAAAGTCTTAACAGCGTCGGGGAAAAACCCACAATGCTTCTATGACAACCAATGTTTGCACTTTTGTTGCGTATTGTACACGCAAGGTCACCAAGGCTGCGTTTCTGGCAGCAGTGAGAAAATGTTCCCATCTGACCAGTCCATCTATGACAACGAGTCTACGCACAATGGAGAGCAGTGGAGGGGGAGTCAGAAGGCATCATATGTTTAAAAATCACTGGACACCCACACAAAGGTAGCTTTTGTGGCATCAAAACAAAGGAGGCTCAAGAAAACCATGTGTGGATCTGCGTTAGTGTTACGTTCAACTGCTCTGTAATCAGACAATGAACAGTCTGTGCAACACAGCTGGGATGAACTGACTTTACAGCTCTGCCCCATTAACAGGCAGAAAAGTCCAATTTACCGAAAAATGAAGGAACCATGACGAACAAAAATCAAAGAACTTATTATGATCTATTCTGACCATGGTTTGATCAATTCATTGGATCATTAAGCTGTATACTTGTTCTACATAGGCTTTAAAAAATTCACACACAAAGTTATGTGGCCTCGATATAGAAACAAGCAGCACTTATCATGAGACACAACAGTTAATAAAATAAAGCAGGTCCTGTTTGTTGGGTTTCCCCACATTTGTTCAACCTTAACAACACAATATCTGCCTTATTCACACTTCAAGATCTGCACTTAAAACCCAGAGCATGTCTAATGGAGGCATAACTCTTTTTTTCCCCAATCTAAAAATAGAGCGTGGGCACTGACTATACAAAGTCAACCTCCTCACGTGTAACTGAAGTGAACCCAAAATAAACACCAGGATGAGCGAGTTCATGGTAAATCCCCTTTTGTTTGGTTTTAAATCACAGCAAATATAAATTCTGCTTTTTCGGAAAACTGTTGAACATTTACTCTTCATAGCCGTGTCTCTCAATAACCTACTTTTATCAGCAGAAAAGGACAGAAAAACACAATGACCCATCAAATTAAAATTTTACTGAAGCTACCACCTACAGGCTGAGTTTGCAGGTGGTAGCTCAAGCAGGTGCTGGCAGACAGCTTTGCTATTGAGAAAACTGCCACAGCTCTATGGCTTTTAGTTTGACTCATGTCCCATCTGTTAACATGGAGAAAGTGGGCTTTATGACTAATGCGGCAGCCAGTCCACAGGGGGGAGCTCTAAAATTTCCACTTCACTCGTTGTTGGAGTTGTCATGTAGTTCATCTTTTTAAACAGTCTATCAAGCTTCAATCAATCAAGCTTTATTTATATAACACTTTTCACACAAGTCAGATGCAATTCAGAGTGCTTAACAGTGATTGAAAACAAAACAGCTAAGAAGAAGAAAATAAATAAAATCAATGACAGAAAATGGAACAATTGGATGGAAAAAAGAAAAACAGAATAAGGAGAGACTAATGCAAACCAATAGCAGTAAAAATGTTATTAAAACATTGAAACAGATAAAAAATAAGTTGAACATAAAAGAAGACATCAAAATATATAATATAAAAAGATAGAAAGATAAGTTAGATATATAAATAAAAACACTAAACTAGCAATACAAATGAGTGAGTAAAAAAAATTACACCAGGTTAGAATAAACCAACAAACATTAAATTTTTATACAAAACAGGAAATCATGAAACCAATATCAGCCAGACTTAACAGAGAGGTCTTTAGTTCACGATTAAAGGTCAGATCCTCTGGCAGACTGTTCCAGAGTCTTGGGGCAAAGTGACAAAGAGCAGCTGAGTGCAAGATTTAACTTTCACATTACTTCCAAACACACTCCAACTCTATTGCAAAGTCAGAGCCTGGAGGTCAATTTCCAAACACAGAGCTAAACTTAGATGAAGAAAACAGATTGCACAAACTTGTTTTATCACCTCAGATACACATCTGATATGTAACAGTATCTCCTCCTGACCTAACCTTGAAAATAATAGCCCTGTATCTGGAAGGGATGCTGGGAATTGGAATTCACCTCACTGAGGACTCAGACAAAGTGTAGACCAAAACATTTTCTATTTAGGTCTTTATAAAGTCACGTCTACACTAGCATCTTCCTATATGTTTAATTTTGAAGCATCTGATCATCATAGTGTTCTAATTTCTCAGATATATATCAACATGGCATGATATATGTGAAATAGTGCTTGCTACATTAGTGTTATTTTGTTTTTTAACAAGATACAATAGTGTGAACGGTTTAGTTACATTGTTTTTTATAATATTCTCAGTGTAAATAAAGCTGTTAGTATTAAGCCGCTGCAGAAGACAGAACAAAAAAACACAGCCTGGAGAATAGACACTCCATTGTTACTCATAATGCATATCGCAGCTGTAAAAACACAGGATCCCACTTTGTTACTTTGCAGGTTGCTTTGTTACTGTTACTAAAATACCATGGCTCACCTACTGAACCCTGTAACCTTAGTTTACTAATATTTTTTAATTGAGTCAATCTGTTTATTGGATTATTAAAACCTAATCATAACTGCCACTTATGACCGAACTGTTCTCATTATCCGTCATTTTTTAATTAATCTTACCACTCACATAAAGATGTTATTTTACTTTAAGCCACTGAATCCTTTCCGAGTTATCACTTACTGAGACCTATCCATCTTAATCAGAATTATACAGCAGAGAATGTGATATCAGGCAAGATTCAGCCATGCTCTCTCATGAGGATTCTTTTAGAGTAATAATGTATGAATAAATTATATGATGAACTTCTTATCAAAAGAAATGCTTGCTGTGGGGCTGCAGTGCATTTTAAGTTTAACACTTTTCTAATCTTATCCCTGCTTCCCACACTATTTGTGTGGGTTTGTCCTACTCACAAATCAGTTGGTGCATCTCATGTAGGTGCCCTGACATTCACTGACCAAACTGGACTAAAAAAAAAAGTGCTGAGAATGAAGTCTGCCTTGATGATATTATTACATGACTGCTGAGAATTTACCTCGACCACCATGTTTGAAACTCAAGCAGTACAAAAACATGTTAAATGTGACTTAAACAATAATGTAGGTGCAAACAGGTGATTGTGATTATAAAAAGGTATTTGTCTTCTCTGAGCCTCTATTTGGAGGTCTGTAAACTAGGGCCGTCCCAGCTTTTTAACTTCTGATGTGATACTGATATTGTGGCCTTTAGTAATGGCTGATACCATATTGACCTAATATTGGCACAAAATTGTGTATGAAAAGTTTTGCATTCAGCTGCAATGTCTTTTTTGAACTTAAATAAAAAAAATAGGGATGCACGATATTTATCGGACCGATAAAATATCGGCCGATTTGGGGGGAAATTACGTCATTTTTTATCGATCCGATAGGTGCATTTTTCCGATAGAAAGATCCGATATATTAATGAAATTACGAGTAACGTTTGCAGGCGGAGTAGCCGCCCGTCCGAGACGCGCTGGTTACGTCATCTATCGCGCCTTACTCGCAGGTCCCAAGCCTGACCCCGTCACTACCTGACAGATAATAAAATGTCTTCACCAGCATGGTCGTTTCTCTCAGTGGCAGAAGATGACAACAGCATTGCTATATGCAAAACCTGTTCAGCGAGGATTCCGAGAGGAGGAAAGAAGACGTCAAGTATTAACACAGCGAATCTGATAGCTCATCTGAAAAGTCGCCATCGCGGCGAAGCGGTAGTAAAAGAATATGAGACAGCCGCCGAAGCTGCTAGCGGTACTAAAGCTAAGACAACAACACTACGGAGGATCGATGTCCCCATTCAGCAGGCGTTTGAAAACTGCAAAAGCTTCTCAAGAGACAGCGAAAAGGCTAAAGCCATTAACGACAAAGTGATGGAGTTCATAGCGGTCGACGACCAGCCTTTTTCCGTCGTTGAGAACCCGGGTTTTCGCAAGTTAATAGCACACTTGGAGCCACATTACACTCTCCCAAGCCGCCGCTTCTTCTCGGATGTGTCTCTTCCTGCACTCTATGATATTGTCGCCACATACATTCACAACCTGATCGACAAGAACGGACTACACGTGAGTTTTACCACAGACATATGGACGTCAGATGTTAGTCCGGTCAGCATGCTAAGCCTAACGTCTCATAATAGCTCCTTTACAGTTTACAGTTCTGTTGAACAGTTCAGGGGATCAAATGAAGTTCTGCTTTTTGCTCTGTTATTGTTATTTATAGCAAATGACCACATTTGAAGAGCCAAAAACTTTTGTTTGTTGTTCTAGATAGGCCAGAGCAACAAAAACATCAGTTTTCAATCGCTGCATCCTGCATAAACTGCAGATTATATGAAGATTATAATAAATGTAAAAATATGAATTTATCGGTTATCGGTTTCGGTATTGGCCATGAGAAGAAGAAAATTATCGGTATCGGTTGAAATTTTTCATATCGTGCATCACTTATCAAGCAAATAACTTACAAATACTGCAACATGGCCAATATTGTGATCGTGTGGGTTCTACATGCTGGATCCAGGCGCTGCTAGATAGAGGTGCTGGAGCGGAGTCTGGAATGGACTGCTTGTATCAGAGTGCTGATATCCGAGATTTTAGATGCATGCCGATATAATCAGATATTGTTTTGTTTTTGCTGATATTGGACCGATATCAATATCATATTGGGACATCCCTAAAGTAAACATGCATAGCAAACAGAAATTGTTTTTACATGAGAAAATCACAATCGTGAGGTTGTAGGAGTAAGTTTTAATTCGATGTAAAGATGAATTAACATGATTCTGTCTTTCAAACCTCTTCAGTGGACACACCTAACACTGAACATGTGATTATTGATTATTGACCCAGTGATATGTTTTCTCTAAGAGTAAAAACATGATTGCCAACACAGATACTGTTTAAGTCAGAACAAAACTCTAAATGAAGCCAAAGGGGAAACCAGGCTTCTCTATTTGCATTCAGTGAAGCAGACTCCAGTAAAACTGAACTTTTGAGACAAGCGAAGGCTGAGAAGAGTTTGTAGAGGAGGAAGAGAAACAACACTCTGATTTGTGGCAGCTGAAAGATGACATCACTGTGAGAGGCCACATGCAGGGAACCCACTGCCCTACTGTACACAGAGAGAGAGGGAAAAAGAGAGAGAGAGGGAGAGAGACATAGAGTGGCAAGCAGAGAGAGAGAGAGAGAGAGAAAAGCTGGAAAGGCCAGACTTTGTGTGCCTTTCTCTCTTGGACCACATGTCACAAGACCGTTTCAGTCTCATTCCGCTGTCTCGACCCCAAACCTTTCCAGAGAAAAAGGAACTAAATGAGAACTAAATTGTGGGCAGGACATCACGACAAGGATGTCTCTGAATGAGTCACTGTTGATTGGAGTTGCTGAAAAAGGCCAATAATTAAGAGGGAGTGTCTTTCTGTCATACTCACAACACCCACACACGTTCTAATTACCCCATCATATTCAAATCCCTCTATTTAACTTGTATTGCTTTATAATGATGGAAGCCCAGTCTGTGTCAGCACTTTGTCTGTTGTCCTTTAACTTACAAAAACTTCTCAATGTAAGCTCTTATAAATTAAAGCTTTTGTGGGGAATTATAACAGATTAGCTACAATCAGAAGGTGACAGAAGGCCTGGCAGACTCTGCAGGACTCTGGACCCAGGAAGGTCCAACAGTGAGTGTCGCCATTTGGCAACCCCCTTAACAACATGGCTGCAAATCTGTCAGATGAACTGAACTGAGAGAAATTAATCACTGTGCACTGCAGCTTTCACCTGTGTTCTTTTCAACACTGTTGAGTGAACAAATGATTGTGACCCAGTAGCTACCAGTGCGACCCATATACCAGCATAAGACATGGGGAGGTATCTTTTTTGTATGTTGTGGTATTTTACCCAGAAGATGGCGCTCCAAGAATAAAGCACAGTGGGCTATAAGACCAGGAAGATCAGGTTGGCTACACCATTGTTTGGAAACTTCTCTGTCAAACCAGGTCATTAAAAGGTGGCATGATATCAAGCAAATAAATCTTGGCAGATGTGGATGGCGCAGGTCTAGGTGAATTGGTTTTCCGGCAGTGCTTCACAAATATTAAGGCAACCATGAGCTAAACTCAACTTCGGTGTCAGTAGCCAACAGGATCGTAAACTCTATAGGGCAAAAACAGAGAGTGCAAAGGAAACAGAAGCTATATATTTAAGACTTCCCTGAATGCAACAGAAATGTGACATTACCCATGGATTTATACTCTCCATATACACTGAAGCAGACTATACATCCTTTAGGGAAATGAATGCTATGACCCACAAACAATGACAGGCGCCTGCCAACATCCTGCACCCATCACTCACTCTGTCTGTCTTGAAACACTGTATAAAAAAGCTGTGAATCAGTGTTATCTAGGATTGTTGCTTTCTATTGTTATGCATTTCAAAGTTGGGTCAATAACATCTACAAAGAAAGTTTGTCACATTTTTGAAGTTATGTATTGATTATATAGGATTCTGACGCTAATAGGGGATCCATTTTGTATCATGTTAGACTCAGAAGCAGCACTTTGTTCATAATATAAAGGTTGTTTCTGGTTTCTGTGTGGACAGGTCACACTTTAAAACAGGAAGGATTTCATTTTACCAATGAGAAAATATCTGCGGCTGCTTGAACATAAAGACAGTCATTTTAACCCTGAACTAACTTCTTGTGATTTGTTTTTTTGGGCTTTTCTTGGGAGGAGACCACTGCAGACGCTGAGGTGACTCAGGGTCAGTGGAAACTCTGTTGGGGTGTATAGTGAATTGCATTAGCTCAGCTTAACAGTGGGCAGCTGTGGTTGCTCATTGTCAGCCAATGATGATGATGATGTGCGGACATTATTTTTGATTTGATAAGCTGAGACCATCTAATATTTGAAACCATTTTTCAAGTGAAATGACAAACCAAGTGAATGACAGTCTTCTTAGGGTCTTTCGTAACTTTTTCTAAATAGCATGCATGATCCCAACTTCAAATTGTTTGGCAGACTCGCAAAAAATTAAGGAGCACCTCGACTGTAAGATACATATTAGCATTTCATTTCATCCTGATGTGTAAAACTTTGACATTCAAACCTGATTGTCATTTGCCCAGTATCCCTAATGTCTGGCACTCCATGTTTGGTCACAGAAATGTTTGGACTCTGTAGTCGCCGCAGTGCAACCTGCAACCTTGGTCCCAGTATAAAAACTGCAGTGCCTCGTGCCATATATTACAGCAGAGCAATTGGAGGTCAGCCGCTCTTTCCAAAAACCATAAGCCCTCTGTGCCTCTGGTGCATCAATACACCTTATCATCACCATTTCTATCTTCATGATCTCCTGTAATGTTTGATGGTCTACAAACAAATCCCTCAGTGTTCTCTTAATCTGCTCTTTTCTGCAGATCTGAGTTTGCATTAGCTAGCTCCCCACCACATGACAATGAAGTGCACTGATAAGGAGTGATTTGAGCTGATATCAATGAATACAAAATGAGCACTGAAAGTTAAGAATGCTAAGATACAATTTAATTGATTATATAAAAGCAAGACTGAAAAGTGAATTGAATGAATGTTTTGTGATTTCAGCTGCTCTAGGCTAGACATAAAAACACTGCACCTCTTTGGCATTACTTATCAACCAGCGATCACTGTATTGGCAACATTTTCATTAAGAAATTATAGAGGGGGAAAGTCAATTTTTACACAAATGCTCCCAGATACAGTCCATAACAGATTTAAATTTAGGGAGCAAATGCAACTTTAACAGAATTTCAAGTACTAGATTCCAATTTGCTGTGAAAATTTATTAGCCAAAGATGTTTTTCTATAAGTTAAAAGATTCATCTGTTAATCCAGGTTAATTCTATAGACTTAATAATACATCTCTTATTTTTTTCTGATAAACTCAGTTTGATATTTGCAACTGATAGCCCCGTGACACAGAGAAAACACTTACGCTTCACTTGAGACCAATGAACAGTGAACTTGAACACTACTTAGTCAGCAATAAGATCTGCAGTGGAAAACTGATACTGACCACAGAGAAAATCAAAGACGTGTACTCACAGAAGACGCTCTTCTTATTGAGCCAGATGCAAGAGGATGAGCAGGAATTGCCGTCAGCAGACTGTCAGCCTGAAAGACAAACAATAGTTGGATTAAAATTTGACATATCTCACATCACAGCAAAAAACAAGACCATGTTGTCCGGATCAAATTACGTGAGTGATAAATCACAAGGATTCCTGGCATTTGTATGACTAAGGGGTTAAAAAAAACTCCCCCCATGACAACCACAGGGGGGTTAGAGGAAAAAAAAAAGGATGAATACGTGATTCTATGACAGTAGAAACAGGAAGAGGAAAAGTTTTGGTAGGTCATAAAACTTTGTCACGCATGCTGACCCTTCCCTCTTCTTTATATTAGAAGCACTCTTTGATCACTGGGTTTCCTTCAATACCCACACAATCTGTCACACACGTACGCACACAATACATGCTATGTTCATGATCAAAACCCCAGTTTGGCAAACACTCATCCAGTCTGCAAACCAGCACACACACATGTACACACACCAGCACACACATACTCGGCATGCATTCATGTGATAGAAGAGAAAATGTCAATGTCCAGCTTCAGTAATGGCTCTATAGTGACCACATCGCTAGGAAAGCCAACAAGCAGCCAGTAAGTGAGTCATCAGTCTGGCAGCCAAAGCTCTTTAAACAAGAAGCTGGATGTATGTGCTCTGTTGTTTCAGCTCTGACTGACAATGGAAGGTTGAGTTCACACCACATGACCGGAGGCCAACCACAGAAAGCTACAATCCAGGCTCAAAGGGAAGTGTGCATCTGAAATGTAGGAATGCGACATGATTATATTTCCACATGCCGATGAACTGGTTTGTGATTAAAACTATTGCAAGAGCATAAAAATGTGTGGTAATAGAAGAGGGAAGGAGGAAAAAAATACTAAACAAAAACCAGGAAATACATCTCGATAACTCCACAAAGTCCAACTTATATTTGACTTTGTTAATTTCAGTGAAGCTCAGAGTCAAAGCAGCAACAGATCACCTGCAAGCCCTTGACAGTCTTCTTGACCAGTCTCACAATCCCAGCTTAACTGAAATATTGCAGCAGTAAGGAGACATGCAAAGTTTGAGGTTGCTAGATAGAAATCAACTGCAGCGGTGTGACAAATACACACAAGCTTCCTTCTTAGTGTGATAGACGAGGCTTCTTGGTTCTGCTGCACCACATAAGATGATACACAAAAGGTTGAATTGAAAAAATGTTGGTCAAGTTTGTTGAGCAATTACAAGACAGAAACTGCAGATACAGAATTCTTAAAGAAAATGTTAATAATTTAAAATATTGATCCATTTTTATGTTTCCACTGTTCTCACAACACCAAAGCACCGTGACATACTTGAGTCAGTCATGCAAACCTTTGGCCATCGATCAGCTCAAAATCCCCAATCTATGTCATTTGGATAGATTAATAATTAAACACCAAAGCTCAACTGCTGGCAGATACCATCGAGCAGATACTAGACTATGATAAATAATCAATATCATTTTATGCTTTCTAAAATGCACTGGAATGAAAACACTTTCCACAGACCAAATACAGGGTAACAATTCTCAGAGTAATCTAGAAATGGTATCACTAAGTAGTTTGTTTTACAGTGTCCTCGAACTCATTTGTTTATAAACACTCTGAGCACTGTCTGTGGGAAAGCATCGTAGCTGAGCAGTCACTTGGTGGTACTAAAATTAGTAGAATGTATAATAAATATTATCTTATGAAGTTATCTGTATATCAAATTTTAATGGAATAGTTTCTGATCAGAATCTATACTCTGTCTGTTACACTCTTGTACATCTCTCCCTTTCTCTCAGTTACCTGCTCAGCAGATGTCTCAGGGACTTCACAGAGAGGAAAGAGAGAGAGAGGTCCTCCAGGTGACTGATAACAGATGGCAAACACATATTCTATTTAAAATAAATTAAACTGCTCAGCATAGAGCCCTACACATGAACAGACCGCCTAGTGGGCAACACTTTTGGTGCATACTCACCTGAAAAAACTTCTCCTGCTTCTATATGTGTCTCTATGCAGCTAAAGATGCCAGAGATATTATCAAAAACAAAATAAGTTAAAGTTAGATATCGCTTACTGCTGTTAGAAGAAAGGTACCAAAATTCTTTGTCATATCTCCGCAATTAAACTCAAACCCTTTACATACTGGTTTCCCTCTATATGAAGTACAGTTACTTTCCAGTATACAGTCTAGACCTGTGATGGATGTAAACTGACTTTTTATCTTATTTCTGCCGACACATACTGATGACTTTAGCTTTGAAAGGTTGAGCACAAACTATAACCAAAGGTGAGATGATGAATAAAAAACAGATACAATGACCTTCAGTCCACTCATTACCTAGATTATAGAAAAGGTCACTACTGAGCAAAAGTCAGACATGAGATAGTGTGTTGACTTCTCTTGCATAGAGGAACAAGCAGCCCAATGAAAGCTATTTATCCTCGGAAAGTGTTTGACCTTATTTAACTCTGACTTCATTGCTAAATGAATGCTGATTGATTGTGTAATGGCGTATAAAACGCTTGGTTTATAGACCCAACCTGCATCCACTCCATCATTGTGTTAATGATTTTTACACAAGCTCTCCACTTAGGCTACACGGATATTTACCTTTTCTAACACATTTTAATTATCCCAGACTCACTTGCCTCTCTCAATGACCGCAGTTTTATCTGAGAGTGAAACACTAAAAAAAGACAGAGCTTTTACCTTGTTCGACCCAGCCCTCGGGCATCATGGAAAGTAGCCCAAACATTCGTGTAGGCAACAGTATGTCCAGGGCTGCACATGATTTGCTCAGAACTGTATTAAAAGTGGACACACACTGAGACAACTGAACAAACCGGCTGTGAGAAGGAAGAGAGATGCCCACAGAGAGATGAAGAGCACAGCCTACATACAGACAACAAGCCTACGTGAGAGGACTGAATCAAAAGACCTTTCATTGCTACTCTGTATATCTGTCTGTCGATTATATTTCCTCGAAAATAGCCTCCGTACAGCTCAGATAGCAGAAATCCAGCCGTTTCTGGAGTGAAACGTTACCCTGGGTAAAGGTCTGATTCAGCAGATTTTTGCGGAGTACAAACTTTGGATGAATTCGGTGCAAAATAATAAAAACTTAAACATGCAAAGCGGATTGAAGGTTTCATCGTAACCCTATCAGACAATGTGGACGGGATAAGGTCGGTAAAAGTTGTAAAATATTGTAAATGCCTGCCGTATATTGCAAGAAGCTGGGAGGAAATTTACAGCATGTTTGCCGAGACTGATAGATAAGGCTCACCTGAAGTGAATCTCTGTCCTCGCGCGTGGATGCAGTTGTAGGAGATTGCCACTTCTCCTCGCTCTCTGCAGCACCAAGCACGCGCCCCTTTTATGAGGGTCCATTTGTGTCATTCGCGCTAGTTCCCCTTCCCGACCCCACGTGCTCATCCATTGGCTTTAACACCGGCGACGCAAATCCTTCCGTTTACCAATAGCTGCCAGCACGCACGCCCTCTCCATTCAGGCTTCCCGCCCTCCTTCTGCATTTATTTCATTTACAGCAACAAAGAGATGGTCCAGCTGTAATTAGCAAAGCCAACAGGATGTCATTTAGTTGACTTTATGTTTTGTTGGCAGTTATGTATACAGACATGCTGCACCTGTAAAGTAATTTAAAATAAGCTCTGGTATTTTTCTGACACCATTGTCCTTCCCAAATCGTTCTCAATATCTTGTAGCAGCTGTTTACCTCTCTAACAAATGGACCATTTCCCTCTGACTTATCATCTAATAATTTTGGCTTGAAACTCAAATGCCATTTGATTTTGTAGCCTACTGTGTTCCAGGCCATTGCTTAAATTGTTTTGCTCAGTCTTTCAGTCTTTCTCACTTTACTGCTTCCAAGCTGCAGCAAGTAGATTATACCAAAAAGTCCCTCTTAAAAAGTAAAACAACACCACTGATAACCAATCTGCTCGCATCAACAACCCCAAATTATAGTGTTCAAGCTCTCTCAAGCAAACAGTATGATCGAATGGGACGAGCCAGTTGAAGGGATATTCCGGCGTAAAATTATTTAGGGTCAAACACACCGTAACACTGAGTTAGACACCCCGTCGATAGGTGAATGTTGCCAACTGCTTGCTTCTCTAGTTATACCAACTTTAGTAACAGCCACATGATAGCAATACAGAGAGCCAAGCACTCCACCAAAAAGTCTATAGCCACAAAAAATGCTCAGAGCAGCACCTAACTTTATCAACAGTACAAATTGGGTCACAGCCATAGCACTAGCCACCAAACATCTTTTTAGCTTTGCCTAATTTCTTTAGCAAAGAGACTAAACACAACTCACCTACTCTCTTCTAGCAGCCGCTTGTTTGAATGGAGACCTCCAGGTGAGTCCATCAACTGCAGCGGGGTGGTACAGCTCAAGGAAGAACATTTATGATCATTTCTTCATGGAAATGCAATCAGACCGAGACGCTAAGGCAGAAAAACTACCACGTATGCAGTGCAAAATGATTAATATGATGATTATTACTTCAAGGAAAAAATAAAGTAATGATCATAAATGTTCTTCCTTGAGCTGCGCATTCCCCGCTGCAGTTGATTGACTTGCCCAGAGGTCTCCATACAAACAAGTGGCTGCTGGAAGAGAGGGTGAGTAGTGTTAGCTAAAGAAATCAGGCAAAGCTAAAAAGATGTTTGGCAGCTAGTGCTATGGCTGTGACCATATATGTACTGTTGATGAAGTTAGGTGCTGTTCTGAGCATTATTTGTGGCTATGGAGTGGCTTTTTGGTTGAGCGTGTGGCTCTCTGTATTGTTATCTGCGGTTGTTACCAAAGTTGGTGTAACTAGAGAAGCAAGCAGTTGGCAACATTCATCTCTCAACAGGGTGTCTAAATCGGTGTTAAAGTGTGTTTGACCCTAAATTAATTTTACGCCGGAATATCCCTTTAATAATGATAAACTTCATAGCACTTCTCCTAACTAAGGGTACAAAAAGCTTTACAACAACAGGAAGATTGAAGACAATGTGTCAGAAAAAAAGATATAGATCAATAAAGTAGTGGGAATATGGCAATTACGATTAAGACGGGGAAGAGGTAGGCCTCTCCGCAGATGTTTGGAGAACTACCAGAGCAATAAACAATACTTTAAAGTCACAGTTGCTTTTAACAACTTAACTTTAAGTTAGCTCACAAGTAGACCTGGGAATTCGATCTTTCGTGATGATATGCCTTGTCATTGGCTAGTGAGAGGTTAAATGCTAACAACAGCAGCTGTCCAAATGTAGCAAATGTGTTATCCAAAATATTGCCTTACACAAACACCATTTTTCATGACATCAGCAGCAAAATAAGTAGTACCTTTTACCATGTACTCGGCTTCATGATAAGAATGAGATGCGATGAGAGATGAGAAATAGTCACACTAAAAGATGTAAAGGATAAAGTTTAAATGTATGAACTCTATTCAAATAAAGATGTTTACTGATATTGTTGTATTGCCTGGAAACAAAAATGAACACAAGACGATTTAATGTTGGTGGCAGCCTGGCCTGCAGCCCCTTTCACTGTGGAAACAGATTTTTGACACAGAACTCCTTTATTTTGGGTGGCTTAAACGGTGTATTAGCTGGCATACTTTCTGATGCTTCATTGAGGGCATTTCTATGGCAGCATCATAACGCCAGTAAGTTACTGTAAAAATCTTGACAGTAGCATTACTGTCTTTTAATTTATAGCTACTTCTGAGTACATCTAGAGTTGCGTCAAAGAGTTCAGTGTTTATGTTCATGCAGCTTATTAAAAAAGAAAACGTATGCTAGATAAAGCTATTCCAGTAGCAAGGGGTTAAAGTTATTTGAGAAAAAATACAAAAATAAAATGGACAAATCGTGCCATATAGATAAAAATATTATAAGTAATATATCTTAGTGCCTGTCTGCATCAAGTGTGTGTGTGTGTGTGGGGGGGGGGGGGGCTTTGGAGACCTGTGTCGTGTGTGGATTTACATTACACAGCGTCATTGCATTTTTGTACTGCATACATTCTCACATTACTCTGTTATTAAATTATATACACCTTTGTTTAATTAATCACTCATTAGCCCTCACATTCCTTTATATGACAATGTGTTGTGTTACTATGCTTCAATACGAGTGCGGAGTCTCTGCTGCATTATTTAGCTCTCCTTTTTCTTGTGCTATGTCCAGCTGGGATACATTGCTCTGAGCACCAAATGTAACTTAGCGTTTATTGCAGTAACACACTACAACATACTGTGTGTGCAACTGAGTGGTGTTCAAGGCCACTCTCAACAGTCTTCTTGAATAATTCTGATGCCTTGACTGTTGCCAGGCAACAACTGTCCTGCTACAGAAATGAATGGGTGTCCCTGGGCTCTTCTTACTCCTTTTTAATCTTCAGTTTTTTTCCTCCTCAATCTCTCTCACTTAATGAAGTATGGCTGTACTACAGTCTATTAGAAAGCTCGTCGGGAGAACATCAAAGTGTTCTGATATAGGTTTAGGGACATTGTACAACTTCTGATCAATGAAACTAATGTAAGATAAAGGAAAGGAAATGTTTTATTCATTAGTCTCACCTAATTAACCAAACTAAGGTTATTTGGCCTCTCTTTGTGAAATATGTGGCTTCAAAAAATTCTTTATGTTTATAGCTTGAAGTCTCTGGACCAGATGGACCAAACTCTGCACATGATAGACCAGCCGGCCCTGTGCCCTGAGATGCAGTATGTTTGTATGCGTACACATGGATAGTATCTGTATCCCCTCTATCTCAGCAAATGACTTTATTTTAATAACCAACATGAACGTATCATGCAGATTCTGTATTCCTGTGTAAACCCTCTTACTTTACAAAAGTAGCAGAGTGGCATAAAAATCTACCAAATCGTAATTCTTCAAGGACATAAGATATTTGTATATGCAGTACATCTGGACTCACAATTTCAAATGCTCACAAAATAAACTTGCTGAATTGAAATTCAACAAAAGCTTCTGCAAAAGCTCAATTATTTCGTTTTAAATAAAGTCCCTCCCCCTTTGTGTAGGACTTGGGGGGGCAATAAGGGGGCCTCTACCACACTTTAGCCATCCTGCTGTACACACCCCTGATGTAACATCTCATTTTTGTGCAGGTTTACCTGTCTTTTACATTTTATCGTCAACTTTTTTATACAATGACCCAGCGCAGCGTTTTTATGTTTTATAATTATAGTCCTCTCCAGTCTGTATAAGTGCTCTCCACCCTGCAGTTGTCAGGGGTGTTAGTCTTCAAATATGCTGTTTAAAATGCGATCACTTGTAGCAGCATGCACAGATGTGTTTTCTGTAGAAATAATGATTTAAATGAGCATGTATTCCTGGTGATTACAGAGGAAATGCATTTGGTTTAACATGCAAATGGAGAAGGCAGTCACAGTGCACTCCTGAGACACGTGAACGGAGAATGAAATTAAAGCACACAGCTGCACATCACTTTTTCAATCACGCCCTATTGAACTCTAAATAGGTAATATTTGTTCCCGTCAGTCTTTGGTCATGCAGCTTGCTCACATTCAACAATATTGTCACTCTGTATTCATAACAAAGCTTTTGTGTGAGGAAGAGAGCATAACAGACATGTGCAAAGATGTTTTCAGCAAAAAATTATGGACTGCTGGTAAAAACAGATTTGCAAGCTTCATGTTGAATATTCTAACATATTTGAATTATTTAGTTGTGGTTCACATCTGAATGTCTTACAGTAAGACCTATAGGATCAGTTCTAGCAATGTTGGAATGCACCTAACCCTAAAATCAGACTCACCCATACATCATATCACCTTATTTGCAAGGATGGTTTTGTAGGAAGCTTTTACTGAGAGTTTTTTATGATAGTTATATGAATTGCTGCATCACAGTATAAATAATGTGCAGGTGTCTGTTTAGATGCATCATCCATCGCCCCTGCAGAAAGCTGAAATCACCCTCTCAACACAGTCCCCTAACATCATCACAATAACTCAGAGCATCTACTTCTGTTTATACAGTGACTTTTAATCAATGTTGGGAAACAAAATGCAGTCAGGAGCATATAAAAACTTTTAGAACTTGCTAGTGTGGGTAATAGAGTAACAATAGAAAGAAAAACAACTGTCTTATTGAACATGTCAGTTTTGGAACATACAGTATTGATAAATATCCACTTTTAGAAGTTAAACTTGGAAAATTAGAAAACAGAAGTGTTTGTGGTAGTCTCCTTAAAGAGGGTGCATCATACACACATTTCAGAACCTCATTAATTACGTACGTTAATTAAACCAAAAAAGGGGAAGTGATATAAATGTATGAATACAGATTTCAGTGACTCCTGAAGGTGATACACAAAAATAAAAAGGCTTGAAACCAAATCCCAGGACTCAGATTTTTCAAAAATATATGCTGTAATTTACAGGCACTTCTTGCTGAGATTGCAGGTACAGCCCTCTTCTCTAGGCCTAAAAACATACATATACTGCATTTACTATTTAATATGTAAAAATAATTCTCAAATCAATATCATGTCTTTGTCAATAGTTTACATTTCGTTGTCATCTGCAGGATAACAATAAGTAAATGAGATGCTAAACATAGAAACTTTGAAGTTTGTTATTCTCTAAAAGCTAATTCTGCACTGCCCCTGGCTTTTGAGGACAGGCTTGCTGCTGGACACAAATCAACACCCGCATTTCAAGTGTGAAAATGCTCACTGTTTTGCATTTTTATATGATCTTTGGTGAGAATGTAAACAATTGCACTAAAACAAAAAGTACTTTGAACTTTTTGCAGCAAAATGAAAATAAACGAACAAACAAACCACCTCCGTACAAATGCATCTTTTCCTGATTAGAGGCCTTACAACTAAATGTCAGATAGCATGGATAAACATGACGCACCCTGCTTTTACACTTTACACAGCAAACACTGCTAAATTATAATCAAGCCATAACTCAGTATAGGCACTTCCCCCTTAAGCGATTAGTACAGATAATAAATGAAGCACGGCAGTGTATGTTACAATAGAGTTACTCTTTAGGATCCCTTTATGATACTGAATAACTAACGCATAAAGAAGAAGCAGGCAGCTATAATAGGTGGGGTGATTTGAGGGTGGAAATAAGGGTAAGATGAGCTAAAATACACAGGTTAAGGTGGATAATGATGGGGTAATAGCATAAGAGGGGTATAGGCATCATTGTCTCTCTGGTTCCAGACATAAGGCACATTGATAGGGAACACAGTATTGTCTCCAACCTTAATATCCCCTAATTTGATAATTGTCCTTAAACACGGCCAGTAAATTAGACATTTTGAGGCCTATACTGAACATGACCATCATCCCCCCATGGAGTGCAGGACACATGTGCCCCTTAGTCTGCAGTCTAACCATTCAACTATCCACCTCCCCACACATCCATCCTTCCATCCACCTTTCTGTCCTTCTCTCTTTGCATTGTCAGAAGGCTCTCTACCACTGCTCCCAGCTGAAGTCATCCCCACCTCCAAACACCACAAAGAAGCCGAAGATTGTGAGGAAGATTACAGCATTTGCTGTCATTACCAATCCACAGGCACCCCACTGGATCTGTGGAAGAAGAACATTCACATTGATTTTTTTTTAACCAAAACAAATGAATCAATTTTTCTCATTATTGTGCAGAAAAATTAACTTTACATTCAACAGGTTTTTGCAGCATAGACTTACGTATACAAACAAAAAACAAGAAAGATGGTGGCTCTGTGTCCCATATGGAATAATAATTTCAAATATTGTGACATGGGTAAGGAGAACGTACTGTGCTCGTGCGGGCCAACACAATGGGCAGCCCAAAAGATGATACCACAATGCCAGTTGTTATGAAATAGGCCAGCTCTCTGCAGGCATTACTGGAGGAATCAGTGTCATCACTGAGGCGTCTGGATATGAAGGTGGGGATGGGACTCAGTACGTAGAATATCAGGACAAACAGTGGCCAGTATACCCTACAAGAAAATGTGAGGAATAGAGAAAACATGCTGTGAAATGTATGCAACATGCCAGGTATAAGTGAACTGGTGCAAGATTTACAGAAAAGTGTTACACCAAAACAAACAACTCAAAAACATACAGATAGTGATTATTTTAATGGGAAAGTCCATGAATTTTGAAGCATAGTTTGAGGTTCCAGGATGACCGAACACATTGTATAATTACCTCTCTGACACTGTAAGAGAATTGACAAATCTAAAGAAATAACTCATCCGGTATGAGTCATCTAAGAAGAAGATAGAGCATGAGGTATAAATCATTTGTCAGAAAGTCAGCTCTACAAAAGAGAAGCGTGGGGCTGGAAATAAGTGGGCCTTTAAAAGTCAGCGCTTAACAAAAGACACCATTGGGCATCATTATTATTGGTATGTCAACTAAATTAAGACCTGACTGTCTATGTCTTTATTCCTCTGAAAATAACACTTTTTTAAACATGCTGCAGTTAAGAAATCTGGCAGCCCACTTCCAACAGTTTATGACAAAACAGATGGAGACTTGGCCTTGATGAAAAAAAATTAAATTAGGATTTACAATTATATACAAGTCTCAACTATGGGATAAAACGTCACAACAGTAAAAGCATGTGATATCATATTCAATGTGACAGATAAATGGATTCTAAGTATTTAAAGGACTACTTTAAACATGGCTTTACTGCAGATGACATACTTCATTTGCTTGGGCTTTTACTGACAAAAGCACCTTTCACAGGATTTTCAGCAAGAAGCAGCTCTGACAGATAAATGATAAACCTGATGTTGCTTAGACAGCAACCTTGATCCAGCAGCAATTTCAAACATCTGGTCATGGTAGCAGATGGATGCACCACACATGTTAGTTACATGAACTCGTGACAACAGGCAGTTTGTATTTAGCCATGCTCATTGAATGGTCAGGGTTTGGATCTGAGATCAAGACACACACAGCTGAGTCACGTTTGCACAGAAAGACCAGGGACTAAAGTAGATGGATAGATTACCAAAGGGATCTTCTAAAAATAAACTGATCTAATATTCCCCCCTAGCTTTAGAAACAAAAGATGCCAACTTGTAAGTATTTTACAAAACCCAATTCCATTGAACTTGGGAAATTGTGATAAACGTAAATAAAAACAGAATACAATGATTTGCAAATCCTTTTCAACCTATATACAATTGAATACACTACAAAGACAAGATATTTCATGTTCAAACTCACAAACCTTATTTTTGTTTTGCAAATAAAAATTAACTCAAAATTTCATGGCTGCAGCAGTGCCGCCTGAGGGATCGAAGGTCACGGGCATTTAATGTTGGTTTCCGGCCATGCCGCTTTCGTGCAGTGATTTCTCCAGATTCTCTGAACCTTTTGATGATATTATGGACCGTAGATGATGAAATCCCTAAACTCCTTGCAATTGTACTTTGAGAAATGTTGTTCTTAAACTGTTCGACTATTTGCTCATGCAGTGGTGAACCCTGCCCCTGAGAATTTTTGGGGAAGCTGCTTTTATACCCAATCATGGCACCCACCTGTTCCCAATTAGCCTGCTCACTTGTGGGATGTTCCAAATAGGTGTTTGATGAGCATTCCTCAAATTTCTCAGTATATTTTGCCAATTTTCCCGACTACTTTGTCACGTGTTGCTGCCATCAAATTCTGAATTAATTATTATTTGCAAAAAAAATTAAGTTTATGAGTTTGAACATGAAATATCTTGTCTTTGTAATGTATTCAATTGAATATAGGTTGAAAAGGATTTGAAAATCATTGTATTCTGTTTTTATTGACGTTTATCACAATTTTCCAACTTCAATGGAATTGGGTTTTGTAGGTAAATAGGCATTCCAGCCTTTCATCACTCTAATAATCAGATAATTAACAATCAAGTTGTTAACTCTCCATATAAAGGACAATAAAAGAAAAAATAGAATATACATTTTATTCTCAACTTCAACTAATTCACAAAGTTTTAACAGTCTGTCCTAGATGTTTTCAAATCTGCCAACTTCAGAGACAGAGCTTTCAAGTCATCTGATTTCTTGTTAAATTGGCTCTCAAATTAAAACTAAGTTTAATTCCAATACATAGTATGTTCTTATTTTGATTTCACAATTTCTAGCACCATGGCTTATTTCTGATTGTGTTCACACTGCAAACTTTTTTAATAGCTACGTATACTTTTACTCTGTTACCTAAAAAATAGATTGGAGCTCTTTGGGAAAGGGTCTGCCAATAACAACCCTCATTTTGAGCAATAATTTTGACATTTAATTACATAATGAAGACTAACTTCTGAGTTTGACTTTTTTTAAACAATGTTGACTTTTTATCCCACAATTTTGTCTTTTTTTATCCTCATAACACTGACATCCCTTCTTACAATTTTAACATTTGATGTCAGTATGTCAACTTTTATCTTATTATTATGACTTAATATAAGGATTTAAAAAAATATATTTTATTTATTTGTTATAAGGCCAAGCCGACTTGTAACTTAACGTGCTTCCATAAAGAAGCCAAACATGATGAAAACGAAACAGAAAGTTGCTGGGTCACAAACTGCGCTTCAGGTTGTTGGCTGATCAAATTGTTGCTGTTCAGACCTACCAGATCAAAAACCAGTTCACTTGAAAAACATCTTACCTGCTTTCTTAAAAAAATCTGTGAGCCGATAATATTTCTGGTTAAATCAAGATAACACAGCACACAACTATGAATACCTACCCGTACTGTTCCAGTGCACAACCTAGCAGAAGAAAAGTCAGTCCAATGGCACCACTGAAGGACAAACCAACCAGTGCTGAAAACAAACAGAGAGAGATCAGACTGAATATAGCTAACAGAAGACGAGAGGAAATGCACAACAGCTCCTCTTGTAACGTGAAAACTTAGCATGTAAATAGTGAATGTCGTAGTAAAAAAAAAAGTTACAGGAAAAAATACAGCTACATATTTTTAATAATGGGTCAGGAGAGCTTTAAGTTAATCTCGATATTCTTGAAAGTGATGCAAAGCTTGTTCTGAACATAAATTAACGAGTGGTGTCAGGACCTAAGCTAACAAAGTTTTGAGACGCTTAAGATTCACATCCACGTTATTTATCGATTATTTCACCATCACCAAACTCAAAAGAGGATCGATAAAAATACCTTTAATGCCGGCCATTGTTATAGACGTGAACCACTGTCTTTAAGCCTTTCGGTTGTGCTCTTTGTGTTTTGTTTATGTGCTCTGACTCTGCTTCTTGGTAGGCGTACTTCCTGCTTCCTCCATCAAGTTGTTCTTCTTTGTTGACACGTGACCTTCTTAAAGCTACAGTACCTCCGCGACCTTAAAAGCTTCATCATTCCAACGTGTACTACACGTGCAAACACACCTGTACACAGCAAGGTGCTGTAAACCCTTCATCTTCCCCTGCATCATCAGCCTCTTAAGATATAAAAGTGCTGTGAATCATATGTTATTTTACCCATATGCCCTTTTTCCTCCCACAGCTGCTGCTGTCCCTCGTGACAAGGAGCACAAAAGCAGGCAAGAAGCTACAAGGAGCTTATCAGTGATGTAATGCTTAAAGAGGATATTGTATTTAAGTTTGAAGGTACTTAAGTATTTACTGTAAAGTTTTCTTAGTTAGTTTTTCTCCTCTTCAATATAATTTTATATGCCATACAGAGAAGAAATGTCTGCTCATTTCCCCATGTATGACATCTGAAGCCCTTAGTAGCTATACTGTGTTCATTTGCATGATCTAAGGTTGTTATATGGAATAAGGCATTATGGTATACATCAAACTATAAAGAAATTTAAGTTAATCTGATGGGCTGTACCACTACTCCACTCAATTGCTGCTTTAGACATGAAGTTTGAAAGGACTACATGTATTTAACAGTTTTGAGGGAAGGTTTCTCTAGGGAACTCTAAAAATGTGACAGAAATTTTGTAAATAGGCCACAATTTTAACAAAGGACACTTTGACATGACACTGAAGTGAAATGGCGGTGCAATAGGATCTTGGTTATGTGCACACTGGCTTGCTGTCTCATTAGTGGGGCACATGAATATATGAGTCATGATTTGTGTTTGCAAAACCTGTTGTTTTTCATTCAAAATTCTGTGTCAATCCTAGAATTGAAAAACATATCTTTGCACTCTTCATACCACAACTGACTCTATTTTTGCAACCATTAACTCATAATTATACTCTTTGAAATGTGTGCTCTGTATTTGTTTGAAAATTACCACGTACAGTATGCACAATTTTATAGACTATTTAGTCCCAAGATGCTGCAAACTCTTAATGGATTTTACTTCCTTCGAACATTTTTGTAAACCAAACACCCACAGAGAGAGGACCTTTGATGAGGATGAACCGGAGCTAAACTCTGTTTTTCTGTCTTGTTGGACTTCAGGTTGAGTGTAATACAGATATGAAGCCAGTAGACAGGCACTGAACTTCAAAGAGCATGAGTGATCACAGAGCTGGACCAGATGCTCGCCCTCTGATGCTGCTGCTGTCTGGATGGAAATAATCAAACCACTGAAGCTGGAAAAAAAAGTCTTTTTCTTTTAAATGGTACCTTGTTGGCCTTGTTTTTTTTCTGCAGTAAAGATGCAGTTATGCAACTGGTGAAAATACAATCCTGTTTTCCCCATGGGGCAATATTTTCCTACTGCTTTGTTGCACTGTTTTTTTGTTGTTTTTTTTAAAATAGCTGCTCCCGGTGTGGAAAGATGTGTTTATGTCTGCACTTGAGTGAGCTGGCATGTTTTTTCTCATCCTACAACATCCACACTCAACTGCAATGTCAGGTATTTATTCACTGATGAGTTTAAATTTCCTTGAATGAAGGAGTGTGGGTGAGCAAAATAATAATTTGAGGCTTCATGGCAGGAAACACCCTCTTCTTTTCTTTATAATAAGCACTGTTTGCATGAGCAAATGTTGTAAATGTGAGACGAACAGTATTTTTCTGTCTTATATTCTTGAACAAGTCTCATGTACAGCTTTTTGCAAAACCAAAAGGTTGACTCCCTTTGTTAAGACAGTTGCATTATGTTAAAAATGCTAAACAAGTGAGATAAAGAGAGGAAATAAACCCCTGTTTCATGCTTTGTACAAGAGGCTATCATTGAGTCATGATAAGAAAGATTTGCAGCCTCTGCTTTTTGACTTACTGGTTTGAATTGGGTATGGACCACATGTAGTCTATTTGCAAGTATATTAGCCACTCATGAAACAAAAGTAAAAAGCAGTTTATTGTAAAACAATGAGAATGACTAAATATATATTTTAGCCTAGAATATTAACCACTGCATATTGCGCAGCTACACTTGGAATTGAAGCTCATTTTATACAAAAGTCAGAAAATACAAAGAAGGGCATCACTTCAGCAACATGGAATTACAAAGGGAGGAATCATGTGATGACTGACGGGCCTCTGCGACCTGTCCTGTGGTGGAGCTGGGAAATCTTCAGAGCGATGGTCGCCAGGGGTGCCAGCATCACCTGCCAACAATTAAGACAAAATACTGAGAGACAAAAACACCCGGCTACCATATTTCCCTGTTTTACCCACTCATGAATATTCTTAAAAAGATAAACAAGTATCAGTTGTTATTGTCATTACATGGAAATATTTTCTCACTGTGTGAGTTACATTACTGTTCTAGAACATTAATGATTTATGAATAATGTTTTATAACAACAACAACAAAAAAAAAGGCAGATAAGTGAGGCTCTTCTAGTGTCGTAACTTGTAATTAGATAGCTTTTAGGGACCTCATTCAGGGAAAAATGGAAAGAAAAATCCAAATCACATCTTTTTCCTAAATTTTGAAGTATTGTGGTGTTTTGTGAAGTCTGTGTTTTGCAATTTTCAGCACTGATTTATTTATAGCACACTACCTGTGACAGAGTTGATGATATCTGTTTTTTTTTCCCCCAACCGTTATAATGTGAGATTCATGTATTTATTTGTGCTTATGGCTCTGGGTTGTTTGCATTCAGTTATATAATTGATCAATAACTGCAAGGCTTTGTCAGTATATGCGCAAGTTGAGTTGAAATATTTTCACTCTTTGGACTCTAAACAGGCTGTAGTTTATTCAACTATCACTGGGACAAGTCACAGCTTTGTTAGTGTGATGGTTTGGTAAATATGTCCTTCATAGATATGTCCTTGTTAAACATGTCCTTTGGTTCCTCTGGGGGATTTGAAATGTCTTTAAGTAGCAATAGAGAGAGAGAGAGAGAGAGAGAGAGAGCACCTTTGGGTACTTGGTTGTGTTTCTAGTATTTAGGTCTGTCAATCTACAGTTTAACACATTAGTTTTATGGTTTTGAGATTCGTTATGTTTAACTGTTCTATCTATAATTCAATGTTTTATTGTTAGTCAACAGTTGGTCCTTGTGTTGTTTCTGCCATTCAGTGTTGTAGAGTTTTATGTTTATCCAAGATGAATCATGTAAATAAGACCTGGCCTTTCATGGGTTAACCTGCATCGATAAGGGTTTAATAATAACAATAATTATAAACATTGTTCATTTGTTTGCAGTCTGGCTTTGCTGCTAATATCTCTTGCCTTTCCTATAGTCTGCTGCCTGAGCTGCTGTAATGAGCCAACTGTATGCCTTTTTTTCAGTGAATTTCTGTTTTATTCAGAATTTAAATTGGCAGCACAAACAGACAAACAAACTTAAAGCTCGTCAGTCTACACTCCACACAAAATTTAGTGAGTTTGTATGCAGTGAAGTGCAGCTAAATGTGATCATACTTCTAATTGTTGATTGAAGATAACTGATTTTATCACATGCATATAGTGAGTTGAATAAACAGTACCTTATCATTGAATGGTAGCTTTGTATCTGATTTATTTAGATTTATCTGATATATCGCAACTTGTAACAGAGATACATAGAGCCATAACAGCCATATCTGATTTAAGCTTAAATGTCCAGTTAAGTTGAACCAGGTATTGACAAAAGTATCAAACTCTACTCTTCTTCCTTCACTGTGAAGATATGACCCTACTGAATTTCTCTCCGGCGATCATTAAATTCTTCTTCTTCTGTCTGACAGCTATGACTGAAATCTGCAAGGTTTAAAAAAGACTTTGACAAATAAACCAGGAACTCATTGTAGCATGCTTCATTACTGTTATCCTGATAAAAGTCAGCAGGACAGAAGTGGTTGTGAAGTCTAACTTGGGAAAAAGATGATGTTATCTCCAAGAGAAGTCAATTATTAACTAATTAAAAACTTGTGATTGTGAAATTATTCTTCAAATGTTTACAATTGGATCTTTTACCTGTGTGTCTTCAAAGATTTGCTCCTTCTCATAGCTGTCGATGTAGATTCGAACCGTTGCCCCTTCACTCCCCGTCCCGCTGAGTCTGTAGATGATTCGAGAGCCATCAGAGAAGATTATCCGCAGACCCTGCAGAGAAAAAGAGCCCTGAGACTGAAGCTTCAAGGAACTGCAAACACAGCTGAGTACCTTCAGTGCTAAAAGAGCTGGAAAACAGAGAGACATTTACATGGTGCGGAACACAGCTGGCATGTGGGGTGTACCTGGTTCCTGGTGATGGTGCTGTCCACTGGGTCTGTGTACTCAAAGTTGTCTGCTTTCTCTACCTGGTAGATTTTGTCTTCCACGGCAAATCTCTGCTTCACGAAGGACTTATCGGCGATCATGATCTCTAAATCCTCCATCATTTCACAGGCTGCATCTATGTCTACATTCTCATAGTCGTATCTGTGGCAAAACATAATATGTTTGTGTTTATTAACTGGACATTAAACAACACTTCCTTTTAGAGGACAAGAGCTATTTCCTATCAAAGAGCAAGTGCATCACCTAAAGTATGTACATTTCTTTGCAATTATAGTGTTTCAACAATTATATTTAATCCATAAAAGTTATTGGTGAGAAATCTTGTGAGAAAATAGTGATATTGCAGGGGTTGTCTTCATAGACTGTCATGGAAACACAACACAACATAGGCAAACTAACAATCTTGAATGTTTGAATACCAAACAAGACTCCTTAACTTTTTATTTCACTATTGTATGAAGTGCCCAAAGCATGGAGGCCAAGAAAATGTAGAGGCAGATATACTCCACTAGATGTCAGTCACGTACTCTATGTCTTCTATCATTTCTCAGCATGCCCCCTCATAAGTCGATAAATATCAGCAAAATGACATGCACCAAGTCAACTCAGATAATATAAAACCACTAATTATGTCTGTTTTTTATGTCTTCTCATTAGTGTAGGTTGTAATAGAAGTGGAGGTACTATTTTGGTGATAAACAAACATTAGAGGTGTGTCCTTATGTCACCTGGTGAAGTAGTTTCTTCCATATTTCATCCAGTGGTCCTTAAGAATATCCTCCACACTCTGTCGTCTGTAGGCTAAGATGGACAGCCATGCCAGCACGGCCCAAAGCCCATCCTTCTCACGGATATGGTCTCCACCTAAATGATACATAAAGAAAAAAAAAAAACCCTGAGAGAACATCAAATCAAACAAGAGCTCTCTTTTCCACCCACTGTTTTTGCAGATATCAAGTGTTTGATCTGATAAGTTGCAAATGAGGCACTGTACCTGTACCAAAGCTCTCCTCTCCGCACAGAGACAGACGGCCCGCATCCATGAGATTCCCAAAGTACTTCCACCCAGTGGGAGTTTCATATAACTCTATTTTTGTTGCCTTGGCTACTCTGCAGGAAATAACAAAGGAAAGTGTTCAAAGAAGCTCAAAAACTTTAACTTTAAAAATTGCTGGCTCATACTTTTAAGAGTGATTGTAAAAGCCTGAGTGTTTTTTTTAACCTGTCCAAGGCTGCACTGGTAGGCATGCTGCGAGCAAAGCCTCTCACTCCTGTGTGCTGGAAGTATGGGATACAGAAAATGTTGTCAGCAATCACTGCCACCGAGTCAGGCGGGGTGACGAAGAAGCCGTGCTTACCGAGGATCATGTTTCTGTCCTAGAAAGCAGACAGACAGGGGTCAAGGGTCAAGGCTTTTGGGTCCTGCCCTTTAAAACCAAAATAAGACTTCATGTGGGTCTGGCTGAATTAATTAAGAAGTTTCTTTTTTTTTAAATTTATAACAAAAGATGTAAAGAAAGAGATGTTAAGGAGTAAACACACCCCATCACCATCAAATGCTGCACCAAAGTCATACTCTCCTCCTCTCATGCTGTCAACCAGGTCTGTAGCATAGGTGAGGTTGGGGTCCGGGTGTTGACCCCCAAAGTCCTCCAAAGGGACACAGTTTATGGCAGAGTTGACTGGACAGCCGAGTTCCTCACAGATTATCTTCTTCACATACGGACCCACCACTGAGGAGCAACAGAGAAGACAGAGACAGGAAAGACAAAAGACCGATGTATGAACATGCACTGTTTCAGTTGAATATAAAGTTTGATCATCCAACAGGTTAGTTCTGTATGTGCACATTTGTAAGACAAAGTCCAACAATTTTGGTGAATTCTGTCTCAACTGTTATTAACCAAGAGTTTGAAACAGAACGAGTCAAACTGAGAGACCTCCCTCCGTATACCTACAAAATTTATGTGAGATAGTCAGTGGTAGAAATCTTTTTTTGGTCCAGTTTGGGATGTGACATGAATTATTTCATATCTTGTGTGCCATCATAAACTGTATTTACTATGGACAACTTGGCTCTGCCTTCTGTCATTATAGGAATTTAAGAGAATTGCTCTCGGTATTTCCGAGATTTTCTCCACTTCCTGGAACCACCACTTGCGCAGTAGCGTTTTACGCATTCAGCAGGAGAGTCATTGTGAAAAAAAAAAAATATTCTGAAGTTTGTCCACAGCTTCATAGGAATTGCTGGATGAGGCGGATTTATGACCTATACTGCAGCCCGCCACCAGAGGATGCTGCTCATGCAGTGGCTTCACCCAGTGAAGAGGCAGATGGCATCCATTCTAACGACAGTCTATGTGTCCCACACAAAATATACACATGACACCAGCATGGCTGTCAACTTGGCACAGTTTAGCCAAAAGAAATTTAAGAGTATAAAGCCACTGCAAGGGTTAAAAGATCAAGTTTGCAAGAAAAAGGGTTGATCCTTAGACAAAAGTGTAACTACTAAAATGCAAGACCAAAAATCTGCCTCAAATCTTACAAAAACCTGCTCTGCTCTGAGCTGTCCCAACCTTTGGTATCTTTGACCTTTTACTAGTAACTTAAATACATGTTTTGGTTGGCAGAAAGGGTGAGCCCTTCTCCATCAGCCATGTTTCTTCTACGCATGCCTGGCCTTCACCAGCACAGTATGTCATGCCTATCGGGATCCTATTTTGGCTTTACTTCTCAGAAATGGAGCTGTGCTTTCAGAATAATACACAACTGATGGTATGTAGGCTTTTGGATCATGTTTTTCATAGTCCTCAGAAGTTGTATAAGATATATTATGACTGGCTTGGTGTGCTAAATGATAATTTCCCAAATGTTAAACTATTGTTTAACTTCAGGTGTAGCTGGAATAACGTTTTAGAGTTCTTTGAGATATAAAAGACAAAGAAAAGACAAACAAACAAAACAACAATTCTGTAACATGGTATCCTGAGGTGGCACTTTGTAAAAAAAAATCCCATCAACTTGCTGCAAAAGGTTTTATGTTGTTGTGTTATGATGGGAGCATGGGTGTATATCAGGAGTTGGAGGGAGATGGTGTGGGGGGTTTTATGTCCATTAGTGTCGGTTTCAATTTGGAGATGCTTTAACAAGCAGCACAATCCCAAGTATCGTGTAGAAAACAGATTGGATTTGAACAGCATAATGATGGATTGGCAGCTCTCTGACATGAATCACAAAAACACACTGCAATTTTTGAGTGACTGGTGACTGAGAGGCGAAACTGATTGTTTTGAAACTACTAGTGTTTTGTTTATCTGTCCTGAATTAACCTTGTAGAAAGGGGAACATTAAGGATATCATCGCTCTCCATGTAAAATTAGGACTTGATTAGTCAAAGTACTTGCTACCTTTACAGTTGTGTAGTCTTTCGATGCATTACACACATATTGTGCTGCATTTTTAGTGATCCATGAGAGTCACCACCTCAAAATTTTACAAGGTGATACCTGGTCTAGGGGTTTAAGTGCACATAACTCTCATAGCAGAGGTTGCTGACACGATATTTTCATCCATGTCAACCTCCACTCTCCATTCCCCACATTTGATGTGTCTCTGTTCTAACAATAAAGACAAAAATACTGGAAACAATACAAAAATAAACTTTAACATCACATTTCAAAGGGAAAAATTACACTTCTCAAAAACATCTATATTTGTATGACTGCAATGGGTACCTATGCCTTTTTTTCTGCCACTGCACCAGCCGTTGTAAAAACCCAACATTTTTAAAACTTGAATATACCTTTAAATTCTCCAACTATGACATTTTCTTTCATGTATTAACTTCAGTAAGTACTAATAATAATAATTCAGGGGTGTGGTGTAGATTACACTATTGCCATCTCTTACCTCCATGCATGGCATCAAGCTTTATCCTGATGCGGTTTTCACCAGAGAGTAGATCCTTGAGAGCAGCGAAGTCAAAAATGTTCCTCAGCAAGTTTGCGTAGGATTCCACAGAGTCCACAATTTCAACTGGACAAGAGCACAAAAAGGACAAAGTTATTTATCAACATTCACTGGACCAACATCATTAACATTAAGTAACACGCAGCCACCTTAGTGGTTTCTATTAACTGTGGAGTAACAGTGAGGCTGCAGGGTGGATGTGCTTTTCAGTTCCTCTTGCAACAAGTGAAATATGTAAAAGATGTTGTTGTCAATGTATGTACACTCTGTTTACATGAGGTTTGTTAATGATGTTTGTTTTGTGATCTATTTACCAGTAATAATGAGGAGGCTGTCCTATCTAATTTTATTGTTCTGCATGATTTCCTATGGTAGTATATTGAATTGTACTACTTGAGGTTTCTCCAGGGCACTCTTGTAAAAGAGATAAGTTTTTTTTCTATCTCAATGAGGCTTTCCTGGTTCAATAAATTAAATAAATTGATAAAATGTTACTTTATTTGTACCCATAAGCAAATTTGGTTTATAGTGAGTAAGTCAGCTCTGTTTGCACATACATAAACAAACAGCACAGGACAAAAACATGGCACACAAAAGTGGCAACAGTGCTTTGTGCTACAGGTTAACTATTTGTATAAATTGTATGGTATGATATCAAATCAGTTTTGTATCACGTTTTATTGTATTTTATTGCTGTATTTTATCAGACTGATTGTATATTTGTTTTACATTACTAGATATAATGTGGTATCTAATGGTACTGTACCATACTGGACAGTAAATGGTGTTGTGTATGATAATACGGAGTAGCATGATGTTTTACAGTATCAGAGTGTATCATTTTATTTTGTATTTTATTCTATAATTTTGTTTTATTTAGAATTGTTTTGTTATGTTTCATAATATAGTAGGTATGGTATCATACAACACCATGCTGTATCGTGTCACATCCTATCCTTTCAAATAATATTATATCGTATCATATCGTATGAGTCATAATACCTCACAAAGCAGTATTATAAAATCTATCTGGGAAAGTTTACACTTCTTTCCCTCCGCATAGTTTTTTTCCTTTTTTTTTTCTCATTGCATTCATTTCCTTCAGTACAGCATTTCACCTGTGAAAGGTTTAAACTTGTTCTCAAGATCAAACATCTGTTTGCCCAATGTCGTCAGATCCATTCTCAGTCCTGGGCAGATGGCGAACTCTTCAATGGTCCTGCTGATCTGAAAGATCTTGTTTGTGACTGCCTCTTTAGCTGGTCCTGCAAACAGAAGAAAATCTTTAACGTAACATTTAAAATGCACAAAAGGATAACCATAAAATCCCATCCATACACGTTTACAACTGTGATTAAAACAAAGAATATTTAGGATCTTTTTATGGGAAATCATGCCGATCTCTCTAAATGGCTCCATCTTTTTGTTACAGATTTAATGCTTGGACAAAATGGATATCCCAGGACTGCTCCAGTGCTATTCGAATTTGAATCAGGCCGACAGCCTCGTTAAATGTCTCTTGGACCTCTCTCGTAACACTATTTTTCACTTGGCTCCTGCCTCTACATGCTTCCTCCTCTCAAGTTACCTCCATTTGCTGTATTAAACTTGATGCCAAAGTCTCCGTTAGGTCCTCCGGGGTTGTGGCTGGCAGTGAGGATGATGCCTCCGATCGCTTTGTATTTCCTGATCACACAGGAGATGGCAGGTGTGGACATTATCCCGTGGTGTCCAATGATAAGACGACCAACCTGTGCAAATGTCAAACAGGTGGTTGTGTGAGTTGGCTAGCATTAAGCTGCATCTTAATTTATCTGAGTAGGGAAGTAGAGAGAACTAAAGATCATGTTTGCTGTGTCATGCTGATTCCAAAAAGGACCAGAGGCCGTGAGTGTGTGTAATGAATTTGACTGTTCGAGCACACCAAGAGCAATGCTATTTAAAGTGAGTGTATTTCAAATCCTTCTAAGTATACCATCCATCCAGGAAAGTATCTGAGATTTAGAGCTTATGTAATTCAAACTGAGGAACACAGAGAGCCCATTAGCAGTGCTGGCAAATGGGGAGAAAAGTTAACAGGTTATATTTATTGAAAGACAATATCAGAAGCTTCCCATTTGCAGGCCAAAGCACGGCTGCTTTTATTAAGACTGTGTCAAATGGTTTTACAGCTGTGTTTTACCGCATTAAAATGGAGATGTCTGACTGTTTACTTTCCTTGTTACTCACAGATATTGGCCATTTATACTTCTTTTTACCATCTGAGTTCTTTTGCAATATATCTGCTGTCACCATGGCCTCAGTCCAGCAAAGGACAAATTAATAAATCTCAATCTTTATCTTGGTTGAAGCTGATAAAGCATCAACAAACTATGGCAGATTGCTAACTGTAGTTATCTAAAACATATCAATGAAGATGACATCTTTAACTGGAGAACTGCTGCAAAGGCTGCATGTCTTGAAAGTGCAGCGACTTGCAGAAACACTTCTTTACAAAAAAAGTAGTGCCAACTGTGTTGATGTGAGGCGAGTTATGAATGTCTGTGTTGTGATGTCAATGAGAACAAAATGTCAAAAGTAATATTTATGTTGTTTAGGAAAGAAAATGACTGTATGAGCCTATACTGGCACGCTAGCAGGGTTTTAGGCAGTAAATACTGTAGAAGAGTACTGTTACTAGTTAGATACTGAACCCAACATGCTAGCATGCTTGTAATGATATCTAATTACACTACACTTGCTAATAAAAAAGGGGGCAATGTTTACCATGTGTACACCTTAGTTTGAGTTTCAACATGCTAACATTAACAAACAATGGATAAAAGTAGTTCTGATGTTGACGGAAATATCGTTGATGGTTTGTGGGTATTAAGTCATAGACCTACAATGAACGCCAGTGTCGCTATTATGATCAACTTCTGTGACAATCAAATTCATTAGAAGAGGGAAGCACGAAAGTAAAGAATGAGTAGCATCCCCAAAGTCACTTGGGACGGAGAGACGTTAAAAGAAAAGCTTTAAAAACACACACCCTCATAAATATTAATGCACACACAAACACAAAAACTGTGCGCACCACCTGGTTCTAGGAATTTGTCAAAATACGAACCTATCAGGAAATATATGCATTGTAACTTCATGTTTTGCAGGTTGTCTTGCGATGTTTCTTTATGTTGTTTGGATGTGTTTAAAGCTACTGTAAAGGGACCTATTGTTGGTGTAGATTGTGGTGCCCTCTGTGGACAATAGCGATAGCTTCTGTGAAAGAAATGTTGTCTGATTGCTTTCTGCAGTCAAATATAAAACTTTCTATGAATAGTTGCTGTGGAAACAGTGAGAAAAGGGCTTTTTCTTCATTGTGTTGTCTGATCTAATATCTGCCTCTTCACATTGGTTACAGGCAATAAACTTATAGAAAGTCAGTCTTGTTGACATCAAGTTGGTCATAAAGAATCATCACTTTGAATATCGCTCTGTTTTTTTAACGTTAAAACACTCACAGTACCTGCAAAGAAGGAGAGAAGATGTTAGGATTGTTCAGCTATGAGTTTTGGTGCAGAGTTTTGCATGTGCAGGAAGTTATGTAGGAAAAGCTTACACACCCACATGTCAGGGTTTTGGTGGAGAGTTTTAGAAAAGACGGTTTTATGTATGCCTTTGATGTAGAGCGGATCCAGGTCCCACCCGGATAAGAAATAATAGTGACCAAATTGTGACACCAGTGTCTTGAGAAAAAGCCTCTTACTTCCTTTAAAACCTTAAAACTGATATAAAACAATGTGTTAATAATTTGTTGGTTTATAAGTTGGATTACCATTGATCCGCTTAAAAGTTTTTGATAATCAAAATGATTATTCACCGTGTTTCAAAAGCTATAACTGCACACACGTGAGGAATAACCCTAAGAAAACCAACGACAACAATGTGTTAATGACAGGACATGAGACCAAGTGACCCTTGCATGCACACTTACTCTTAAACACAAACATACACTAACCGGCGTGCACACACAAACAAACACACACACACTCATAGTGACACTGACCCCGTTGGCAGCTGCCATCTGCCCGATGACCTCAATAGCTGTTCGATTGAAGAAGCGTCCGTCTCCCCCCACCACCATGGTAGAGCCCTGTCGGTCCCTCAGGTCGATGGAGGAGAAGATACTCTGGATGAAGTTGTGCAGGTAGTTCCTTCTGGACTGGAACAAATAGACCTTCTTCCTTAGACCATTGGTACCGGGTCTCTGGTCTGGATAAGGGGCTGTCGGGATAGTCAGCACCTGCAGAGGACTGTTATCCATTGTTTGAAAATAAGAGTCCAAACTAATGCAGCAGTGTGGAGAGCCAGTGTTGTTTGGAGGGAAATCCCCTGTCAGTCGAAATGGGGAAGGGGCAGAGGGGCATTATGGGAGGGCAAATCTTGACTCCTCCTATTATTTCACTGGAAGCACAGGGTTACAGGGGTACTTCTGAGGCCCAAAATAACCCCTGAAACTCATGTGTGCAGAGGCAGGGTGTGGAAGGGGGTAACTGAAGACGCTCCTTCACACATGTGCAGAGAGATCACTGTCAAGGCTGCAGGCCCAGTCACAATGAACCGTGTGTGTGTGTGTGTGTGTGTGTGTGTGTGTGTGTGTGTGTGTGTGTGTGTGTGTGTGTGTGTGTGTGTGTGTGTGTGTGTGTGTGTGTGTGTGCGTGCAGGGGGGCTTGAAGAAAGCACTGACATGTTCTGGGAGCAGTTTGTGAAGGGCTGCAGCTGTGCGAGGAGTAATGATATGCAAAAAGAAGGATGACATCTCATCACACACCAAGTGTTATTTCAGGAGATATTTACCCTTTTCAGAGCTGAGTGTGTGAAGGGAGCAATTAGAGACATCTAAGAAGCAAACGCTGTATATAGATGTGGTTTTAAGGAAGTGTCTGTTTACATAACAAACATAATTTGTTAAATCTAATTATACATGGAGTTAACCATGGAAGGTAAACAGAGCAACACCGCCCTCTAGAGTTCATAAAGAAAGAGTAACTAAAGAAAAATCTTGGATCACAACTTCTTGGTACATCACTGTTTTAAAAGCTACATTAAGTTAACCACATTTAATCAAATTAGTAATAATTTCTAAAATACAGATACACTTGATATCCATTATTGGTATGATTTTGAAAGAGAAAGTCATAAAAGATAAGTATAATGAAATCATGGGTGATGTGCAATACGCCTTGGCTTCTTTGCTGAGGTAGTCGAGTTGGGTGTTCACTGTATAGGGATTTTGACATTGTCTGACTCCTATCCATTTGTTTTGTATTATGGACATAAATGTGGGTGTACATCACTGAAGAGCAAAGAAGTTTCCTCAAGAAATCATGTAGTCTCATATTGTAGTGAATTGTATTACATGGATGAAGTAGTGTATTGTATTGTATTGTGTTGTATTGTATTGTATTGTGTTGGATGGTATTGTAAATGAGTTTAAAGTTAGAGGTTTCAAAAAGTGTATTTACAAGAAAAGACTTGAATTTCTCTGAGTGTGTATGGGTGAGTGTTTGTCTGCCTGAATGTTTGTTTAAGGTGTTACAACGTGTTAAAAGTTACATTTTGCTGCTAAAATCTCACATTTGGACATTTCTTGTTGTCAATACTGTAGATTTTCCAGTTGTTTTATGCCCAAATTCAGGTGTGTTTCTCATTTTAAGTGATTTAACTTCAAGTGACTCATTTAAATCTTGATCTATCAAGGAAAAGAATCCTTTTGCTTGCTCTTTTTGGGCTTGAAATCTGAAATGAAAAATCTTAACCTAAACATCAGATGTTAATTTGCCCTATAAATTTGTTAAAGGCACAAGCTTGCGATGCAGTACTATGACCTGGACTCTACTTGATCTGAAAAGACCCGTCCAGATGATGGGTTTTATGAAAGAAAAACCAAAAGACAAGTTGGTACCTTTAAAAATAAACCCAATTCAGAGGGATTGTTGCTGGAGCACAATTTTTGATATGATTTCAGTTCACATGTCTAACATCAATATGATCATTCCCCCTCTAGAAAATCTGATCAAATTGTTCTCACTGGTTTTAATAAACAAATGCAGTTTAATCCCCCAGGTTTACTGTAACTTTTTCTGTCTAAAAAAAGTAGTGATTTGAAAAGAAATGTTTAAAAAAAACAGTAAAAAGTAACTTAGTGGTAATAGCATGTATGTGTGTCAGTGATTTATCAACATCTGCAAAATAAAGTTAATATTGAAGTTCAAAGCTGGCCCCACTGAACTAAATCTTTGTTGACATATCAAGATCATTGTGTGCCTGACTGAGGTCAACCGTGCAATAAACCCTCAGCTAATAACTGCAAACAGGGATGTACCAAAAATATTTCAGGATAGGACGGATAGGATTTTAAAGCTTTTTATAGCCAAAAGATGTGGAGAAAATAGTTTGATGTGTAGTTGAATTATTGAATAAAGACAATATTCAAAATCCACAGAAAAACATACTTTATTTTATTAAATCTGATCTATACTTTTAGTGTGCTAAGGAAAATGTTTTATCTATGTACACTCCTTTCAATCAGTTTGGAATACATAAAAAATAGAAGATATTTGTTAAATTTTCAGTTACAGAAAGACAATGAAGCTGAAGTCACAGTCATACTTTTATTAATTTAAATTGGTAAAACAAAGCACTTGTATCAAAAATAAATGATGGAAAGATGAATGTAATGCAAAGAAGTGATCCCAACAATCCTCGCCTGCTGACACCTCAGTAGGATTAAAACGACTTCTAAATGCCCCTACCTGTTACAGATGTCAGCAAATGACCCCTTAAATGTGACTCTTTCATTAGGCCCGCCCCCAACTTTGTAAACCACTGCTGTATACTCAGAGTCAATATGACCCATAAATTCTGTTTTTATAAGTTTGTACATTATAATTTCTTCTCTGTGACCTTTGACCTCTTACATACTGTGAGTGAAGATCTTAATACATTCACTTTGAAGTTTCTCACAACATTAGACACTACTCCAGGATAGACAGTAACTCATTTCTTTGGCTTTACCTTGTTTTGAGCTCATAGTTAAAATCTTATTTAATCATCCGCTGCGTTTGTAACCTGACACCTCCTTTCTGCCTGACCCTTCTTTAAACATTGCTGCCTCAAGGAAGTATAACCAAGGCTGTCCTGCAGAGGGCACTGTTTATTTTAACAATATAACTACTAAATTAAGACAAAGAGTCACTGAAAGTGGTCTGTCTCAAAGGAGGAAGATGAGGGCAGTGTTGGTACAGGGTGCACAGAGATCTGGGTGAGCTTGAGAGAGTAGGAATTCTTTTGGCCGGGCCTCCATTGAATTCCTCTCCGTCGCTCCGAGCGCCCTCTTGCTCTCATGTGGAAATATCTCCCATTCAGGTTGGCATCTCCGCAGGTATTAAGCCACCATCCACCTGAAAGATGGCAAAAACTACATGACATGCAGTCAACAGAAACTGGCAAAGCAGCGTCTTAAGCCTCTCCCTGAAACAGGCAGAGTCCTTCCTAATTTCTTTAATCCTCTATTTTTTCTATTTTGTTGTGTCAAAGTTTTACTTGCCATAAGCAGTCCAACCCCTATGTAGCTGCCCATATTTAGTGCATTAGTGCTGCTGCTGTGTGTAGCTGACAAGCCCCTTTCCTCTCTTACCAGAATGGTGGTGGGCACAGTTGGAGTCCTGCTGTCTGTCGTTGTCTCTGTCCTTGGTGGAGAACATCATGCCGCTGTGGTTGCTCATGGGGTCAGGAAGATCTCCAGACAGATGTGTGAGGTGAATGGTGTAGTTGCTCTCTGGTCCATGCAGGTGAAATCTGTATTCGATGAAGTGTCTGTCCTGTTTCCAGTCCTCCAGCTGGATTTGAAGGACAGAGTTTCCCCAAGCAGACAGGGAGTGGATCTTCCTCAGACCCAGCCAAAACTCGCCTGCAGAGAGACAACAGCAAGAGGTCAGGAATTACATGACTTTGAAAAATCTTTGAAAAATGAAGAGGTAAAAAAAAAACAAAGGTACAGAATACACACTTACACATGTTTAAAACCTATTTTTAAGGTTGACATTAATCAAAATGTAAACTTTTGACCAAAGTTTACGGTTGAACTTTTTTCCCCTTTTATTTTAATACAGATAAAAATTATGTAATATATTTTACTAATAAAGGATCCAGCCTTTAAGAAATATCTTACAGCTCCTGAAGGGAACTCTCAGTTGGTGTCACTTTAGCGCCCCCTATGGACAAAGTAGTCTTTGCTAACTTTGTCCTCCTCTTTGTGCTTTAGTTGTTCGTGTCCTCTGATTATACAGTCTCATCTAGCTGACTTTTGACAGCCACATGTCATTTATTGTGAGTATCTCATTTCTATAGATGCTAATCAGACACCTCCCTCCATACACCAGTTTCAAGCATAAAAAAACTGCAATATAAAAACCATTAACCTCATCACTGATGGTCTTATTTGCTTTTCTGCATTACAAAAAGACTTAAACATGAACTTCACCTGTTCTATAAATGTAAATGTGAGTTTCTCTTACCTTTAAATTCTCCAAAGCCATTTTCATATTTGTCCCAGTTTTGATCAAAATTCACTGAACCATCCCTCCTCCTCTGGATGACAGTTGTTCCGAAGCCTAAATGAAAAAAAATCCTGTTATAAAAGTAAAATCTTAGAGCTTAATATTAAAATAGCAAATCCCTGCATTAATTCCAATTCCCTTCATATGTATATAATCATATGTATGAGGGGATTAGCAATCACCCTTTTTGTGAGTAATCTAATGCCATCTCATTTCAAGCTGCCTCAGAGTTTGCTATATTGAAGTGGTGCATACAAAAGTCTGGCTGCTGTTCTTACATTCAAGGCTGCATTTTTGTGAAGTGAAATACACATGATGCATTAGATAAAAATGTGATCTTAAAATCTCAGGATAAACTATTACCCTTTTGTTTGTAAGTGTTTATTTGTACCTCTGCTCATGTCACAGAAGGCCATGAAAGGCTCGGATCCGTTGGGTCTAATGGCATAAACACCACTGACCTGCTCCCCTCTGTTAAACAGCTCACTGCAATCTGAGGGCAGGTCTATTTCATGAAAGAAAAAAGTTTAAATGGCAACATTAGCAGAAAATGTGTGTTCAGGGTCATCGACTGCTCATTGTGAGCTGCAACTGTAAAAACACAGGCTGTTACTGCAGAAACCATGTGAAAATAAAGCAGAAAACAGTTCCTAATTGGCTGCACATGTTCATCATTCAGGTGAGATGAATCTCAAGCACTTGAACATTTCTCTTTCCTTTCATTATCCATCTTACTCAGAATTTCAGTGCGGCTGGAAAAGCTTGAAGTCAAGTAAGGGGCGAGTGTTGGTGCTTCGCTGTTGAAGATTTCAGGTGTCCTCTCAATGGTCTCCTGAGCAAAACTGTGGGAAGCCAGCTAAAGAATTGAACAGAAGATATTTTAGCATGCAGACACCATCCAAAGACAGACTCAGGAGCAATACCAAAGACTAAAACAGCAATAACACACATTTCAAACTTAGAGTTGTTATTGTGCCAAAGTTTGACAAAGACTTTCAAGCTGCTGAGACCAAAGAAAAAAGCAATTGAGGCACAAGCTGAGATGATTAGAAATATCGACAGCTCCTTTATCAAGTCAGCCACCCCCACAGATCTAAAGTCTACATTATGTAACATAAAAACACGTTATCATTTAAGTTTATTTGAACTTTGATTCCTCTCTGACTCAGAGAGCAGCCAAAATAAAATTCAATAAAAAAAGAGTTCAATAAAAATATAAACTTTTGCTCAGCATCAAAGTAAAAGTGAGTGTAACAGCTCATCCCCTCTGACTGATGAAGGAACTGTAAGGAAATAACTGGGGTGAGAAAGGGGGCAGAAGCTTGCATTACATCATGGAGGTAAGCAAGATTTTTTCCAGTATGACCTACATTATATGTGGCTTTTCCTCTGAAAATAGAAAAAAATCAGAAAATTATATATTTCAGGGACAGCAGCAGGGAATATTTTCCACTTTTGAATAAAGAGCTGCTGAGTCATGAAGAGCTCTTTAGTATTGTCTGTATGAAGATGATGAGCTAAGAAAACCCTTGGTGAATTGAGATGTGTGTTCAGAGGAGGGCTGTCAAGATATCAGATTTTCAGCTCGCTATTATCATGGCCTGAAATGATCACAATAACAATATACCCATGATATTTTCTAAAATCTTGGAAATTATACAACACCACTAGTCAAGGATGGGGGAACACATTTCTTCATAAACTTTACCAAGAAACACAAATATCTTACATGGCATCATTCATTTCTTTGATTTTTCAAATTAATGATTCATCACTAGCTCTGTGACCTAAACTCACTTAGAGAAGTCTTTAAAAAAGTTTTTTATTTTTTATTTTTATTTATTCCGGTGTTTTTTTATTTTGCCTTATTCTCAGCATAGTAACACTGTGCTTTTATTTTGAAGTCTGAGCTACTTCCTGTTGATAATACGTTACAGATCTGAATAAAAACAATTAAAAGAACAGTTAGGAATTATTAACGTTCAATTGATTAGTAACCCAAAAGAGACACAAGTCCTGGCATTATTTTTGGGTTTCACAGCTCATAATTATGTGATTAACTCTTTAAAGCTCCTGTAAGGAATTTTTGGTTTATTTTGATTTTAGCGCCCCCCGTGGACAAACGATTGCCTCTTTTCTCTCTGCAGATTTTGTCCTATACATAAAAATAGCAACTCTCTTGCAATGTTTACGGACTCAATTGCTTTTTAGTGTCAGAAAGCGGCATCATTACGAGTGTCAGCTGATTTTGGAACCAGCTAAAAAAATCATCACAGGAGCTTTAAAATTGGCCATCTTTGTTTCTTGAGCACAGATGATAAGTCAGGGTGCTTTTATTTCTGTACATTTGTTTATTATAAGTATTTTTAATAAACTATTTTATATTTTCTTCTTTTTTGTGATTCATTTGTTTCATTGTCTCTGTTTTTGGCACAATAATGGTACATGCCATTTTGTAATGCATGACACAATGATCAAATCCCAGCAATCAGTAAAACTAGTATAGTTTCAACTAAAATAACTAAGGAGAACAGATATGTGGCTGCTAGAGCTCCTCTACTTTTTCAAATAAATTCAACTATCTTCATTCTTTAGTGGGAAAAAAACAGAAAAAAATAAAAACTGTCCTCTTTGAAACTCCCCTTCATTGCTTTCCAACACCCACCTTTTCCTCCAGGACCTTAATCTTTGACCTCTGGTAGATCAGCTGGTCACTCTGCTCCCTCACAGCCTCCAGCAGCTTTGCGATGCTCTGCTCCTGGCTCTGGATCACATCCTGGTCAGGAGAAAAATAAAAGAGTCTTAGGAGCAGTTGTGTAAAACAAAGGATGCAAATGAATGCAGGGTCAAAGATAACATTGCCAAGTGTTCAAAATGCAATTTAGAGACCTTATCAGAAGCTTTTCTCAATCTATTTTTAACAAGAGAACTACATGATATTTACAGTGCAAATATTGAAGGTCTAACTGTGAAAACTCTTTGTCTTCAGAGAATAATTTTCCTCTGCTCTAATTTCCTCCTGTGCAAAGGAGGATCAGGTTGCCATGACACCCAGTGGAAGATGAAATGTCATGATCGGGCATTAAGCCCAAATATTGCAATGATCTTTAGAAACATTGTTATCTCTGTGTGAGGAAATTCAAGATATTTCTTCAACAGTCATTTTTCATTCGCTGTGTTATTTTGCAGTATTTCATTTTACTGTTTCTTATTGCAGTGGTTATAAATCACTGCTGCCCTCACAGAGGTCAGCTCTCTGGTTTAAGGTGTGTGATGTTATTATCATACTGACTTGAACACCCCTCATTCCACCAGGTGTTGGTACTTTGAACTGTAGTGCAAACTGTATAATAAAATAGACGGCATCACAGCTCCCTAAAGTGAAGTCAAGACAGTTAGAGCTCCCTCTGCTGACAGGTCTTGGTATAGGTCTTAAAGGTTGCCACGTTAGAGCCTGATATGTAGTAATTATCTGAAATGTAGTTAAAAAACTGTATTAAAACCCCAAATGTCATAACTGACCCAAAATGTAATAAGATGCTGACCCTAATATGTACATGTAAAATGTAAGAACTTGTTACATTATCGACCAGTTATTACATTTCGAGTCACTGTTACATTTCAGATCATTGACACATATTGGGCTCTAACATGGCCTGTTCACGTTATATGATGAGGGAATATGAGTTCAACTTTAAAATCAGATTTTCTTTTATTAAGGTTCCCTACAGTATTGTTACTTTTTGTTCATGTTGGCATAATTTAATATCACGCCATGATTGACGACTCTATGGATTATGCAGCCTTTGAAGCATTGTGTACACTGGGAAACCCCAATGCAAGAGTCATTGAACATTACACAACCATGAGTGTCTGTAGAAAAAAAAAAAGACTGCTCTGACCACAGACTGTGTACTAAAATGTATGCCTTAATTTTTCATTAACTATGAAGCAAAAAGACTTAGAGCTCCCTCTGCTGGCTGGCTGCAGTTCAGGTTATAAAAGCTGCCTACTCAATATTAACAGAGGCCAAACTTAAAAATTATAACACATATTAAACAAGGTTTCAGACATTAGATTTGGTTCTCATTATGCTGCTTCATGTCCAAATGCTCATTGTTCAGAGAAGTTTAATTTGTTTGGAGAATGTGTCATCAAGTTTGACTTCACTGTTGGCAAATGTAACTCCTGCAGTGTTCTGTGCCGGTATCAATAAGTTAATGTTTGACATCAGATCCATGATGCTACCAGCTAAGTCACTTTAGTGCATGCCGTGGCTGCTAAATCACAATCTGGGACGTGTCTGTTGTTCTAGCTCCAGGGTTCCTTACAACAATATTGGCAGGTTAAATCTGTGTTTTGGTTAGTAATGGGGTGGGACATCGCTCCACCAGACAGTATCTACTATGCAGCCTTAGGCTTTAAATGGCATCATCAGTAAAGATGCCAGCATCCACCTGAAGAGTATTTTGTCTTAACCTTTGTCCAATAGGAGGAGGTGGGGAGGGGAATGGGCTGAACCACACTGGGACCAGGAAGGGTGCACTCCTGTCTATAGTTTAAATAAACAGCTGAGAAATAAACTCTGGCTAAATGAATATTTTGTGGAGATATACAGACTACATGATAAGTCTTGAATTTAAAAGATAGATGTCAGTGTTTTCAATGGCTTATGTAGTAAAATTTACCCTTGCAAAGAGCTATGTGGTTTTAATCAGGTAGGACTGATATTTAACGCCAAGGTTCAATCCACACAGCTTTTCGTCAACTGGCCAGGGACCCCTTCAACTATGTTTTACTGTGTTTTATAATGGTGTCATCTTATCATAGCAGAGCTGTAAACTCAGGTTTTGGACTGTTGTGTTTCCTGACATTTACAAACTGCTGGTTGACATTAATATGACTGACACTCAACAACATGAGAAAACTCCAGAAAAGAAGTGACTCACCCTGAGGCCGTTGATCTCTGCCGTTTGCTCGCTTGTCATCAGGCCGCTTGTCAGACTCCTCAGCTTCTCCTCCAGACTGTCCACCTTTCCCTGCAGACTGCTCTTCTCCTGTAGGATGCCGTCCACTTTAGAGTTGATCTGTTCAGACAAACCCTTAATCTCTTCATTGTTGGCCGTCAGCACCACAGTGGTCTTCTTCAGCTCCTCTTCTTCTTCTTTGATTTCACTGGCGAGCACTGACAGCTGGTAAAAGGAGCGATCGAAGATGTTGAGCTTCTGGAATATGTCGTTTATCTGCCCCTTTGTTTTCTGTACAAACTCACGCATGCTCTGACCAAGCTGCAAGAGGCCATTGGCAAGGAGACGCACATCATCCAGAGCAGCAAAGCGGGAGCGGGTTTCAGTGGGGGTCTCAGGTTGAGGGTCAGGCCTCTGGGTGTTTCCACAGAGGGCAGGGACCAAGGTGACAGCCAGGACTAACAGTACAGTGATGAGTGATCTCATGTTTGAGTGGTGCTGCTCTCCTGCTGTGTGTTGGTATAGTCAGGGCAGCCGTGTCCCTCCTCTCTGACAGAACAAAGAGGAGCTCAGTGAGGATCTTAAGCTTTATGGACTGCCCAGTATCAAGTAAATGATTAACAAGCTCATCTGATCAATATTTGTTTATACTGTTTGTTCCCTTTGAGAGGACTAATGAAATCTATATATTTTAGCTTACAGGCTACAACAACACAATGTGTTCTTGTGTACTTAGGTGTTTATTGAACAAAAGCAGCATTACAAAGTGCTTTACTAGTCATGTAATGTTTGTTCACAGAGTCTACATTTTTTAACAAAAGCAGGCAGAGTTGACAACTTGTGTCAAAGTAAAATTATACTTTATATTTATACTTTACCCCAAGATGGGAAGGTTGTTGCAGCAATGCAGACATCGTCAGAAAGTAAGAATACTGTAAGAGTCAGAGTAGAATAGCATTTTAAGTGGGTACTGGCTTGATGCGGGAAAAAAGTCCATATAGAGAGAAAGTATTACCAAAAATAATCTCCCCATCTGGAATCCTAAACCCTGATGGCATTTACCTTCAATTATTTATTTACTTCTCTCTTTAAACAAACATCATCATGGAGAGTATATTCTGAGATAGGGCCGTCTAAATATATTAGTATTGATGTTTACTGCTTTCAAAAATGATTTACTGTGAACCCTGTAAGAACAGCCTACTGTGTCAACATGTAAATGATTGGTGCATAGTGAAACAGATGAAGAAGACGTAGGAGTAGCAGCTAGCTAGCTTTAGCAACCCTCTGAAAGATGATTAGACATGGATGGTCTCATTTACTTATGCAGCTGCAAAAAAAAAAAAAAAAAAAAGGAAAAAAAAATGTCGCTGTGAATTTCAATCTGTTTTGAAGAAACTTAAATCTCTTCACAGGGCTTTCTCTGCCTTTATACTTCCTGAAGACTCATCCTATTCTTTGATCTTTTGCTACTTCTGCAATACAAACCAACAAAACAAAACACACTTATTAGCATTATTGACTGTGTCTAAGCTTGTTTTCCTCGGAGGACGATGTGACCTGGTCCTTCTGGCTGACCTGTAGTCACCTGTAATGAGGCCATGGCAGGTCTCTGTTAGTGTTACAGCCTGGTTTATTTTTAAACAGGAAGTTGACCCAGTTTATAATAATATAACAATAATAATCTTTATGTATAGAGTGCTTTTCAAAATCTCAAAGTGCTTTGCTAAGATAAGATAAGAGATAAGATAAAGTTTATTTATTCCAATGTGGGGAAATTTAGAAAGGAAACTGAAAATTGCAAATTTAACAAACGCGTTTAAAGGCATCAACCCACTTAGAGCACAACAGTTCACATTTAGCATAGATGGATAAGTGGAGTTTCGAAATAAGTGTCATTTTTTTGCCCCCCAGTAGTGAAAAAATACTGGCCTGGTATTGCCTGACCCATAAACGAGCTTATTGATCTACCATTTTATTTACAAGTGACATGGACACTATCGTTGGTTTGTTGGACTGCAGTGTTTCTAAACAAGCTAAATTATTATTATTATTTTTTTATTACAAAACTGAAACTAGAACAAACGACAGCACATACAGCGTTTACTGGCAAAAAGTGGTGTTTCTATCCTCTGCATGCCTCTGCCTGTTTACATTTCTGCTGCATCTTACATGTTATGTAATCTGATTGATTGTAGCTCTATGTTATATGCTACTGTTGCTAACACCCTCTAGACAAATGGAATGAATTGAATGTTTGTGCTAAACCGGGTAAATACATCTAGATACAAAGCAGATTCAAAGCAGAACCGAAGACGAACAAACAGTCGTAAAACCAAAGTTGATGAACTTCCTGTTACAGCATGTTGCCTCTTATTATCTCTTTGTCTCTGTGCAGTGAAACTATCCATTTAGAAGCCAGTATCAATGTTTATTATGCAATACTCCTTTCACCCTACAATAAACAAACATGCCCTTTGCCTTCTCTGATGAGTTCTGATGCCTAAGACTGACTTATCTTCAAGCCAGAGGGAAGACTTCATTTGCATTTTCTCCAGGGAAATTAAAGCAAAATAAAAAATAAAAAAACTTGATATAAAAGGCTGTTGCTCTTTACTCTGCCACACCAAAAGAAGGAAAAAAAAGCTCATGAACTCACATTTTCAAGGTGAGAACCTAAGCACTGTCCTTTTACTAATTATAGTCATTATGGAAGAAGCAGTTTTATGGTAGCAGAGTGCTTCTCAAAGGCATCAATTAAAATCAGGCAGGTTTTAAAATCAGCATTTTTTAAAAGAAAAAGATGAAAATAAAAGGTTGAAAATAAAACTCAAATCCAAGACAGCACTCAGATAAAAGTATGCTTCAAGAAGAACTTCAAAGAAGAAGATCCTCTGTGTTTCTGACGTCTCCTGTTCCCTACAGTCTCTTCCGAAGTTGGAGTATTAGTTGAGCTATAACCCGGCTATCGACGTAGATTGATGACCCTTGACCTCCTGTGTAAAATGTTAACCACACATGAGAGCAGGGTAGTATTGGCCTTGCTGTGTGTACACACATCAAACACCCACAGCTCTGACTCCAGTGGGGGCCCTGATCATTGTGAGGTGAAGTGGTGAGTTCACGGCAGGTTAACCTCTGACAGCAGCAGCAGCAGCGGCGGTGGCGGCCTACTTTCAAAGGGTAAAGACGTATAGCTAAGGGACCGTGAGGAGTTCAAGGGGCGTGCGTGATGAATAAAAGGAGGGGAGTAAATGAGCCAGTGAACATCAGGCTCTCTGTAAACAAGGACAGGAGGTGGAACAGGATTTGTTTGCATCACCATGAGTCATTGGACACCTTGTTTCCTCTGATGAAAATACTCTACCTATTTTTATGCTTACGTGTGGTGGGCAAGTGGTATAGTAACAAAACTCTGACCAGGTGAACTTTATCCATTTACTATCCTCTTTGTATTACACTGATGTTCAAAAGTTATTTTTAGACTATATTGTTGAGTTACTTCAAGGATTTTAATTTTGCAAAATATGGTTACAAGAATCTGGTGGGCTCCTGATGGTTTTGACACAAACTGGTTTATTTTTGACAGTAAATGTACTTTTTTGTATTATTTTTGATTTAACCTTTATTTATCCAGGTAAAATCCCATTGAGATCATGATATCATTTACAAGGGCAACCTGGCCAAGAGGTCAGCAGGACACGCCATAATATGTGCAATCAGTATAAGGGAACCAACAACAAATTCCCAGTTAAAGTGCAACAAACATTTTGGGACAATCACAATTTAAAAACACAGGCATTGTTCATAGGATTCTCATTGCTTAGCGAATAAAATGGAACGAAAATCTTTAAATGAAACCAGTTCTGTCATTTTCAGCTCTGTTTGTAGTGTTCCAGGCTGTGGGGGCGGCATAACAAAAAGCCTATTTCCCCAATTCAGTTCGGACTCTGGGCATATTTGAATGATAAGTTGCTCAGGACCGTAAGGTACAGGCACTTCTTGATTTCTGCCGAAGAGAGCAGAGGTAGGAAGGGACCAGCCCAAGGAGAGACTTATAAATCAACAACATTCATTGGGTGTACCTCCTGGAGCTCAAGGAGGGCCACTCAACTTTGGCATACAGCTCACAGCAGTGAGTGAGGCGACTGCAACCAGTCACAAAACGTAGTGCACAATGATAGACAGTGTCCAATGCCCAGAGACATTTGAGCGAGGCACTCATATATACGACAGTATGCTATTTTGCTCAGACTGTGCCCTGTTCGCAATTGATGATGCATTAAGTCCAAACATGGTTGTAAAAATAATGGGATGCAGTTAAAGGAGCTCACATCTCTGCAGTTTCTTCTTCCTCAGAGGCAAATAAACACACCTGAGGGGTAATAATCTGCCAGTATTAGATTAAACGACATTCTCTCCCATCTGAACAGCTTCTTTCATTTCTCGCTGTGGCTGGGACGTCTTTTTAAGCAGCCCTGCAGGTTGCTCCCTGCACTTTGGACGAGTGATTTTTTTCCAATGTGGAAACATTTCTCTGAGCAGTTTTCCTCCTTCTCCCATTCTGAGAAGATAATGACAGTGGCATTTAAACCGACAATAATGCATATCTAATTTCTGTGTCTCTCATTAAAAATCAGACTTAATAAAATTTAGCTTGTGGCATATTTCTCTTTCTTGTCTTAAAGTTTGAGCAGTAACTGTTATTGCGCTCTTTGCTTTCTCAAGCTGCTGCCAAGAAATTAATAAAAGTTTTATTACATTATTCATTAAGCAAACAGACTTTCAACAGTCGGAAAAAAATGGATCTCTGTGCAGCTAGCATTTCGTGCCAAATCTACATTTGCTCTTTCTTCTTTTTTATGATATTGTCTTGGCTTGTTGTTGGTATCATAAAATATCAACCTTTTAAGATTCACTTTAAACTGTGAAGCATCCTTTTATTGTGACTTGATTTGTTTGTTTATACCATTACACGACATTCACAAGCTGAATTTGGATTTCCTCACATGAATAACAAGTTTTTTTCTGATATGGTAGTGATTAAAAATTAAAAGACTAAATTTCATGGACATTAACTTTCAACAGACTGCTTAAGCAAAAAGTACTGGTCTTTATTTTGTAATTTCACAGTTGATATAAATCACTGCTATAGAAAGAAAAACATTCTCTCTGTGGTTATTTTCATTCACACTCTATTCAAGGTCCAAGTCTTTACTATCATTTTACAGAGCCAAAAAACAGTAAAGAATCTCCCTAAGTTGCGAATCATAGATAAAAAAGCAATTACAAATAGAAATTTAAAAAAAGAAAAGCACTGAAGAGATGCTAAAAATATAAAAGTGATACAATAAATAAAACAAAAATTAAAACAATGTTTACTCTACATTTTTACATATAAGTCTACTGTTATGTTTTACTCAAATTGGAATCCCAGAAAGCAGAGGTGGAGGCAGGAAGATGTCTCAGCTTATTAAGCAGGCAGTGGAGGCAGAGATCCAGCTGGTTGGGGCAAAAATCTTCAAAGCTGCAGCAAAAAAGGCACACTGGAGATCATGAGCACAGGAGAGGAAACACAGGTAAGACGAAGAAGAAGAAAAAATAAAACAAATTCTCATAAAAACAGGGAGACTGGGAAGGCAGGGCTCTACCAGAATTATATGGCAGTGAAGTGGAGTTCAGATCAGGCTTTTAAAGGCAGCTTGATTAACAGAGTGACCACAGGTGTGCATAACCAGCTGCTGCAGCAGAGCCAGACTCTCCCTGCCTAACACAGACGAGGCAGGAAAAACAGAAAGGGAAAGGAAGAGAGCAACAAAGAACCAAAACTTCACAGAATCATCACATCTATATTTTAAAAGTTAGTCTGCACAGGTTTCCTATAAAGTAAAGTCACCTGTAATAAGCCTTCCTGCTTTCCTTCTTCTTCCCTACCCTTCCTTTCTATCCTTTCCTCTTCCTTCCCCCCTTCCTCCCAACCTTCTCCACTTCCTTCCTTCTATTTTTTCCTACTTAAGTTTCTCTATACTTCCTTCCTACTATCCATTTCGCCCTTCCATTTATCCTTTCATCCTCTCTTCTGTCCTATATAATTCCTTCCTTCCTTCCTTCTTTCTTTCTCTCCTGGCCTCCTTCCTTCCTAGATTCTTCTTGTCTTCATCCCTTATCCCCCTCTTCTCCCTTCCTTCCTTCCTTCCTTTCTTTTATCTTTCTCTCCTTCATTCCCTCCTTCCTCCCTTCTATCCTTACCTTCTTTCTCTGTCCTTGTATCTCCCTCCCCTTGCTTCCTTGCCATTTCCTCTCTTCCTTCCTTTCCTTATCCTTCCCACTTTCCTTCTTTTCTTTGTTTCATTCTGCATGTTTAAAAAAATTAACCTCTTCCTGGCCTTCACAGTTTATTAGCTACAATAAACTTCTGCCTTGATGAAAACAAAATCAGAGTTGATATAACGTTTATAGTTGACACCTGTGTTTTCCAATGAATCTCTGCTGTCTTCCTTAAACTCATACATCTAGGACACTAAATAAACTCCGTTGTTAGGGGTTTGTGGCCTTTTGGCCAGGAGGATGGTCATTAGTCATAGGTCACTGTTACATGACTACTTACACTGTTTCTGTATATCTGTTAGCCAATACAGCTGCAGCCCAACCTGAAACTCCCCTGACCACAGACCACACTTACATAACAGCTTTGAATACAGGAAAGAAGATGTCGGCTGTGAGAATCTTTAGGTACACTGAACTACTTTGAACTTTAAAATTTTTTTTTTTTTTTTTTGTCAGCTCAGTTGCCCTTTACACGTGCAGTCTGTATCACAGAGGCAGATTATGGATTGTCTTCTGGTGATACCTACAAAAGCTCTGATTACTGACACCAAATGAACTATAGGGAAACTTTGCAGCCTTCAAAAACATCACATGATGTTTGTTCAAATGAAAACCTTCCTCTTGGCAATATTTGACTTACCTCCAGCTATACTTTCCGCCAGGAGGCAGCTTTCAACTGTAATAACACCCACAGCGGGAAGAAGTTTCTACCCTGCAGCCAACAAACCTTGTGTTTTATGGGTTTCATTTTCTGGGCCTCGAACATCTGTTTGCATGAGTTAATAGTTAACAACTCATCTTTCAACTAATATTTTAAGTACATTACGAGGTAAATTTATATCCCACATTTCTCTTTAAATGTAATGCCGCTCTAAATCCTTCTGTGAAACTTGCCATTTAGAACATTTTTGCCTTTTGGCCAAGTTTTCTGCTGTATGTGGTCAGTCCGTCAGCAGTCACTGGTCCAATAAAGACTGTTTTTTCTCTCTCCCTCTGTAGCTCCAGTCAAACCACAAACCCTCTCGGAGTCAGTTGTCTGCTTGGGTAATGGAAAGGAGTATTTCTTGCTAATTCTTGCTAATTCCTTTTCCATGGGCACAAGGCGGTGGTCGCAAATTGCCCAGTTTATTTTGCTCTCAAGTCAAGCTCAAGCTGGATGCAACCAGCTGGGGACTGTGATAAATGGTTTTCGCTGGAAGGCATACACTGTGAGCTATAAGTGGTGGGAAAAACATTTTGTTTGGCACTCGGAGACAAACTGTGGGAGTAACTAAGACAAACAGTAAGGATAACATACAGATTAAACTGATTCTGAATGATTCAAAGGCATTAGAGAACAAGGGCGAGCTTGAAAAAATCTGAACTGTAACATATATGATAATGATAGTAAAGCTGACATGCTAGTATTTGCTCAAGTTGTGTTAAAACCTTGAGAGTTTCAGCACTTGAACTCAGAAAAGTAGAGATATTTATCTTTTTCTCTTAGTTCAGGGGTTATTAAAGCTTCTCTAAAGGTGAAATCTGAGAACATTAATCATAAGTATCTGACCGTTTTTGTTAGCATATCAAGCTGCTGCTCCTGCTTCTTTTTTGCTATCCACTGTTTATGGTGGCTAGCAAACAGTGTAAATTAGCTCCACCTGCCCCTACCATGGACCATCTACTCACACAGTCTAAATATATGCAAACTTTTAGCACAGCTAAATATTTTAGTTTTCAAAACAACAGCCAGTTGTTGTGATAGCAGTATGTTGTTTTTTGTCACTTGACAATAGATAATGTCAGAGCTAATGGGTGTTTATAATGTTCACCAACTTACTTTAGATTTTAGCTAACTCATATTTGTTCATCAGCACAAAATACAAAACAATGGTGAGACTGTTATTTTTTTTTTATTATTTTGATGGTCCTAGATTATTAATTAAAACAGTGGAATAGCAAAATTTTACTTTGTGATACTTGATAAAACTTAAGGGGAGGGTATTATTCCTTTTTTAGACTCTATTCTTCCTTTCTGATATCTCTTGAATGTCTTTACTTGATTTTCAGATGGAAAAAAGCCTCAAATTTCTTGCTGTGGTGTATTAAAATATTATCACAGCCCCTATCTGAAATGCTTTTTATCTAGCTGTTGTCTCTTTAAGGTCCCCCCTCCACAAGCCCACTATCCTCTGATTGGCCCCCTCCCTGGAAGCCATTGTGAATGAATGGCACTCTTTGGAATTGCCCCACGGAACAATCCAAGGTACTTCAAAATTGTGTCAGTTTCACACCAGAAACGGTGGATGTTGACAAAATTTGGCCTGAAGGCATCTGCAGGGTTGTTTAACAAATGAAACTATGAAACTTTAATTTTCTGGTCAACCTTTATGAATAATTAATGATCCAGAGGGTCTGGAGACCTGACCTCAGGGAGGCATAAATGATTTTAATAAATTGGGGCTGTTTAAACTGGTAAAAGCTGGAATATTTTATTTGATAACCTGCAACTTTTACTCATCGGTGGTACAAAAGGATATTTGAGGGATCTTTGGGGGGCTACGGATATCAGTAAACAGATTACTCGGTCTGACTAGTTTAAATATTTGACCTATCACAGGAAAAGGGTGTGTGTGTGTGTGGGGGGGGGGGGGACTACACGATTTAGTGTGAGTCCACCAGCTAAATGCTAGGACACTAAAAATAGACCTTAACTCAAAGGTGGTCCTCCAAGCAAAGGTCAGAGATAAGTTTAAGTGGCTTTAAACAATTCTCTGATAATCTGTCAGTAATTATTGAGATATTTAACTAGATAAATTTGATCTATGGTGTGAAGAGGATTTCATCCTCCAGGAGACATGAATGCTTGTGCAAAATTCTGTATCAGTCCACCCACTTGAGATATTTCGATCTTGGTCATTGTGATGGATGGACACAGGTTTTTACTTGTCCCACAACTTTGCCTTTGGTATGGTTGATAAAGCAATTGTCACTTCTTTGAAACCAATCTGGTGACAAACGACGCTGCGTTCACACCACACTGTTGTTTATACTTGTCCACTGCCCTTTAAAAGAGAAGAGGAAAGGCTTTCCTGGTATGCTGGTGGTGCCCCAAAGGAAGATGCTGGTCTGGGCTGAAAGTAGAGCCAAGAAGAATGAGCAGTATGCACAGAGAGAATGAACCCCCATGGATGCCACCAAGCCCTCTGCTCTCCCCCCGCTTTATTTGATTACAGGGGACAGAGACCACATAACATGGGGTAGGGTTACACATTCTGACTGAGGGAGGTCCATGAGGCACTGCCTGGTCACTGATGTTATCTGAGAGGATCATGAATGGCAGACAGAAAGGTGACCCTGGTACTTTCTCCTGGATGCTCCATATTTTGACATGTTGTCAACTCCATCCTGGAAAAGCTGCTGTTTTTCTCAGCCGGCTACACCTCTCTGATTCTTATTGGCTGCTGTCTGAAGGGGAGGGTGTGCTCCTCTAATTCTTCCCTCCCACTTGTCAGTCTTGTTGGATGGACAGTACTAGAGGAAGGCATGAACAGAAGCCCCTCCCTGCTTCGTGCTCTCTTTTACACACAAGCAAACTCAGCTTCTGTTATGGCAGAGGCTGCTGCACGTTGGCATTTTCCAAACAGCCGGGGCATGCCACTCTGTCTGTAGACACCTCCCTTTCTCCTCAGGAGCAGACAAACCGCCTGAACTGAGCTGAGAGCAGACTGTAGTGGACTGTCAGACATCCACACCCTCACATCAGCAAGACAAATTGGGGGGAACTGCAGGAGCACATGTCACAAGGTAAGCTCTGGTTAAATATTCATCTCATATCTCAGAGCCAGAGGAGGACTGTTGGATTGGAAATTTAATCAAAGCAGAAATACTGAATGTTGACCTTGAAAGTCTTGGAAACTGGGATGGGCTGATCTAAATTCAGGGTCAGGAAAGCTTTTGACTCCTAAGTGATTTCACAAATTGTATGGAGTGGATCTCTGGGCCTGTGTTGAATACTAATCAGACACTCAGGACTGAAACTTTACCTTTAAGAAATTAAATGTTTCACTAAATTTACATCTGAATTTATCTTTTTAACGCAAATTGCACAGACATGAAACACAAACACACGCCCATTGGAACACACACATACACACAAGTCAGAGGACTTTCTATTTTAACCTTGCCATGTTAACATACCACAGCTTTCTTCCTTGCATGAAGCCCCTGGCAGCTGTTTCATCCAAAAGGCTTTGGCTCCACATACCACACAATGGGGCTCAGATGCCACAATGCAATCATGACCCTGTTGCTGTTGGGCTACAACCAGGTCCAAAATGTCAAAACGAAAAACACTCAAACTGAAAAAGATGATAAAACTTGAGGGATTTCTAGGAAGTCTTAATGGAGACAGTGAAGGAGAAATGTGAGTCTGACAAGAGAAAAACAGAGTGAGGGAGCAGCAGGGGAAAGAGGAAAAAGAGTCCAAACAGTTGAGTTTGGTTTCTAAATCAACTCTGAACAGAAGACGAGGTTTAGAGTTATGTGCTGGGAGGAAATAACGGACAGTAGCCAAAAAGTTGAAAGGAAGAATGATTTTTCCGGGACTAAGAACATAGACAGGAAAACTTGTGGATTTACATACTGTACAGACAGATGGACAGGCACAGGGAAGAAAGAGAGGGACAGATGGAGGAAATCAGAGATGGCAAAGTGCACAGAGAGAGAGAGAGAGAGAGAGAGAGAGAGAGAGAGAGAGAGAGAGAGAGAGAGAGAGCTCTGTGACGGAGTAAGAACACCTCACTCTAAAGTCTTAAGTTCAGGATTATGTTCAGCTTCAGGTTCCACATTTTATAGTTGTGTGAGGAACTTGTAAAAGCCAAGTAAAACTTTGTTGGTTGCTGGTAAAATAATTTAGACTTAGAGACTGACAACTCTACATGCTTACCTTGAGTGAACCCATGAGGTCAAAATGTTCCAACATACAGTTGAGTGTCACAGCTTTCTTTGGGGTATCAATCAGGCCAATGGTGCTTTGGAGTATTGGGTATCTTTGAACATTTAATGTGTTTACATTGATACTTGATTGTGACAGGGTGTTGGACCATGGAGAAAAAGGAGACCAAAGGTGGTTTTAAATTAGGGACCTGAGCCTGGATCTGTGCACACTTGACCCCAAAAGTCCTGCTCATTTGATTACTAGAAACTAAGCGGCAACCTGTGGTCTTGAGAAATGAAGCAGATGCAGAAGTGTTAAAAACTACAATTCCCAAAGTGCCTGCTTAAGCTTGAGCTGCAGAAGTACCAACACACACATGTCCTTAGCAAAAAGCCAGTTTTTAGAGCTAAAATAAAGACGTCTACATCCTGGTTCATAAAACCGTTTTGGACTAAGTAGCTCAGGGATGACAGGGTACCCACTGTACAGGGTGTAACGCATTTGTTTTTAAATGATTTAAGTTACAAGACAGGCCAATCAGAACACTGAAGCTGTATATTAAGAGACTATAGGCCCTCCCTTTGGCAGGTCGAATAGACGTTTGTTGAGTCAGCATTACCAATATGGCCAGCTCCGCCAATAGGCTTCAAAACTCTGTTTCACAAAGAACTGGGTGACCTCATTGACCCATTTATCATCCAGTCTATGGTGTGAACACAGTCATGCTGAGGAGGTGCTCTCAGGCATGGTTCATGTATGCTTGGGCATGGTCTGTGCATGATGCGGGGCCAACCGAGCTAAAACAAGTAAGTGGGCCGCTATATTACATCATGACTGTTTAACAGTGTCACTCTAAAAACATGGTATCCAGGCAGCATGGGCCTAGTCCATCCTCTGAGCTGCATGGTACATATCGTTGAGAGGACTTGTGTTGGCGTGTCCTAACAATAAAAACATCTATAGCAGCAGGATGGACTCCATTGTCTACGAAGAATGAAAATGTCAGCCAGTTCATCACAAGAATGGTTGCCATGGTTGCATCTTGTTCTTGGTGGAATTGTGAAACAACTATGTGCATATCTCAGGCATTACAAGTGTGTAAGCAGGGCAATGGGGGAATGATTAGCATTCATATCTCAGGCAAGGTATGAAACAATGATGCCTTAAATGCGCTAATGCTCTCCTGTGAAGAGGGCCCAAAAAAAACAGAAGGATAATGAAGCTATCAGAGCATGAGGGAATACTCATGTGTAGCACCAGGCATTTTAATGTTGCTAACAAGCAGTAAGTATAGAGTAAAGGAGATTCTGATGACAACATCACTGGCTTTGTGGACACCAAGTCTTGCACCGAAACTCTACCAGAGTGGGCTGTCTACTTATCAGACTCAGGGGTTGGATTCTTTCTTGTCCTTATAAAATAAATTGAACTCAAAACATTGTGACCAAAGGCTGCACCATCTATGTAGCCTATGTTGTATGGAGTGTGCAGGTTTGTTTGTTTGGTTTTTTTTGGAGAGCAGAAGGCATGAATATGAGAAGTCCATTCATCATTTACCAAACTTGGCACTAGAGGAATTGTCAACGGATCATCATTTCCTGAACACATCAGCTATTGGCTAGATTCTGGTGGCAACAGTCTATTTTTCAAGGGGTGGATTCAGTGATGTACAGTATAAAGGATTAGAGGGCCAAGACCTCCATGCATTTATCATTTTTCACTGTCTGATCTGCAACTTGAAAACAACAGTAGAGAGGCATTGAGAAGACTTGGTTTCATTTGGTTTCAGTGTCATACAGAGCCCTTATCTGTATTTAAACTGAAGGATGACCAGAGTGGTCACATTTCTTCAACCTGGGACCACTACATAAGTCTAAGGATCAACACAGTCAGGAGTCTTCCCCTGTGAATCATAAAGTATTTCAAACAGTTACCAACTGGTGTGAGTTTTGACCAGAGTGACCATCTGACACTGACATCCTTTTATCCCTGCAACTGCTGCAGGTAAATAAAAGTCACGGACCAGTGACTGAAGCAGCTGTTCGCTGCTAGTGAAATCTTGAATGAATTATTTTTCAAGCTGTTGTTCAAACATGTATCGTTCTTCATTTAGAGGTCGCCCCTCTTCCTGTGTCATGAGTTCATATTTAATTTGTGGCTTTGGGGAAGAATGTTGTGGATAGAGATGTTGTGATTATGTGGTTTGTGCTGATGCAGAGAGCTTAAAGGTCTGTGAGAAAGGACACATTTACAATCCAGCCGATGTGAGCTATTGTGGGATGAATGTCACAAAACTTGTTTAAAAAGATTTGACATTTTCCAAGAAACAGTTTAGCTGGATATAATGGAAACCTTGATTTTTCAAACTTATGAAGAAAATCAGACATTCTTCAGTACTTGACTTTGGACTGAATTCAGTGTGTGCAGAGTCAGCAGTAGTGTAGCATTGTGCAGCGCTGTTTAGCTGGGGCCTGTCTGGGGTAAGGCAAACATTTTACGTTTAATTTCTTGGGTTTCCTGTGAGGTAGGTCTACTGCTCCAAGTGTGCACAATGAAAAACCTGTGCCACAGAAATGTGGAGTGAGTTGGGCAATGACTCTTGGGAATTGCCCTAACCCCAGCTCTGCAAGATTGTTTCCTCTGTGGTAACCTGGTCAGAAATAAACTCACAAGAATGTCTATTTTTATAAGAAAGAGAAAGCTGTGTGCCAAAGCAGTTTGGATTTAACTTTGTTTGTGTGACATGGTGCATTGTGTAGTGTTGAAAGTTTGTTTACATTGTGATATGTGGGTCTTTCTTTTATCTCCTCAAATCTAACAACACATTCAAAACATTGGTTCCACTTTTTGGAAAATACTACTTTCAAATCCAGCTGGAAGGGAGTACAGAAGATGAAAAATACCTCTATGTGTGTATGGTAGGCACTGAACAACAGCTGGGGGATTAGCATAGCTTACCATCAATACTGGGAACAATGGGAGGAACAGCTAACTTTGCTAGGCTAGGCTACTGAAATAAGCTAGCTAGTACCTCATGGTAAGAGAATGGTATTCTCCAATACTTTTCTTTTAATGAATGTGGATACTTTTTGAAATGTACTTTTCAGAGAGTCACTCTGGAACTGATATTTTGTGTGACACATTAGCACCCTCTGCTTGGAAGATTTTGAAAGAACATGAAATGTAGTAATAATTAAGTGCATCTATCTTAGTGAAGGTGCAGTTTATCAACGTAGTTTGTTTGAAGGAGCCGCTGAATGTAACATTAAATGCTTTGTGGTGATAGAAATTAGCCGTAGACTAATCATGGCTCATCATGTCATAATTTAAAGGTAGTTTGAAGCTACAATTTCAATCTTTGTGTGGTATCGTCATCCAATAGTTGGCTAAGTAAGTGCCGTTTGTGTTCAAGCATATACTGTACTTTATCATGAATATAAAAATAGCTGTAAGAGAAGTAATATGCCCCTGCTGTTACCTGAATAAATTGCATGTTAGAGCCAGTAATGAATGCTATGCTCAGCTTATCCTACACGGGGGGAAAAAAAGCACACACTGCCTCCCAAACAACGCTTTATTCTGTCTGAACGTAAAAGCATTTCCTGAAATATTTCCTGCTCTTTTGAACTGTAGTCGGCAGCTTCCAGCCTTGACTTGCTGTTCTCATCAGCCCGACTGATTGAGATGTCTGCAGTAACAGGTGCTGTGCCTTACACTGCTGATTGACACTCTGTGTGAACACAGCCTCTGCTGGTAGCTAATGTTACACTCTTTGTTCAACCCAACTGCCACTCTACCTCTAGACCTTTATTATCCAACAAAGTAATCACCCTGTTTCTCCTCCAGACTTTACGTCTTCTTGGATTGTATTCAACTGGATGATCTCATGTCAACTTTTAAAATCAAAACAAACGTCTGGGTAGCTTCTCTTGACATATACTTTGGCTTTACACCCACATGTATGGGCTAAATTTAGACATGTCAGCTGGAGTGCTGACACATTCCTCTCAACATCATAAAACTCTGCTGGCATAACTACATGCGTACATACTGTCTCAGTTTCAATGTTTAACATATGTATTTAGTTTCTGTAAGGGCCTCAGAGCTCTCAGTCTGAGTTTTGCTTTGATAAATCCTTTTAGTAGATCAAGATCAATAACATTTAGTCACTGTTTTCTTTACCAGATGAGAGGGGCTCCCCACATAAAGTGGATAAGGAAGAATTTGGGGTATATCAGCATAAAAAAACAGGCTTAAAAACATTTGGTACCAACAGAAATCAAAAATACTGGACTTGGCTAAAGTTCTTGCAGATGTCTGAATTGATAAAACAGGAGAAGAAACTTTCCTAGGAACTTCAACCAAGTCTAGTTGCTTTTTGTATTTAACTTTGTATGGCCATGACCTGTATGGCAGACACAATATTGCAACTCATCGTAACTCAAAATTTCAAACAATTGCAGCATTTTATTATAACCTGAATGTCACTATTTTTTGTGAGTTACGTTTGTTTTCTTTTTTCTCTGAGCTAGAAATGACAGTGTACTAAAGTGGAAGTACATAAATGCACATTAAACACAAGTGTCTTTGAGTTCCAGTCTACACCAGCATTTACCACTCTGAACCTGTCAAACTGAGCGCATCTATATCTGTTAATTGTAGATTTCTTGCTGTCCATCAGAAAGTGTGCGAATGATGGAGGTCAGAATTCCCAGCAGGCCCATTTGGTGGTGTTTGTCTGTTTACTGCATAGCTGACATTGTTTGGGGCTGTGGCTCGGTGGTTGCGGTGCCTCAAGAGGACGACGAGCTGCCACAGAGGCTGGTGGTCAGGAGAAGGTGGGGGGTGGGGGTGCGAGGAGGGAGAGTCACTTAGAGGTAAGGGAAGTGGTGACTTTAGGGGACTTCCTCTTTTCATTAAGACTAAAGATAAGAAAAGAGCCGAGTCAGCTGAAGTCAATACAGATTGAGTTAATTTATGCAAAGAACTAAATGAGACCAAGGAGGGAAATTACAGTCAAACACTTTAAGTAAACCAAGGGTCTGAAATCAGACTGTAGACCAAGTAGGAGGCTCAGAGAGCAGAATGGGAGGAGAGCAGTGACTCACAACAATGGTTGTCTGTTTTTGTGTCTGTAGGAGTATATTTTTTTCCTCCACTGGCCAAAGCTGCTGGGCCAAATAGTCCCGAGCTATTTTCAGCCTTCGTCCTGGATGGCAGGGCTGTAATCAAGGGAACATCAGGCCTGCCACTGTTGAATAATAGCAGCCTGGTGCATGGAAGAAATGAAGCAGTGAGAGTGTGAGAAAAACATAAGTCTTTGGAGGAAAAAAAAGAGAGAATGGGAAGACAGAAGAGAGAGTAAGCACTTGAGCGTAATTGGATGTTTGTGTTTTGTGCTTTGAGCCACATATGGGAGTAGAGAAAGACAGAATTGCTGTTCAGAGTGTTCTTCCATCTGGTTATACACTTAAGAGTGTCTCTCTCACCAAAAATACCACAGTAAACCTCAAGAAAATGTGAGTCAGGACCAGAATTTATCTGTTTTGCCTCTTTGAAAATCATAAAAGACTTCATTATTTTATTAGATTACTTCACTATAACCACTTCTGCCACATGTGATCGATATCTAACAAGTTTCTCATGTTATTGATCAACTGCATTTGCCTTTTTTTTTTTAGATACCAGACATCCAACAAGTTATTATGACTCTAAATTGTTGGAAAACTGAAGACGCAGAGATGATGGAAGGACAAAATGGTAACATTCAATCTCAGCCTGACCAGATTGTCAACATCTGATACTCTGTGCCTGACATTAATCTCCTGACCTCATGTTCACAGGGAATATCTTGTCTCATAAACCAACAAAGAATGGAGTAAAAGGGAAGCCTCCATACTCAGTGGAAACTCCTTATGGCTTTCGACTTGATCTGGACTTCCTCAAATATGTAGACGACATAGAGAAGGGAAACACAATCAAAAGAGTCCCCATCCAGCGCCGGAGCAAGGGCCCAAGAGCAAGCACTCTACCAAGGAACCTCAACCCTTTTGGGAGTGGGTACCGTCCAAGTCCCTGGGGATCTACTGGAGCCCTTGGCCCCAAGTCCCGACTTTTGGATACTAATCATTATGGCTATACTTCCTCATCATATGATCACAGGTCGCCTCTTTCTCCAACAGGACTCAAATCCCTGGCTGAGATGGAGGCCAGAATCAAGGAGTTTGATGAACAACCCTTGGGTGAACACATTAGACCTCATCTTCTCCGTGCATCAAGTCTGCCGCTTACAGTACTACTGAGACAGGGCTCAGAGTCCACTGATGACCCAGGAAGTCTCTGCAGTTCCAGGGATCACCTTGGAGAAAGGAACGTCTCTTGTGAAGATGTTTTTTATTCTTCAAACAGCCCCCGGCCTCAGGATGGCTCAGGGTTGCTGAGGCGCCTCACAGAGGCCCTTGAACGTGTGGGGGAACTTGAGATGGAGGTAGGAGTGATCCCAGAGCTCAGGGCTCAGATCTGCATTCTTCAGGAGGAAAGGGAAAGGCTTCGTCTTGGCCTGGATCAGCATAATCCACACCCATCAATGAATGGAACCACAAACTCAATCCACTCTCACACAGACATTAAAAGACCACGACATGAAACTCACATCATGTTTCCTCGAAATCACAGTTACCGCCAAGCGGACCCTAATCCCTCACATGAATGGAGGACCAGTACGGATCTGGATGAACTGCTAACAGTGACTTCCCTGCAGGCTAAAGTAGCTGTGTTAGAGCAGAAGCTCCATGAGACCAGCCTGGAGCTCCAGAGGGCGTTAGGACAGTTGAAAGAGCAGCAGAACGAGAGCAGAAGGAAAGAGGAAAAGATTGAGCACCTGGTCAGACATCCTGGAGTGTGGGTGCGAGCAGAAAGAGTGGTGGTAGACCAGGATGGAGATGAGACTGTGGTGAGATCCATTGAACCATATAGTCAAGAGTCAAACAGTTATGATATATCAAACTCTGCAAGAACTCTCCAAACAGATGAACAACAAAGTCCACCAAAGGACTCTGTTTACTCCAATGAAAGGAGCCAACTGGAGTCTGATGGACCTGGTCAGGCTCCAGAAGATGGCATAGATACAGCAGTGGTTGTCCACCATATCAAGAAGATCAAGAGGCTCCTGAATCGACAGTGGGAGTTTTTGTGTGCGGACTATCAGCCACAAGAGGAGGGTCAACCTCAGAGGCACCCAGACCCCAAAGTAAACTCCCTTCAGCAGGAAATGATGGGGCTTGTTGACATCCTTGCCTCGTACTACACCCAGCATGGACAGACAGCTCAGAATGGAGGTACTGAAAACCACAGAAATAACTCTATAGTCACACTTTTGTACTGAAAGATTGCTTTTGGGGAGACATTGATATGAAGTGAGATTGGACAGTGGTCCGGGTTTGGTTTAAAGAAGAAGTGAGATGGTTTTTATGAGGTAAAAAAGCCACCCAGTAATCCCCAAGTTGTCAAACTGCAGTTATTCGAGTGTCCCCATATAAAAGATACCTTATAGTGTCAGCATGATATGAACTATTCTTCAAACAGACTAATAATATTAACCCATCAGCCATAATATGTGATGTTTAGGTAACACTCCCATTAAGAAGATGACTACAAGCTGCTGGGATGGCAGTCAGAGGTCATAGATAAGCTGAACATTAATACATTTTTAACGAGAACACAAAACAGAGTATTTATCCAAACCCAGGTTCAGATGTTTTTTTTTTTCTTTTAATACTTAAACAAACCAAACAGATAATTTCACAGCAAACACATGTAAAAAAAAAAACACACCAGAAAATTGTGTGCATGTTTGATAGATGCTGCTCTAACCTGATAGATAAAAAATTAAGGATCTAATGATCAAAACATGCAACATTATTTCTAGTAATGAGTTTGATCACTGCCAGCGGGGAAACAAAAGTTATCAATCATTTAATTAAGTAATCAATCTTTTAAAGTGCCAATTTATAACAAATGCTATGCCAAGATGCCGGACAAAAAGACCAGACTCTGTTTACAAAGACCTGGGGCTCTATTTTCGTTCGCGCCGGTGAGGCGGCGGAGGGCGGCGAGCCCCGCGCAGTTGTATTTTCGTCTGGCGGAGCCCGGCGTAAGGCGAGTTTGGTATTTTCGTGGACTGAGTCGCACGGAGGCGAGCCGAGATCCGCCAAGCTGGGCGTGGTGGCGTGGCAGGGGGAGGTGTTGACAGAATCAGCTGGCGCAGTGACATTTTCGTGCTCGCCACTGGCGTGTAACGTGCGCTGAAAGCTCGCCGATTCAAACCTGGTCAGCTTTCAGCGCAAGGCGGAACGCAGCTGGTCCAGTAGTATTTTGGTAGACCGGCGGCATATCGGCATACGTCACCGATGCCTCACCGGCAGGTTTCCACAGTGTCAGGCAGATTTCAGTGCAATAAATAATCATCAACAACTATTAATCTGAGTCAGCACATACATTTAGATCTATATCGATATATTCTGATCTATATCTGATCTGATGAGCGCGTTTGGCACGCGTTTGGACACACAACCTGACCGAATCAAAACAGCTGAAACCGCATCAAATTAAATTAAATATCTAGTAAATAAACACACATGATGAAGTTAACAAGATATGTAATGTGTCTCCCTCCTTTTCTTTCTTCCTCTTATTTCTCGCACAGCTCGACCTGGACACGTCTCCGTGTCCTCTGTCCGTCTTCCTGCTGCTGCTGCTGCGGCTGAACAGATGATTTGTTTCAGTGCTCAGATGCGTTATCTACTTTAAGCCGACATATGGATATTATAATATTCAGTTTTGTGGGCCAAATTTATTTTATATGCCAACATCTATGAAAGAAAGAGCCAGGCCACGGAGCGCGATGCGTCATTTACGCACAGATGGTTCCGATTTTTATGCCTTTTTGGAGTTTATGTTGTGATCTGTGCGCTCAACCCACCTTTGTCACGTGAGGTTTGAATATATGCAACTTTATGTGAGTGTCTTTATTTGTGGAAAAGGGTGTTTGTCTTACCAGTGAGTCCAACATTACGCACACCAAATCCATCTGTGCTCATATGAGAGAGTGTGGAGGACACTTGTTGAGCAGCTGCCCTCTGTCGCCATCGTGTGGCATAACTGTCTTCAGACATCTTGATCTCTTTGACTACTTCATGAAAATAGTAATACGCCTCGCCTGTGGCGGATTTAAAGGCGAGGAGAGGAGCTAATGTGATTGGTGAAAACAGGTCTCGGCTGTGTTAAACCCCCTATCCTCCCCGTCTATGATTTATGCTGCCGCGAGGAGCTGAGTTAGGGAGGGGGGATACTTACGCCGGGCTGCGCGGCTCACCAAAATACCAAAATGTGCTTGGGAACGCCTTGTCAGCGCGGCGGATCTGATTGACTCTGCGCTTGCGGCAGATCTCCGGCGAAGCACCAAAATAGAGCCCCTGATGTAAAAATGGGATAAGATTGAGCCCCATCTGCTAAGACCAGACCCACTCTGATCCCATCTCACCTAAATGAGTGAAAGACTTTGTAGCATTTAGCAAGTGGGGGAAAAAAACTTCCATTAATCGGCGGACCAGACTGTTTACTTACACCTGACTGATAAAAAGTGTGCATGATTGAATGGTCCAGTTTTACTCTAGTTAGATCAGCTCAAATCTTGTTTCAAGTTTGTATTTAAAGCTTCTTGAAGTGGCAGAAACCTCAGCATGCCTCGCTGTAGTGGTGTATTTGGATCTCTAGAGTGGTGTAAATCTCTAATGCCTAAATATCCATCAGGTATGTTTCTAACTTACAGTATACGCACTACAAATCTTATTTGAAATAAAACTGTTATTTTGTTCTCTGGAATCCAATTCAATTTCCTTCATACCTAAATAAAGCATTCAAACCTGCTCTGAATTATTAAATCACTAGAACTGCTTATCTTCCTTTCGGCCTTGTGAGAGTTGTTATCTCAGCCAATATCTGTGAAAACCTAAGAGCTGTATTAACATGCGAAAAAGCACATGTTTATGAAAAGACTGTGAAAGTCAGAGTAAAAACCACAAGGTCATATTGATTTCAGCAAAGAAACACTATACCTCTTTAGAAATGTGTCCTTAAAGTCATATCCTTACATCAGTTTGTCAACACAGGAACCTTGCTCTGAAAGTCAATATTCTTCTGTAATAATTGTATTGTAATTATACAATAAAGAAGCAACATAATGATGCTCATCTGTCAAACATAGCCCAACAAAGTTAGATGTAAACTGATGTTGTTCTGAGACTCTCTTCTTCATCAGCGTTAACAAATTTGACTCTGTTTATATTTTTGGGGTGATTTGGTGGTCTTCAAAAGAAATCAGCCATTAGCAGTGATACATTTGTATTCAATCAGGAGCATGCAGTGTGGTTGTTTAATTCAATTTCCATATTTTCTCATAATCTTTGTGTTTGTCTCCCATTCAGGCTCTAAATCCATCACAAGGACAGACCAACGTCCCCAGATGTCAGCAAGCCTACATTCAGGGGGTGTTAATGAAGGGTTAGTGAATAACTCTCTGACTTCAGCAACCTTTAGAGTTATGATTACTGCCTGAAACCATACTTACAGCTGACAGACAGGCTAACTATTTAAGTCAGTGCCATTTGACAGAGAAAAACATCTTGATTTAGTATTGGAGGATGGCTGCCACTCCCTTTACAGTTGTCATTTAAGGGACAAAAGTGGTGACTCCTGTGTCTTGGGATGACTGAGCTCAAGTTTTGCCATTTTCAAAGTGCCAGATGAGTCAGTTTATTATTTCTGAGTCAGACTAGTAGAAAAAAAGTGACTTTGACAATGTGTGCGGTGGATTATTAGGGCTCAGGATGAGATCTGGTGAACTGCCAAATACAAGATCCGTCTGGTTATTAAAGTGAAACAGACCCATCTGAGTCAACACAGTGAGCTTTACAGTCTTTCAAAATTAGAAAAAAAACAGGCGTCCTATTTAATTTGTTTGAAAATTTTCCTTCTGATTTCCAGTCCTAAAAGGATTGGACTCAAAACACTGATTAAATTACCTTGAAGCCCACAGCATGAATTATTCATTTGATATCTCCTCCAAAAACATTTTCCTTGTTCTTTAACTGCTGAGTCAGACATTATGACGAGGAAATGTTCGACTTGTCGGTTGGCTGTAAATCTTGACAGAAAGTCTTACTGGAGTGTATTTCAAGGGCATTTTTCATGTCGTGTGAACTTGCAAAATCAATCGGTATATTGTGGATTCAGTTCAATGAGAGTAATTTTTTTGTTCTATATCCTTTTTTAAGGAGTAAACTTATCACAAGTAGATATCAGGATGGGCAGCGCTGTGTGATCTGGAGAGAGCAGACGGACAGCAGCTTCAGCCCCTGGGAGATGGCTGCTGCCCAGGTGGACGCTGACCTCGAAAGGAGACAGTTGAAGAAAGAGAAGCGGACCAGCCCAGACAGGCAGATGATATCAGGGAGAGTGGGATCAGGGCAGACAGATGGAGGTGTAGTGTCTGTGGAAGGTGAGACTCAAGAGAAAACAGCCAAGACAAAACCCCCACTCCCAGGAGAACAGATGGAGGGGAGTTCTGGCTCAGAAAGCACCACCGGAGGCAGGTGAGAGGACTGGAACTGAAGCCTTATCAGTGTGTTTGGAAAGTGTCATGATGGTGTTTACTCTGAGAGGAAATGCCTCTGTGTTTTCATTTTGTCTCATGGGGAAAAAGGCCCTCATACTTCCAGAAAAAAACCTGTCTTTTACACTCTTTCGTTTCCAGGGACATGGTGAGTGCAGATTTTATGACTGCATGCCAGTTTCTCAAAGATCACATGGACAACATGGAGAACCCCAATGATGACATGGTGAGTGGCAGTCACGACTATATGAACCAGTTAATGTCATATTTAAATGTTGGAGTTGAGAAGGAGATATAAAAGTAATAAAATGGATTCAAATAAAATTGAATAAAAGAGACAAACCAGCAACAATGAAACATCTCTGCCCCGGTTTAGTAAACAGGAGCTTTGCTGTTTTGATTTATTCACTGTACCATCAACTTCTTTTTTACAGAACTTGTCAGTCAAAATTCAAAAGCCTCACAAAGTGCAGTCAACCTGCTTTGCAACAGATGGCAGACAGAAAAAAATCACCACTTGTTTAACTATGAGAAAAACCATGGAGAAAAAAAGGCAGAAATGTAAAACAAAGAAAAGCTTTAAGAGGAGTGATTTATGAACATTTAGTTGGGTCTAAAGAATCTCACCTTGGTATAAATAGTAATTTTGGTCTTCCTATAGAAAATGTCATCTTTGTCAGTTGTTAGCATGAAGTTTGCTGTGAAAAATTTAAAATGTTGTTTACAGCTTTATCTCTTTCCAGTAAAAATGTGAACCAATTTGCAGGCCATTTTTTTCTCAACAATAATGCACAACTTTGAGAACAGCTGTTAAGAAAGTTAGAACCTATTTAAGACAAAAAGGAGTAAATATTGAGGATGAAGTGGCGGTTTTAAGTCAAGCTGCTAAAAACAGTTTTTTAGAGCCATAATAAAACATCTGAAGGACTGAGGGTCCCTGACTCTGCCTTTAGTAAATGTGATGTAACAGGAGGCTAGAACTACAGTACAAACACCTATTATGACAAAGGCACTGTTGTCTCTCTCTACCTTTCTGTCTGTCCCTCCATCTTACTCCACTTTGATCAGCTGTCAACAAGCAAAACGAAACAAGGAAACAAGAATTAGATGCTACCCACACACATACAAACACACACAGAGAGAGAGAGAGCCGGCTGAAGAGGTGAACAAGCTTCAGAGTGGAGGATAAATACAGACTGAGTGGCTCCTCTCAGTTGCCTTATTTATCAGTTATTTAGAAGAACTAAACTTCAGACAGAAGTCTCTGATTAGAGTGCAAAAAAATAGACAAAATCATCTGCCAAATGGATAATAAAACTTCTGTATCTTTTAAGTATCCCCCGATTCCTACGTAAAACTTCCAAAAATGACTCAAGAAGTTACTGTGGTGTGTTAATTTATAAATTTAATTGAACAAAAACTTTTAAAAAGACACTTTTGACACCTTTAAGTGTGTCTGCAGCATGTGTGTATGGTAGAGATGGAAGTGAACTCCTTATGTACAGAGGCTACAGTTCTTGTTGCAGGGTTTGCCCTTCTCTCAATTTATGTAATAAAGGTAATAAAGCCTGGAAAATAACTTATAATAACTAGCTAAAAGATAATAATTCAAACATATAGGTTGCTGAAACCTTAAGAAGACTGTTCTTGGTAGCCTACCTCTGATATGGTCTGTTTTTCTTTGCAGAGGAAGGCTTTGGTGGTGTGTTTTCAGCATTGGTTCAGTGCTGCAGCAGAGGAGTCATCAGTCGCCACCAGGTTGGCTGCACACCTGAAAGAAGTGAAGAGGGTCACACCATCACTGCTGGCCTTCTTGGTCAACCTGGCAGACGACAACAGCAACACAGTGCTGCATTACAGCGTGTCTCACTGCAACTACAGCATAGTCAGCCTGCTTCTGGAAACAGGTAACTAGAATGTGTTTGCAAACAGACTAACAGAGCTGTAGGTAGAAATAGTTTGTCAATACAGAGGGAATGAATCTTCTTTTTCCATGTGCTCGACAGGTGTGAGTGACTTAAATCTTCAGAACAATGCTGGTTACACACCTGTGATGCTGGCCTCACTGACAGCACCTGATGGCCCTGGTGGTATGGAGGTGGTCCGCAAGCTGATGGAGCAGGGCAGCATTAACACTCGCTCTAGCAAGGTAACACAAAGAGAACGCAGTGTAAATATGTCATGGGTCATAGATGGGTGATTATTAATTTTTGTTTGATTTCTATGTAGTAACCAGAACATTGATTTGCTCAATAAATGATAGAGAATTGGAAAGAGTTACCTCTTTTTACTTTGGAGTAAAACTTAAAAAATATTGGCTGTGAGTCAGAAAGCATGTCCAACAGAAGACACAACAAGGGTACAAAATAGAAAATGCCAGATTTATTTCTTGTGCCTCTCTGGATAAGCTGCTTTTATATTCACTATCCTAAAATTTGTTTCTTTTGACTTCTAAAGTGTCATAAAAGAGCAATAATAAATACCTTTAGGGATCCATATGACCTCCTTCAACAAGATACTCTGCCCTCTAAGCCGAAAAACACCTAAATAAGAGTAAAAGACAGATCACTAAATTGTGTTTCTTACAGACGGGCCAAACAGCTCTTCACTTGGCAGTGAGACACGGGCGAGTTGTGATGGTCCGCCTCCTGCTGAGCTGTGGCGCGGACACTAACATACAGGATAACCAGGGAACAACGAGTCTGATGTTTGCAGCGGAGAGAGGCCACACACACATCGCGAGGCTGCTGCTGGAGAGGAGCCAGTGTGACCTGACACTGACTGACAAGGTGATACAGCAGAAAACTAGGCCCAGTGGATAATGTACTTTTTAACATTGTCATAAAAACCCTTCAACCAGAGAAGTTTTATTTCTGCTGCAATTAGTGTAAGATACCGGCTATAAGTTTTCTAAATTTAATGAATAGATCGTTACACCAGAGAAATTTTATTTAAAAAGACATATCATCCTGCAGGAAGGCCGTTAAATTACATTTTTATGTCGTAGTGTTTATGTGCGCTGACTTCAGTTTCATTTCCCTGCATAATTCCCTGTTTAATTTGTTATTTCTCTATTCACATAAGTGAGCACAAAAATAAGCTTAGACCCAGTAAAAGCTGAAATGTTTTGACTGACACTGTGTGGATGTGGGTGGACTGACAGTCTGGATGGAGCTAAATAGCTTTGCCTGGATTAATCAGAGCTACAGTAAGACAAATCTCAATGTGCAGAGATGAGCTAATCCACTAACAGTACTTTATCTGCCAGTCTGAAGCGATTGGAGGCGGGGAAAAGAGCAGCGAAGAGGATGTAAATGTATCCTTCTTCTTTTGACTCAGTCTGCAGTGGTAAAAAAAGAAGAAAAAAAAAAAACACAATCAACTACAGGCATCCTATCTTCATTCAAAAGCATGTTTCACCTCGACACAAACCCAGATTAAGTGGACTAATTCAATCAAGATCATTTGTCTTAAGAGAGAAAATGCAACCTTGCACAGTTGAGTCATTTAATCTCTCCTCTTGGAGCCTTAATTCTGCAGCTCAAGGCTAACACATGAAAACAAGATTAGACACACTGCCGTGCCAGCATTCAATGTAAGCTGAATGCTGACATCAATATTATAATGACATTGATAAGTGCAGTTTACAATACATTATTAAGTATTAGCTTAACATGTATGAAAGGTTACTGTGCCAAAGAACAGACAAAAAATGTAACAAAACTGAGGGGCTGTGTGGAGGTTAGCATCAATATTACAACTCAAGCTAGATTTATTTATAAGTGTCTTATCTTTCCTAATAAATGCAGAATTCTGTGTCATAGTTTATTCAACAGGTCAACTTAAAACTAGGCGTCTAAAGCCATGTTAGCTAAAATACTATGAGGCTTTGTCATAGTGGGTTTTTTCAGCTATGGTCAACAAGACAATGACAACACAAACATGCTCATGTTTTAGTTGTTTCTCTGAATTTTAACTACTTATTCACATTGAATAATAATGAATAAAATACACACAAAATGCAGTCAAGGACCATGTCAGAAACTTAAAAAGGGTGAGGAGAGATCAGTTAGTTCTTAGTGAAAGTTTGCATTCAACAAAAGTTATGACAGTTTACCTCATGGTAACATGACTATGTAAACATTTTACTACAACTTATTGTCAAAATAATTAAGTCTAAACTGAACATACTGGAAACAGCAAATTAGTTAGCATGGCTAATATTCAGAGGAAGCCCTAGTCATGCTCACTTTTGTTGGTTTGAGAAGTCTTGTGTCTTGACTTTGTGTGTTTTTCTGTTTCCTCCAGCGGGGTAAAACTGCACTCTCCATCGCCATGCAAGGTTCCCACACAGACACAGCCGCCCTCCTGCAGGCCCACGCCAAAGCAAGAGCTTTGTAGCCCTGGAAAAACTGGGATACAACCTCCTAATGATACCTGTCTCTAAGGAACTTCAAAACACAGTATAATGTTGACTCTATGTACTTGGGTTGCGCTGTTGTTACTCCTTTTACTTTCTTGACATTTGTACATATATGAGCCTGATTGGGTGGGATTATGTCGAGGTATTATTGAATAAGGTGAAGCCAAACTCTGCCAGCCTTGATCACTGATGCAGTGAAGGGCATCAGTATATGTGCTAATTTCTGTTATGTTTAATGATTTCCAGAGCTATGTATATCTGACCTTTGCACAAACAAGCAGCATCTTTGCTTTGCAAACTATGCAATTAAAAAAAATGTATTTATTGTGATAAGTTTATTGTGCTGGCCAGATATGTCAGAGTGTTGGTGCATGTATGTTTACCTACACCAGACTGTTTAAAGGTTTGGGGGTTATTGCAGCAATGTTAAGGTTGTATCAAATATGTAAAGAAAAGCTAAATGCTGCATGGCAAACACATTAAACAAACACAAACTTTTGTGCCTGTAAACCAACCTGTTGTTCTCAATCAGCAATCATTTCTATTTGAATAAAATCAACAAAGATTACTTTTTTTTTATCCCAAAGTGACCTCACTTTTGCGGAAGTGCAAAGTACATAACTCATGAGTGTAGTTGTGTGAAACTGTTTTTGATGATGAATTTTGATTCAAAGTTTGAAAAAAATCTACACTTTATGTGCTACATATCTGCAGCTCTTCATCCGCCTTTCAAAACTCACACCTCGCTTATTCAATCTCCATGTCTGCCCGTTAAAGTGATAATCCAAAGGAGCAATTGGATTGCACTGGAAACTCATTCGCAGGTCTGTTAATGTAGTGACAATCCTGACCAGCAGGTGGCACAACTCTTCCATCTCACCCTCATTACAGTCAGCCAAATCAAACAGAATATAACACATACTGAAAGCAACAATGTACATAAATCTGGAATTCTAAAACCAGCATATCCAGGGGATTAGATCTAATCCCTTTCAAGTATGACACACATTTATAGACATGATACCCACCAAATTGTACTAATTCCACCGTGAGAGAGGACACAATGAGATTCACCTGCAATCCTACAGTGTGGCAGCTGAAAAGGCCCAGCCAGACAGGAGAGGGGATGTGTATGAGTGGCCTTTGTTCTTCTAACCCTCCACTGGGACACAGTAAGGGGCTGAGCTTTAGTCTCTCGGTGAGGATGCGAGATTACGCTGGTGAGATAAAACAAAAAACGGATTGAGTGTGGAGACGAGGAGGAGGCTGGATTTCTGTCTGAATGAGCAAAGCCACCTCATTTCCCCTGAGGATTTTTCTTCCCAGGCCTGCTGACTGTCCCGCTGCTGTAATGACCCTGAGCAAATATATATCCTCAGAAGGAGACAGAGATGGATGGTGGGAGATGGAATCAGCTGCTTTTCTATCAATCAAATGTCAGAGATAAAATGTAAGAACAGACACTGCAATAAAATGAAGAGAGATAGAAATCATATTTACTTTGTGCAGATGATCACAGGGTGAAAACATTTGATAAGTATTCATTTAGGCACACTGTAGGCCATGTACCTGTATTATAGATGTCATGGTGAATCGAAGTAAACCCTCCCCCATCAGGACAAGCCTTCTCGCCACGCCACACTGAATAAAGGTGTTCATCTGAGCTTTCCTGGAGCGGCGAGCATCTGTGACACATATTTGTCTGCTGCATGAAACACTGGATTAATAAAAACACCTGTTACATAATATTCTAATGGGGTTTGCTACAACAAGCAAGAGTCTGAAAGGCATTAGCCCTGCTTCAGTGTAATAATGATAATGGACTGGATTTATCTAGGCTGACGAATCGCCCTGTTAGTGGATGAACGTGAAAAGCAGCTCAGGAGAAATAGACTTAAAAAAAAAACATACAATCAGGGGCAGCTTCTTATTTTTTTAAACCTTGAATTCAAAAGCAATAAGAAGACATTCGGGAGGCCTGTTGCTAAATCTGTATGCGGTCTGCCATGGCTTTCTGTCAAACACAAGTCGGTGTAAAATAATAACTTCATTAAAGCAGTTTTGTGGCTCTTCTTGTGTTTTATGTTAGCAGGTCACACCATAGAAAAACAAAGTGAACGTCTCAAACCTTATTAGGCTCTTTTGTTGTTTCCTGCCTTAGCTTTCTGCCAGGTCGCTTAAAGATGATGGATCAATTTTAGACACTTTAGGAGGAATCTCTAAAAATCAACAATATTTGACAAATACTACTACATGTTCACTATTGGGCATTAACAATAGCGTGGGTGTTACTGGATCAATGAAAGTGTATTACTTCAATGAGTGTTTTTGATCCATAAGTTAAAACCTGACTCATTAACTTCAAACTCTCATCTACTAAATCAAGGACAGAGAAAGTAGTTTCTGTCCCTTTGCTCTGGCTTATCAACATTTGCAATAAAAACACAGAGCAAAACTGAGTTTATCAGAATGAATGAGAAAAAATGCATCTACAGTGCTGCCTTGGTTACATTTAATGTGTTGGATAGAGACCTGGGAAGCCCAAGCCTCTTACCAGTTACTCTTAGATTGATTAGTTTAGTTAAACACAGATGATGGATGCTTTACTGGATTCTGGAGGGATATTTTGCGAACACGCGTATCATATAAAACACCAACAGCAGGAGTTAAACATTGAAGAGTGAGTTAGAAGAAATGTGGGTATCACTTTATGTAAATCCACTTCTTATAATTCATCATCAGCATATTTAAATACATCTACAACCCCAATTAATGTTTATAGGCATTCATAACAGCTTAAATCAATGTCTAAGAAGTGTTAGAAGCAGTTTGCATAATGCCTCATTTAATTATGATTTATAAAACATTATATCTAAATGCAAAAGAAAAATCAGTATCCCCTGAATTCTCAAAGTTTTAATGTTATAAAGGTTCATAAAGAACTTGTCATATAAAAAGACAAACACAAAGTGAGAAATGTTCTCTAAAAAGATCATTTCTATGATTCTCAAGACAGAAAATGTCTTGTAAATACTCAAAACATACTAAAGCATGACTTGTGTTGCTTTAAGTAAAATTACAACACTGAATGAGGTTATTACTAGCTATATGCCTCTATAATACATTCATATGAACCTGAAGCTGTGAGTGAAGTGTCAGGCACAAACACTTAACAAGAATACCATTTTATGATTTTACATTTCACTGCTTATACCACTCCTTTAACATTTCTGCTGTTACACTTTTCCTTATCGTGGACCTTGGCTAGATGCTACCTTTGCAGCTGATGAAGTGAAACAGACTCTTTCAGTACCTCGAAATGGTTCGCAGCAAGAATAAAGGAGCTCATGCGTTGACCTTGAAACCAGAGAAAAATGTATGAATACTAGAAATCTCCACGGAGGTGAGGGAAAGGGCAAAGTTAGAGGACATTTCTCACTTTGTGTTCATGGGATTTGTTCTTTCTACAGTTGTTGTCAGAGCCATCGGACATACAGTCAAGCATGAAATTGATTTGCTGAATGAGTAATTGATTTAGTGGAGTAATTGATTTGGTGAATGAGTTTTTTGAACCAATGAATAGACAAATTATTCTTATAGATTTGGTTTAAAAAGAAGAGTACCATTTACCTTGTGTCATTTGACTTTTGTGTTAAAGCTGGTGTTAGCAACTGTGGAAAAAGACACCAGAAGAAGCAAGACTTGAAGAAATCCAAGCTGATAACTTTAAAGCTATTCCACTAAAACTCATAAACATGCATCACCTCACTTGTGGTGCAGGAGAAGTCTACTGAAGAGTTGGGGAAGGAAGCACAAACTTCCTATCTCTTCCATTCTTGTGCAACTCATTTACAAACTACGGGCTCCACACATTTGTCTTTGACTCATTTGTAAGAAGTGCATGTAGCATTTTCAGGTAGATAATCAGGTAAGGTCGGCAAATCCCAAAGCCTGCTTTTCCCTGCAGCACATTTGGTCATTGATTGCTGTGGGATTGGTGAGAATTTTAACAAATATAAAAGACATCTAACCCTGAAGCTTTGGTTAAAACTGATATCAGAGCAGTGAAAAATGAAGGTAGACTAACATCCTTCTTACATCAGGTGTGTCTACAGCTCAGTCCATGTTTAATATTCTCACTTGAGAGATCTTCAGTGTGACCTAAAACTCTGAAACGCATCTATGACATTGTTTTCCATAGGAAGAAAAAGAAAATTACACACCTGGAGGAAATTTTCAATCCGATTTTATATATCAATATATAGAGATATTCAAAAGTAATCATTACAGAAAATCAAAAAGTGGAACCAGTTTGGTCTTCACACAGTTAATCTTTGCATGTACAGTAGTTGGCTGATCCCTGTCCTTTTCATGAAAAAACACTTGTGAAAGTCAAAAAAGTAAACAAAAAAGGCACAAATAAACAAAAATTAACCATTGCAATATCACTAAGGTTGGGAGTCGTTGCAAAATGTGAGGGATTTCATGAGGGGGCACGATTATTTTTTTTTACCGAGGCTACAAATAAAAAAGGGTTGCACATGAAAAAGATATTAAATGATGCACAGCAAGAAACAACACAAAACCACTTTGGTGGAAAATTCTGATTTTCGTACAATCAGGGAATGCAGTGCTCTCCTTTTATACAAATAAATTAATATACCTGTCGACACTTTATCTAAAATCTTATATACAGCTTTTCTTTTACATAATTGTATAATACATTATCAAAAACCTTATGAAAACATATTTACAAATCAATGACTCAAAAAGCACCCTCAAAGCTTGTCCAGCGTCTCACACACTCATACATACATACAATACACACACGCTCTGACACACCTGTGTTTCCACACATCTGTTTTCATCCATGCATTACACAATACAGAAGGCATTCAAAGAGGGTTGTGCAACAAAGAGCATACAAAACAGTTCATATATGGCTGTGGGATGAACAGTAGCACTCACATGCATAATAATGAACACACATACAAGCACGCACTCAGACTTTTAGGTTTATAATAAACAGTGACAGTGTAAATAACGGGGCTGAATGTGTATGAAACATGTTCACTGATTGGACAATTTGGTCTTATTACATCACAGTCAGATTGAAGTTTTTGGTGGTTACATCATATGACGGGTCTTTTTCATCGTGCAGCCACCAGCTGGGACCTCCCACATCGAGCCGTCCAAACTGTCTGCTCAGATATCCGCCTTCTCAGGAGGACCAGAGCAGGCCACAGCATCCAGCTTGCTTTCTGTGAGTGTGTGCGTGCATTCGTATGTGAGTGTGTGTCTCGCCTGAAACAATGAATGGCTGCATTGTCAGTTGGTGGGCAATTATGCATGCTGTTTGTGTTTTCAGGGGGCATGTGCACGTTGTCTCTGTCCTCTGGAGAACAGCATGAATTTGCTATCACTGCATCCCTGTGTGTGTGTGTGTGTCAATGTTGTCACAGTCAAAAGTGGGCGATCAAATAAATTTCATAACACTCGAGGGTTTTTCGTCAACCACGTAACACTGCAGCCTGTCTAAAAGCTGCAGTCTATTGCTTTTCTCAAACC